GATGATATACTTACATGCTGCACCAGAGTACGAACGACATATCGACTCTCTTCGGCTCCTCTGGCATCCTGGACAAGCCTTTCTACGAGTCGCTGTTTTGTCTCGACACTACCATGGCCCTTTGCCAATGAAATTTTGATCAATGAGTCGAAGACAGCTTTGATTGTGAGAGGTTTGGGCTTCCTCAAGGTCAAGCTCTGTCGCTTCTTTGCTTCAAAGGCAACATCACCAGCATCTCCATACTTGTCTGACAACTTCTTCAAGCCGGCATTGTCAAGTCCACAGACTTTCTTCAGCGCTTTTGAGATGGCCGAGCCTCCCAACCCAAGCTCCATATCGATATAAGGCGGCGAGATTGAGTTCGTCGCAAGCCATACTGCAGGCAGCAGACTCTGAGGGTCTCCTTCTATGATGACACGCAATGCGTTCACCAGTGTATCGACGATCTTGATGCGGCTTTGTGTGCTGTTGACCATGACGAAGCAGTGAGTGAGGAGCGCGTATGTGGCATGGCCGTTGTCGATGACCCATTGCTTCTTCAGCTCTGGGATGTAGTCTTGCGGGTCGAAAGTCAAGGGACTTTGGTCAAATGGGATGTCGTAGGTGATGGTGTCGTCGTCGGCGGTGGCTGATTGAAGCGACAATGTGTTCTTCTTCCTCTTTCCTGCGAACGGATTCGCAGCCACTGGCGCTAGAGCTGGTGTAGGTGTCTCTTCCTTTATATCCCTCTCTTTCTTGACATGTTCTGGTAGTGCTGATGCTGCTTCGCTGGCTTCGGTTGTGGCTGCTGACTTCGACGGCGAAGGAGTAGGAGCTTGCGTTGCTCGATCCTGTTCATCCCATTCTGCTTGCAGTTTNCTAGCCAGTGCCTCGTCTGATAGAACATCGTGGTCGAGGTCATCGGGTTTTGTGCCTGTTTCTTGCGCTTCTTGTTTCGGTTCGTCCCTGGGTTGCTGTTTCACCTGTGCTTGCTTGCTGAAAAAGTAATCAAGGCCTCGTGCTGGTTGCCCATCGTTCTTCTTCCGTCTCTTTGAAGGAGTCGACATTCTGTCTGGTTGGTTCAATGTTTGGTGGCCAGGAGGGTTTCCATCAATCGCGACAAAGACACGACCTGCGAATGACGCGTTAATGGATTATAGCGTTGACGTCATTTGGCTTCACATGTCACTGTTTTGGTCAATGTTCAAGACAGCAACAACGAGCATATATCACTATACTATGATGATTGAACCAGAGAGTATCACAGAGGCAGATGTCTCTTTGCTTTCGAGACAAAAACTTCTTACGACTCATCTTTCAAATTGCTTCTGTTGTCACTATTGCGTTCGACAAATACCGCTTGGTTGATGAATTCTGGAATCGAGGTAGCTGCACGCGTGTTTCCAACATCAGGAGCCCTACAGAGTCCACAACGATACAGCTCATGGTTCAACCAGGTACAAAGGTAGATATCAGTCTCTCCGTATGTTCCAAGTGTTCAGACATGGGCTGTGGGAGCTATAAAAGGCGATTGTTCGTCAGAACATGTAGTAAGTGGGACGACCCTGTCTATCCGGAAATACCAGCCACTCTCAATCGCAGTCGCAAGCTCGACATGTGTCTCTGCTGCAAAAATCGCAATAACAAGTCCAGAGCACTCATTTCAATCCAAGACATCAATCATATTCGTCTTGTCCAATTGCGCATCTCTATACAATCAAGTCCAGTCCAGATCTCGGGCCGTCCGCCATCCGTAATAAACACTTGTCGATCTCCTCGACAACCTTTCTTCCATTTAAAATTGCCCTCGTTGCAGAGTAAGTTCAGCTGCCCTGCCCTCAAATCGTCGCAAGACATCGTATCTCCTTTATCTATACTTCTTGGAAGGTTCCCTTGGTTGTTGTGATCACCCCCAAGAAACCTCTGGGCGTCGTCGCTCAAATCTCCACGAAAATCTGCCATGATGCATCGTATGCAAGCTTACCGTTCGTTATACGTTGCTCCAGGATCTTTGATCCCGTGCTTCCGTTCCTGCATGCGTGTGTGGCTGTACCTGCAGTGAATTTTGTCATGCTTCGCTATTTTGACCATGTCGAAGGATTTTGACAGGTCGACATGCGTCGTGTTTCCTGACACAGACGAGACGAGGCGGAAGTGAGGTGACATCTAATTTTCTGGGATCGGCACGGTCATGTTGTGTGCAGTACTAAGACGGGAAACTCGGCCGGGTTTTGCAAAGAGGAGCAATACGAGCAAGACACCAGATGGCCTTGGCTAGAAAGATGCAGCACCGTTGTCGCATGTGGAGGCTGTTGTCATTGTTCTTGCTGCGGTGATGACCAGATGTTGCGATGAGATCTGTACAATGGCTCGGAGGAAGATCGATCGCTCCATCTGCGGCACGAAAGACGGTGGAGTCTTTCTAGCAGTCTTGACATTGTTGCTAGAGTGGACCTAAGCCGCGCAGTAAATCTTCATCAACGATGCTTTTGCATTTGGGTAGTGCAGTTAAAGAAAGTGCTCCTAACGATAAAATCTGCCTGACTCGTCAAGTACAGTCGGAATCTCTGTGTGAAGTGCAGGCCAAGAATTCCCTCGGAATCAATGTCCAGTACTCGAGTATGGCGATTTAGTGTTCCAAGCAGTACGATGGGCTGAAAAACAGTAGTGTCTCGAACCACATTGCTTTCGCGAGCCTGAAGAGGAAGGATTCCACTGCTCAAAGGTCGAGGTGAAGTCGGCAATTGTGAATCAACTGAAAGGCGACTCGTGTGACAAATGCATGGTCTATGATATTGTCTATGGGTACAGGAAGTGAATCGTGTCGCAAGCTACCGAAGTGAAAACGATGGAGCTGAATGGAGTCCAGAAGTGCATGTTGAGACGAGCTGCGTGCGGAGAAGGACGGCACTCCCAACAAGAAAGCTGGGTGGGGTACGAGCAGCTTCAACTCTATAGGTCGTATACACTACCTCGAAATGCTTAGACAAGTAGGTCGAGACTGCTCGTATGGTGGTCAGTCCTAGTGCTATGTCCTGCTTTGGAAGAAATCAGCCCAATAAGGAAGGCATAAATTGCTTGATCGCTCGTGTTGGCCGCCGCGTGTAGACGTTCCAGGGCGACCGTTCTGGTGTCTCAGCCGAGTAGAAGACCTGCTCGAACCGGGGAAGAAGAGACAAGGATCTTTGAGACGTGACAACAAGCTGCTGAGATGTCTCTGCTGTTGTCCGCAACAGACAAATCGCGAATTCATGGAAAGTCTGGAAGATGAGCGACAAACACATGCTTGACCCTCTAGATCTCATCATTGAAAAGATCGATTGATAACCACCTCGTACCCGAAAATGGAACATAGCATGTGTTTTCTCACAGCAGGAAAAATCAGTTGCTTGAAGCCAGCTTGAAAATCTGGTTGGATTGGTACAATTCGTTGTGCGATGGGAAAAATGCAGTCGCTGAGCATGCGGGCTTCGTTGAGTGAGACAACCAAAACGAAGGTCTACGAAGGTCTTCCTCTTCCCCGTCAGTCACCATTGATCCTTGACCGATAAGATGTGGAATGTGGAGTGGATCGAGAAGCAATAAACCTACCGACTTGTACCAACCGGTCAACATAGTGATACGTGTAAAGAAGCGGAGACCCGAAGGCAGCTAGCTGCTGGGACTCTGAGATAGGCGAGACTCGAGTTGTACTTGAGTTGTACTCGAGATGTACTCGAGCTGTACTCGAGATGTACCTACTCTGAAGGATTGTCTCTCAATCTCGAGTCTCGACGTGTCGTCGCCAGCGCACCCGCCGCGTGTCTCGTCTTGGTAGGAATTGCACGAGCTGGCCAGAGATAACGGTAGATTCAGTTCGGCCTGAGGAGCTGAACAATGGCGCTCGGAGAATAAAGGCAAATCGGACGTCAAACCATCCACAAGGCTAAAACTTGTGTAGAGTAGAACTGCTGAATGCTCAGCGTGGCCTAGCCGCATATTGACAACGTCTGTTGTTCTTGGTCATGCAGGTTGGCGCAGCTCGACCACTCGAGTCAACACTCTTCAGGAACCAAGGTTGCCCTTGGTCGCACAGGGAGATTCTGGAGTGCAGTTTGTTTAACGTCGTCAACGGCTAACGTCAAGGCTGTTGATCTGGTGGTCTGAGGACACAGATTTTGTTGCGACGACGACCTGGCCGCCTGAGGAGCAGCGCAGAGACGCAACAACGCCTCGTGTTTTCGCACGGCAGGCAGCGGACTCCGGTTCATTATGAAGCTTTCCCGTCTTCTCTGCATGCAAAAGAAAGTCTGCTCAGTGGAAAGTCTCCACTCGACCACGCACGACCACGCAACGGAAGGTTGGCACGTTCGCTTCAGAAGTCCGAGTGGCTTGGGGGATGTTCAGGAACAGGACGCACTAGAGCTCTTGGGCAATTTCGGGAAGCCGCGGTTTGGCTTGGTCCTTCCCACATCAAGTTAGACAGAACCCATACTTTGATTATGTATTCAACGGCGGTCCGTCGGCCGTTTCTGCCATCGATAGTTGAGGGTGGACCTCGCTCTCGTCTCTGGCTTGTTTCTCTTTGCAACTGCTCATTTCTATATCAATCCACTGCCTTGCCAGGTCGCCTCTCGTTTTTGCTCCAAGGTCATCCACATTCTTTACCCCAGCAGTCTCTACCAACCCCCGGGAGGAATTCTATCGTGCGCTTCGGGACAGCTGCCACATTCTTTTGAACGTCAACAAACACACAGAGCAACTCCTTGCGTCAGTCAATTTCGAGACAATCTATTCTACGCCTTCGTCTTTGTTTAGGAACCGAGTTCGTAAGTTTCACACTTCGCCCCGCTTCACTGCCCAAGCACCGACCAGGTAGTTGGCTCGAGTTCTCGAGGTTCAAGGCCTTTCTCGAGCCTTCAAAACTTCTCCCTCCGCCATTCGTCTCGGAATTGAACATCCTCCGCACATTCTTTTGATACACAATCGCTGACACCGCTGGCCGGCCAGACTAAACTATCATTACCCTAAATCTATTCATCATGATGAGAACTGGTGTTGCTGCCCTCGGCGCTCTGTCGCTGATCAACCTCGCCTCTGCTAAGCCTTCTGGTCACCACCGTAAGTCGACTAATGGGAGTCGATCCATTGGCACAACGATCCTAATTGTCTATCAGGTCNGTCACCAGCAGCTTCACGAGAAGAAGGACGTCGTCTACGAGACCGACTACTCCTACGTGACCACCCAGCTCCCCAACGTTGTCGTCTTTGTCGACGAGAACGGCGCTCCTTACTCCACCTCCACTGAGGGCCAGGCCTCTGCAACCTCTGCTGCTGCCGCCGTTGTTGCCTCTTCCGCCCCCGTCTACTCTGAGGCCTCTTCGTCCTCCACCGAGATTTACGTGGCTCCCACTCCCACCACTCTTGCCTCTGTCGTCAAGTCTTCCTCCTCCGAGGCTGCCTCCACCACTCAGGCCCCTGTCTACTCTTCGGCTGCTGCCTACAGCTCCGTTGCTTCCTCCTCCAAGGCCGCTGCTTCATCCTCCGCTGCCTCCAACGGCAAGGGTCCTCAGGGCTACGGTATCGTCTACTCTCCTTACACCGACAGCGGTGACTGCAAGAATCAAGATGAGGTCAACGCCGACTTCGCCACGATCATGTCCTACGCCCAAAGCAGCGGCAACACCTACGACTTCGTCCGTATCTACGGTACCGATTGCGACCAGGTCGCCATGGTCCTCAGCGTTTGCGAGAAGTACGACCTGAAGATCTTCGCTGGTCTTTACAACATCTGGTCCGACCTTACTACGGAGCTTGGCCTTCTGACCGACGCCGTCAAGGCTATCGGCAATGACTGGTCCAGATTCAACACCATCTCCATCGGTAACGAGGTTGTCAACCAAGGCAAGCTTGCTGCCAGTGCTGTCAAGCCCATTGTCGACACTGCCAGAGGCGTCCTCACGGCCGCTGGCTACTCTGGCCCCATCGTCGCCGTCGACACCCTCGTTGCCATGGTTGCCAACGGCAAGGACCTTTGCGGTGCCTCCGACTACGTTGCCGTCAACTCTCACCCCTTCTTCGACGGTAACGTTGCTGCCGAGGACTCTGGCGAATGGCTTCTCAAGCAAATCGAGGAGGTTTCCAGCGTCTGCGATGGCGCAGAGACCTGGATCACCGAGACCGGCTGGCCCACTCAGGGTAGCTCCAACGGTGTCGCTGTTCCCAGCGTTCAGAACCAGAAGGCTGCCCTCTCTTCTATGAAGTCTGCTGTCTCTTCCAACATCATCTGGTTCACCGCCTTCAACGACATGTGGAAGACGAACGACGCCTCCACCTTCAACGCTGAGCAGTACTGGGGTATGTGCAACTAAGACTGTACAAAGTGCTTGGCAAAATTTCGTACGAGTCATGGTTATCTTTTCTGTGGGCACGCATTTCTGTGGAGTACCGATCTAAATCTTTCTCTTCTATCGCCGCGAAGAAGTTATTCATGTATCTGATTCTTTTCTTTGAGCAAGCTTCTCCAGATTCACATCGATGATCTAGGCAGTGTGTTTGCGAGCCTTTACACTTCTTTGTACATAGCATTTGACGATGTCCTATCGGAGGAAATTTATGAGTTTTACCTATTCAACTATTCTTTCAATAAAATGTCTCCACTATGACATGGCATTGGTATGCTGGTGTTCGACAATCAGTCTTTCCTTGGAGTAAGTTGAGGTCGTGTGACGTTGATTTCACCACGACCCCGCAGAGCATCTAGGCGGCCTATTACACTTGCTCCTGCCATTACTAGGTTGTCTCAAGGAGAGCAACCTTATAGAACAAATTGGGACACCTTCTTGAGACTTGCGAACCAGCTTGACCATCGCGGTCTTCCATCAGTCTGTCTCTCGCCATCAGGTTCTCGAGGAGAGTGTCGTCGGCCCTCATCACTCTACACCTTGAGCACGCGGCTCCCGCCCTTCTGCATCGCCGAATCACTATGGCCTGGCGCAGTCATGGCACAACAAATGAGGGAATGATCGATGCCCTGCACAGAAACGGTCTACTCAAATCAGACAGGGTTAAACAAGCTATGAAAAGTGTAAGCTCCTGACCTACAGCTAGCGTGACTCTACTGAACAGATCTCAGGTCGATCGGGGACACTATGCTCCAACAGAGCCATATCAGGACCGTCCTCAGAGAATCGGTTATGAAGCAACTATCTCTGCTCCTCATATGCACGCAAATGCTTGCGAAGCTATGATTGATCTGTTGCGACCTGGAGCCAGAGTGCTGGACGTTGGATCTGGATCTGGATATCTGACCCACGTCCTTGCTGAGCTGGTGAAGCCCGGAGGCACTGTTGTTGGTGTTGAACACATCCAGCCACTCGTGGATCTTGCGAAGAAGAATACTGCAAAGAGTGACGAAGGTCGCGAACTGCTTGCCAATAGGGGTATCTCGTACGTGAAGGGTGACGGCAGGAAGGGATGGACAGGAAAGGGTGGTGAAGAAGGCTACGATGTCATTCATGTGGGCGCAGCAGCAGTTGACTTCCATCAAGAGCTCATTGATCAGCTCAAACGTCCAGGAAGGTGAGTGCTCTTCGCGGATCCCAAGCTGCTACGTGTTGCAGCACTAATGAGGGTGAGAACTAATCACTATCCGACGGCATGCTAACTACATGGATCANGACTCTTCATGCCTGTTGGCGAGCATGACCAGTTCATCTATGTCGTCGACAAGAAAGAAGATGGCTCTGTCGAGAGAAAGAGACTCTACGGAGTCCGATATGTACCACTCACAGACGCACCACCAGAGTAAGACAAGAGATCTCTGCACCATTACGAGTCATCATCAACAACATTGTCAATTCGCCACATACTTAAGTGGATAGCAGAAGTCTTAAACACACAAGTCATAATCAAATTCTCCCTAACATTGACTATCTCTAATCACACGATTTGACCAACCGCACTCGTTCGTTCTCATTCCCTACCAGTTGACCAGTCATCTCCTCCGCCCTCTGCCTGATTTCCTCCAGCGTCTCACTATCGAACTCAGCATCATCCCACCCATGCAAGACCCTGAAAGAGTATGGGAGAACCGACGACTTCCACAAAACAGTTCTTCGGTTTTGCAGAGTAGTCATAAGCAACACAACACCAGCACTCATGACCGCTATAGCTGGTAATGCAAGCCACGGCCATTCAACATGAATGAAAGCGACAGATTCCCATGCCGTGCCTATTGCCGGCTTGTTTTGATATTGCCTCCAAACGTTGGTCAAGCTGATGGCCATTCTGTCCCCAAGCTCCGTGATGTTCGGATTCATGATCAAAGCACTACCCAAACCTGCCGAGGACGTGTTGGAGCCGGCTGAGTAGTCGTAGGTTGACGAGTCAAGAATGGTCCCCAGATGACTGCTCAACTCGGTATATGCATCTCCATACACCTTGAACGTGTCGTTGTGTTTGTCGCTCGGAAAACCAGTACCATTGGCCCGAAAAGTGTAGTTGGTGTACGCATAGCTTTTAGGTATTCCATGACCACTCTGGTGCAATTGTATCGAGTCGTAACCCAGAGGATACTTTTCCAGCTTGCCATCACTAAAGTCTTGACCTTGGGCAGTCGAGTTCTCATATACCCACGCGCAGAACTGCAGTGTACAGGTGGTGATCTGTGGCCGTTCCCACGTATCGTTTGTGACGATCACACTGAAGTTCAAGGCGATTGCGGGTTGACCTTTGTACCAGAATCCTTCGTTGAACCAGGTGATGATGTCGATCGCGGTATCGTATTCCCAGGCAGATGCATTGTTAACGTCCGGGAGACCTGGGTATAGGACCTCATCTGCCTTTTTCCGTCTGATAGTGGTGAGATTGCCACCTCCTCCTTCAGAGTGGAAGTCACCGCTTGCAGCGTAGTCACATTCNAAAGAGGTGCGGTTGTATGTCGCCCATCCATCGAAGTCCGAAGAGATCTTGTACCTGCAAGCGCTTTCAGTCGTAGCGATGTCTCGACAGCTCGAACAAAAACCAAGAGTGACATGAGAATCCCATGAGCATGAAGACGCAGGGCAATCGAATGGCGAAGCTGTGGTCTTTCCGTAAATGCTCTCCATCAAGCCCAGTCTTGATTGCAACATTCGATCGGACAACCTCGCGCTACCACCCCAGTACGGCATCTGCAGCATATCCTGGATAACCGGAAAAGAAGCAGTTTCGTTGGATACTGCAATGCGCCTCTCAGGGAAGCTCAACAATTGCTGGCCGAAAGTTTCCATGGCGAGCACCAACACTGTCACCGCACAACCCAGTGTGACAGCAACATTAAGGTATCCACTCTTACTCATCAGCAGACACAGACTGCCATAAGCACCTCTACTCGCATCATCAAAGCCCTCCAAATCCTTGAGTTTCCTCGGTTGCTGTTGAAAATGCGTCCATTTGAGTTGTGAAACACAACTCGCTGTACTGATCATCAAAGCCGCTTTTGAAGACACAATTAACACGGAAACGACGGCGTTAGGCTGGATAGCCCAGTGCCAGATGGACAGCCTTTTTCCATCTATCCACGCCATAATCACTGCGACGGCGATTAAACACGCGACGGAAAAAATCATGGCCCAGGTTTCTTGTTGCCAGGATAGATACCAGGGGTTGTGGCGATAGAGGTTCCAGGTTGCTGTGGGAGACATGAAGAAAGAGGGAGCTCGTCGCTTTTCCTTTAAGCTTCTGACTTTGGCTGTGGGTTCTGATTTTGTCGCGTCTTCAGGTTGTTGGTTGGCCATGGACTGTGAGGAGTGTGAGGATATACTGGAAGTAGAGTCGCGTCTAGGGATAGACGTCCATTGTGAGGATTCTGCCATTGCTAAAGGCAAGAGATTGCAGCAACACACCCAGCTACAAGAGGTAGAGGGACGAGAGAAGAAAAGTCTACAGAAAGAAGAATCGACAGCAGAGGCTGAGCCAGGCCTCTCGACTTACATATATTAACACCAACATTTTGCGTGCCTCACCACAGCCCGCTACTCGTGCGGTCCTTACATGCAAAACCCCAAGCCCAGGGCATCTTTTGAGCATCTAAGCCATGGAAAAGCAGCAGCTACATGAGTCGACGCGCGGGAAGGATCTTCCTTGGCGGCCTAACTTGCAGAATGTGCATGATATGAAACAGACGGGCGCTTTGCAGCTGCTCTTCTTGTCGGCGGCGGCGCTTACAGTCTAGAGAGCAATTGCGAGTCTATAGCAGTATGAGAGAGCTCGTGGAGATAGTGAAAAGTATGGTTGCTTGTGTGACTATGCGATTTAGTGTATGCGACAGTGAGGGTGTGAGTCGTGATTATATTAAACGGGCGAGAGCGGTCGAGGGGGTATTCTCGGTGGTTGTGCGCTTCAGATGAGAACAAATGGTATCGTGTTGCCAACGGAAAGGACTGCCTTGCATAGTTATGCAAAGCATGACTGACCTAGCCGGATGATCATGATAAAGTTCATGATCTACAGTACCATCATGATCATCCAAGTCTTCACGTCTTGTCACGCACTTCCACCATTGCTGCTATTTAGCCACACTATCTACGGATAACTACCGAACCCGTACAGCCTTCAATATTGATCGAGCATCCGGCCACGACTCTGAGTAATAACTCATCTTGCTATGTGGTAAGCAATCAAGCAGACCGAAAGGATAGGTAACCTCTATCGCTGCCAAGGCTTCTTATCCATCCTACCTTATCTCGTCGATCTTCTCCCGGCACATCAACATCCTTTCCTCGCTCGCTGTTGAGCTTCCGTACTCGGCGTACAGATCAATGCTGCGCCCTACAAGTCTTGGTGTTCAGAGATAGGCGGAGCGGCCAAGACCCGGCCATCGCTTGTATGTACTCCGAACAGTGTCACTCTGTCGATAACGGATACCATCCGTCGGCTGGAATGCCGCAAACACGGTATAGCGTGTACTTGGCACTTGACGGAGAGCCCGGTTTTTGGAGGTATTGAACGTCGCCGACTTGGTGTTGTGGAGAAGGAGATAGGACTCATTCATCCATGTGTAGTATTCTGCACGGCGTGACTGTACACCGCAACCATGGCCCATCTGCCTGCAGTCCCAACCGGAGCATGCAGGCTGTGTAGACTCCGCAGATTATTGATGTTGGGACTTGCTGAGAGAGCATGTCTGTGTCAGTAACTTGCTGCTGGATATATAATAGTGAGTTGTGACCCAGATGCTTACTCCAGTACACATTTCCCTCATTCTTTCCTCATCATGTCTATTCGCAAGCTTTCGACAGGCGTCTTTGCCTTGTCGACGCTGATACAACATGCTGTCGCTGCTCCTTCAGGCCCGGTCGTCTCTTTCAAGTTCCCAGAAGTCATTGAGGCAGGTGGTATGCACAACATCCACATCGACTACCATTCATCCCATGACGGAGAATTTTCGATCGTCTATGGTGATTGCGGTATCAAGTCTACAGCAGACGCGCACCACGTTCTCGGCAGCACCCATGTTGGAAACCATGACCTGGCAGAGCGTCATCTGGACTGGCATGAACAGAGACCAACCCGTTTCGTCTGGCTGGCTCCTGAGGACATGTCTAGTGATGGCTGTCTGCATGCTTTCTCTGGTGATGTCTTGCTTGGAAGATCTGCACCTGTCAGTGTTGGCCGCAGGAACAACAAGAGACATCTTGCCGCTGCTGAAATCATGGATGCTATGGGCCCTTGGTTTGATGGTGTCACATATCTCAAGGAGAAGGAACCAGAGTCAATCTTTGTTGCTCAAACCAAGAGCAAGTCCGTCGGCATCCTCGGTGGTGGTATGTCTGGACTTATGACCGCTCACATACTGGACTCAGTCGGCTTCCATGACTGGCAGATTATCGAGGCTTCATCGCGTATTGGAGGCCGTGTTCATACATCCTACCTCAACGCTACCAAGTCTGATCAATATCAGTACCAAGAGATGGGGCCTATGCGCTTCCCTGTCAGCTTATCGATGGACAATGAGACCATCGAGATCAATGACCACAAGATGGTCTTCCAGCTTGCCGATGAGCTCAACAAGCAAAATCAACATGACCCTGCTTATGAAGTCAAGTTCATTCCCTGGATCCAGAGTGCTGTCAACGATCCTTCCAGCACAACCAAGAGAAAGTCTGATGGCACTGTTCCTGGCGTCGCTGAGGTGAAGAAAAACCCATCCCTCGCGGTCAACACCACTGCTACATACAGCAACGCAACTGCTGTAGCCGCAGCAACAGAAGAGTATGAAAACTGGCTCGGCATGGATGCCGAAAAGACTCGCCTCTATGCAACCAACGTCTTCAAAGCACACAAGCAAGCCGTGGCTGAAGGCTTCCTCGACTTCTCCGAATCTGGCTATCTTCGCTACAAGATGGGTCAAGACAACAACATTACTGATCAGATCGACTCTGTAGCTGACAACCTTCCCTCATGGCCATACGAGGACGTGTACTTTGAAGCCACCAAATGGCGCACCATCGACCAAGGTCTGAGTCGTCTACCTGCAGCTTTCGGCCCTCAAGTCCTCAACCGCACTCGCTTCCAGACCTCCGTACAAGCAATGACCTGGAACGAGACTTCTGAANAAATGTCCGTCCACTTCCGTCCTGGCAACCCTTTCGATATGGAGACCGAGACCATTGATTTCGACTACACTATCGTGGCAGTGCCATTTTCGAAAGTCAGACTATGGCGTCTTCCCGATTATTCAAGTCTGCTTAGCCGCGCTATTGCACGACTCAACTACTCGCCCGCATGTAAAGTAGCTCTCCACTACAAGACTCGCTTCTGGGAACACTTACCTCGTCCTATTATCGGTGGCTGTGGCTCTGGCGGCGGTATCGCAGGCATCGGCAGTGTCTGCTACCCTAGCTACCAACTCAACAGCAGCGGCCCCGGTGTGATCCTCGCCTCCTACCTCTCAGGCGACATGGCCAAATCCCTCGGCGCCATGACCGAAGAACAACACGTCGCTTACGTCCAACGCGCCATGATTGAAATCCACGGACCCATCGCAGAACAGCAATACACAGGCGCCTATGACAGAAAGTGTTGGGCCAATGACGAATATCAGGCTGGTGCTTGGGCATCTCCCACAGCTCTACAGCAGGATTTATATCTTCCTGCGTACTTCCAGACGGAGAAGCATACGGTGTTTGTGGGTGAGCATACGAGTTATACGCATGCGTGGATTTTCTCGGCGTTGGAGTCGGCGGTTAGGGGAACTACGCAGTTGTTGTTGGATATGGGGTTGGTTGATGAGGCTAAGCAGGTCACTGAGTTTTGGATGGCGAGGTGGATTAGTATGTAAGAAAAGGTCTTGATGATGTTTAATACATAGATGAAATATAATTGTTGCAGTACGGACTTGGATGAAATAGTCTCTATTGCCAATTGCACATGCTTTGCATGAACAATGCTCAATCCGTGCAGCAGAAACGTGCAAAGACCTGCCTGCAAGGATGCAAGTACAATCTAACACTCAACCAATCACTCGAGTCAAAAGATTAGCAAAATCATGAGTAAAAATAACCTCATACAGTCGACTGAGGCCAAGGTATCATATAAAGACACTATTGATGAAAGAACCACCCTTGGTGTAGAAAAAAAAGAAACATTATATTGACAGACCCAAAACACCTTTCACAGCATCAAAAAAAAGCTACGCTTAGAGAGCAGCAAAACCCATGAGGGCAAGAAGACCAAGACCAACACTGATCGACGAAGCAGCACCAGTGTACGAAGCAGGCTTGGAAGTAGTAGCACTAGCAGCACCACCAGCAGCAGAAGAAGTGCCGTTGGTAACGGTAGTGCCGTTAACAGGCTTAGGCACAGCAGTACCAGTAGCAATAGGAGCCACAGGCGTAGCCTTGGAAACTACAGACGAAACAGCGCTGGATACAACAGCAGCAACCGACGACGAGGCAGCAACAGAAGCGCTGGAGACAACAGCAACAGAGGAAGAGCCAGAGGCAGCGCCGGAAGCGGCAGCGGCACCAGCAGCATTGGGGCAGATCTGCAGGGTGGCAGCGGCTGTCTTTTGCTGGTCTTCGGCCGAGCAGGCGGTCTTGGTGCAGGCGGCGATGGAGGAGACGAAGTTTGCGTTGGCGCAGAGGCAGGACACATCAGTGGCCACGCAGCCAGTGGGACCAATGGCGTTCAAGGCGCAANNGTGACCTGTGAAACTGTCTTAGTGGGTATAAAGTGGATGAGGATGACAGAGGATACTTACAGCGCAGCTAGGGAGGAGAGAAGCAAGAGCAGCAGCATCTTGAGCAAGAGCGGGAGCCACCATGGCGGCGGCGGCAAAGGCGACAATGGCAGCGGACTTCATCTTGAAGGATATATATATATATATATATATATGTCGAGAAGAGAGATATCAAAGAGCGAGAGACTTGAGGTGAGATGTTTGATGTCTTGACAAGAGCGACTGTGAGATGGATGAAGGTGATGAGAGAGAAGGATTAAGAGAAACAAACCAGAGTTGAGCTGCGAGGTATTTGAGCAGAGCTGCTCGAGACAGCTCACAGGTACATGCTTTCGAAGGATCACACGGTTCACACCTACTATTGATACCTCTGTCCTGATTTGGGGTGTTGGCGGAGGTACCTGAGCTTAGCGACCTACCGTTTTTACAGTTTGCCTTGTTTCCCCTCAGTTGGGGTCGAAGCAGCCACCGCGGAGCTGAATGGCTCAGCTTGAGTGGGGAATCCATATCAGATAGTCGCCATACATATAACGTCGACTGTGCAGTGCAGTCAATGAATCTCCCTCGAGCACCATGCTCATCAAACGATGCTAGGCGCTCCTGGCAAGTGGCATATCATGTTGCGCATATCATGGCAATTAAGTCCTATACAGGAAAGACAGTTGCGAGGCAGCTCCACCGCCCGGACAAACTTCGGCAGAAGGCGATTAGACTGACGGCAAGGCCTCTTCCAGACGCTCTTACACCGCCACGTGCATTAGAGGCATCGTGAGAAGGTTGCGCTGCGGTCCCGGGTTGCGAATCAGACTGCATCGCGGGTTGCGTTTCACCACACGCGTTGCTCTATCAGAGATCCCATGTCGTCTATTCTTGCAAAGGTTGGCTTATTAGCCACAAGCGCTAGCCTCCTCTCCCCGCAATGTCAGAGTAACATTGCTTCATCCCAATCACTAGTCCGCTTCTTCCACTTATCTCAGTGCAGGTGCCGCGATGCTGCTGCTACCGCCGCTGCTGCTGAGAGGAACGCCAGAAGGCGAGAGAGATATGCTGATGATCCAGAATTCCGCGAAAGGATTTGCGAACAGAACAGAAAGTGTAGATAATCCACTGCTGCTGAGAGAAACGCCATGAACTGCGAGAGATTTGCCAACGATCCAGAATATCGCGAACGAAGGCTGCAAGCCTCGCGTTCATGGAAAAGCAAGAATTCCAGGGCAAATTCCAAGGCAAAGCGATCAGAACACATACAACAGTATCTCAACAACCAAGAGTACCGCGACTCGTCAAAACAACCCGATTAGCACAGCAAGGAAGCTAAACAGAACGAGTATATCAGAATTACACAGAACATTGGCAACTGCAAACAGATTCATCGCCTAAACAATTGCATCTTGCAAACAAGATGGTCAGGTCGACTCATCTGGGAGACCCACGAGCCATTGGTGGCCAAGGACGATGGCGTACCAGGAGTATGCGCTTCCTGTGACAGCGTCTTTACACGCAAGTTCTGGTGGCGCCGGAAGCAGGCTGACGAGAAATCCATTGGCAAGATGGACAAGAAGCCTGGTGAACTGGTTCTCGACTGCCATAGTTGTTTCTGTAACATGGACTGGGAGAAAGCCTTACCTTTGGGCTACAAAGGGTATGTATTTGGCCGTGGAAAAAGTCTCAGGCAGCCAGTTANNGGGGAGAACTATCCTCCATCTTCTCCGCCTTGACCATCGATCGATTCACATCATGCTCGTCCACGATTGTCAACAGTCGATTCGGGAGTTCGGGTTGGGGTTCTCATTGTTGGTCTACGTACTGCGCAGACCTGATTTTCTGTTTGCATATCATTGAGCATATCCTACGACTCGCTCTAGACCAAACTCCATCGAAAACCTATCGCATGTCCTTTTTGTTCTTCCATTCTCTCTCATGTTCCAAATCAAGGCTTGGGGACGTGGAAGGTCTTGCTGATCATGAGGCATCCATGGGCCACAAAGATCAGAGCAGCAGGGTGGAACTCGAGTATCGAGCCCTCGGCAAAGACACCGAAGGGGATTTGGTCGTGGATCCAGCCCTGGCTGACCCAGTAGGAGATGAGTGAGACGATACCCAGGGAGGTGGGGGTAGGGAGGCCTTCAAAGTACTTGGCCTTGCCGTTGGCATCTTTGGGTACGCTGTCGGTGGTGATGTTGAAGCGAGCAAGACGGAGAAGACCACAGAGGGCGAAGGAGGTAAGGAGGAAGTGGTCAAGAGGGGTTCGCATGCCGATTGCGACAGATGCGACAGCGGGAGAGACGCAGAAGGAAATNCTGCATCGTTGGGGTTAGCCAATGGATTGTCAGCCGTGAGAGAATGGAAGTTGTACCAAATCAGCAAGCGAATCGAGCTCCTGACCCATCAGAGAGCTCTTCTTTCTCCAGCGAGCGACCTTGCCATCCATAAAATCGAAGAAGAGACCGAAGGGCATGAAGGCCAGAGCAGCCCAGAGGTTGCCGAGATCATTGGGGTTGCCCATGCAGTAGCGGAGGGAGGACATGACAGAGTTGATACCGCAGAAGCCTNNATGAGGTAGTGTTAGTACTGGATGCTTTCAAGTTTCAGGTTGCACGGAGTGAGTTGTACCATTCAGGAGAGTGATCAGGTCGGCAAGATGCATTGCGCGGACCATGGAGAAGTGACCGGGGTCAGACTCCTCCAGCAGTCGCTTCTGCTTGTCCATGGCTATTTCTCAGTCAGTGTTTGTGCCTATACCGTCGTGTTTGGCAAAGACATACGGNGGACTGGCGGTGACCTCCTTTGCAGCGTCGGTCGACGCGTTTACTCTGCGGGACATGGCGAATTGAGTCTTGGTGTTTCTTGAGAAAGTGTTCAGCTCGAAAACGAAGGTTGCTAGGAGTAGAACAGGTAGTGAGAGGACGAGGTCTTCACGATGCACAAGAGAAAGCAGGTTTAACTCTGACGCGGGCGTTTGCTTGATCTGGCCTGCGTCATTTCGGCAAGCCACAAAAGGGACCATGAGCACAGCCACATCTATCTCTGCCACACATCACACTTCATGGTATAGCTGTCCACCACTCTGTCTCTCGCCATCAAGACTCGCCACGAGTCACGCTTGGCAAAACGTACAGTTGACCCAATCGCATCCTCAGTTTCTTTATCGCCCAACCTCGGATCCTTTCTCATCATCGCGGCCAAGGTAGTCATACACCGCTTGAAAAGACGAACACGAAAGGTATATGGCGCAACTTCAAAACGTCCGTCTGGTCCTAGATTGTACTCGGCAAGCGCATCGTTCCCGTCTGGTAGTGGGAAGAATGCTTTGTATGCCTCGCTATAAGCTCTTACATAGGCCTCCACAAAAGCGCGATGGAATCTTGGGCAGCCCGAGATGCTCAACACACTGAGGACCGTACATGTACTTTACCCATGGACGGGGACGAAAGTAGTACCCCTTGTTGATGCCCGAAGACACTGAGGTCACCCCAATGAGAAAGTTGTTCTACCTTCCAGGCCAGAAACATGCTGAATCTAGACCTGCTCGAGCTGGGGATGCTGCTACCAAGAAGGATTCTCCACGCCCATCCAACGAGGGCATCGGAAAACATGAAAAGACCGCGCCTGTCCTTATCATTGAGAAACCTTCCTCGGCTTTACCTAATAAAGCTGCGACTAATGCGACTCAGCAACCAGCGAGTCCCATACGTACTACCCACGTCACGGCTCAAGCATATACGCTGCCAATGTCAACATGAACAGCTCTTGCTACCCAGGCGACTTTATAGATGCTATTCGATTTTCTACATCTTTTTCGAAGGTGTCAACGAGCACAACGACATTGCAAACGCCGCACTCCACCGGGCAAGTCAATGGGCATCGCTATCTGTTGCTGATAAGAACAGGATCTAGACGGAGTCATGGTTTACTGGTCTTGCTGCCAGAGGCGTACGACTCCGCCTAATTGACTTTGCTGCCATGTCAAACAAGCCTGCCTATGTGCGAAAGCTTCAACACCCTCTTCTTGCATATGGTAAAGAGGTCCGGGGTGAACTACACGACAAGTGCTAAACCGAGAACATCTTCTTTGTCCCGTTTGAGATGGACCTGGCATACACGCAACAGTCAACATTTGACAGACCGCTCGACGTTCTTGGTTGCTCGTATCTAGGAAGTCCTCTTTGCTACACGGGTGTGGCCTTACCGCCTTAAGCTGCGCGTCGAGAACCTCTCCGACGTCACCTTACATTCGCTTCTTCGGTTTGCAAGGATCTCTCTTGACAGTCTACTCTCATTCCTCGTATTGGCAGTGTAATAAAGTGTCTTTACGCCCCATATGCTTCCCCTTCTGTATGTAAGTTAAAGAGGTATACCGGACTTTCGAGGTTGGATATATTCGTCCAGGATGAATGAAGTTGAAATAGTTTTTTTGCTCGTCTTCTCTGTATTCAAAATAGTCCTGTACAGCGTAAAACATGAGATGAACTGCCTCTTTTCGAAACAATGCCTCCTTGTGAACCATTTCCCAAGCCGTCCAAGGCCTCATAACTCCGTGACGCCGCTGCCTGTTTACGCCCACATGCTTTGCATTTTTCTTTGTGTCAAGGCAGCTACGCTTAGTAGCCACCTCTACCACGACCACCACGGCTACCACCACGGCCTCCGAAGCCTCCAGATCCTCCACGGCTCTGGAATCCACCGCGACCACGGTCTCCACCAAATCCACCTCTTGAACCACCACGGCCACCGAAGCTTGAGCCGCCACGGCCTCCGAAACCGCCTCTTGAACCACCACGGCCACCGCGACCACCGCGGTCACCGAATCCACCACGAGCGCCGCCACGGCCTGCGGGCTTCTTGACCTTGGGAGCACCGGGAGCGGGCTTGGGCTTGGGCAAGAATCTAGAGAAAGTGTTAGGTCTGGGTTGCAGCAGCAAGTCTGGCGCGAGGAGGAAAAGTACCTCTCAAGGGGCAGGAGCTTGTCGCCGCCAATGTAGAACTTGTCGCCGTTCTTGAAGGAAGTTGCGACGATGCCCTCCTGGGGCTTGATGGTGAAGTAGACCTGGTTGATGGGGCCGAGGATCTCGTCGACCTTGCCGACGGCAGTCTTGTTCTCAAGGTAGATGGGGGCGTTGAAGTAAGGAATCTTCACGTTGGTCGAGGTGCAAACCATCTCGCCCTCAGAGGCGTGCATGAAAGTGCCCATCTCGTAGACCTGGTCGGGGGACCCTGGGGAGCGAAACCGCCGCGACCTGCGCAAAAACCAGAATATGTCAGTCTTGACTTGTTCTTTGTATCCTCCCAGCATGATAGCATTTCAATGCGCACCTCCACGAGATCCACCGAAACCACCGCCGCCGCGTCCACCTCTGAAGCCACCACCACCGCGGAAAGACATTTTTTTCTGGTCGGAGTTGTCGAGTTTACGAAGCGCTAAAGGACAACCGGTGCGATATTGACCGGATGATTGGGCGAGTAATAGAGAGCCGTCGGCGAAAAGACAGCAATCGAAGAAGTATAAGTTGGCGTTCGTTAGACGACGAGTGACACGGCGCGAGAATTGTGCTGCACTCGATGAAGCTTGAAATTTACGCCAAGGCCCGAATTTTGGAGGGGACGGAAGCTGCCGCGGGCCCAAGTCGCTCCTGCCGCAGGTTGCGCTAGACAGGCAGAGAGATGCGGTGTTCGAACTAGCTGTGACTCTTTCTGTATATGCTGTCTAGCTGTTGTCGTTACAAGAGGCTTCCATTCTCCTCTGCTCCGACTCGCTGTCTCGCTACATCCTATAGGCCCAATACCCACCCGGCCTTCTTCAATCACCACATCACCTCCGCCCGCACTTTTACAGCTTTTTACCCCGCCGCCTGTAATCACTCTCGCACAATGGACGCCGTCAAGGGAGCCGTCGACGGCGTGAAGGATGCCGTCGAGGGTGTCAAGAACATGGCCGTCTCCGAGGCCCAGCAGCAACAATCTCAGCAGAAGAAGCAGCAAAAGAAGGACAAGAAGAAGGGCGCACAGGAAGAGGGTGATGCCCGTCCCCTGGAAATGACCCCTCCCCGTCATACATCGACGACCGCAACAAGATCTTCGACAGAGTCAAGGCCGAGTACGACCAATGGGTTGCCCAACAGCCCCGCGACGACATCAACATCACCATGCCCGATGGCAACGTCCGCGTCGGCAAGGCTTGGGAGACCACTCCTGCTGAGATCACCCGTGGCATCAGCAAGTCGCTGTTTGAGCGTACCGTCATCTCCAAGGTTGACGGGGAGCTGTGGGATCTGGATCGTCCTCTGGAGAAGAGCTGCAAGCTGGAATTGCTCGACTTTGAACACCCCGAGGGAAAGAAGGTCTTCTGGCACTCGAGCGCTCACGTCTTGGGTGAGGCTTGTGAGAGAAGATTCGGCTGCAGCTTGTGCATTGGTCCCCCTGTCGACGATGGTTTCTACTACGAGATGGCTCTCCCCAACCAGGAGCCTGTCCTGGAGTCGGACTGGAAGCCCCTGGAGAAGGTTGCCGAGAAGGCCATCAAGGAGAAGCAGACCTTTGAGCGTCTTACTCTGAAGAAGGAGGATTTGCTTGAGATGTTCAAGTACAACAAATACAAGCAGCATATTATCCAGGACAAGATCCCCGATGGCACCAGCACCACCGTCTACCGTTGCGGTCCCTTGATCGATCTGTGCAGAGGCCCTCACATTCCTCACACTGGTAGAATCAAGGCTTTCCAGATCATGAAGGTACATCGTCTCACGTGCCATTATTTTTGAGACACAAACTGACGTCGCAACAGANACTCTGCCTCTTACTTCCTCGGTGATGCCAAGAACGACTCTCTCCAGCGTATCTACGGTGTCTCCTTCCCCGACAAGGCCATGATGGTCGAGCACAAGAAGTACCTCGAGGAGGCTGCCAAGCGCGATCACCGCAAGATTGGTAAGGAGCAAGAGCTCTTCTTCTTCCACGACATGTCTCCCGGCTCCTGCTTCTTCCTCNCCCACGGTATGATCATCTACAACGCCCTTCAGAGCTTCCTCCGCAACGAATACTGGAGCCGTGGTTACCAAGAAGTCATGTCCCCCAACATGTACAACTCTGCCCTCTGGAAGCAGTCTGGTCACTGGCAACATTACAAGGATGACATGTTCACCTTTGAGGTTGAGAAGGATCAGTGGGCCTTGAAACCTATGAACTGCCCTGGTCACTGTCTGCTCTTTTCCCACCGCGAGCGCAGTTACAGAGAATTGCCCATGAGAATTGCCGACTTTGGTGTTCTCCACCGTAACGAGGCTTCTGGTGCTCTCACCGGTCTCACCAGAGTTCGTCGCTTCCAGCAGGATGACACCCACATTTTCTGTACCGAGGATCAGGTCGAGTCTGAGATTCTTGGTCTCTTCGACTTCCTCCGCACTGTCTATGGCAAGTTCGGTTTCACCTTCAAGATGAAGCTTTCTACCCGTCCCGAGGGCCATCTTGGTGATGTCGCTACCTGGGACAAGGCTGAGGCCCAACTTACCAAGGCTCTCGATCAGTTCGTTGCCGGTGGTGGTTCTCAGTGGGAGCTCAACCCTGGTGATGGTGCCTTCTACGGCCCCAAGATTGATATCACCATCTCAGACGCTCTCAAGCGTGAGTTCCAGTGCGCCACCATCCAGCTCGACTTCCAGCTTCCTCAGCAATTCAACCTTGAGTACCGCAGTGCCGAGGCTGGTGAGGCCAAGGCCAAGGGTGAGGAGGTCAAGGAGGCCCCTGTCCTCGAGCAGAAGCCTACCGAGGATGCTCCTGCTGCCGAGGGCGAGAAGGGTGAGAAGAGCGCAGCCAGCTACCGTCGTGAGTTGACTCCTGGCTGCCAGCGCCCTGTCATGATTCACCGTGCTATCTACGGCTCGTTCGAGCGTTTCATCGCCATTCTCACCGAGCACTTTGCCGGCAAGTGGCCATTCTGGCTCTCTCCCCGCCAGATTCTCATTGTCCCCGTCATGCCCGCCGTCAACGACTACGTCGAGGAGCTGCAGGCCCTGTTCCGCGGCAAGGGTATGCACGCCGACATCGACATCACCGGCAACACCATGCAAAAGAAGATCCGTACCGGCCAACTCGCCCAATACAACTTCATCTTCGTCGTCGGTGCCCAAGAGAAGGAGTCTCGCACCGTCAACATCAGAAATAGAGATGACCCCGAGACCCAGAAGTTGGGTGAGCTCATTCCTCTCGATGTTGCCGTCCAGAAGATGGAGGCACTGAGAGACGAGAGAAAGCTGAAGACTGAGCTGTAAAGGGGTAGTTGACGAAAGATATATGGCGTTGGCACGGACACAAAAAGGATACCATCGCTGAGACGATTGTTTGGAGCGTTGTTGTATCTATGATTGGTAGGTAGATTTACTATCAGACACACATATTTTTTCACTTTGCCGGTCTTTTGGTGTCTTTGTTCGTGGTAAACATCCGATCAGTCTTACTCGAACTGATTGCAAGTTCCTGACCATGATACAATGACTGACTATTCTGTGGCTAATGATGGGTCGGCACTGTGAAAGGAATTGGAGAGTAGTCTTCCCGAAGCTACTGGCAGTTCCAGCGTTGGCTATCGGGAGGTACCAGATCTCAGGGGTGAAATTTCGAGCATGACCTCTTCCCAGATGTGACTTTCAGATCTCGAAAGTATCACTGAAGCCTCAGCGCTGTCTCGAAGCTGAACGCACCTTCCCTCACTCGCCACTGACCGAAGCTACGACGCAGCGTTTCCATCGCCGTCACATGCATGTCTCGACACTCTGCAAACGGAAAGTCCAACACGGCGTCTTCCGCGTTCCTTTCTCAGCTGTTGTTTATAAACCTCCCAGACCAACTTCTCACCGTCAAAAAAAACATCCACATCCTCTCATCAAGCATTCAAGCCAATCAACCTCAAGCCTTACCATCAACATCAATCTTCACTACTCGTCTACCATCAACAACCCACCCACCGCCAACATGAGCACCGACTTCGGCCGCAAGGTTCGTCTCTGCATCCATTGATCCATCATGCACATGACTGACATTCATCCAGGATCTCTCTGACAAGGTCGATCTCTTCTACCTTCACTACGCATGCACAACACTGACATATCATCAGGTCCAGGAGAAGATGACCCCTCAGTCTGCCAAGGGTCCTCTCGACACCACCAAGGAGCATGCCACTGGCACTGCCGATCACGTCGCCAGGTTTGTCATTCATCATGCTTCATCATCGCAACACTTCTGACATCCATCACNNAGAGACCTCAAGACCGATGATCACAAGTCCACTGGCCAGTCCGTCCACGACAAGGTCTCTCGCATGACCAGCTCCGACACCACCAGCTCCGACACCACCAGCTCCAGCGCTACCAACTCCAACATCACTGGCGCCAACACCACCACCGGTGACCACAAGTCTGTCGTCGACAAGGTCAAGGATGCCATTCCCGGCCTCCACTCTGACAAGCGCTCGGATGCTACTGAGGTCATGGAACCCAACACCTCCACTACCACTTCCGACTATGTCAACAAGAACCTCTGAGTTCATGACTCTGACCTTGCTGATCTGCAATGGTTGGTACTCTGATGGAACAGTCCTACGAAGCAATGATCCTTTGATGGCATGATGATACGATATTGGCGGATACCCCTTTTGCTGCTTTATGCACTGCACCTGAGACAGGAACGACATACCTTTGAACATCGCTTCCATCTTTTTGTCTTTGTGACTTTTGTCTCTTATGTCATTGTGGCTTATCTTGTGTGCCTCTGCGATTTACTAATCGATGTCGTCCCTGAGTAAGCTCGAGCCGAATTGCTGCCTAAACTAGAAACCTGAGCAAATCAAAGTCCAAATGAAGGCTGTCAACAATGTGACTATATACTCAGCCAAATCAGAGCAGTGAATGTATTCAGTGGGGAGGAATCTCACCCTGTAAGAGACCTAGGAAGAACGACGATAGGCTGGACACGACGAGGGCTAAGGGTCGGCTCACAGAAGCAGCCATTTCTTTTTGCACTGTTCCATCTTCGACAAATTGTACAATCCTGCATCTTGCGATGGAACTAGAAGTTGCAAATCTTCTCGACGCCTGATAACGTAACTCAGTTACTGAGACGGCGAAATGTGACATAGACAGAAATCACCAAAGCGCTATGCAAAATCACCAAAGAAGTATTAACGTCTAAGGATATACCGTTTTCATAAAACCTCTTGAGAGGCATTCAAGACTGCCATTGTTAGATCCAGGTCTGCTGAGAGATCTTAATGGTAAAAGGGTTAGAAGAAAACTGCATTATATTAATTGTCAAAGTCTCTCAGCTTAAAGCATCCAGTAAGATGTAAGATTGCAAGAGTCGAGAAAAAGTAGTCTATGGATGCCCAAGAAAAAAAAAACTCTTTACATGTATTCATGACCGTGGGCTGGGAGACTGACGGGTCCAGCACTAAGACCACAATGACGGATGCCAGGTTCATGTTCTTGTGTGAAGACACCCCACTGCAAAGCGCATGAACTGACGTCTGCTGTATCTTCGTCTGGCATGAGATGACACGCAGCGCTGATGGCTGCTGTGTTGCTTCCAACCAAGATCATGCCTGGCTTGTAGCGGCGAAAGACACCATGCCCAACCAATACCAGAAGCGCAGTGCAGCCAATAATGCTCGTGATGAATATCGCAAGCAAAGAGTAACCGCAGCTGACGACGGAAAAGTCCAGATCCTCGATGCCCTGGAAGTCCAAAACCCTGACACGCACAATGAAGATGCTTTGAGAGATCAACCAGTGCAGAAGGCTCGACAGCGCCATTACCGGTATGCCATAGCGATATGGTAGCTGTAGACGATATGTTGACCGCTGTTGACCTGTGGGACTGCTAACTCTGAGAAACTTGCGTTGATATGCGAACTGACTCCATTCCAGTGCCATTACCATAGAGCTGAAGACCGAGTCGTATATAAAACAGAGAAAGGTGACAACTAGCTGCGGGGTTTGCTGGTAATACTGTACCCAGCAGATCGTAATACGATCCATAACCAGAATTCATAATTGTGTAGAGTGTAAGGCCTAGATTGACAGATCCAGATCCAGTCCGGAAGGCATTAGCGAAATCTTGATAATAAGTCGAATCACGATAAGATCTCTCGCCCATAACAAGCAGGACACATGCGATAAAGAGAGTAGCGATTGATCTGTTGAAAGTCAGTCCAGTGTTGCAGCTTGTCCGATGATCATCAATGTAACATACAATGAGAGACAAACAACGCATTGCGTAGTGCTGGCTGCAGCAAACCACGGCTTTCTTTTCGACCTCCACTTGCATTCTCCCTTACAGATGTCGTTTTCTTTCGAAATTTTGCTGCGTGCAAACAGCAAGCTTTGACTGTTGTTCAATCAGGTCGGCCAAGGAAGGAGGCAATGCAGTCTCCAAGAACAACCATCGGTTCGTCATCCAAGACAAGCAGGGTCCATAGAACTCAACATAGCTTAACGGCAACAAGCCCGATCATGGTCGCCCAGATGGTGATACTAGCCTGCACAGTGCATTTCTCGTTCGTCTTCTGGCTCAGACAATACTCCACCAAGAAATTGCCCCCTTTGAAATTCTCAACTTCGCGAGAGTCATTCTATGTCATCCACCTGAACTGTGTGTCGATGCTGAACTCATCCGAATGCTCGATCATTGTAGAGCACTGTATGGCATGGTCACCTGTGAAACTCGAGTCTTGGCACAACCATCTATAGGGGGAATGTAATCACTGTAGCCGTACTCGTATTCGCCAGACCAAGCATTGAGAAAGCTGTTGTTGAATCAACTGGGAAAGTCCTTGTTGTCGCGATTCGTAACCAATATGACATATGCTCTGTTGGCCAGAAATGGTTTGGCATAAGCCTCAACACACTCTTGACTTTCCAGGCGATCCAAGTCAACTCTGCCTGCTTGAACCTCGGCCATCCAAGCCAGGGCACTTTTAAGGCGTCCTGCGAGTCACGCCACAAAGCCGTGCGCGATCTCGAACAGAATGATTCCTCTAAACGCCGAAGGATTCTGGACGTGCAGTTGATGGGAGTTTGCGCCTGCAAAACATCCTCCGGTATATGTTTGCATGGTTCCCATGCTTACTTTGGTTTCATGACATACCTTTTTCTTGAACAGAAAAGCAGACATGCATTTCCTTTCCATTAACACGCTACTCATTTCTTCGTTGTTCTTGCATCGCATCGCGGCAGCACCGATCGAGATCCATCAAGAAGACTCCTCAATTCACCGACCGTAAGCAAGGCTCGAGATTATCCACTCACCACTTTGGAGTCCTTGAGGATGTTGGAACTGACAGCACTTGAACAGTCACTGGAGCGGCAACACACTCGTCATCCCAGGAGGTCAAGTCCACGGCATCGACTATTACCTGCATGAAGGCGAGCATGCGAAACGCAGCAATGGAGGCGATCAGATTGCTGAGTGGCTCAAGATGACGTTGAGAGATAACCCTGATATTCAATTGAGTCCCATGTATGCTGGAACAGAATTTGCGAAGTACGTTGAGGTGTTGCGCGAGGAGGTCAAGAAGGAGAAGGAGATGGAGGTACAAGGGCAGCAGGTGGTTGAATAGGTAGAGGTGTTTGGGAAGGTGGGGTGGTGCCGCACAGCTGCTGTAAAGCTCGGCTCCGAAACTCCGAAGACCTGACTACCTATAAAGATAGCTGACATCTTTTGCTTTGACTGCTATACACGTCAAGTCAAGAAAACATCATCTGCCCACCTTCAATGATGGCAAAACCAGTTAAAGCAATGTTCACTCCGGGAAAATCCCTCATCACGCTCGTCAATATAGTAACACTCTTCGGACCCTTCCTAGCAGATTGGAAGTACGTCTTTCACTCCTTCCCTCCCAAACACAACACTATCTTTATTCAGAAGTGCTAATGCTGCTTGCTTCTTTGTATGTNNAGTGAGACACACATCTACAACCCCACCTGGCCGCCCCATGCCCGCTACCATAACGGCCAAACCATGTCCATGGGCCTCTTCATCGGACTAGCAACATTCTACATCCTTTTAATCCTCCTCNCCTCTACTCCCTCCCCCTCAACCCAGAAACTGCACCTTAATTGGGTTTTGGCATTGCAAACTTTGATCTATGCAAGCAGTTTGTCAGGGATCCTGTACCCCGGAGCCGCATGGATGGATCCAGAGTTTGGAGAGGGAAAGCCGCAGTTGTATGGATTTCCTGTGTTAATGGGTTTGTGTTGGGTGGGATGGTGGGTTGAGAGGGAAAGGCTTGGGAGAGTTGAAGTGGGTAAAAATGAGTGATGGGAGGTGTTTAGTGCGCGTGTGACGAAAGCAACCTTGAAACCTGGAGGCAAACTTGATCCACGCCAGACCTGGAAGCACAAGACGGATGGCAAAGTATGATGACAGCAGATCACAGAGGAATATATTGGGTACAAGGAAGGATTAGTGAGTATGATGAAGATGCCAATTTCTCCATTTACAATGCAAAGTCACAACTAGTACAGAAGGAGACACTTATCAAGGACAATGAGAAGCATGAATGATGAAGATGTATTAAGCATTATTACAAAGGAGCCTAGAAGTAAGCAGAGTCGCGCCTTCTCAAACAAAAGAGAGAAAGCTACAGTTGTTAGCGGACCAGCGCTGTCACTCTGCACTTACCATGTCTAAAAGATAGTCGAGATGACCAAATCAAGCGATGCCATGCAGTCGTCCTCAAAATAAACCTCTTTGACACCAGAAACAGCAGACCCACCAAGGAAAGACGAGATATAGTTTGCGCGCAGGATATCCTGAGCCTCAGCAATATCAGCACTCTCCGTGATACCAGAATACTCATCAACATTAAAAGAAACAGGAGAAGTAGCATCACCAGAGAGATATGAAGAGACAAAGGAGTGCTCATACAAAGAAAGTACATCATCAACTTCTCCGAAAGGATCAGAAGCATCAAAAGCAGTAGGATTGTGATTGCGGTTGTCCCAGTCATAGTGTGCAGTCTCATCATCATCGTCGTCATCGTCGTCAAAGGAGCACAAGTCGTGGGGTGCAGAAACAGGGTAACGGATCCAAGCAAAAGGGTCTTCAAACACCGAAGTGCCAAAGATGGCCAAGTACTCAGCAGCAGTTTGTAGTGTAATCTCAGTCCAAAAGACATCACGAACGTCGATCTCACAAGGGCGTGATAAAGAAGAAGAAGTAGGCGAGATCGAGGGCGAGTAAGGAGGTGAAGGACAAGGGAAGCTAAACTCAGGAATGTGGACACCAGAAAAGCCGCTAAAAGAATGAACACTCAAAGTAGGAGAAGGCAATGGCGAGACATCAGGGATATTCTCCCACCAAGGCTTGTTTTCAGCAAGAGACAAAGAACCAGCTCTGCTCTTCACTTCCTCAGTAACAGTCTCAAAAGTGTAGATGCGTCCAGTAAAGCGAAAAGAGTCGGGAGAAATCAACGAAGGAGAAGTTGTAGGCGTGCTACCCCAAGAGAACTTGGAGGTAAGCAGAGGGGATCTCTTGGAGCGACGAGGAATAGGCCTTGGAGGGAGGCGTGGAAGAACAGGAGAGCGAATGGCCTTCTCGCCATTGGGGAGGGTTGTGGGACTGACTGGTTCATCGTTGACTATGACAGCAAGATTGCTGAAGGGGTAAGAGCTATCGCTGCGCCAGTGAGGTACAAAGACGGAGAAGTCAGCAGGGACGGAAGGAATGATGCAGAGGTTCCAGATGTAAGCAGTAATCAATGGGGTAGCAGGGGAAGGAAAGTCACCAGGTGTCAGCTCAGCAATAGAGAGAGTAGGAGATGGAGGAAGTGTACTGCAGTCGCTTGTTGAGCTCCAGGGGTCGAACGCAAAAGGCGATACAGGACTCAGAGGCCAATCTTCAGCAGCAATGAGTAGAGGAGAAACAGGGCTAGAAAGATTGAGTGCAGCTGTGAAAGACAGAGCTGGCGAAAGAGGGCTAGGTGGAGAGTCAACGCCGATACGGTTGTGGAATGAAGGAGAAAGGGGGCTGACAGGTGAACTAGATGAGATGTTGCGTCCAGCGCAGAGACGGCAGTAACAACTAGTGTGAATCCACATGTTGCTGTTTTCGAAGGAGGAAAATTGTTCTGTCCTATTAGTTGATTTGAGGTTTTTTTTTCCTGTTCTCTTGGTCCCAGACTATTGATCTGGGAGTTGCAAGTAGAAGAAAAGGCAAAAGACAATGGATCGGAAGGTGTTTAAGTATTGGATCTGCTAGATAGAAGTAGACAAGGAAAAAATGCTTGCATAAAGGATGGTGCAAAGATATGGGGGAAGTCAAAGAACAGAAGAGCAGAAGACGACAAAGAACAAAGAAGAGTCGACGGATTACAATGGCATTCATGAATGAAAATGTTTTGGACAAAGAACTCGATCGACTCATGGTGATTGGCTTTTTGTTAAGTGGATATAGCGAGCCGTCAGTGTTGCGAGCTAGCGCAAGTTATCCAGAAGAAACTGCGGATAGCTTGTGTCGCCGCATTCGTGGAGAGTAGGACATCTTGCCTTTACAACGATATACTACTAGTTGCTAAGGCCTGGGACGATGACTGCTTTGAGGCATGAGTTTGAAGTTATCCTGATCTCAGGCCTTCAGGTATCAGATCATCGATATCATTACGTGTCAACCTCTAGCTCATCTGCTGCCCTATTCAAGCATGGACCTTGTTTTGCAAATCAATACCACAGAGCCTTGTTCCAGAACAGAGACCTTGCATCGTCGAGATCGTCGCCAGCAACAAGACGGAAAGTGTCTGGACCCAACGTACTATTGACAACCAATTGCACACCACTGCTATTAGCAGACGCATACGGCTGCCATGTAATCTTGTCTTTCGGCCACAGAGTGTTTGGGTTTCCGGTCATGACAAACGACATGAGATATTTCTGTAGCGTTTGTGCAATTGTGGCGTTGATGTTTTTGCTCCGTTGTAGAAGTAATACGCTGTGTCCATGCCGTGTGTCGACGGCGGGATCTGCATATATCCGTTCCAGGTAGCGTTGCCTAGTGCATGTGTCAATGCAATATCCTTGGCCGTATGATGGAAAGACTGATAGATATCTGCGAATCGTAGCCCTTCACTGCTGTATGATGATGAGGGGTATAGAGTTAGGACTTGCTGGACAGCATCTGCAGATATGCCAGGAAAGAAGAGCTGGAGTTTGTCGATAACATCGGCCTCGGTGTAAACGCCGGGATATGGACTTCCGTTTGACTCGTGTTGCTGGTGAGTGATGACCACAGGACCGGAGAAGTTGAACTGGTTCTGATAAAGTGCGGTCTCCCAAGTGTCAGGCATGAAATCTCCGTCTGTTCGGGGCTGCATGACGTATCCATATTGTGAAACCAGAGAGTTCGAAGCGGAACCGAGTGAGGAGAAGCTGACTTGTCTCATACACGATAGGTCGGTTCCTTGACATCCAACAGCAGATGTCAGGTTTTGCCAGAAAGCCTCTGCTTGGTGATGCCCTGCACCGGGATTGAGACCAGGACTCATAATGTATGCGCGATCATACAGCTGATCAGCATGACCGGCGTATCGCTATTGGAAGTGTCAGCCCAGGAAGCTTGTTTCTGTGTTTGGTTTGTTTGACTTACGGTCATCTGTGACAAGATCTGAGAACTACCAGATGACATGCCAGCAGCAGTGACTTGGTTAGGATCACCACCAAAGGCACTGATATATTTCTTGGTCCATCGGAAGGCGTGTTCGACATCACGAACGGCCGCATTTGTCGAACCACCAATGTGGGTGAAAGTAGGACCATTGGCCAGACCGATGACTCCAAGACGATGATTGCAGCTAACAAAAACAAATTCAGTCGTCAAGTTGAATAGACCTTCAGGGGTGTTGCTCAGTTTGCCGCCTCCATTGTACCCTCCTCCCCAATACCAGTGCATGACCGGGAACTTCTTGTTGGAACCATCGAAAGCTTCGGCGGGAGCGTACACGTCACAAAATAAACAGTCCTCGGCGTTGTTGCAGGCTACATTAGAAGCAGCTTGGTTTCCAGTGTTGACGGTCTGTTCAACAGGTGGCCAAGTGGGTGCAGAGAAACGTCCATTGCCATTAATAGGAGCAGCATATCGGATGTTTTGGAATTTGTAGTAGCCGACTTTGGCGTTACCAGATACAGGAACTACTGTCGAGTAATCTAGCTTGACGGTGGGTGTTGCTACTACAGAAGGTCCTGTAGAGGTGCTTGATTGTCTGGCCGTAGTACTGACAAATGTGCTTGATGATTTAGCAATGCTTGATGTTTTGGCTGTGCTTGATGTCTTGAAAGTGCTCGAAGATCTGGCGCTGCTGGATGACTTGACAATGCTGGATGGCTTGATACTACTGGATGACTTGATGCTGCTTGACGGCTTGACGCTGCTCGAAGATTTGGCGCTGCTCGAAGATTTGGCGCTGCTTGATGGCTTGACGCTGCTTGATGGCTTGACGCTGCTCGACGATTTGGCGCTGCTCGACAATTTGGCGCTACTTGATGAATTGATGGTGCTTGACGGTCTGACACTGCTCGATGACCTGGCGGTGGTGTGCACCGAGTTGCTTGACGACCTGACGGTTGTATGGAGAGAAGTCTTCGCGGAGGTCTTGACGATGGCAGATGTAGTATGTCCGGTGGTTGTGTGCGAGGATGAGAGTGAAGTCCCGGCTGCTGTAGACGCAACGGCAAGACTAACCGTGAGGAGGATAGAGGTTACTTTGACCATACTGATGGTTGATCCGTGATTTCGTCGATATGTTTTACTCGACGACACGGAGAAGAAGTTCCTTAACACAGGACATTGCCTCTTTTATTTTTGGTCTTCGGGGCCATGGCCGATGATTATAGAAACCTCCTGTTCGATTCCATAGCCAGAGAATTCGTGCTCTAGATGCAAAAAGGGTTCAACGTTTTCGCCGTTCATAGATGCAATCTCTTGTCTTAGATCTCCTGAACAAGATCTGTGGTATAGAGAATCTGCCTAATATGTAGGCCGTTGGATGAGAAGCACAACGGCTCAGCTGTACCTTGTATAAAGGTCGGTGTTTGGAACAAGGAGGCGAAGAACGGTGTTCAACGGCCAGCTGAGGTCCAAGGGGTTTCGGCATGAGGTCCGATATCTGACCATCGATAATTCTGGCCGTCGGTGCATAGCCGAGAGACTGAGGGTTAAGGAGGTGAGAGGCATGAAAAACGCATAAGTAGCTGCATGTTGACCGTCGTTCTCGGCTTCATTCATCGTTTCGTTCTTCGCGCAGTCTACTGAGGTCTTTACTCTCTGTGTCAGCTAGACAGGAGGTTTCATTCCGATTCTGTTTTGCCGTCATGCCAAAGACGTCGAGTCCACAAAGAATTACTGCGGTTCTCAAGGTCACTAAGTCACAACACTTACTTGCGACATCTGTTGACACGAACATCTGTCAAACATGTTGTCCCACGAGAGATATTGAGTTCAGGTTTCCAGAGAAAACCGCGTTCAGTGATTCTGGTGTAGATGAATGTTGGTAGAGTGAGATGAAGTTCCATCCCCGAACATGGTTGAACAGTAGGCCGTGTTGCAATACGCGATGAGAGCCAAGACGATTGAGTAACCAAGAACAAATCCAACGACTATCGCAATGTCGACTCATGGCAATACCGATACTGCGTGGGCATCTCGAGATGGCTGTGTTGATGCTGTCATGAATTGGAGCTAGTGTTTGAGAAAGCACAGCGGAATTCAGGCGGCTTGGAAGGACCCGAAGTCAGGCCTGGGTTGTGTCTTTGTGCGCCGAATGGGACAATGAAGGACAAAGACAAGGCTGAGTCTTGTGGCAATGCACAGAAAGCAGCCAAAACGATGATGCCAAGATTTGTAGTTGCCCCTGAACAGTATAGAAGGTTTGGCAGGAGAAGGGAGGGCTTGGTGGGGGTTGAAATGAAGACACGCGTCGGGCGGAAGTACGGCTTGAGGATACTGCAAGAAGTGATAAAGATACAAGGTCTCGAGAAGCAGAAAGGCGAGCAGTGTCACAGTTGTTGGAAGTCAGAGGATTGTTCAACAAAGAAAGCAGGAAATTGGCCGTTTGAGATCCCCCGCCGAGATGCTTTTGGGCGGTCGACAACAAACGGCGGCCGCGTGGGGACTTTGTATGGTACGGAACAACTTGACCTACCCTAACTATTTTCTGCTTCTCTTTCCGCGATGCATGCTGCCAGTTCGACATCTTCACTGCTAGTAGTGCGACCGCAGAGACAGCTTAACCGAGGCTGAGACTTGTGGCCTCTATACAGATCATCGTCCGGATTACTACTACGAGACCCATTCGCATCAGCATCAACACCAAGGAGCGATGGCGTACCACTCACAGCACGCAAGCGCGACGTTCGTGCCAGGCGGTATGGATGACTACTACATGCCTAACAGTCCAGTCTCAGTCGTCGCACCCGCTCCCCAACGGTATGACACCCTGCCTCCTGCATGTCCTGCCGCAGCCTCTCCTGATAACAAGCCACNNAGACACATGCCCGAGATGAGCGACCAGATCCAAGAAGGAATCGCAAACATGCAGCTGTCCGTCACAGCACAACACGAGGCCGCTGCCTTTCCCCAGGTGCCCTACCGCGGTCGCCATATCCCACAGACCGATGCCGAGTTCGAGTCTGTTCTGGAAGCTGCAAGAGTTACCGTCTTGAATTCAAATGACCCGGATATGCAGTTGGCATGGGCCCAGGATGCCTTGCAATATGTCACCATCTGTCTGGAGAACGAGGAGCGACTACAGCAGACACAGCCCCCGCGTCAACACCAACCCCAAGTCGAACACCAGATCATGGTCGATGCCATTAACATTGTCACCTTCCTCGCCGACCAACATCATCCCAAGGCAGAGTTCATGCGCGGCATGTGGAACGAGTTTGGTCGCTTTGGTTGTCCTCATGACAAGCGCGAAGCCTTCCGGTGTTATGCCAGAGCCGCCGATAGGGGTTACGCCCGCGCCTGCTACCGTCTCGGAATGCTGTACGAGAACGCGAACGACGAAGAAAGAGCTTTGGACAATTACAGGCGCGGCGTTGCTGCTCAGGACAGCGCTTCTCTGTACCGTCTGGGTATGATCACTCTACGAGGACAATACGGCCAGTTTAAAGACTTTGCTACCGGTCTAGACCTGATTAGACGATCTGCCGACTCGATAGACGAGAACGCACCTCAGGGAGCCTATGTTTATGGCATGCTTCTTGCTCGCCAACTACCTCAGATCAAGCTCCCCGAAGGTCTTTTGCCCTATGACGAACAAGAAGCCAAACACTACATCGAAAACTCGGCCTTCTGCAGATTCTCTAAAGCTCAGCTCAAGATGGCATCCGCCTATGAACTGGCTTCCCTTGGATGTGAATTCGACCCTGCTCTTTCTTTGCACTACAACCGCCTCGCTGCAAAGCAAGGAGAGCCCGAAGCCGACATGGCCATCAGCAAGTGGTTCCTTGTTGGTCATGAGGGTCTTTTCCCCAAGCACGAGGAGCTGTCTTATATCTACGCCAACAGAGCCGCCCATGCTGGTCTGTCGACTGCTGAATTTGCCATGGGCTACTTCAACGAGCTTGGTATTCACACTCCCAAGAACATTGATCTCGCTCTGCAATGGTACAACAAGGCTGCTGCAAATGGAAACAAGGATGCTCAGGGTCGTATCGATAGTATCGCTCACCGCCACATCCTGTCCAAGAACGATCACGAGAATGTTGCTTTAAACCGCATCAAGTCACAACACGGTTCCATGCGCGGACAACGTCCTCCGAGGTTCCAAGCTCAAGTCCCACGTATCGAATCAATCTCTGAAAACCCGGTCTCTCCTCACCCAAGGCGTCTGTCATCTCTCGGTCCTCCTACTTCCAGCACTCCTGCACCGTATCCTCTGGATGACCGACCTCCAACTGTTCCTCCTCCAAGATCCACCTCTACTGCGCCTTACCCTATGGACGACGTAACTCCAAGACCAAGTCCTGCACCTGGCCCCATGGGTGGGTTCTTGAATACTCGCCCTGCAACTACTACTCCAATGGGCAACCGTCAACGTGCCCAATCCGCTCTGCCACGTCCCGAGTCTGCCTCCGCAGCCCCTCAAGGGATGCGTCCCATGCCCGGCAGCGTAAGACCATCTGGTCAACGTATAGCCTCCGGACCCGTTTCTGGACCTCACCCTCCGCCAGGAAGCTCCCCTCGCGTCAGTGCTACCTCCCAACTGCCGCCCGTAAACTCCCGCCTCGACATTGGCTACACTGCACCACCAGACACACGCCCTCCTCCCAGTGTGGTCTACACCGCGCCACAAAACCCTGTATCTGGCAGACACTCCGCACGTCCACAGGCATCCACCAGCAACCCTAATCTCGCACGCCCACCTAGAGTAGATTCTGCTTCGTCGTCGAGACCAAGCCTGGGACCTTCAGCGGATAGCAGTAGCAGTCTCGCAACCCCTCCGCCCGCCTCAACAACGCCTAAACCTGCAACACCTGCCAAACCAGCAAAGGCCGGACCCAAGACTTTTGAGGAGATGGGTGTGCCCAAGCACAAGCAAGATCAAGAGTGTATTATGATGTAGATTTGATTTCTCTCTGATTCTTAGTTTCTACAAATCCCCTTTTTGTTTTCCCGTCCCGGATACATGAGGTGCGGATCAAGGGATTGCTTTCTCTCTTTTTGTTTTTGCATAGCGTCAAGGGTACTTTTTGTTGATTTACCCACGTCTCGCCCTTCGTCACCTCATACATTGAACGACTTTTAATATGAAGATTTCTTTTTCCTACCAGCTGGATTCTTTCCATTTCCTTTTTCCTTTCAGGACGTTCTGTTTGCGCTTGCAATCCTCTGTATAATCATCGGTTGCAACCTATTGAAAATTTGGGAACGTATAAGGTGAAACTCCGATTTTCAGATGAGGAACACTTGCATTATATGAGTATGTTGATATATCTACAATACGGATCTGAGCATTCAAGTCTCTAGGCCGTCTTCTCAATCCCAGCAGCTTGCTCTGCTGTAGCATCTGCCTCGTTTTCTTCCTCGGCCTCTTCCTCTTCTCTGTCTTCAAGATGCTCGACATGATCATTTTCCTCATCAGCATTTCCCTCTGCATCTTCATCTCCCTCTACACCCTCACCCCCATACCCCTTCAACTGTCCTCCCTTCCTCTTGGGAATAACCTTCATAAACGCCTCGCCCCAATCCCCACATTCAAGCCACTTGAGCATAATCTCGTGCACATGGTTTGTAGTCAACACTTTTCTGCTTGCCATGGCTAGATAGTCGCCAATAGGCAGTCTAGCGGTTTTTACACCTGCGGCAGCGGCGCGGGCGGCGCAAATGCCTTTTTCGCGGTTCTTGTCTACGAGGCCGCCGATTATGTAGGTGGAGAAGGGCTTTAGTTCGGTGAGGGTGTAGTCGCTGTCGGCGGAGAGGTAGATTGTTTCGGCTTGGGCGTGGAGGATTTCTAGGTCTGCTGGCGGTAATGAGGTGGGTTTGACATAGATGGGATGTTTGGGCTTGGGTTGTGCGGGCTTGGTTTCTGTAGTTTCCTCGGTGTTGGTATCCTCAGTTTTTGCTTCGGCGACTTCTTCGAGAATGGTGATGGCTTGGGGGTTGCTGATGTCTTGTTGCTCCTCGTCGATAGTGGAATTGACAGGAGCGTATTTCTCAAACACGCCGCCGAGTTTGCCTCCTCTCTTGTCATCGGCCATCCACTCCTTTGCCTTTTCACTTGCGACCACAAAGTCTTCATCCAANAACCTGACGCCCTTCCAACTCTGATAGCTTTTGTTGAGGATGCCGTCAAATCTTTCCCTCAATTTTCCATTGAAGCTGCACACGGCAAGATGAGCTCTAAACGCGGCATTCTTGTTGTCGGAATAACACCTCGTCAACTGGCCGCCCAAAGAGATACGCTCATTGTCCCTCATCAAGTTGTCAAAGTCACAGTCGATGAGCAGAGTAATGGGAAGCATGGTGGGTTTGACCCANTTGCTTCTGCTTTTCCTTCCAAGCATCAGGGTTGGTGCGTTTTTCCTCGCGCTTGCGCTCTTTCTTTGCTTGATTCTTTTCCTTGCGCCAGATTTTGCGGTCTTCCTTTTTGGCGTCCCATTCCGCTTGTTTGCGCAGTTTCTTTTGCATGGACTTGGAGAGGGGTAGGTTGGTGGGGTCAGTGGAGGTTGTAGTGGATGCTGTTGTGGGTGGGTTGGTGGCATTTTCTTGGAGAGCGGTGGCAGTGTCGGCGGAGGGGTTGCGGTTGTTGTGCCAGCGGAGGGGTTTGACGGTGTGGGTATGGTGGACTCGGGGGCATCAGCTAGGGGAGCGGTGGTGGGTGGTTGTGGTGGTGCGGTACCAGCAGCATCTTGCATGTGGGCATCCGTGTCCACGTTGAGCGAAGAGGCTGTAGTCTCAGGCAGCGCATCGCGGTCATGGTGGCTGCTGAGTTTGCGGATCTTTGCTGGTCGCTCGTCTGATTCCATGATTTGTCCAGTTGCGCAATGAGAGACACAGATGACGGTTGCTCGATGATGGCGGGGGAAAAAGTTGCCAGCGACTGCAGGTGTTCGAGTCATGCTTGTACCTCTCTCCGAGTCAAGCGCCAAGGCCTCACATCCACCTCTCATCGCAGCCACTCAAGGTCAGCACACGCTCGCATCACTAGCAGTCTATACCGCTTCCCACCACTAATTGCGCCTGCAATCACCTCTCGATCAATCTCCCGCCCTCTCTATTCGCCTCCACGACAAACACTCGCCCACTATGCCTCAAGATATGCCGCCCACCGGCGGCTACGAGCCCGTCCAATACAAGCGCAACCTGCCCGCCCGCGGTTTCCGTCCTGCCACCTACCTGCTCATGGTCGGCGCCATCTGCTCCTACGGCTTCTGGCGCGTGGGTCAAGGTATCCGCGAACAGAAGTATGCTTTTATCCTCGACCTTGAACACCACCATCCTCAATCGCCAGAGAATCCAATTGTTGCGCGTAAAAGAGCTGGGAGAGACACTTGAAAAAGGCAAACAGAAAGAGCAAAGAAAATACACAGAAAGAATTGGCCCTAGCAAGAAACCCACCGAATGGTTTGCTAACACGCTCTTTCCTCCAGCGAACTCGCTCGCGAAAAGATGTGGTCCCGCATCCATCTGATCCCCATGCTGCAAGCAGAAGAAGACCGCGACCAGGTCCGTCGCCACTTTGCCGACAAGGCCCGCGAGCGCGAGCTGTTGGGTGCCGAGACCAAGGTTTACCACAGTGATCGGTATGTTCACCTTTTACCATTCTCAATCCAAAGAACAGGGCTGATATATTGTAGCTTTGTTCGCCCGACATTCGCCGTCACCCCCAACGAGGTCACAAAGTAGAATTGGTGATTTGCGACTGAGAGAGATGTGGAAGTCAAGAAGGAAGGTGAAGGTTTCTGATACCTTGGACGTCAAGCAGAGGAGGTTTAAGACGTGTGCAATCGACCTTTCCATGATCCTTTGATGAAAAGAGGTTATGGAAAAAAGACTTATAAGCCGTTAGGAGCGGCTCTCCCTGACATTTTCACTCACAAGGGGTATTTCTGATAACAATGTGTATACAAATGAGTGCTTCTTTTTGCTTTCTTTGGTTCAATTTCCGTCGAGTACTGTAGCATATCCCTGCTAACGAGCCACGAACCAGGCTTTCCCATGCAGTCCTTGAATGGAAAAAGGTGTTTATAAGTATACTAAAGACGCACGCCTTGCCAGCCATACCCCAAAAGGCGCCCTAATTGCTCTCTCACGCATTCCTAGCTCCAAAATTTCTAGGCAAGTGTCTGACCCTCCACTCCTTTTCTCCCAGACCCAATCCCGTCTCCGTCGCATCCCTTTGAGCAACATAAGGCCTACTAGTCTTATCCTTCAAAAGACTAAACACTTCTTGCCTCTTCACCCTCTGTGCCTCTCCACTATAAGTGTCCTCCAAGAACAACCAGGAAGGAGAGTCAAACTTGCCTCTAACCAACACAGTCTTGCTGCCTTGAAGAGTTTTAATCTGTTTCGCCGACATAGGAGTGATAAGCTGTAACTCCTGTTTCGCAACATTGATGCCGCGGACGATAGCTAATCCTTTGCAGCACGAGAAGCGTGGGTCAAGGGGTTGGATCAGCCCACTGTTGTCGGCGCGAAGATAGGGTAGTCCTTCTGGGGTTCTGCCAATTCGTTCTGTCATTGTTTCTCCCATTTCTGCTGCTGAGGCGGAAGGGACGTGNGGNGGTCTGTATTGGACTGTGGCATATGCTTCGTCAGACTCGACTTCACAGATTGCGACCATCATGCCATCCATGATTGATGCCAANAAGTCTGGATTGACTGCTTCACCGTAGGACATTATTGACGAGATGCCGGCGTTGGGGCCGTTGTATTTGACGTGCCAAGGGTGGATTTGGGAGAGTGTGTCGTTTGTCCATTGTGAGAGTGCTTTGCTTGGGGGTAGAGAGTGGAAGTAGGACATTGCTTGCATGGCGCGCAGCTCGGCACTCGTGCGAGATTGAGCAGGCTTGTATCGGGGTGGAATCATCAAGACTTTGGCCATTGGTAGTGTGGCTTCGATGGATGCAACGGTATCTCTCTCCATGGGCTCCATAAGCACGACATCTGTCAAAGGAAATTGCTGGACCAGTTCCATCATGGCAGAGACCGCGGATCCAAGTACCCAGCCAGAGCAGTTGAGGATCAAAGGTGCTCCAGCAAAGTCTTCCAAGGCACGGAAGTACTCGTCACGCAGATCCATTGCACAAGCCAGAAAGTGTATAACGTCGTCCCTAGGCGAATTGGCAGCGATTGTATGCGATCGGATTGTTCTGTGAGCCGAACTAACATGACCAGATGGATGCGTGTAGTTGGGCCCAAGAACAGGTGATCGAATCTGAACCAGAGACATCTGACCAGGCGCTGAGTATTCAGGCTGTCCCGGATCAAGATCCAGCCAAAAGCATGACGTGGATGCTGTCGCCTTCGAGGCAGTCAAGAAAGTATTGATGATCCATTTGCATATAGTCGACTTGCCAGAGCCTTTGGGACCAGAAACCATGATTACTGAACTTGGATGCGTTGCAGTTTCTCTGCTCAAAACCCTGTTCAGAGTGATCTGACAATCTTGCTCCACCTCGAGCGCCGTAACGGCACGTTTCAAGGGGTCGTCAGAAGAGCTTCGAAGCAACGCAAAAGACCTTGTCTCTGGCTCTACTTGATGTGTGTCCTTTGGAGTCTGCGCATGCCAGAGTTTTGTCCACAAAGGAGAAACCTTGCTCAAAAGGCCCAGCGAGCGGGTGACTGAGATGATATCAACTTCAGCAGAACCGCCTCTTGCGATGATGACTGGCAATGCATGGGTGGTTGGTGCATATACGCGGTGTTTCTTTGGACCAGACCTCAGTACAGCGCCGTAAATCATAACATAGCCAGATTTGACGCGCAAGTCGTATTCTCCAACAAAGGTAGCAGTCTCTCCATCTCCAAGTCCTAGACTGAGCATCTCAGGCGTGTCTGAAATAACACATTGTGAGTCTGGTGGTAGATTCGAGAGCTTGCACGGTTGGTCGGTTTTGTATGCATTTCCATTGTAGGGGCGAGAATAATTGCCATCACAGTCGGTATCATCTCGTTCATCGTCGCTAGACGCATGGCTGTCAAGCTCTTGAGCTTTTGACAAGGGAAAACTCGACAAGAAGGTGGAAAGCTGTGGATCTTCAGCATTAGCACCGCCATTGGTACGCGGGACTCCGGCAACGTCTGCAGCAGCAATCACGCTCGCTTCTGATGGTTCATCAGAAGGTATTTGACTTGCTGCTGCCTTGGCTTTAGCTGCAGCGAATGCACTCAAGCGAGCTGATTGATTTGTCAGTATAGCCATAATGAATATAAGCGCTACAGGGCATTCAGACTTACGCTGTGTGGTGGTTGCAGGAAAAGCTTCCTGAGCTTTTCTTTTTGCTGCTGCATGGTCATTCTTTTGCAGAACAAAAGTCTATTCTCTTTCCGGATTGGTTGCTGGGTCGATTCTTTTGAATCCAGCAATCTGGTTGGCGATGTGAGGTTCTAGACCTGGATACTTTCTTATCAAGACGCCTTCCTCAGTATTTCAGGAGGAGAATGATTGAATCTCGGTGATATAAAAAAGTCAAGGATGTGGTTGGCTCTTGCCAAATTGGGGATTTTGCGATGGAGAAGAGAGCGGAGAAGAAGAGCTTGGCGGTTGCGAAGCTTTGATCAACCGCCAAAAATTATCTCGACATGGTCTTTTTCTTTTGCATACCATTCACATCAAGAGACTCGGAAGAGTCGGCTGCAAACGACATTCGCATAGACTTCACCAACATTACCAACCTCAATACCATATTCGATATCCACATCATCACCCCCTACCAACCTCGTATGCTTGGTTAGCATTGACAACCACCACTATCATTCAAAATGCCCAAGGTCAAGGAGACGAAGGTCGCCCTGAAGGGTCAGGCTGCTCTGAATGCTCCCAAGATGTCCGAGACATTACGCAAGGCTCCTCCACACTCCGAAGAAGTACATAACGTCAGCGACAGCGATGGATCCAACAGCGACAGCAGTAGTGGTCACAGCAGCGGAAGCGAGAGCGATGCAGAGAAGCGCAAGAACACCAAGAAGCCCAAGCCAAGCAAGGTCAAAGAAACGGAACCCAACAGCCCTCCGATCCCCGATGACAGCAGCGACGAGGACCCAGACTCCGACGCCGACTCGGACGCTGCCGTCGCAAAGGCAAACGCACAGAAGAGCGCTGCAAAGAAGGCCCCTGCTGCAGTGACGGCCAATGGTGCGGCACTAAAGACGTCCAAGGCGACCAAGTCATCAAAGAGCTCGGAGAAGGTTTCGGAATCAGACGACAGCAGTGACGAGGAAGAGAGCGATAGTGATGTCGAGATGGCCGAGGCTGAGAAGCCTGCTGCGCCCGCTAGAGTTGCTGGTCAAGCTGCCGCTTCCGAGACAACAGCAGCAGCTGTCGTTCCTCCCCAGCCTTTTGTTCCTCCGCCAGGTTACAAGGCACTCAACACAAAGTCTGCCCTTGCAAAGACAGTCAACTCCNTCTTCGACCCTTCCACCATCTCCTCGAAACAGGTCTGGCACATCACCGCACCTTCATCTGTCCCGCTATCTCAAATCAAGTCCGTGTCGCTCTCCGCCATTCAATCCCACCAAACCATTCTTTCGCACGACGGAACCGACTACAATTTGGCCGAGGAACCCACCAACAACGCTCGCGTTTTGCTACCCTCATCAAAGTCGGACGCATATACCGCCCTCGAGGTCCCCGTTTCAAAGACCCTTCACCTGCAACAAACTATCCGCCTCCCCAACCTGTCCGCCTACCAGACCGACCCCAACACCGGCTCAAATGCCGCAGCAAGCCTCAGAACTCCTACCATCAGTGCACCCCGTCCTCAGCCCAAAGGCATGAGAATGCGATACAAGCCTCCAGGTTTCGGTGACGAGGACCCTGGCCTTATTGGTTCCTCGGAGGACGAAAGCGACGCCAACGCCAAACAAGTCGAGAAATCCGCAAAGGAGGCCCGCAGCAAGCGCAAGCGCGACGAGAAGGAGGCAGAAACGCCTAAAGAGAAGAAAAGGTTCAGAAAAGCAGCAGAGGCAGCCGAGAAGTTGGCTGAGGGCACCCGGGATGAGGCTCCTGAGACAGCGGAGGAAAAGGCCAGAAAGAAGGCTGAAAAGAAGGACAAGAAGAAGAAGGACAAGAAATAGATGTGTTCACTGCATATACCATGCGCGGAGTTCTCTGACAATATTACTGGGATGATGGCGTTCTTTCTTGTATGTACGGCATATCAAAAGTGGGAAGCATTCATCTCCTTTAATTTTCTATTCTGATTCGACCATATCTGCACGTTATCCACCACCCAAGTCTTTTGATCCGAGTCGTTATTTATGGTTGTCCTTAAATTTAACAGAAGATTCAATATGCGATGCGTTCCACCTAGCTTTGCACGTCAATTTTTTTGCTTTGAATCCAAGAGGCTGAGTTTTATTCTGAGAGTAATGTTGCACTCTCTTTAAACACATGCCGAATGGTATGTAAATCAAAGTGTTCCTCTCAAAAGTTGAGAATGTGGTAACCCTGATTAGGAAGTTGCACAGCCACACCAAGCCCCAGCCACGTTTCCTGTCGCGTGCGAATGATGAACGTATGATGCGCGACACTTGGTAGAGTATTGACAATTTACTTTCTCTTTCCACGAAACAATTTCGACATATGATTTGACATGTCCGATGAGGCGAGCCATGTTGCCGTAGCAGGCGAGGCTGCGCCGAACGAAACCTCAGCCCCGCCGCAGACAACATCTCAAGACGTCAAAGGCAAGGAACATGAACAGGACGTGATGGAGAACTCACAAGAGATTCGACCGCCGCTGCCCCCAAGACCAACAAATCTTGATTTACTGGATGAACGGGGTTCTGGCGGCTCTGTCAGGTTGCCGAAGCGGATGGCCTCGCGACCAAATCTGCAAGCACGGCCAACTACCGCGGTTTCCCTGACAGATGTACACACGTCAAACAATCCACAAGACCATGGTTCGCCAACTCTTGCTCCTTCCAGCCGGCCTGTATCCAGAAAACAGAGTACGGCCACCATGGACCGGTTTCGAAGTCGCGTGGGCAGTGACGCAGCTGAAACAAGCAGTGTCCGCAGCTTCACCAATACTCTAGGGACAGGCGCCGAAATGGAAAGTCTTCTCGGTGACCCCTTTCCTACCAGTCCTGCTTGGAAATCGCTGAGTGCGCAGCTCGAAAAGGAAAACCCAATGGATCACGTTTTCGATGAGGATGATATTTTCAGCCTTCGCATGCATCATGAGTTCGACGAGTTGGAGGAGTTTAGAGCCAATGGCACGAATGAGGAGTTTTTGATGAACTCGTGGACTGCGAAACTCAAGCATTTCTTCATTCTTTCGTCGGCGGGAAAGCCTATCTGGAGTAGGCACGGAGACGATCAGGTTATCGCCAACCACATTGGAATACTGCAGACTCTCATCTCGTTCTATCAGGATGTGGACGACAATCTACGAGGCTTCACTGCTGGAAACGCGAGATTTGTGATTTTATCCAAGGGTCACCTGAACCTGGCGGCCATCAGCAGACTCGGCGAGAGTGATCTGCAGCTTAAGACGCAGTTAGAATCTCTGTACATGCAGATCCTCTCGACGTTGACTTTACCGAGTATGCAACGCATGTTCTCCAATCGGCCTTCCACAGACTTAAGACGACCATTACAGGGCACAGAAGTATTGCTCGGAGCCCTGGCCGATGGGTTCACAAGAGGCTCTCTACCAACCCTTCTCTCAGCGCTAGAATGCTTGAAGATAAGGAAAGCTCATCGCCAAGTCATCAACAATACTCTTCTCAAAGTCAAATCGCCAAATCTACTCTACGGTCTTATGGTAGCAGGTGGACGTCTAGTCAGTGTAGTACGACCACGAAAACACTCTCTTCACCCAGGCGACCTCCAACTCATATTCAACATGCTGTTCGAAGCCGGCAGCGTCAAAGCCGGCGGTGGCGAGAACTGGATTCCGCTGTGTCTGCCTGGCTTCAACAATACTGGCTTCTTATACATGTATGTCAGTTTCCTAGACATTGGTGCAGACCACGCAAAAGTGTCGGAAGAGAGACCACAACCTTCGACTTCTCCTCGTGATGACGATCAATTGGCTATTATCCTCATCAGCGCGGATAAAGAGGCCTTTNACGAATTACGCCAGATGCGTGACGACTTGATAGATGTAAGATTTCCCCACTACCTTGAAGCTACACACACACGGAATACTGACTTTCCCGTCAAACACNAGCAACTCAATCAAAACGGCAGCATGGCCATCCTCAGCACCTCCATCCGCCGCGGCCGCCCTACCATCTCCTCCATCCTCCCATCCTCCCCCCNNCTCCTCCACTTCATCTACAAATCCCGCCCGAACGTCCAATTCCTAACCCCCTCTTTCCATCCCCATTTCTCTTCTCTTGTCCCTCACCGCCGCTTAGTTTCCCTCTACTCTGCTTTGCACACTGCTGTTCACAATAAAACTGCTCATCTTAAGGTGCACTATGCTTGTGCTAGAGATGCGGTTGCGTTGGGGTGGGAGACGAAGGATTATGAGTTTTATGGGGTTGCGGGAGCTGGAGCAAGTAGAGAGGCTGTGGCGAAAGCGGCGCAAGAGGTCATTAAGTGGGTGAGAAGGGAAGAGGAGAGGGTGTTTATTATCGGTGGTGCTGTGTTTTAGCCAGTGACCAAATTCTAGCTATCGCAACTTTGTTCCTGGTATACTGTATTAATCTGTCCTGCGTGTGCACGGGCTGTCGAGCATTCGGTATTGCTAAAGAGACATCTATAAATTATGCAGAGGCGGTGGTCCGATATTCTGTTCCACAGGGGTTAGAGAGAAGACACAAAACACGGAATTGGGAGGGGAACAAGGATCTGCATACACAAAAGATGGCAAGCGTGGAATCAAGGTTCGAGTCTTCTATGGTAAAGCTCTTCTATACGCCAATCCAAAATGATATCTGATGGAAAAAACGTTCATTGTTCTTTTCCGTCATTGTACGTTTCTGGTCTGTCTTTGGAGTACTTTTGTGTGTCGTCTATGCCACTGTGCCCACAAATGTCGTGAGTGTCGGGTCTATCTGCGGTCTGGTATCACAGACCCCCATTGAGATGGATGGAGCGTGGTTCTGCTGAATCTAGGGACGAGGATCGTGAAGACTATACAACGTGATAATGGGTACAATGTCGAGTCTCGCAACATTGCAAAAGCCGCAAAAGTGTGTTGACAATCAGGTGTCGCGATGGTCTGCTTGAATGACTGGGGCTTCGAGATCTTTGTATGTGGAAGTGTGATTCCGGGCTTTTCAAGGCACTGTGCCGGTAGTATCGTGATGCTCCAACCAAGCGACGCGCATGACATCGTACAGGAAGAGGAACTGAGCTTCACTCTGAACCATCATCATACGCTGCGTCCTCATGGCATTGACGGTGTCCAGAATGGGGTCAATGTCATCAGGAACCGAGTCGAGATTGCCATGTTCCAGGTGAGCGAGCAAGAAGTCCAGAGCAATGAAAGTGCCTGATCTACCAACACCAGCAGAGCAGTGGATGATGCGTGGACTAGGCGTGTATTGTGAAGATGGCTTTTGTGCAGTGTCGAGAGGGAAGGTGCCTCTTGGGACACCAGGCGGGAGGTTGAAGGTTGCGGACTTTTCGATGAGGTTAAGCATGGCTTTGCGGTTTTCGCCCTCCGGGACCGAGAAATCTGGCCAGCCGGCAAAGAGCAAGTGATATACTTCCTTCTCGTGCCATTGATCATCTTGGCCTTCTTCAGTTGGTGTCTTGTAGCGCAGGCGCAAGTGGCGGGTGGTGCAGCGGCATGCGGGGTCCTCTTCAGCCGCCAGAAGTTCGACTCTGCCCTCGAAACCTNNGAGAGTAAGATATTAGGATAATTCTCAAATGCTGTTCCCGACAGTAAACTTACCATCGTTGAGGTCAGGATCTGGATGAAGTTCGAGAGGCGTGTCTTGACCGTCAGGGAAGTACTTGAAGCACTTTTCGCGACCAGCCTCGTGGGTTTGGGTGAGCATGACGACAACGGAAGGATTCTTGTCAGTCGCCTCCTGGGCAAGCATGCGGTAGAACTGCGAAGTCGAAGTGTTCTTGGGACCTTGGGTTGCAATGTAGCGGCGCGGGCCCAGTATGATGGGAGAAGCGTTGATGTAGTCGTTGAAGCCTTCTCGGACGTTCAACTTGACGCGGTTGTTCGCAAAGGGCTCAACGTTGATGTAGCGATTGCGAGAGGCGATATGGTCGCCAGTCAAGCGTGTCCATTCCGACTCTTTCTCTGGGTTCTCGAACTGTTCGGTCAGGCGGTCACGCTGTAGGTTTTCGATGTAGTGGAACTTGTTGACGAGGGCTGAGCGGTCCTGACGAAGGAACTGAGGTAGCGAAGAAGGCATGTCAGGCAACGACTGATTGGAAGTGGAGCGAGTAGCCATGGCTCGTCTGATGCCGGCGGATCGTCGTTCGAGAAACTTTTGGTGCTTATCAAGTAGGCGGATGCGCCGGGGCGACGTATGGTGAGCCAACTTGGCGGAGGATTGCGTGAGTTATATGGTCAAGTTCGCGAGTGAAAGCCGGATAGAATGAGCTAGAAGCGAGGCTGAAAAAATAGTATACAGAGTTGTATGAGTGAAATTGAGATGAGATAGTGTCGTCTAGAGATATTCGAGGCTGAAAGTGTGAAACATGACATGGCCATGATCGCCTGCCCCTCGGTCGACGGTTCCTTGTCCGAAACCGTTTCGGAATCTGATATGCCTTCGGAACATAAGACACTTGTCTGTATACAACAAGTCTTGCGTGAGTTTCGAGAGAGAAAGACGTCTCAACTATGATTTTGTAGTTTCCTCGAATTTCTCGTGTTCTCATAGCTCCATATGGGCAGGTGCATGCTGCAGAGTCTCGTTTGGGGAGCCTCGGTTGCACCTTCCCGGGCCAACTTCTCTTCGAAAGTCCATTATCTCCGTAGGCGTCATCCAAGTACGCACTTTCCTTCTTTGACAACCAGACAAGAAGTTTTGTTTCTGTCCACGAGCACTTGCACCATACTCGACCAAGTTTTCAATATGAGGGGTCCTTGGTTAGCAATCGTAGAGGCAAGTCTCTCCGCTGTGTGATAACCTGCGTCGCCACCCAGTCGCTAACTTAAGTACAGGCATGGCTAGTCAAGCAAGTATGCGCCCTTCACGAACAACGATTAAATATACACTGACGCCCTTCTTCTCAGCTACTAGAGAGCCAGACATTCCACCGAGGCGTCCGCAGGGTCCACAAGAGCATATATCGCCTACGCCATGGCCCTTTGGAAGGAGATGAAGGAGGCACAAACCTCGAGAGTCCGTCCTTCCCTCACCCGTCTCGTATACCTGTCGTCACCTGCTGATATCTACCAGGACAAGGTCCAGGCTTTGGATCGCACTTCTGGGACGAAATCCAATCACAAGTCGGTCGCAAGAAGGTCGAAAGCAATCCGCTGGAAAAGTCCGACCCGATACGCACTACACAAGCACAACAGCCCACGCCAAACCAAACTGCACAAGAGCGCAATACTCGGCCAAAAGCAGACCTCCCACCTGAACCACCCAAAGAAGGCTTCCTGTCCCACTTCATGGACGAACTACGCTCGCAATCCCGTGGCCGCGACAAGAACCCTTGAGCTCGTTTTACGCCACTTATAAAATCTCGACTGCTCCAAGGCCTTTGATATACAAGCCTTCAGCCGCTGCTCCGCTGCTGTCGCTTCGATATCTGCGTATTTACCCTGATAACGCGAGCATAACATGCCATACATCAAGAGCTGTCTACTCAAAGGATTACACACTTACTCGGACACTGTTCCATCACGACGCTACGACTAAATCACGTCAGTGGGAGTTCACACACAGAATACTGCCTCTAGCCAAATTCCCGAACCACCCAACAGCAATGCACCAGCTTGCTTTTCCAAAGTGTAGCACGCTCATACTCGATCTCAAATCGGTCCTTGGATATCTCATCGAGCATCCTACCGATTCATCCTGACTTTCTACTGCGACCATGTGCATAAACGAGTCTCACCCTAGATAGAATGCTGATCAGTTCATACCTGCACATTGTATCATCCACCCCACCTCAAATCTACGTCATGCTTACAGAATGGTTGTGATGTGTACTTTATCGACCACTTCACCTCGAATACATGTCCTTAGTCTCTTGAAGAACACATCACATACAACATAGAACAGGAATTCTTCGTTCATCATGCCTAACGCGATTGTTACAGGAGCCACTGGTAAGCCGCGATATCATACGAGTCAAGGAACCGACTAGTCACAACCAGGCATTCTCGGCCGCGAGATTGTCTTTGAACTGGCCAAAAATACCAAGACATGTCCGATAGTATATGCTCTATCCCGTAGCAAGAAAGAAAACTACCCACCAAATGTCAAGCACACCCACCTGGACCTCTAAGGCAATCCCGAGGACATGGCCAAGGAGATCGAACACATTGATGCCGATTACGTCTTCTTCACAGCTTACCTCGCTCAAGACGACGAAGACGACGCAACAAAAGTCAACGGCGACATGCTTCAAAACTTCATCACTGCTCTCAAGCTCACCGGCACGGCAAAGAAGATCAAACGCTTCCTCCTAACAACTGGTTGCAAACAATACGGTGTCCACTTTGGCGCTCCCAAGAACCCAATGTGCGAATCTGATCACTGGCTCAAGAATCCTGACTATCCCTCAAACTTCTACTACCGCCAACAAGAAATCCTCAAAAAGGAAGCAGAAGAAAATCACTGGGAATGGACAGTCACCTACCCCAACGATGTCATCGGCGTAGCAAAAGGCAACTTCATGAATCTAGTATCGGCAATAGGCATCTATGCTTCCATTTGCAAGGAACTGAATCAACCGCTTATCTGGCCAGGCTCCCCTTATTTCTACACAAGATTCGACAGTTTTACTTCTTCAACTCTGCATGCACAGTTCAACGCCTAGGCAGCTTTTGCATCACGAGCAGCAAGCAACGCATTCAATGTCGTCAACGGCGACGTCGAATCCTGGCAAAACCTCTGGCCCAGATTAGCTGCCAAGTTCAATTGCCGTATCCCTGACAAAATGTTTGATGACAAAGATTTTGAACCCGACTTTGGCGAGAATAAATTAGTCATGCCTTTGCATCCCACCCCTCCAATCTCCGAGTCTGCTGCCGAGTCCGGTCTCGTTGACTCCGCTTATACTCAGCAATCTCTTGTGCACGGCAAAATCGACCTTTCCAGATGGGCAAAGAAGTCAGAAGTCAAGGAAGCCTGGCAGCGACTCGCAACTCGTGAAAGATTGGACACATCAGCATTTGACAATGCAACATGAGGATTTTTGAACTTTGTGTTGGGCAGGAATTTTGACTTGGTGGTCAGTATGAGTAGAGCTAGAAAAGCTGGGTGGAGTGGCTATTAAGATACTTGGGAGAGTATTGAGNGGGTGTTGGAGAGGTTGGTGGGGGAGAAAGTTGTGCCTGGGTTTTCTGCTTGAGCGGGAAAGGATATATGATAGTCATGCAGTGGGTTCTTGGTATGGATCGTGGGTGATGCAATGACCAAGTGTATGATTTCAGTCCTTCTGAAGCCGGGGTTTTGGACGAGAGAAAATGGCAACATGATGCTTTTTATGACTGAGGGATATGCTGTAGAGTCGCTTCTCCCTCCCTCCTTCAAACCCCTTTGTCTCAGAAACACATACAGTAATGAATTCCTGTCCTTGCTTTTCTCCCTCTGCCTCTCCTTCTGCCCCTCCTCCAATCCCACCCACGACTCCCTCATCCAACACCATATTCTGAGACGCCTGCCCTACCTCCATTACACACCCCTCAGACCAAGCAGAATCAGCAGGATCCATAGGTGGTGGTCGAGGTGGAATAGCAAAACCTCGTTTTTCCGGTTGCAGAGCCCGATTTTGCACCAGAAGCGGTCGAGGAGCATGGGTTTGCCATGGTGTTTGGAAGAGATTTGCTGTGGTGGTGGCCCACTGTTGTTGTTTTGTTTTCGGCCGAGAAGATGGGGTAAAACGAACTGGAAAAAGACAGTTTCTGGGGGAAAAGAGAAAGGTTTGTCGAGTGTATGGTGAGGTGCTATGTTGTTTTTTTGCTTCTGGTGAGGTGGAAACAGGGAAGTAGAGGATAGAGATTGAAGGAGCAAGGGGAAAAGGTGAAGCAAGAAGCTTTTATGTTTTCGGTCACGGAAAAGAGATCGTATGGTGGAGATGATGGATAAAAGATGATGAGCGTATCTCAGTGGGGCCAGAGGATCTCAAAGTTCTGGATGGAGAAGGGACAGTAATGGAGAGAGATAGGGTAGAAGGATACAAGGCGATATGCCCATTGACTATGCGCATCGGGTCGTGTGTTTCCATGGAAAGCGAATTGATGGCGTGTTGAGTCCTTGTCAAAGTATGGGGATCAGGTTATATTGGAGTCAAACTATCGGCATTCTATCTCACAGAACATGATGGGCCTGAAGGTCAGCATATCGATTCCGATTTGGTGTTATGTGATGCATGAACATAGTAATTAGATTCATAGCAACGAATAGGAAGACCATCATCGGCATGGTGAGCAAACTGAAGATAGTCCTTTAGCCCCAAGAAGGCTGGAGTTTCAAGTCGATGGAGTGAGGTGGTGTGTCTACAAACTCTTCTAGTATGGCCGAAAAAGACGCTCGAGCGTGTAAAAAAAGTATCGGATAGGGAAAGCAGAGCGACGTGGTAGACGAAAGCACAAGAAATTGCTATGAAACCTCGAAAAGACAAGGAGAAATGCATCAATACCTTCTTGTCTTTCATACGATCGAGCAAAAAAGAAACAACACTGACATTAAACGCACGACTATTAATACTCTAATCTCTCCATGATCCTCCGTTAGTTTACCCTACACCTCTTTTCCCCACTGAATGCTCATGTCCTCGTCGCACGAAGCTCCAAGATCACACTCAACTAAACCCCAGTCTCCATAGCCATAGCCACAGCCTTGTCTCCATCTTTGGTCTTGTGATGCTTGCCCTTCTTGCCCTTCTTGCCCTTCTTACCCTCCTTACTGCCACGCTCATCCTCGAAACTATAAGGCTTGTAGTTGGGATTGAACTCCGCACGGCAACTTGTGGTATATCTCGGTTCAGCAATGTTGTGCAAAGGATTCTGCCAGAGATCAATGACCTTGCAGTTGGGATCGTCGGGGTCGTAGTTGGCTTCCCGACGCTCGTGGATGTGTTGGTAGCTTTCAGGAGCTGGGGTGATCCAGCTAGGGAAGGTTTCGGTGCTGGGGGTGTTCATCGCGGTATCGGTGAGGGCGCGAGGGGTGCTGGCAAGAGTGTTTGTGACGGCAATGTCGGTGAAGTGTGGGAAGGTGATGGCGGCGTTAGATTTGATGGAGGTGGCGGGAGTGGGAATCGAGGGTCGCACAGCGTTCCAGTGATTATTTTCGAGAGTAAGGGAACTTTGAGGAGGGCCAATAATAGTTGGGAGGTTGAGGGAGGCAGATTCGATAGTGGGTTCATCGGGGAAAATTCAATGGCGGCACTGGTGGCAGTAGAAGCCAGAAGGAGGATTAAGCAGAGCAAGCTGCTCAGGTCTTTTGGTATTTCGAAGGTAATCATGACGGAAATTTGGAGAAACGCGAGATTGGCGAAGCAAAATGTTAGATATGCTGAGATGATTGGAAAGGAAGCCACGAAACAAAGTGGAAGGAAAGATTATATAGCGATTGTAGTGGAGACAAGGATCTAACAATTGAGTTCGCGAGATGAGGTCGGACCTCAAAGCTTCGGTGATCTCTTGAGGAGACGTCGAAGTCTCGCGCATGTTTCGATATCCAGACTTCATCAAGTCAAGGGACATTTTTGTTCGTCCATAGGTCAGCACACCCAACTCAAAGCAGTCTTAGACCACCATTGAAACGATAATTTGCCCATAAACTCATTCGCAAACGTACGATGTCCAATCATCGACATCTCCTTGCACATATGTCGCTGTTCTGGGCCAAGTGCACAGTTTCCTACTCCTCGTCTCTCCATCAGAGGGATCGGTCGTCAGAACTTCCTCGGGCTTCTCCCCTCTCTCCACCCAATCCATCAACGCAGGGACAGTATGGTACGTTGCAGGCACTTGAGGATAAAAACTCGCGGCCCCACAATGTCCACCACCAGGAACCATAAACACGTTGTAGAAGTCAGAGATGTCGTTGCCAAAGAAAGACTGCACATCTTCATAATGTTGAATCGGCCACGATTGCGCGTTGAGAGGATCCGACCAGCCCTGGTAGACCAGTAACTTGCCACCTCTGTTGCGGAAAGCTGTGAGGTTGGTGCTTATGGCATCGATTTTGGCTCCAGCATTTGCGTCGACATCGGTTACATCAGTTGCCCAGTCGAAAGTAGATGCATTGTAGGTCAAGTTGTCGTAAACCAGATTCTGCAAGATAGGGATGGAGAAAGCGTCGGCGAGGTCACCTTCTTGCAGAATCCACTGAATCTCGGAACCATGAGAAAAACCAGGATAGAGTTGTTCTCCAGTTTCTGGGTTCTTGGGCCCAGCATAGATGGCCTTTGCAGCTGTGATCTGATCTGGAGTAAGACAGGATATGCTGCTGTTGGTACGAGATGTTGCGGTAGCGTTGCAAGCCAAAGAGTCTATGGAGAAATCGCATTCCAGGGGNTTCTCGATAACCCCATCTTTAACACCATCATTGGCATCGCAGGCTTCCAGGACTGCTTGACCAGTGAAGTTCAAGACTGCTTGTGAAAGATAGGATGATGCGTTCACTACTGCGTGTTGTCCATTCCATAGGAATGAAAGTGCTAGATGGGAGTACCAATTACCGGGACACCCGGCGATGATACCATCGAAGAGTTCGGGATGATACTGAGCCAAAGCAAATCCCTGAGCCCCTCCAGTCGAACAACCACTGTAGTAGCTATACGCTGCGGCTTTGTTGTAGTAGGCCTTGATGATGTCTTTCGTAGATGGTACGAAGAGAGAAATCGCATCATGAATCCAGGCTTGTACTTCGTCTGCATTGTGCAGATACTGGAGGTACGTGTCAGGTGCCCCAGAACCTGCATTGTTGAGACTGGCAAGATGGCCAGCATCGCCAGCGGCAGAAACAAAACCAGAGTTGAGTTGTTCCATCAGAGCCACTGTGTCTAGTGCTCCGGCCATACCACCATTTCCAACAGCCATGAAGCGGCCATTATAAGATATGGCATCTGGAAGGTAGACTGAGAAGTGCATAGTTGAGTTGCTACCGTAGGAGACGATGCCATCTACCTCGCAGAAGGCATATTTGTTATAGATATTCTGCGCGCCGCTGGTGACGTTGACCGTCTGAGGTGGATGATGTGTCGTATTCGAGATCGTGGTGTTTTCTGGCAGAGAGAGGTTACTAACGAATGTCGTACAATCGTTGTTCTTGATTGTGAGAAGTGCATTGGAGGTCGACAGAGCTCCAAGAGCGGTAAGGGTAAGAGTGGACCTCATGTTGTAGGGGATGTTGTAAAGACCCAGCTGTTATTCGAGGTATACCCTCAATTTTATATAGACGATCGTCTCGGTCTGTGCAGCCTGCGTCGACTATCGGCGGTCATGGTCCCCGCTTGTGAATTCGTAGCCCTCGTTATAGCCTGTGACAGGCTTGCCGACGATCTGAGGCCATGATAGCCGAGACTTATCCTTACCGAGTGCAAAACTCAGTCACAGTCTACGATTGACCCCTCTCCAACACTAATTCATTGTGTTGTTAAATGCTATGGAGATTCATAGCCGCTCTCTTCGTAGAAGTATGGCCATAGGAATGTCCAAGGAGAACCCTTTCTTCATGGACCTCGATCTTTCATAGAACGTATTGTGCGTTTACATGGCTATACTGTGGCTGTCTTTAGCACAATGGGAGCCACCCACCTGTTTGTCCCGCTGTGGAGTCTCCACACTGCGTCATTCAGTGATCGACAACCACCGTTCGGGGTAGGAGTTTTCGGCGCCGATGCCCCGAAACCTCCCTCTCAAACCAGATGTGTAACACGAACATCCACCCGGCAGGTAAGATCGAACTCGAAGACATTCGGGAGTAGGATGCCGCCGATCGGGAAAGACCGGTCGTTCTCTTTGTAAATATGCGTACCTGTCTCCTGGTTGCTCCTGAGTTCAAAAGAAACGATCATCCGAATTGCGATCGGAAGTCATCATGCCTACAGAAAGGAATCTGAGGATTGGAAATTGCAGTGGTGCAACGGGCGACGCGCCTCATGCCATGGCCCGCATGGTACGAGAAGCTGATGTTGATGTGATTACTGGTGACTGGTGAGTATATGGTCTCAAGGGTATCCTATCTCGCTAATTCAATGCGAAGGNNTTGTCTGAGATGAACATCGCCTGGGAATCAATCAAGAAAGCCGAAGATCCAGAACTTGGCTACGACTTGGGCTTCCTTAGACAACTCACCGAATGTATCGATGATATTGCGGAAAGACAGACTAAGATCATTACTAATGCCGGAGCGATGAATGCTCCAGTGCTGGCTCGTAAGGTCGAGGAACTCTGTCAAAGCCGTGGTCACGATTTGGTAGTAGCGACGATACTTGGCGACGATGTAAGCCATCTCCTGAAGAAGGGCAAGTCTGACTATCGAGTTCTTGACTTTCCTCATCTGGACAATGAGGAACAGTTTCTAGAGAACTGGAATGATGAGCTCGAGCCTACCTGTGCCACTGCATATATAGGAGCTTGGGGCATCGTTGCAGCGCTCAAGGAGGGTGCCGATATCGTCATCTGTGGTCGTGTCACAGATGCATCGCCAGTCATTGGTGCTGCTGCTTGGTGGTATGGCTGGTCTGAGCAAGCCTATGATCAACTCGCCGGAGCACTGGTAGCAGGTCATCTGATCGAATGCGGGCCATACGCCACAGGAGCGAACTTCTCTGGCTTCAAGGAGTTTCTTCCAGAGCTGGTAGACCTGGCTTTCCCGGTAGCAGAAATCATGCCATCTGGGTCATGCTATATCACTAAGCCTGACTCCATGAATGGCGTGGTCAACAAGTTCAACATCACATCTCAGCTGCTGTATGAGCTTCAGGGACAAATGTACCTGAACTCTGATGTAGTAGCGGACATTGCTAGTATTCACATCGAGGATGTTGGTCGGCCAAATTGTGTTTTGGTTTCTGTTTGCAAAGGCTCTCCACCACCTCCAACCACTAAAGTCATGGTCGCAGCACCAGGAGGCTGGCAAGCGGAAACAACGTACTATATCAATGGTCTCGACGTACAAGCCAAAGCACAGATGATGAAGCAACAACTCCAGAAAATATTCAGTGGCAGCCAGTTCTCCAAATTCTCCGTCGAGCTTTATGGCACTCAAGCCGACAATCCATCTTCGCAACAAGCAGGCACCGTAATGCTGCGTGTATTTGCTCAAGCGCGGCACAAAGAAGATATCGCAGCGGAAAAGTTCAAGATACCACTGTATTCGCTACGCATGCAGAGTTATCCAGGCTATCACATGAATCTCGACTTCCGCACCATGGACCCAAAACAGTTCTACGAGATATTCCCAGCGACAATCCCTCAAGCCGCGGTTAATCACGAAGCCATAGTAGCTGGAAAGAGAATCTCAATCGCCCCACCAAAGAAGACACAGCATTACCCTATCCAGAGGTCTTCATCAGAAACGACGGACCCAGTCAATCTTGCTACCTTTGGACTCACTGAGCGTAGACCGCTAGGAAGCATCGTGCACGCGCGCTCCGGCGACAAAGCAAACAACTCCAACGTCGGTTTCTTCGTCCGCCATGCTGACGAGTATTCATGGTTGCAATCTCTGCTTACAGTAGAGAAGTTAAAGGAGTTGCTGCAAGAAGATTATGCTGGACACATGATTGAGCGTTGCGAGTTTCCGAACATCCTTGCGGTGCATTTGTAAGTTTCAGGCTTTGATCACGTTACAGTACTGTTGCTGATGAGACATTCTAGCCGCATTATGGACTTCCTTGATGGCGGTATTGCGTCGAGTGCGCGTATTGATGGATTGGGCAAAGGTGTGGGCGAGTATCTGCGCAGCAAGCATGTGGAAGTTCCGACTATGTTTTTGGAAAGAGGTACGATATGAGATCCCCTTCGAAAGAACATTCAGTAGAAGGTAGAGAACATGTAATCACCATTCTGATTTGCTCGAGACCTTGACACATTATGACAGCCTTTGGTACACGAAGAGATTAAGGTAGGGAGTGGTATTGAACAAGAATCACCGATTGATCATGCGCTTCTTTTGTTTTCAGGATAATGGGTTGAAGCACCCTTAATACCCCGACATTTGATACGGAGGCTCAACAAACTCGCTACCATTTCCCAAGTAACCGAGCCAGTCTTGACTCAACTCCATGATCGGGTCTTCTATCTGCTGCATGTTGTACAGTTGCTGCAGATCGTCAAAACAGTGCAGAAACTCCGTATCGACAGCTAATGGCGAGAAAGTAGTCGTGTCCCGCGACGTCATCAAAGTGTTGTTGAAATTGCTGTTGTTGCTCATGCCAACAGGCTGCGTTACCATAGAATGAGCCATTTGCTGTGCTTGTGCCGTTTGAAGTTTGATCGCATCGCTCAAAATGGCATCTGACAGTCTATCGAATACTTCATGGCAATTCCTGAGCGCGTTCCAACGTTCAGAGACGGCTACAAGCACATTTGAGCATGCTCTAGTGTCATTCACCACTTCGATAGTCGTCGGATCTTTCTGCAAGGATGGCTCGGAAGGGTTGCGCCAGCGCGAGCGGAAGTGACGACCGCAGGCATACACATATGACAGACCAGCAAGGAATACCGACTGCAAAGTGATCCAACTGTAGTTGATCTTTCGGGACTTGTGGAGGCTCGCATAAATTGTGATGCTCTGTTTTGCCGATTCGAAGATGAATTGTAGGGCTTTTGCGTCGTGCGAGACGTCAGGTAGGAGCGGTGAAGGGCGCCAGAGTATAAGCATAGCATTAGAGTATAACAGATCGTACCACTCCATAGACAGGTGACAGGAAGAGGATGTTTGCGGAGTCTGTTCCAGATGCAACTGTTCTACATCTTGTTTCCATTTTTCGAGGTCTGCACAGAGTTCTTGTCTTATTTGCAGAACATGTTGCTCCGAGACATCCGAAGCTTTCTTGCGGTGGAGAGCAGAAACAACCCGGCCGCAAAGTAATCGATAGGATACGATGTGTCTAAAGACAAACGGCATTATATGTCCGTCCGCACTGGGAGATGGGATTATTGTAGAGTCCTCCATCGGACAAACATGGTCAAAGTCGTCGTCTCTTATAGCACAGGGTCGACCAAGTATGAGCGATGTAATTCTGTCCATGCAGAGGACACTCCAGAAAGATCGCCTCTTTGACTCCTGTAGTAGGTAGCGCTTTGCCGTAGCATCGTCGTCTCCAGGTCCGGTCAATTGGTAGGCTGACTCCTTGTGCAATCCCATCTCAAAGCACATCCGAGCGGCAATTCCGACGAGTAACCACATTGACCCCGAGTTGTCTTGAATGGAGCTGCCCGTTCTGTACTGGCAAAGCAGAAGGATAGCATGCAAAGACTGCAACCCGCCAAGGCGTAGAACACCACCAATGTTAGACATTGCTCGAGCATGGTGGCTTTCAGCACTCGGCAATTGCCTCCAGTCGTACTTTGAGACCTGCGCTGTACTAATAGCGAAGAGCATATCAATCACGAAGAGTTCATAGCAGGTCAGACTTGCTATGCCCGAGCCATACAAGCAGTCTAGAATCCTATGAATCTCTAACGGTGTGAGGAAGGGATAGCTTAGGAAGTCATGATCAAGATACGCTTGTATCAGCTTCCGTGCTAGCTTCTTCGGCGGTAGCTCTCGTGGTATGTCAGGACGAATTTCTTCAGAAATTTCTGGTGAGTCCTCGGAATGTATCGTGATTGGTGGCGATGGGTGTCTCGAATGAGGAACGTCGACACTCGCTCTCACCAGATCCGCGAACAGCACACCACTAGTAGAGCCCAGGTATTGTCGTTCCCCAGCAGCACTGGTCGATAGTATAGAGATCTGGGCGGCAACATCACTCCTTCTACTCGTGTTGCTGGCTGCCTGTGGTAGTTGAGACATGTTGCTCGGAACATCATCGTTACTGCTCTGTGGCTCAGCCGATCTGATCCTGGACAGTTCAGCAGCCAAAGATTTGTTTCGGTTCTCCGCTTGAGCAAGACGCCTCTCCAATCGGTCTACGACATCCGGTCGGACTGCTCTCTCCTTGGTCCGGTCGGTATAGCGACATTGTGCCCCACCTTTGCTACAGGATGTGCAGGGTTGGAGTCGGTCGCACTTGCTCTTTCGGCGATAGCACCGATCGCAGTTGGTGGTTTGCATAATGGATGAGGAAGCAGCGTGGACGGGGCTCGGGGCCGTTAAGACAATATGGGCAGGTACGGACGGCCGTGGAGGCCGAAGAATTGGTGGCTTGGGTGGAATACCTACTGGTGTGGGGCTTGAGTCTACGGAGGACTGCCATGCAACGAAGATCCAATCTCAGTGTGCGAAAGACCGTCACACTACAGCTGTAGAAACGCATTGTATCTACCAAGAGAGAGCGGCGTCCATTGAGAGAGCAGTATCTCAGGATATTCCCATGGTCACACTTTTGGCTCGAAAGCAATCGTGCGTTTTCATAACTTATTATCACTACCTATATGTTGCCCTGAGAGAGAGGGCATGTGTTTGGTGGAAACTCCCGACCTGGACGGGCTCCTTAGCCTGGAGAAGTGTGGGGTCACACCTGCCCTCAACTCGGTCTGATCTGCGTCCTGCAGGAGCGGTAGTTGAGGCCGGACTCGGTGATGGGGACCGAAATTGTGTCTCGTTGCTTTTCTCTCTACTCCTCAACATCTCTTCTGGGTGACACGGCATTGATCTATCGCTGGGCTGAGCCTTCTGATATATATCTGAGGATCTTCCCCAGACTTACCCCAGACCACATCCCACAACATCTCCGTCAAGATGACCAACACGGACGAGAAAGATATCGGGCCAGAGTTCGTCAACGATGTCGAGTCCGACAGCTCACGGCAGGCCCATACTGGAGGAGGCAACAACGAAGACAAGAGACTTGTTCGGAAGCAAGATTTGAGGATTCTCCCCATCTCTTGTGGCATATACCTTTTGTGCTACCTCGATCGATCCAATATTGGCAATGCCAAGGTCTTGAATGCTTCTACTCACAACGACTTACTCTCAGAGACTCATATGACGGCTTATCAATATACGATTGCGTTGATGGTCTTCCTTATCGCGTATATGGTCTTTGAAGTACCCTCCAACTACTTTCTCAAACGTCTTAGCCCAAGCAAATGGATTGCCTTCTTGATGCTCTCCTGGTCCGTCATGACTATGGGCCTAGGCGGAGTTCACAACTTTGCAGGAGTAACGGCCTTGAGATTCCTCTTGGGAGTCTTCGAAGCTGGCCTTTTTCCTGGTCTCGTCTACTATCTTAGTAAGTGGTTGATCCATCACTCAATCAACGGGCCTATCCACTAACAATCATCTCAAGCCTTCTGGTATCGTACCGATGAGCGTAGTATCCGTGTTGCCTTTATCTTGGCATCAGCGACTCTAGCAGGAGCTTTCGGAGGAGCCATTGCTTACGGTGTGGGACACATGAACGGCACTGGTGGCCTTTCAGCATTCCGTTGGCTGTTCATCCTTGAAGGCCTACCATCTCTATTGTCTGCACCTCTGGTGTACTTTTTCTTGCCCGATTATCCCGAGACTGTCAAATGGCTTTCCNCCGAGGAGAAAGCTTTTGCAGCAGAAAGGCTCAGATTCGAAGGGTCGCACGGCAACAGCAAGAGTATGTCCTGGGAAGACGCCAAGGTCACTCTTACTGACTGGAGACTCTACGCCCACTACGCCATCTATTTCGGTATCTCGACACCCTTCTCGAGTTTGTCTCTTTTCACCCCTACCATCACTGCTGGTCTGGGTTTCAAGGACCTTACTGCACAGCTCATGACCGTGCCACCTTATGCGGTCGCATATATTGTCACACTCCTGGTATCATGGTCTGCTGACCATTTCGACGCGTAAGTTGAGGAGGCCCGTTGTTTGAAAAAGCAGAAGCTAACATAGAGCAGACGCGCCTTGCATTCCGCCATATTCGCAACTGTGGGAGCAATTGGATTTCTAGCCTCGGCTGTACTGCCACCTGACGCATACAATGCTCGTTATGGCTGTTTGATTGTCGCTGCGGCAGGTTCCTTCTCCTGCATCCCACCTCTCTTGGGCTGGTTGTCTTCCAATCTGCACAGCACGGCAGCAGCTGGATTGGCCATCGCTTTGAACATCTCGTTCGGTGCGCCAGGTCAAATCACAGGAGTTTGGATCTACAAGGCTGAAGAGAAGAAGAAGGGATACCCTACAGGTCATTGGGTCAACGCCGGACTGTTGTTCTTTGTGGCTGTTGGTTGCATCTCTCTGTTGTTCTTCTACAAATTCAAGAACAGAAAGTTGAGAAGAGAAGGAGCGGAAAGGCTGTTCAGATATTGAGCACCTGGAAAAGCCGAGGTATCTTTGTTTAGCATATACCACAAGTTACTGTGAATTGCCTGTTCAGATAAACTTTGTATGTCGTCCCAGATTTTGCCGCCAGGAAATGTCTATCAGCAGCTCAAGTGCTCATGCCAGTACGCATGAACATGTTCGAAGGCAAACCGCGGGCCTCGAACTCTGGGTCCATATCATACACTACCTCCCCNACAGGCTTGAACCCTAACCTCTTGTACACAGATCTACCCATAGCAGATCCTTCGGTCGTCGACTCCAATCCCCCTCTTCTTTTGGCTTCTTCCAATCCCCACTCCACCAACTTGTTGGCAATTCCCCTTCTTTGGAAATCCGGATGCACGACACACATGTCCAGACTGAAGGTTGCAGGTGATGAGGTAGTGGCTTTCTCCTCCAGTGTTCTCACACGGTGACTCATGAAGGATGTAAAGCCTTGACGAAGAAACCTTTGCTCGGTCTCATTGCCTGGATATAGTTCCTCGAGATCAAGTGCTGTATCGACATCAGTCGATTGCTTGTCTCCTATCCCCTCAACCATGGAGAACTGCGCCCAGATGGCTACCCCAGCCATAATGCGCTTCCCTAGGTTGTTGGGGTTCGATACGGTGGCTTTGAGATGCACTGTGTTCGGTTCTCCAGAATTGTTCTTGGTGGTGGATAGCCAGCGTTTGACCATACGATTCGTTCCTGCAGCCGCACCGTCAGGCGTATCCCAACCAGGATTCATGGCTTGCCAGAAAGCATCATTGGTTTGGTGGCCAAAGCATGCTGAGATTACGGCGAAAGCAGTGGTGAAGTCCTGTTCGTTGTCGATGATCTCGATATCCACATCTGATGCTTTTTGTGGTTCTTGATCTGCCATTATAGTTGATGGTCTGATCCTCGAGGTTGCGTTGTCGAAAAAAGAAGCAAGTCGTCAGCAAACATTGTGACACGAGGTGGAAGGTGGGGCTGTGCGTTGTTGCCAGATTTCAAACCACTCTTGGAACTTGGCATCCTTCATCGCAGAACCACATCAATCTTGAATCTCGAAGACTGAATTCTGAAGAGCATACACGTCATGCGAGAACCAGACCATTCACATCGCGCAATGTAATAACAAGCGTCGATACATCGGTCATGTCTGAACCCTGAACATCGCCACAATGTCGTCTATGTACAGTAGCCGCTCGAATCTCAGAATTCATCCCTGTTTCAATACCAGCATAGATCAGGAGATGCTGGAGTCAACATGCATCGAGCTTCCATGTCCCAGAGTATGCTCCAGTCTCTTTTAGAGCTCGGTCGTAAGCACATATGGCCTCGGTATCTCTACTCAGCACCCACTAGATCTACGTCGAAGATCAGAAACCCGCATGATCTTCAGTCTACTGGAAACATCCCCTCTTTCATGCCCTGTTTCGCTTGAACAATCGTGGCTTCTGGCCGAAAGCATGCATATACTTTGGTAATACAAATGTCGACCCAGAGTTTCTGGGTGTTTCCATCCCCGAGCTGCCTGTCTAATCGCATGGGTTTAGCCAAAACCTGATGGAGTACTCCCACATCTGCGATACTGGACAACAGCTGAGGAGTCCAGGATGGCCTAAAAGCAAAAGCAAGGGTGTGGTGAAGAGACTAATTCCCTGCCAAGCAATGGAGTCCAGCCTCGGTACTTTCTGCTTGACCGTTGAGAGCACGTTTCAGATCTTCCACGAGGGCTTCTGTTCATGCAAGAATTCACAGAGGCGAATGCTGGACCTCATGCCAGTTAGATGGAGGAGAGGTGATAGTGGGGTGATGAGCGCACACAAGAATCATTGCAATCCTCGGACAAGTGGATACTGCAATGTGTATCGTTTCATTGCTGACTCGCCGGTATCTTAGGACTTGAGGCTGTTTTGGTCAAAACCGCAGATCAGCCAACTCCAGTTCGATTCGCCTATAAGCTTTCCCACACTCTTGCAGAGAATGCACCAAGCAAAAGACGGTATGCTTATTGAGTCGCGGACAGCTGCGTACCAGACTTCTGCAAGGTCCTGACGAGAACACCTTTACGGCTACGTGCGTATAGGCGACCTGCACTGGTTGCCTTGAGTGTCCATGACAGGTGTAGTTCGAAACAAGGTTGAGGCTCTGGACCTCCTCACAATTTGATTGGATCCTCGTGCTTGACATACCAGCACGTTCTTGCAAAGATGCACGGAGCCATAGGGGATTTGCATCGCATTGTAAGCGATGGCGATATCGCAGCCACTACAAAGCTCCCTGACAGCACCAAACGGCGTCCTAGGTTGATGCGGCAGATGGGGCCAGTCTTGGTGGTGCGGCGTGGAAAGGTGAAACAACAATTTTGTTCCCCATGCTGCAAGCCATGCTTGCGTGACTGTTTACCAAGAGATTTAGTGTCAACTTGGGGACCTTGAGTGCTACGGGCAACGATTGGAATTGAGCCAAGAGGTATGGATATATAAACACCTTCACGTGTCCAGGGAAGTACAGCATCTCATCACTCACCACACATTCCAACACTTTCGTTCACACCCAACTCTTCTCTTACCACAATCATGCACTTCACCAACAGCATCATCGCCGGCGCCTCCATCCTTGGTCTGGCCACTGCCAGCCCTGTCGACCTCGAAGGTCGCCAATCAGCTTGCTCAAGCTACACCATCATCAACACCCGCGGCACCGGCGAGGCCCAAGGCCAGTCCTCGGGCTTCACCACCATGAACAGCAACATCCGCTCCCAAGTCACTGGCGGCAAAACCTACAACACCGTCTACGCCGCCGACTACAGCCAAAACTCTGCAGCAGGCACCGCCGATATTGTCAACAAGATCACCACTACCCTCCGCACAAGCCCCAACGAATGCTTTATCCTTGAGGGATACTCGCAGGGTGCTGCCGCCACTGTCAATGCTTTGCCCAAATTGACCGGTACGGCCAACACTGCTGTCAAGGGTGTTTTCCTGATTGGCGACNCCCTGCACAAGAGCGGTTTGACTTGCAATGTTGACAGCAATGGCGGCACAACAACCAGGAATGTCAACGGCATTTCATACAATGCTTACTCTAACAGCATTCCCTCTGGTTGGGTGTCGAGAACACTTGATGTTTGTGCTTATGGTGATGGTGTTTGCGACACCACTCATGGGCAGGGTATCAATGCCGCTCACCTTTCATACCCTAGAGATGCCAGTGTGCAGAACTTGGGCACTCAGTTTGTTGTTGGCAAGCTGCGTGGCACTTCTTAGATCGGTTAACCATTTCGATATTTTGTTTGAGGGCAGGGAACCGGCGTTTTTAGGGATTGTCTTGGACTTTGTTTTGGGTGTAGATGGAAGACGAAGACTGCATGTCTCGATCTTCGGTCTTCAGTAGGATTATATAACCTTTTGAAAACATGAAGCGTGCCTACTCAACTATTGCAATTCATGTTTACCCTGCTTGAGGGTTATTGTAAAGCACATCACTGTGATGATTTCCTGATTGGCCAACATTTGCACTGTAAGTCGCCATAGGAGAGGTGTTAAATGCAGAATTGTACCAATCATGGGATGGCTCCGGCAGCTCTTCTGCCACAATAGTCTCTCAAGCATAGATCTCTGTCTTCAACCACTCACATGCCCTCTCATAAGCCAACTCAGTAATCCTCTTTCTCTCCCTCTCAGCCGCAGGTTCCTTCTTTTGAACATAGTTGAACCCATGCTGTGCCCCCAACACCATCTCCCACCACACATTACCCTTTCTCCACGTCTGGACGCCCTGTTTCTTGTCTTCTTGCGTGTCGCCATCTTGTTTGTCGGCTTTTTCATGCTCTGAGTACAGTTTTGCGGCTTCTTCGGCTTCATTGCAAAGGACATCGTACTCTGCACCCACGAAGCGCAGTTTTAGGGGTAGCAGTTTGCGGTCTGCGTAGATGGGGGAGAGGAGAGGATTACAGAGATCAACTCCATGAGGCAAATAGCCATAGGTAAACAGATCTCCGCTCTTAGCAAGCACATCAGGAGTTCCATCTGGTGCATCCCTCATTCTTCCCCTATACTTGCCGCTGAAGTCCGTGGAAGGGTACCAAAGCAGCAATCCCTTGATTTTTCCCTGCAGAGAGGTTTCCTGTGCAACCGACAGCGATAAGTTTCCTCCTGCAGAAAAGCCTCCCATGGCAATCTTGGAGGTATCGATAGGCAGCGATGTATCCTTGAGGATATCGCGTACAATATCAATCAAATCGTTTGTTTGAGTAGGAAAACAATACCCAGGCGCTTTCCTATAATCGCAAGAAACAACCACCACCCCNCTCTTCCTCAAAAACTCACACCAGGTTTCGTCGTGGAAGGGGTCGCCGATAGCAAAGCCACCGCCATGGATATCGATATACAGTGGTAATTTCTGACCCTGCTTTGCGACATCAGGGATCCAAATATCGTGGATTAGGCCTGCAGAGCCTAGGGATTTGCGGTAGGTAGGTTGGAGGCTTCCCATGCCTTTGTAGCGGAAGAAGCGTAGAGTACCGAGGAGAGATCGGATGGTGAGTTTGAACATCCAGAGACGTAGCCAGAGGCGTATGCGTTGGGAGAATGGCTTGGGGGTATGCGATGCTGGTGCTGGGGTATCTGCTGTAGCAGCCACAGAGGCTGGGTCCATTGTCGTCGACATCGTTTTGTCTCGTCAGTTTTTGTGTTGGAGAAGCAGCAAGTTCGGTGTCTTTGAGTGTGTCCAGAGTCCCAATCGTATCTTGTACCCGGGCGCGTGTTCTCAGATGTGCGTGCAGGAGGTCAAAGAGACGACAGCAATTGATGAAGAGGCAGAAGAGGAAGAAGAAGAAGAGAACTATCTCTTTCACCTTGACATTGTCGTGTGCCTCATTCATGGACTAAAGGAATACTATTGGAAGGGGGAGATTGCTATGCGAACCCGAGGATGCCGAGGATCTCGGCGGTTGAAAAACACTCTGGATGCTGCTTGGATGACCCTGCACGCCTTTCGATCGAACCTCTTCTTGAGCATCTTTTCGAGGACTTCAGACTTGAAAGTACATTTGACTCAGATGCGTGACCATAGGAATAATCTAGAACAACATCTGCTTCGTAGACCCTACGCTTGAGAAACCATTTTTCACGTTCATACTATATATACTTAGGGAGCAACGACGCTGGTTGGGAAGGAGGGCATATGGAAATTACTGGATAGAAAACCCACAATCGACCATCTACCTATTCGCTAGTAGTTCGTCACATGTCCAGTACAGTGGTCCATCAAGAGCATAGCTTCTGCCTCTTCAAGATGGTAACATGGTATAATGGAACCATGATTCGCTTCAAATTACATATCAAATGTCCAATCAACAATCTTTGTACATGAACACAAGGCCAAAAATTTACCTGTTGGCCTCAATCTTCTTGACCAACTCCCCACCCAGCCTTGCCATCTCGGCAAGAACAGCAGTCTTGTTGATCTCGGCGAGGACTTCCTCACCCTTCTTGACAGGCACAGTCGAGTACGCGAGATTGACCTTCCAAGCTCTGGCTGCAGTGACAGGACTCCATAGGCCAGCAATGGTAGTGCTGCCAGCTCCACCATAGAAGAGCGCCAACGACTGGCCGTATACATTTTGCAGTTCGTGGAAGAATGCATCTGTGGGTGCATAGTCGACCAACTCTGCATTTGTCTCTTCAGCAATAGCAAGGTTCTTGTATTTGCCGCTTGCTGCCTTGGACTTTGTGGTGGTGTAAGCAGGATTGAGGTGAATGACAAAGTCATAGTCAGCAAGAGGTGAAACAAAGAGGGTTTCAATGTCAATCGATAGTGACTTGGCCTCGACTTCTGCTGTTGCAGCCTTGGCTAGTGCGGTCACGCGGCCGCAGACGACCTTCGCTGGTGTGCCATCTGTCCATGTTGTTCCTTCGAGGTCGTTGCTGCAGGCAACGAAGAGCACGACGCGGTTGAGTGCTGGGTCCAACTTGCGCCAGGCTTCAAAGCGCGTTGTTGCTGCTGCGACGTTGTCGGCGTCAAGATCACCACCGAGATCTACGATCAAGGAATCAGCGCGCCAGTCGAAGCGTGAGAGGAACGAAAGAGTGCGCAAGAAGGCAGCTTGTGTAGATGATGGTGTGTTGTAAGGCCATGGGCGGGTGAATGTGTGGATGGCAAACAGTTCGATGACTTCTTCAGAGAAGTGGTTGCTCAGCAGGTGCTCAGAGAACCACTTCTTCAACAGTCGAACAGTTGGTGAGAGAACAGGATATCTGGTGCAGAGCTTCTGTAGGGCTTGAGTATGCGCTGGCGACTTGACAAAGACACGCTTGTAGGTGGCGAGAGCAACAGCTGCGGCTTCCTTTTCGCTAGGCGCGGCAGATTGCGACTTGAGAATTCGCTCTACTAGAGTCTGCTCTCTATCGTGATGGATGCGGATGCGGAAAGAGAAGCCAGTAGGGTAGATTACATCGAGGAGAGCCTGGTTCAGGTTGTCCTCGCCTTCGTTCTCCAAGCCAATGCGCGAGGTGACACCTTCCTGTGTCGACTCGAAGAGTTCACCAATCTTGAGCAAGAAGGCAATCTTGGTACGCTGAATCGCGACCAGATCGTCTGGCCAACGACCGGATCCTTCGAATTGCAGTACGACATCAGCAGGGCGCTTCATCTGTTGTTGAGATGACATGGGAGGTTCAATAGAAGAGTAACGGAGTTGTGAGTCGGCAGCCAAGATTGAGCGGATAGTGAGAGGCAGATCATCCATGCCACGAATGTCGCTTTCCAGTGTCTTGAAAGCTTCCATCAGAGGCTGGAACGCTGCGAGACCGTTGCTCTGCTTGATGAGTTTAGCACACTCGTCACCAGAGAAAGCAGCACTTGCGGCCGCATCTTGACCAAAGTTGCGGTAAAGCAAGAATGTCAGGATCTGCTGGATGATTGACATTCCACCGTTGGTTGCCCAGACCAAACTCTCCAGAATGCTTCCATCTCTGAATCTGCGCAGCTCGGCCTTTTCACCCCAGAACTTGCGGAAGGCAGCAGCCTCCTTCTTTTGTTCTGCCGCAGGTCCGTGATCAACAGCACGAGAAGCGTTGGCAGAGTCAAGATTGACAGCAACCAGTAGCTCACCCTTGCGCTCCATGTTAGGTCTGGCAGAACCGAGTCCCCACGACTCGTGATCGGGAGACTGAATGACGACTTGAGTCGCGCGATCGCCCAGACCTTGACTGAAGACTGTGTACATCTTTGCGTATCTCTGCAGGACTTGTCGATCTTCGGAAGCGTCAGAAGTGATGGCAGAGCAAGGTACACGGACAGCCAGATCGTATCTCTTGAGGATGTTGTCAGAGCGGAGGATGAAAGCAGAGTCAAACTGGTCGAAGAGGTTGTCACCCAGCATCTTGAGGGTAGTGCGTGCCTCGGCACGGAGGTGTTGGTAAGACCAAGAGGTCATCTTGTAGAGTATGTTCTGTCCACGAGGATTATCGTAGAGAACTGGCTGACCGTCCTCGGAGGTCAGGGCAAGGCCAGTAGCATCGAGCAGAGCAGGTTCCTTGGCGAGATCCTTGACAGCAATGTACTGGAGAGTGGCCTTGAAGAGCTGGTAGCTGCTGTAACCACTCGACAAGACAGGCTTACCCGAGCCAGCGCCAGTTCTAAGCAGGTTTGCCATTGTGGCTGCCCATTCAAAATTGCCAAACCCACCCTTGTTGGTCTCGGAAGCAAGACCACGCTGTCTCAGCCAGACACGACCAAGCATACAAGCATCCGTGTATCCTTCGCAAGAGGTAGAAGAAGCATGTAGCAACTTCAAGTATGAGGTGATGTGACTGTCGGCTTGGATGGCAGCATTGTAGAAGGGGGTAGCGGGCAAATCCTGAGTCTGCTCATCGTCGCCCGACTGAGCAGGACGTACGCAGTTCTTGTTTGGCAAGAGCTTGTTATTGGCAAAGGTGCCCTCGGGAAGACCGGGGATGATGTTGATGCGCCAATTGTTCTCAGAGCTCGACTCCTTGGGTTGGACGAGCAGGACGGGGTGTAGGGGNTTGTTGCGGAAGTTGACGAATTGGAAGGAAAAGCCCTTGAGGGATGACTGGAGACCAGCAGCGATGCAGGCGAGGTAGAAAGCACGCTTGTAAAAGTAACGGTGATTGAGATAATCCTTCTCCTGGAACAGCGACTTGGGCATGGTGACGACCATATCGATGGAAAGAGGAGCCTGGCGGTCGCGCAGGGACAGCTTGAGAGGGAAACTGCCAACAACGTTGATGTTCTGAGGCTTCTCGTAGGCCAACTTGTACTTGACATCGTGGGCAGGGCGAGGCTCAGGGAACGGAATGGCGACCTTTGACTTCTTGATCATGTCACGCTCAGCCTGGAGCAGAGGAAGGGCGTCTCTGTTGGGGATAGCGTCGATCTGCTTCTTGATCTTGTGCAGAGCGTCGGCAGCGGTGGCCTCTCTCTTTCCTTGTCTCGGACGAATGTTGGAAAGCATCTGGTCGACCTGCAGCTTGAACATGTTGCTCTTGAAAGTGCCTCCAGTGTATGCGGCGCTGCTTGCCTCGAACGACGCAGCCTGCGACTTGTTGCTCTTGGGCTTCTTGTTGTCCTTGGTCTCTTTGGCCTTCTCTTGCACCTCCTCTTCTTCGCTCTGTTCACCATCGTCTTCGTCCATATCGTCTGCGCCAATGTCTGCGTCTTCCACGTCGTCGTCCCGGCTCATGTCGTCTTCCTCGATGTTGTCGACCTGGCTACCGGAGGCGATAAAAACGTCGTCATCTTCTACGGGCGACGGCGAATGGCTGAGCTTTCTTCTCTTGCTCGACGGGACTGCCATGTTGGTTGTTGATAGGAAAGAACAAAAGCAGTGGCAGCTTCCTTCGTTCTGCGGCGCAAAGTCTCGCTTGGCGTTGGACTTTTTCGAGAATCGACATGGCTTGGCGGACTTTAGATAAGGAAGTCGCGGCGATAAGACTGATTCATCAGTGACAGAGCCACAAGTAGGGCAGGTGCATTCGACATGCCGACAGCGGCGGTGGGGGCGTCAAGATCGAGTCATTTATCCACCCGCGATGTGACCACTTTGTGTTTGCCATTGCATTTGCTGACCTTTTCTTCCCTACCATAGCAATCATGCCCGCTCCTCTGGCGTTCAACGACAATGTCGGCGAGACAATCCCTGCCGAAACTCTTCACGTAAACATCCACACCGTCCTCCAATTCATGCACTGACTAACCCCTCCACACAGGNCAGTCAGCGTGTCACTGCCAACATGGGCCGCCAACGTAGGCTACGAAGAAGGCCAGAAATGGGTCATGGACAAGATGAAGTGCGGCTATCCTCGTTTTTTCATCCACAAGAGCATCGACCGTCTTGCCACCGAAATCGTCAAGCGTCACGGCAATCCCTCCCAAAAGTGCATGCTCTTCCCCACCCACAAGGTCGCCAATCGTCTGCTCGAGTTTATGCACCGCATCGCTCCCGAATCTCAAGGCACCGCTCGCATCATCGACTTTGTGCCGAACCCCAAGACCGAATGTCACGACGAGTCACAGCACGTCCTGCCTCGTCTATCCGCCGTCTTATACCCCGCCGAACTCTGGCCTGTTGCGAAGCAAGTATGGCAACATAGTGGAGATGGTGTGTCCAGCAGGAGAGCCGAGTTTGTCGAAAAGCATCTCCTCGACGGTACCATGGTCGATAAGGCCTCCATATACGACAAGCCGCGTAAGGGCCCTCGCCGATACCAGCGCCAAATGTCAATTGACACACCCCATCAATCTCCAACCTCGGAAACCGACGACAAGGACGGCACCGACCCATCTGCTTTTGTCGAAGAGAGATTTGGTCGCAACTTGAACGTCCAATTCGCCGAGCAAGCAAAGCTCGCCATCCGCCGCCGAATCGCTGGTTCTCTGACTTCAGACGCCGATCTGAAGGATGCTCTGAAGCACCCCGAAGATGTCGAACGTACTCGAAGTGCGGAAGGCTTCTCTGTTGACGATGTCTTCCTCTACCCCACCGGCATGAGTTCTATCTTCAACACACACCGCAGCATGATGGCAATTCGTCCCAAGAACAAGAGCATCAGTTTTGGCTTCCCATACGTTGACACCCTGAAGATTCTAGAGAAGTGGGGTCCCGGTGCTCTCTTCTACGGAAACGGTGAACAAGAAGATCTGGACGATCTGGAAAAGCGTCTCGAATCCGGAGAGCGCTTCCTTGGCTTCTTCTGCGAATTTCCCAGCAATCCTCTGCTAAAGTGTCCCGATCTAAAACGTATCCGTCAGTTGGCCGACAAGTACGACTTTGCCGTTATCATCGACGAGACAATCGGAAACTTCCTGAACGTCCACGTGCTGCCATACGCCGATGTGGTGGTGAGCAGTTTGACCAAGGTTTTCTCCGGCGACAGCAACGTCATGGGAGGATCGGCCATCTTGAATCCCGCAGGGCGTTACTACAACACTCTCAAGAAGTACATGGCTCAAGACTATGAAGACAACTTTTTCGAGGAGGACGCCATGTTTTTGGAGCGCAACAGCAGAGACTTTGTGTCTCGTATTGCTCGTATCAACGCTAACGCCGAAACCATCTGCGACATCTTGATTCAGCACCCTCGTATCAAGCAAGTCAACTACCCGAAGCACTCGCCATCCAGAAAGTACTACGATGCTTGCAGGTTGCCGAACGGTGGTTACGGAGGTTTGCTGTCCGCAACCTTCTACTCCATGGATGATGCCATGGTGTTCTACGACAACCTCAACACTGCAAAGGGTCCTTCATTGGGAACCAACTTCACACTGAGCTCTCCCTACGCGCTACTGGCACATTATACAGAGCTTGACTGGGCCGCAACTTTTGGTGTCGAAGCAAACCTGGTGCGCTTCAGCGTCGGTCTTGAGGAGACTGAGGCCCTGAAGAAGGTCTTCAAGACCGCACTCGACGCTATGCTACAGAACGAGACGAACGGTAACGGAGTCACGGCATAGGTTCACCAGACCTGTAGAATGACGCATAAGACGATGACGAAATGATTTATCAGCACAGCATATATCTGAGGAGGAGTTTGATCTGTTGTACATATGTAGCGAGCAAAAGCGTTGACGTTGGCATGATAATATACACGAAATGTTGGCAATTGGCAACAACTTCAGGACAAGAGGGGATCCATGGACAGAAAGGCTTCATGAACATGTGATACCCGAGACTCTGGCACCAGGGGTCTCTCGATCTCGCCTACCGAGACATCAACTCTGATTGGACGATCTGGAGACAAACGTCACACGGCTTCGATCGATGTCAGATACAGATACGAGCCGAGATGCAATACACGCGACCAAGACGGACGTGACGCCAAGCAGAATGCGAGATAGATGCGAGTATCCACGGTTGTGGCCACAAGTACAGGCTGCACAGCAGGCGCAGACATGGCCGCCAGATCAATCATCAGTGGCGTTTGCATCTGTTGCATGCATGCGCTGCAGGGAAACCTGATTGGACTGATGCAGTTGACATGTCTTGTGGTATCTTCGAGCAGTGCATAGCCGACAGCACACAGATTCAACGACGCTTGCCGCCAACGGCTGTCTTGGGCGTTGCAGGTCTTGGACAGAACAAGATACCACGAGTTTTGTATTTGAGTAGTGGTCTTTCACGAACGTGACCGATGAGACGCACAGTAATATAAGCAGATATTGAACAGATGAAGAGGATTGTCAGCGGCGCAAGGCTTTAGCGAAATCTGGCAGCGATCTGGATCTTGCATGATGGACGGGAAAGTGAGATGGCGGATCGCAAGGCTTGCAGGATTCGCGGCAACTGGCTACAATATTTTTCTGCTCAACATGAACGTCCTCTGCCCTACCCATCTCACAGCGCCTGCAGAATATCGTATCTCTTTGACAACAGACGTCTACCATACTAGCCCTTATACTCGTCATTTTTATCCTCCGAAGAGCAGTGTCAGTGCACCGATCCGGGCCCCCACAAAATTGGGCGAATCGCGGGCTTTTCTCAGATCCCAAGAAAAACAGTCGCCGGCGGCTCGGGAAAGTTTGCAAGCAGTTTTGAGACTTGAATATTTTCGTGAGCGTCATCGCATACCGCCTATCGTTTTCCTCTCCACCCATCCCGTTCGTCCATCCGCTGTGCTATTCCGGGTGACACACAAGTCCGCGACAATACAGCCACACACCACACACACGACCATCTTGCTGCACCGTCGACCATCACTGTGCTGCCAAGATGCCCCGCGAGCTGAAGAAGAGAGGCCGCAGAGGCGAAGAGAAGAAGAGAAAGCTGGAAGAGGAGGAAGAGGTGCACCAAGAATTTGCGCAACCGAAGCGACAGAGGACCGAGGATGACGGCGATGAAGCTGCCGAACAGCAGGATTTTGTTGGACTTCCCCAGGACGGCGCATACACCAATGGCGACTACCAGAACGGCGAGGGTCAGGGCCCGCCTGTCGAACAGGTCTTCTTCGGTATGCTGGACGAGGAAGAGCAGGAATACTTCAAGCGCGCCGACGAGATGCTCGAGATGAATAACTTTGCCGATGCCGAGGAGAGGTCTCTGTTCCTGGCCAACGTCTATCGCGAAGCCAATGGCAAGGAGCTCAAGATTGCCAACAGTCAATCGTGCTCGAGATTGATGGAGAGATTGATCCAACTGTCGACACCGGCCCAACTCAAGACGCTATTCCAGAAGTTCAGCGGCAAGTGAGTTGCTTTTCTTGCCCAATGCTTCTATAACACAACTGACCAGCCTCGCAGCTTCATGCACCTGTTCCAACATCGCTTCGCCTCGCATTGTTGCGAAAAGCTCTTCATCCAAGCCGCACCCGCCGTCACCGAAGAACTACTCCACCCGCCAAAGGTTGAAGACCAGACGACTGCAGATGGCGATGTCTATGTCAGCATGGAGAACCTCTTCCTGTTCACACTCGGAGAGATGGAGGGCAATGTTGGTTTTCTTATGACCGACCGCTTCGCTTCCCACACACTGCGCGTCCTGCTGCTTGTATTGGCTGGTGAGCCTCTGTCCGACTCGACCAACAAGTCTCTGATGCAAAGCAAGAAGAAGGAACATGTCACAGTCAACGGTAGCAGCAACGACAAGGAAGATGTCACAACCAACGACAAGGAAGACCGCCGCCCCGTCCCCAAGTCCTTCACCGAGGCACTTGAGAAGCTCATGACGGCCAGTGTTTCCGGACTCGATACAACCAGCCTTCGCGCACTCGCCACACATCAACTCGGCAACCCTGCCTTGCAACTTCTCATCAGACTCGAGCTCACTCACTTCGGCAAGTCAAAAGCGAAGGACGAGAACTCCATTTTCCGTACCCTCCTTCCCGACGACCCAATCACCCCCGAATGCGACAGCGCTTCCTTCATCAATGGCCTCCTCTTTGACCCCATCGGTTCTCATCTTATCGAGTGCATTGTCGAGCATGCTCCCGGAAAAATGTTCAAGAGTCTGTACAGAGGTCTGTTGAAGGACCGTATCGCATCACTGGCTCGCAACGAGATTGCTTGCTACGTTGCCTGTAAGGTCCTGGAAAGATTGAGCAAGGACGATCTTCTGGAAGCACACGAGCAGATCTGCCCTCAGATCCCCAGTCTGCTCGAGCGCAACCGCTTCGCCGTCATCAAGACTTTGATCGCCAGATGTGCTGTGAGAGAAATTGACAGCCAAGCTATTGCCGTACAACTCAGCGAAGCATATAACGGCCCCGAAGGCTTCGACATCGTGAAGTTGCTCAAGCCCGAGACTGATGAAGCAGCTACCAACGGCAACCCAGCACCCGAAGGCATGCCCGCACACATTGCCGAGGAGCGCGCAAATCCTCACACCATCAAGCTACAAGGTTCTCTGCTCGCCCAGTGCATGATCCTGGTCCCTGGAGCCTTGTCTGCCCTTGTTCTCGAAAGCCTCGCCTCCCTCGCCCCATCCACACTACAGAAAATGGCATCCGACACCATCATCTGCCGCACCCTCCAAGCCGCAATGACTTCCCACAATGCCTCCATAATCTCGCGCCGAAAACTGATCCAACAATTCTTCGGTCACATTGGTGAAATGGCACTAGACAGCAAAGCCTCGCGCGTAGTCGACGCCATCTGGGAAGGCACACACGGCCTCGCCTTTATCCGCGAACGCATTGCCGAAGAACTAAACGAAAACGAAGCCGCCCTCCGCGATAACCCTGCGGCCGCGCCGTGTGGAAAAACTGGAAAATGGACCTCTACAAAAGACGCCGTGGCGAATGGGTCAAGCAATCCAAAATCAAGGCTTCAAACGACGGATTCCAATCGTTTTCTGAAGTCGACACGAATCTCAAAGCTGCGAATGAGCAAAACACGCATGCGAATAAGAAGACTTGGCATGCTAACCAACAAGCATCTGCTGCGCCTCAAGCACAAGGAGGAGAAAAGAAATCGGCTATTCAGTTGGCTAGGGAGAGACATGCGGCCAACAAAGCTAGATCGCAGCAAGCGAGGGAAAAGCATGTGGCTGGAGGTAGCAGACCGAGTGGAAGCTCAAACTCGAGTAAGCATGCGTCTGGTGCAAATGCGATCAGCCCAAGCACCAAAGCATAGATGCGTTTTGTCTTTTGTTCATATCACTGAAAAAGGCTGGGGGAAATGGATACAATGGAGTTTTCATTATTTGCAGTGCACAAAGGTTGAGATATAGCTGTTCTGATAGTATCATGGCAAAACCTTTGATGGTGATTTTATCTTTAATCTTCATATTTTCACTTCTGGTGTTCTGCCCTGTGCAGGTATACACTGTGACTAGTCACCAGTTTCTGGAGTACTGATTAGTGCCGCTCCTACCGATACATTTAGAACCGGCTCGAAAGATGAATTAGACACAGTGAGCTGAGTCGATGGTCTAAAGATGATTGATGGATCGAAGTGTCAGAACATCGCCGACCTTCAAAGCCCGTGAGACAGCGGCGGTGGAGGGGCAGGATCGGCGATATTCGGCGATAACGCATAGACTGATATGTCGTCAGCTACATATTTTCTGTCGGTGTCATCTGGATATATAGTCCTAGGCTCCGACGCTCTTTTTGTTCTGTATCAATTATCAATTGGGTATTCTTAATCAACATGACTTCTTTACCTTCTAGACCGGCTGAGGAGAAGCCATTGCAAAGAGCAGATGAGGTCAATGATGTAAGCAGCAACTCCAAAGAAAGAGGAAAGTAGCTGTGACTGATATGGAAGCACTATAGCTCCTCAACTCGATTCAAGAACTCATCATCCCTTTCATTCGCTCTGCAGATGAGGATGCCGCGACAAAGCACACTGGCCACGGTCTCGCCATCGAGGGCCAAGGACCCCGAACCGCTCTCGTCGAATACCACCCTCCAAACAAGCTAAAGTCTCTCTTCGACGTTCAACTTCCCGAGTCTTCAGCTGGAAAAGAAGGACTACTTGATGTGGTGCAAAAGCTGCTCAAGTACAGTGTCAATACTTGGGATCAGGGATTCATGGATAAATTGTATGCGTCCACCAATGCCGTTGGTGTGGTGTCTGAGCTGCTTCTTGCGGTTTTGAATACGAATCTGCATGTCTATCAGGTATCCCCTGCATTGACGATTATGGAAAAGACGACGAGTAAGGCTTTGGCTAAGCTGTTTGGCTTTGGCGGCGCACATGGAGGCGGTATCTCGCAGCCAGGAGGCTCGGCTAGCAATGCTACGAGTATTGCCATTGCGAGAAACACTTTGCACCCGGAGACAAAGACAGACGGTATCAATGGCCGCAGGTTCACTCTGTTTACATCCGCTCATGGCCATTACTCGCTGGAAAAGGCGGCGCAGATGTTTGGCTTCGGATCTTCTGCTGTCATTGGCGTTGCTGTGGATAAGCAGGGGCGGATGCTTCCTTCCGCTCTCGACGAAGCAGTTCAAAAGTCAAAGGATGCAGGCGAAGTCCCTTTCTACGTCAACGCAACCGCTGGAACCACAGTCCTTGGCTCTTACGATCCTATCGGCCTCATCGCCGACGTCTGCCAAAAGCACAAACTCTGGCTCCACATCGATGGCTCTTGGGGTGGTCCTGTGATCTTCTCTGCCACTCACAAGCACAAGCTTGAGGGTGTAGAACGCGCAGACAGTATCGGTGTCACTCCGCATAAAATGCTTTCGGTGCCCATGACTTGCTCCTTCCTGCTCGGCAAGGATATGCGTCAGTTCCAGCGTGCAATGACATTACCAGCCGGCTATCTCTTCCACAGCGACGAAGACGAAGATGCATCTACTGCAAACACCACTGAAGCCTCAACTCCAGATGTCGAGCGCCCTGAAGCAGAAATCTGGGATCTCGCAGACTTGACACCCCAATGCGGACGCAGGGGCGACGCGCTCAAACTCGCTTTATCATGGATCTACTACGGATCCTCTGGCTTTGAAGCTTCCATCGATGCTGCCTTTTCCGCCGCCTCCACTCTAGCTGATTTGGTATCTTCAAACCCTGCGTTTTCGCTGGTATCAGAGAACCCTCCTCCTTGTTGGCAAGTTTGCTTTTACTATAACAAGCAATCTGGAGCTGCAGACAAAAACTCCAAGATTACGGAGAGCATTACCAAGAAGCTTATTCCTAGGGGCTTTATGGTTGATTATGCGCCAGGCGAGGAAGGCAAGTTTTTCAGGGTGGTCGTTAATCCGGCGACGAGGAGGGGAACACTCGAGGGGTTGGTCAAGGCTATTGAGGAGATTGGTGGGGAATTGAAGGTATAGAGAACATACACAATAGAAGCAACGAATTTAGAGATATCTGATTTGGTCATTCTTCCTCATTTTCTAAACTCTCTCATGCCTCCCATCCTTGTCATTGAATTTATCTTCCTGCCGTTATTCCTGCGCGACAAAAGGACCTGAAGAATGTCGTCTTGAGCACACTGACTTTAGAGCTCCCTACCTATCCTCAATCATAGACTTCTTCCTGGACCCAAAACAAGTCGTGCTGCCAAAACAAAAACTTCATCACCTTCTCTCTTGGTATGCACCCCCATACTCGCCATCTTTCCTGCCGCGTTTCTCTTGAGCTTTCTGCACACATCGTCTCACACCAAAACTCCTCATATCCGATCATCGCACAGCCATATCCACCAGGACTAATTCCGCGAGTGATTGACAGACGCAATTTTCCAGCACCGAGGAAAGTGAGAGGTATACTTTGTGCATGTTCGTTGGTGTTTGGAGATGGTAGTTCGCAGTCGATTGCGTGGAGAGATGCGCAAGTGGGAGCAGTAAAGGTTGGTAAATGTACAGTTTTGTTGTCGATGTGTAGTTCTGCGGTAATTTCTGCATTGAGAGCTGGATTTATGAGTAATTGACCTTTTGTTGCGAGGTGTGACAGTTGCGGTAGAGGATCCAGGCTCCCGAGAGAGGGCTTATGGGTTTGCAGGTGTTGGTTTCAAGGGTGGAGAGAGGGATGTCTTGCTGTGTGTTGATTCGATCCTGGATGCTGTTTTTGGAGTGCGAGTGTGACATCTCAGTTAGGCGGAGTCTTGATCTTTGTTGATGATTGCTTGGCAGGTCTTCTTGATATGCGAGGGGTGTGTACCGGGGTGCAAGGTTGTCTGTAAGACCAAAGATAGGTTTATCGAGCTTTTGAATGCGGCGCTTGATGGAGATTCAAAAGGATCGAAAGTGTAGAGAAAGGCTGATTGTATGTCTATATAGGCTTGATTGCTCAAGTGTTATGCCAGAGTTGACTTTGCGTACTTGCACAGCCCCTGTCTAGGCAGCCACAGGCAGACGCGACAGAATATTTTTGCTCTTGCCCATCACTTAAACCCTCTTGGAACAGGAATATCGTTTCTACAAATAACGTATGACAAGTTCCACGCTATAGTTTCCACGACTTCAGCCAATCCGTGGTCTTGGATGAGCTCTCGCGCCAATGACCTGGGAAGCGAAACATGTTCTTCAGCATTCTTTTTCGCACAACTCGACGTTCAATAAGACATTACTACATTTACATTTACATTCAGGCGTTGCCCCTCTTCCTTTCCACCTGTTACCATTTACATGAGCATCATGGCTCCGGCAACAACAGCAAGTAGTCCCTCGCTGACAACGACAGCGTTGGCAGCACCAGTGTGAGCAGCTGCCGACGAAGAAGCTGCGGTCGAAGAGCCAGTCTGAGAGCCAGTGCTCGAGGAGTGTGCCGAGCTGCTTGACTGTCTAGCACTACTGCTTGAGCCAGTAGACGAAGCTCTGCTTGTAGTGGTAGCGCTAGTGGCTGCACTGGCAGCCAAAGATCCACTGCTCGATCCCGAAGCAGCAGCACTGGCAGACACCGCAGCGGTAGCTTGGGCTGCACTACCAGTGATAGCGCCAGGACCTTGGTTACCAGTGGCAGTGTAGTAAAGGCTTACAGCACTCTGGCTAGGATACTGATCACTAACAGTAGTGGCAGCACCGCTAGCAGTCTGAGGGCTAGCATCCGAGACGGCAGCGAAGTAGCTTGCAAATACTGCTGTAGGTGTAGCAGTACCGCAGAACTGTGATGAGGCAGAAGAGATGATGTTCTCGTTTGCTTTGGCGACAGCTTCACTGCGGGTGCCGTGGACGTATTGGCAGTTCAGGCAGCCGCGCCAGTTGGGGAAGTAGCCACCATTGCACATGCATTGTTGGTGGGCTTGGTAGGCCAGAGGAGTGGTGCCGTTGGGCTGGCATGCGGACTCGATGTTGATGATGGCCTGGCAGGGAGGAACTGGCGAAGTGGTGTTGGGGAAACAGACTTCTTGGATGTAATCTGCGGCGTTGTCGGTCTGGCGAGCAAGAAGAGGGTGGTCCGAGGCAGCGACGGCGGTAGCCAAGGCAGCGAGTGCGAGATTGTACTTCATGGTTGCAGCGATTTGTTTCTCTGGACCGGACGGTATATGGATAGCAGCAAGGAGTAAAGAGTAGAAAAAGCAAGATAACACAGAAACGCGAACTCACCGTCCAATATATAGTCTTCCACCAACTCACCTTTTCGACTCCACAGCATCAAATCTCCCGAACTCTGTGAATCCTACCCAAACCGCCGAACGACGTCGCCGCCTCCAGAACCAATGGGAATCGCATACCACAATATAAAAATGCTTAAAGAGGGCAAGCATGTGGAGAAATAAGATTGGCATGCGCCGTTGTGGAGGACCCTGACGTTTCCCCATATAGCGAGCCTTGTCCGAATCAGGAAGGACAGAAAATGAAGACGGTGGAAGATAGCCAGTGGTCAGCATACCACCTACTTTGTTGGGTGCCTTGATCTTCAGGTTCTCGAGGTTGATGACGGAGTCTGTTTCTGATGAGCTTGTCTGACCTCGATGGCGAAAACGAGGTTCGCTGAAAGACGAAGAGAACGAGAATGACGTTCTCACGGTTACGCTGTTGTGGTTGTGAGGCTGCGCTATCAAGCGAAGAGGCGCCGGTTCGAAGTCAGGAACCTCATCTCATGGGTGTTCAGTTTACGTGCGTAGCCACTGTACTGGGCCCTTCGGGATCTCGAGCGGCAATTCGATGGCATGGAAACAATAATGTTGCTGTTCAGCACCGTCGGCGAGTATCTTCGTTCCGGTGTGCATCATCGTCGAAGATGTCAAAATTTCGAGCGAAGAGAAGCGCTCTAAATGGGGCGGGGACTTCCAAACAGGAGCGCCAGCAAGGGCAACAGTGCTGAAGCCCCCAGCCAGGAGATGCTCTTGGACTCTAAGAATTTCGCTTCCACAGTATGCATTTTTGTCGGAGTATGGTTTTGATCTTGTTCCACCAGAGACGTTCAAATTACTGCTACATATACGCCGGGAGGAGGACTGCATGCATCCATCCCCTGTTGTACTCAAAGACTATTGACGAATAATCAGGGCTAGAACAGCTTGTCCATGACCCGACGTTTCCAATTGCCTTGCGTGACCCCATCAGTCTCTCGCCGGTCACGATAGTAATCCGTCAAAGCATCGAAGAAATCACAGCCAGACACAAGATCAACCTCCTTACTCCTCTGGAAGTGCGTGCGTTTAACAATCTTCCAAATCAGGCCGATCCCACCAGCCAAAGCAATGATACCATAATTGAATATAAAGGTAGCAACACTCCACTTACCCTTCAAGAAAACAGCATATCCTTGAACCCACAGAAAAACAGAGGCCCAGAAGAAGGTCCAGTGAGCTGCATATGGCTGCCAGCGAGAAAGATTGGGTAAATATATCTGCCGATCGATATGTTGAGCTTTGATTGCAGCGTTGAAGCGAATCCATGTGCCAGAGATGATGACCCAGTTCAACATTGTTGCTGCAATACAGAAATTGAGTATCCAGGATAAGACTTTGCTGCTACTTGAACCTAGTGCAAGAAATGCAAGGCAAGATAGCAATATGACAACTATGACGGCCATGTAAGGAACTCCGTTCTTCTTGAGTCTGCGCAAGAAAGCCGGGGCTTAACCGTCGAGCGATAGAGCGTGCAGACTCCTTGAAGCATTGAATGTGTATGCGTTGCCAGCAGAGACTATACATGTAATCAATGCTGCGTTGACGATCGATGGCAATACTGAGGTCTTCAGTCTCTGCATACTGATCACGTATGGTGAAGATCCAGCATAGGTGTCCGAGCCGTTGGTCAGAGTACTGTCGTTGGAGGGAACAAGTATGCCAACGCAGAGTGCTCCTCCGATGAAGAAAATTATCAGACGAGTGACGATTGTGTTGAACGCGCGAGGTACTGTACGTCGTGGATCTACAGCTTCACTAGCGATCATGGAGATATACTCAGGCCCACCCATACAGAAGCCGGCGACCTTCACTGCATCGATGAACGATTCCAGCCGGGTGGCAGGGCTGTTTCCAGCCCAAAGCCCAGGCTCTTTCCAGAAGCGGAAGCCGAAGCGANNCTGTCAATATATGTTAGCAAGGAGATCGAACAGGTCTCGAGAGACTAACTCGTGTAGTGGATTACCGCCAAGCATGACGATAAACGTATAAAGGATGAGTCCAGTAGCCAACAGAATCTTCCCGAGGGCCAGCCAGAACTCTGCTTCTCCAAAGAGATCGGCTCTATACATGTTGAGGGCCAGATAGAAAAGCAGAGAGACAGATATGAGTATGGCTGGGGACTGACCATAACCCCAGTAGGAGACGAGAGTATTGATGATAGTCGCCTCGAAGATCACGTAGGATGTTTGGGCGAAGAAGAGATTCCAGCCTGCGGTCACTCCAAGAGCTGGATCAACCATGCGCCCAGCCAAGCGAATGTAGGATCCATCAAGCGGAAACAAGGTGAACATTTCTGTCTGGCATTGAGCGACAGAGAAGACAACGGTAGCCCAGAACACGAAGGCACATAGGAGGCATAAAGGATCAGAAGTTACACCAGAACCAATGGCGACGAAGAGTGCNACTATTAATTGTGTCAGCAGCATGCCATATACAACGCTGATCATTGAGACCTACGCGCCGATAGATCCAGCGATAGCAGTAAATTGCAGTTGCCTTGGATTAAGTCGACGGTGGTTCATAGCATCGCGAACAGCAGAGTCAAGATCTGAAACCTCGGTCACACTTCCNCTATCGGATGTTAGGCACGGAGAGCCATCTATTGATACGGTATCTCATACCAAACTGACTTGTCCGATGTCCATAGAAACCTTTGAACCATCAGGTACAGTTTCCTTATGGTGGTCTTGTGTATCATTTCGAGAATAGCTCGATCGCTCCATTACGTAGGTGTGATGATAGTCTTCGTGGACATCAAAAACGAAGTGGTCTGACTTCTACTGATGCTTTATAGTGCGTGGCTATCATTCAGCCGATACCCTGAGTTCTAGAACGATGTGATCTTGGTGATGTCTAGTGGCTTGGGATAAATCCAGCATGATAGCCCTATCGCGCCCCGACAGGGCATATCGTGCAGACTTGCTGCTTGTATGGTAGGCTACGGATGGCGGTACAAGCCAAGATAGGCTGTGTATCCTGAGCAGACATGGATCCTCGGCGAAGAGCAGATCTCCTACTGGATGTGGCCGTTGGACCTGGCTTCCTGGGTCTTGATAGGCGAAGTCCATGTCCAACCATAGCTGGATTGATCCTGCAGACTAATAACAGCACTACTTGACTATCTGAGATGGTAGAACATGCGTCAGAGGGATCGATGTCTGATTCGTAATGCAGGAAGGTACAAGCGCGAGGGTGCGGGGTCGTGAGAGCTGAAGGTCGAAGCGCAGGCGGGTAGTATCGGTACAGCCAGATGAAGGGAAGCGACAGTCGGGATTTCCTAATAGAGACACTATATTGACCAACCACTGCTGGTACTCCTGGGCATGGAGATAAGCAGATCAGTCTGTTGGACGATTATCAGTTGACAAGCGGGACATATTAAAGACCTGCCTCCTGGCTCTGTATGACCTCCGTGCTCGTCTAGTCGTTGTATTGTAAAGCAGCTTGAGAAAATGATCATGCCGCCGTCTCTCGTACAAATCGATGCCAGTGAACCTCTTGACAACATTATCGATGTTATCGAACGAGATGGTGGGGTTATAGTCACTAACTTCCTATCGCCAGAGCTTTTGAAAGAGTCAATGGATGCTAGTGAGTATGAATCGTGATATGGCATAGCACTGTGCTGAAACATATCAGTCGAGCCTTGCTTCTCTGGTCGAAAACTGTATGACTCGAAGGCCACACATGAAGAGCTTGGTGCCGACTTCTTTCCAGAAGGGTCCCAACGTGTCTATGTGAGCTTTTGATGGAGATTCCGAAGTTGCACATGCTCATGTGGATTCCAGGGATTGTTGGCGAAGATGCCAGATCAGTTGACCAAGATCATGCGACTTACAGTATGGCAGGGAATCATGGCACACTTCTTGAACGATGAGTTCGCTTCATACACGGGAGAGACTCTTGTACCCCAGAAGAGTGGGTACATGCTGGCGTCGACTGCAGCTCTACGCCTAGTACCAGGTGCTAAGCCTCAACCACTGCATCGAGTGAGAACAATGTCAGACACACAACCTTACCTTCTAACACGAAGTCACAGGNACCAGATTGCATATCAAATCAGGCCTGACCCTGACAACCCTCTCTTCACGCCGATGGTTGGATGCTTGATTGCAGGGTCGAAGTGTACCTACAAGAACGGCGTAAGTATGTCAGTCTACTACAAATTGATAATTCTGACACATTGTTCAGNNGCTACGGCTGTCATCCCAGGAAGTCATCTATGGGGAACAGATCGGGCTCCTAAGGTAGATGAGGTGACATATGCCGAGATGGAGCCTGGTTCCGCTCTACTCACGCTTGGTTGTAAGTCTAACCCAATCTTGAAGTTGTTGCATAGCAACTAAAAGTTTCTTGTGCAGNCAACATACCATGGCGCTGGAGAGAACAAATGCGGAAAGGACGATCCCGACGCTTTGCGGACCCTGTTCGCAGTTTTTGGGTGAGATTGCACCTTTCATACCACAAGGACTTTTGACTGACCTGAGACGTTTAGTCAGAGAGACTACTACCGTCAAGACCAGGATGGAGTCATCTCGACCCCTATAGAGATTGCCCGCAAATTGCCAGAAGATATTCTCAGACTGGCAGGATACTACAAATCTGTCGGAGGCGTCGGCTATGTCGAAGATCATCAGAATCCTGTCGAGTTTCTGCAAAGCAATGAGACCGGTATTGGAAAGTACGAAACAGGCGCTACCCAAATGGCGATTTAGCTAGCAGGTAGCTTTGGAGTACAACAGATACAGCATTTGGAGTTTTGCGACAACTCAGATGGAAAAGCTGAGTACAAGTCGTGAAGTCTTGCCGTTGTCATCGCGTTCCCAACAGCACGGGTGTATGGAAGCAGGCACGGTGGAGCCAACTGCAACGAGCTACAGGTGTCTCGTTCTAACAAGTAGCTCCCAGAAAAACAGCAGAAGTAAATTAATATCTGATACTTAGTGGCTGAAGAACTCTTTTGAATTCAGAATATCGTAGCTCATAAGAAGGCCTATGAAAAATGTGCAAGCAATAGAACCTGACAACCGCTTCTTGAAGCCAAACACCTACGCGATGCACAATAGAAAAGCAATACAACGCCCTTCAACCCCTGCCACCAATCCATAGCAAAGCAACAACAGAACAATGAGAGATACGAAAAACTTGCTCACAGAGGCATCATGCCAATTCCACTAGAAGTGCCACCACCTCCTCCCTTCTTCGAGGAACCAGCACCGTTGTTGTATGACATCTTGGAGGTAATACTACTTTGTCTCTTCGCGGCTGGTGCACGTTTCTTGACCGCTCCTCCAGCAGCAGACTTGCCTTTCCCAAAGCTTGACCGACGAGCAGCTCCTTTCTTGCCATTCCATCTGGCACCGCCGGAATCAGTACGGACGCGCTTGTTGGGCGGTGGCACAGCTGCTCTAGGAGCAGCCTGTGATTGTGAGAATCTAGCGTTGAAAGCTTCGACTTCACGGCTGGGCTTGAAATATGAGGACTGTTTTTCGGGCTGTCTTCCTTGACTTGCGGCTTCGAGCTCAGAACTAAGCCCTTCATCGTACGCAAACTCGTCTCCGTCGTCATCCTGATCGTCGTCGCTGTCGATCAGAATAACAGTGGCGTGGTTGGGATCGTATGGCTTGTCTTCTGAACCTTGCATCTCATCGAGTTGCTTTTTGTAATGTGCGATTAGAGGAAGTAGACTTGCACCGTGGCAATCGACTTTGGCATTGTCGATCCCTCGGATTCCCTTCATTGCAGCCAGGTTCCTGGGAAATTTGATGGCCATTTCGCGCAGCATGGTATCAGAAAATGGTTGTTGACGCAGCTTCTTCTTCTTCATGAGCTCCAGCAACTGTTCTTTGGCTTGTTGAACAAACGCCGCGATCACATCTTGGTGAACTTCATCCAAGTTGTAAAGAGCTTCGTCCCTGGTGATCGGTGCACCAAGCTCTCTTTGGTTACGAGAGCGGGAATTCATGTCTGTTCGAACAGGCTCGAAAGCATCATCCTCATCCTCGGAGTCTCCGTAGTCCTCGTCTTCATCAGCGTCGTCAACAATGAAGGTGTCNCTCCCAAAGCCGTTGTATGTAAGACCACTACGCTTACGACTTGGCCCTGCTTGAACAGGGGATGATATGTTGGTCGAAGGATACTGTTGGCCTTTATTGGCCGCTTTGGAAGCCTTGACACCAGTACCGGTTGCGACCTTCTGTTTGCGTTTGGTAGCTTTTGAACCTGCTGCTGATACTGGCACATGAAGCATCAGCTTCTGCTTGCCACGGCCATGCCCGAACATGTGCCTTTTTGGTCCAAGTGTGAGATATTGATTGGCGAACTTGGATTTGTTGAAGACAGAGAATTCGCGAATAACGTCCTCAGCCAACAGAAGACCGAAAAGACGATCCACGTTCTCTCGATCAAGATCTTTGCCTGCGCCAAAGTTTTCAGCTTCCTTGTCTTCGGCGGTGATACCACGACCAGTGCCTCGGAATAGATCAAGACACTGATGAAGAGTGACATTGCGAACGGAGGCGACCTCTTTGACAAGCTCGACTGCCGCAAGGCCAAGCTCAGTATAGTCCACTTCAACTAGCTCTTCTGTTTTGTTGCAGTTGTCGCAGTTGTTGTTGCAATCATCCTTCGAGAAACTCTCTGCAAAGTAAGCTAGGACCTGGACGCGACGACAATCCGTGTTATTTAGACAAAACTGAGCGACTCGTCGGAGCATATCATGTTGACGGTCCTTTTGTTCCCTGCTACCATCCTTATTCTCATCGATCATCTTTCGCAATGTGAATAAGTCATGGGTTCCATAGAACAAGTAACAATCTGAAGCTGCACCGTCACGTCCAGCACGGCCAGTTTCCTGGTAGTAGCCCTCAAGACTCTTCGGGATTGTGTGGTGGATGACGAAGCGAACGTCTGGCTTGTCAATACCCATACCGAAAGCGATGGTTGCGACAATCACTTTGATCTCGCCCTTTTGCCATTTCTTTTGAACATCACTTTTTGCTTCGGGCTCCATACCAGCATGATAATGGTGGGCTTTGATGCGGCGTCCTTGAAGCTCTCCAGCGACGTCTTCGCATTGCTTCCTTGAAAGACAGTAGATAATGCCACACTTGTTCCTGTGTCTATCCTCAATGATCTCCTGGATTGTATCAAGGAGCACTGACTTCTTGGGCTTGGTGTCAACATGGTATCTGAGGTTTGGACGATTGAAACTCTGTGAAAAGACATCGCAACCACTGATACCGAGATTCCCAATGGTATCTACTTTGACGTTTTCGGTCGCAGTAGCTGTAAGGGCCATGATGGGCACACCGGGATATTCAGTCAAGACCATACCAAGTTCTTTGTAGTCAGGACGGAAATCATGCCCCCATTGACTGACGCAGTGGGCTTCGTCGATGACAATTCTTGCAAGCTTTCCTCTTCGATGCAAATCCTTGAACGCTGTCTTCATCATGCCGCTCTTGTTCAACATTTCTGGCGTGATGTAGAGCATTTGTACAAAGTCCTGTACATCGGATCTTGTAAAGGTGCTTGTGATCTCTCTACGCTCCTCCATCGAGGTACTGCCAGTGAGAGAAAATGCCTGGATCTGGCGGGCTCTCAGGTGTGAGACTTGATCTTCCATTAGACTCAGCAGTGGGGAAACGACAAGGGTGACGCCCGATGTCTTTCCTGATTTGACGATTGCTGGCAGTTGGTAGCAAAGAGATTTGCCACCTCCAGTGGGCATAAGTACGAAGACATGTCTGCCAGCCAGTGTGGCGTTTATGGCATTAGCCTGGTTCAAACGGAATCCTGGCAGTTTGAAGGCCTTTACAAGTCCATTCTTGACTTCTTTGGTCCATGGATAATCACCCAGTTCTTCGTCAAGAGTCTTCGGTCTTTTGACAGGAGTGTTCTTTTTNGGTCGTGACTTGGAAGCGTTCGAGACTTGACCAACAGCAGATCGGTCGTTGGACTGACGAGATACACCATGGAAGGTTGAATGATCCTCAAATTCGGTCGCAAGTTCCATAAGATCTTCGTCATCGCCAAATTCGTCATCATAGTTGTCTTCGTCAATGGTCTGCGCTGGAGGCGTGCCCATAATGTTGCTGAAGAGGCTTTCATCTCCTTCCTCGAACTCGTCAAATTCGTCGGGTACTCCATAGTTTTCCTTGTCACTGTGTCTATGGGACTGGACGAAATCTCTAGTCGAGGTTGTCGGTTTCGTTGAGACTTCGCGACTGACGGTAGTTGTGTTATTCCGCTTTGATGGCGAGAGTGAAGCATTGTAACTGTCGGAGTGGTGAACTTTTCTTTCTGGAAAGTGACGAGGCGGACTAATCTCCATCACACTGGGGTCCTCCACATCTGGCTCATGTTTGATCTTTNNTCTCCTGGGTGGAGTGTCCTCGACACCGGGAAAGATCTCAATATTCCTGCCATTGGGGAGCTGAGTCTGCTTGATCCTTTCGGGACCGGGGCTTCTTAAAACCTCGGTCTTCGCCCTGGGCACAGCCTGAGTCGACTTGACAGTGACAGTAGCGGGTTTCTTCAAGGTGGACATGAGACCAGCAGACTCAAGATTCTGAAGGAGCGGTAAGATGTCGGTATGCGTATCGCGAATGCGTTGCTTGAGTTGTTTCATCTCTTGCTGTTCTCTGGTGGGCTTTTGCCGAGCAAGTAGAGCTTTTCTCATAAGATCCGAGATATTTTTCATCTCAAAGTCCAGTACATCAAGTCTGTCTTTGAAGTCTTTCAAGCTCTTCAAAGCTTCCTCGACCTCGCCTGCCTGCTCATAAGCCTCGGAGATATGAGCTGGTACCTCGTCGATAGCGAGAGATTCCATAGCTGCCATGTAGTCGTCCGTGGCTTGTGCGTGTCGATCACCAGCCTCGGCCAGCTTCGACTCGAAGTCTTCTTGAGTCCAGGACAAGAATTTGTTGATGAGAGCATCTTCGCTCGATGACAGCGGTGCAAGGCCAGGTGATTGCGAGCCGATGGCAGGTGATTGAGCAACACGACTTAGAGCGGGAGTTTGCAATGGTTTCCCTGGGGATACCGATGGTTGCTTCAGCTTGACGGGAGAAGGCAGACGTGGCTCAGGTACACTCTCATGGACATCCTCCATATCTTCATCTTCACTATCCAGTATCTGGCGCTTGACTCGTCTCTCTTGGGGTGGAGGACCTATAGTAGAACTCGAAGACGGTACAGGCGGTTGTGCCGGGCGCTTAGCCGGTGATTGTGCGACGGTGGAATATGGAGGAGGTGGGCCAATGGGTTCATCGTCTACGAAGTCATCGATAGACATGAAACTATCATCGTCGTCGTCGTCATCTGGTTGTTGGATCGTCTCCAAACGAGGCGCCTTCGAGGACGATCGATTGTATGTGTCGCTTCTGTGTTCATCGCTCTTTCTCTTTTGACCTTTAAATTGTGAGAACAGCCGAGCCGGGGTTGGCAAAACGTCTTCGGTAAGGTCGAGAGTATCAACCTTCGAGGGCAACGCAGGCGTGGTTCGAGACATGTTGGCGGAAGGTACAGCGGTTCGCGGAGCGGGTGATTGAGCATACGAATTAAGACGATGGGACAGGTTGGAGATGGCTGGTCTGGTTGAAAATTGGGACGACCTCTCGGGGAGAGATATCTGAGCAGACTTGGTAGGAGAGGATGAAGCAGCGGCTCTCAGCCTAGCCATGTTCGCGCTGGGCTCGCCACGCGGGGGTGGATTTGGTCTGTCTTGCTCTGCTGCGGTGGATCTAGCGGTTGGACGCGTCGTTTGTATCGATGAACGTGTCGGTAGTGGATTGACATTCCCAGTTATGGTCTGTGAAGGCTGCGTCTGCGAAGAAGGTCCAAAGGAAAGAGGTACTGGCGGTAGCGAAGGCGAGTGTTTAGGAATACACGGTTTTTCCTGTAGCAACCATCCAAGCTGCTCGCGGAGGTTGTTCTTAGTCATTGAGCATCACGAATAACTGATGTCGCTTGTATTGCTCCTTCGACATGGATTGTTTCCTCTCGAGTGGCGCCTGTTCCTACTCGACCAATTCGTTCTGGAATCTCGAATCGCGACGGACGCGACTGCCCGCGACTGGCCGCGGGTTCACGTGCCTTGCGCTAACCCGATAGGGTCAAGTTCTTGGCACTGTCTTCCTTGTCAATTGACCCACCCTGTTCGTCTGTTCTGTCTCCAACAAGTCAACAACTTATTGTAGATTAATTCAATCTGTGAATCTAGAATCCATGTGACAAGCTGCCTGGTAAGTAACGCTTTGTTGGTTTTGTCACTCATAGCTTGTGTCTGTGGTCATGTTGTTGGCTAAAATTGTACCGTTCCCGACTCTCGCTTGCGTTTTTATGAAGAAGCAGAAGCGACTTGAGCCACACATCTTAGCGTTCACAGCACCTTCCGATACAATATATTTAGATTGGCACAGGAAAATGATCATTTGAAGAACCACTTGGTCGGAAGTCAACATCAACCTTCCGTCGAACATTGACTCATCGACCATCGTCGTAGCATAACTTCTTATCATTCTAACACATCAGCAATCCTACACCACCGACACCATGGATAAAGGAGCAGCAGCAGCACCTGAGCATGTGCTGCCTTCTCCCTCGCAGATCACTCAATCCTTGAACAACCTACACAAGCAACTTCCTCCTCGCGGACTTGGTTTCGAGGCCGCCAAACAGCATTTAAAGCAAGATATGGCTCCTGCTCTCAATGCGAACAGCCAATCTTCCCGCTACTATGGCTTTGTGACTGGAGGCGCAACTCCTGCTGCTATCTTCGCCGACAACATGGTCACCGAGTATGACCAGAACGTCCAAGTTCATCTGCCCGAGGAGACCATAGCCACGGATGTCGAAGCCGCTGCCTTGGACATGGTGTGTGAATTGGTTCGTCTGGATCCGACAGTATGGAAGCACAGGACCTTCACCACAGGCGCTACGGCATCCAATATACTCGGCCTTGCTTGTGCTCGTGAGCATATTATCAAGACTGCCGCAGCTCGACGTGGTGTCACGGCAGATGTTTCGTCCCAAGGTCTCTTCGCTGCCATGCGAGCTGCTGGTATTCATAATATTCGGATTCTGACTACCACACCTCATAGCTCACTCAAGAAAGCGGCGTCTATTCTTGGTCTCGGACATGATAGTGTGAATACTATGTGCGAACATGGAGTGAACAACCCTTACACATTTGATATGGCACAGCTCGAGGAGGCACTACAGACGGGAGGCAGAAACATAGCTACGATCATCTCAGTATCTTGCTCTGAAGTCAACAGCGGCCTCTTCGCTACCGACGCTAACCTCATGCTTCGCCTCCGCACGCTGGCTACTCGACACGGCGCCTGGCTGCACGTGGACGCGGCATTTGGTCTACTCGCTAGGATCCTTCCATCCAACGCAGAGTACGAATATCTGAAGGACGGTGCAGGCGAGCTCCACCTCGCAGACTCGATAGCTGCCGACGCACACAAGCTATTCAATGTTCCCTACGATTGCGGCATCTTTCTCTCGAAACACCTAGATACTGCCACAGCTGTCTTCCAGAACCCAGGCGCACCATACTTGAATGCTCCTGACGGCACCGTACCTTCACCACTAAACATTGGCATTGAGAACTCGAGACGATTCAGAGCTTTGCCCGTGTATGCAAACCTGGTTGCTTACGGACGAGATGGATTCGTCGAAATGCTCGAACGCCAGATTGAACTCGCTCGTGAGATTGCCGCTTACATTGATGCAAGTGATGCCTACAGGCTTCTTCCCTCTAAGTACCACGAAGAAGGCTACAATGAGCAGACTATCTTCATCATTGTCTTGTTCAAAGCAGTCAATTCAGACTTGAACGCAGAACTGAAACAGAAAATCAACGCCACGAGGAAGATTTATGTTTCAGGAACCACTTGGCAGGGTGAATCAGCATGCAGGTTCGCGATTTCGAACTGGAGATCTAGCGTTCAGCAAGACTTCGAAGTCATCAAGGAGGTGTTGGATGGCGTTGCTGCTAGCTCTGTCAATAGAATTGCTTAATTGGCAGTCATGGAAGTGATTTGATTTGCAGGAAGGAAAATGTTGTCGGCTCTCGTTGGTTGTACACTATACAAATCAAGGTGGAGCAGGGTATGCCTGAAGACGGTCGTTCTTGGTTCCTCTTTTCTGGTGTATATGTAATCCTCATTTGTAGCAACCATAGCCACAGTCGTTGATATCAGCAAGTACAGTCTTTCATCTCTTCATCTCGTCTTGTATCGTCCTTGCGTGGCATCTTACTTGTCGCCATCCCATCTTACATCCTGCTTCCATGGTATCTTTCTCCTCGCCAGCATAGTTTAAGCTCTCCACCACCAACCCTCTCTGTTACCATGTCTCTTCTTCTCACGCTTCTTACCACTACTGCCAATTCCATCACAGCAAGCGTGATTGATTTGGTAACCACCTCCAACACCTCCAACTTCCACATCCCCACTATTTCCTCTGGTTGCTCTACCACTGCTGCATCCACTTCTTCCCTGAGATCTTCAGAGTTATGGGAGTGTTGGCAGGAGTGGTTGCAGGAGCAAGTTTGATGGCGAGAAGGCTTGTCGATAAAGTAGTACCAGCGTTTTGTCGAGGTTGTGGATTTGGAGTTGAGGTGGGAGATCTGCGGAGGACGAGGGAGTTAGTCGAAGTGGTCTGTTTGAGATGTGAGAGAGAGGTGCAATGAGGAGAGAGGAGATGAGGGAAGCAAGAAGAAAGTGGCACTTGACAAGGCAAGGTTATGGTGTCTCATAAGACGTGTACATAGAAGTATAGTTCTCATTATAGCACCTCCGCTCTCAAGCTCCATGGACGTAGAAGTCCTGGGAGTAGAGCAGAGGTGTCGGGTGTTGTGTATATGTAAGGCAAAACGCTGTTTCGTTAAGATGTATATATCAGGAAGCAAGCCCTGTGGTGCATTCTCTCCCTCCGCCTTCATTATACATCATAGTCTCGTAAGACCGCAATGCTTAGACAACAACAACAACAAAAGCAACAAGAAAGAAACAGATAAACAAAAAGAAGAAAACAGGGGTATGCAACAAAAACATCATCTCTCTCGAAACTCGCAAAACGCAGGCAAAAAAATCACTCATAAAAACCACGCTTGTTATTCACCTGAGCAGCCATAATCATCATCCAGATCAAAAACACGAGCCCAATGATCCAGAAAGCAAATGCCGCATCCCACTGCGAGCAGATGGAGTTTTGCTCCAGCCAGGCCAGTGTGTCGATGCTGACGCCGCGGATGTTGTTGTTATTGACGTAGCGGTTGCAGTAGGTGCTTACGTTGCCCNNTGTGGTCTGTGTTAGCAGAGAAAAGACAAGAAGAGAGAATAGGGAGAAACGCACATTTCCAAAAAGCTGAATAGCCGTCTCAATCAATCCAGCAAGAAACAGCGCAATCAAGATAAAACTCCCCAGCAACACCCACGCCGGCTGCAACTTCTTCTGCGCCAGCAAGATGATCATAAGAATGACAAAAAACAGAGTCAATGAGCCCACGGTAACGGCATAGGGAAAAAGCCATGGCGTACCCAACCCCATTCTATTTTGTATACTCATAAAGTCGCCAAAGACGCCGGTGAGGAGACCGCCGGTGGCTAGCATGACGATTGTCCACCAGTTTAGGAGGTTTTCGGGCCAGGGGTAGCGGCGGATTACTGTGATGCGCTCGCGTGAGACTGTGGTTTCTGTGCGTGCCATTGTGGTGGTTGTGTCGGAGTTTGGTCAAAAGTTGTTGAGAAGGAGAGAATTCTTGGTGAGAGGAGGGTTGAAGTGGTTGGTTGTGAGGGTAGAAAGAGAGTGAGAGGTTTGTGAGATTTGTTGATCTCGAGTGAGAAGAAGTGAGGCCCAGTCTTCGGAGTTGTCGATTTTGGTCCTTCACAGTCGTTTTTACAGAAAAGTGAAGCTCGTTCACTTTCGAATTACTCGTGCGTTGTCTCCAGAGCGTGGGAGAAGTGGCCGCGTTGATAGTGATGATCAACAAGAAGAATCCGATCTCGTCACTTCGAGTGGAAGATGTCGAGAAAGTCCACCTGATGTCGCACAAAAGCCGCGATAGTCACAACGGCTATCCCAGATTCCCGTTGGGTTGGTCAGAAGACGTTGACGCGAGACAAAAAGTAAAGGCGTGTGTGTGATATCCTTGGCAAAAAGACCCAAGTGGCTGGTTGGCGGGGTTGCAAGTCAACACTCAAAGAAGTCGAATTTTTGTTTGATTTTGCAGAGATATGGATGAAGCGATGGAAAAGAGCCTCACAGTGGAACAATATGTAAAGGAGAAGAAGAGGTAAAAGGATGCAGGTACACAGGGGAGAGTGAAGAGATGCAGTGTGATGATGGAAAACCTGCTTGCTGGACACGGGAGAGGCTGGGAGATGGCAGGGCGTGATGTGCAAAAGCCCAACACACACGAAGATGTATCCACGTCAAGACTTGCTCACACAGCGATCATAACTTGAGATCAGTAGAAAATGCCTTCGATTGTTTCGTCGTTTTTTGCTGCTCTGCTCGACTGATTTTGCTCTCTTCTTTTTCCTGTACACGCGAACCCATATTCTCTCTCCTCCTCATAATCCTACAAAAGCCACAATTTCATATGGCTAAAAAAGAGAAACTCATGTCGCTCGCCTTCATTGTAGCATAACCGCCTTGTTTTGGAAAAATCGCCCTGACTCATGCAAAGATGTGACAAGAAAAGAGACACAGATCATCGAAGTCCATGCGCAACCTTCCGCATAGATCGAGTAGCCAGTGCAAGATAGACGCGGTGATCGAAGAACAGGGGCGCAGAGGAAAGAAGCGTTACGACCGTCCAAAGAAAGTTTGACTCCGAAGGGGAAACAAAGAGCCTTCTATGCCTCGATTGTGCCTGCGGCCATTGCGGAACACCAAAATATAACAACGCCTTCTCTTGCAGAAATCGAGAGTTGTGAGTGGACCGACAGAATTCACCAGAGCGCGAACGAGAACGATGCAAAGTCGAGATGCTAGAAGGTCGAAAATGGAGTGAATCAAGTTCATTTGGCTTCCTCGGCACGAATGAAGTATGCCTTGGCGACCTCGTAGGCAGANCCTGTTACAGGCAGGTTAGTAGGTGTCAGAGTGCAACATGTCGGACGCGGGAACAAAACATACCAGCAGATAGCAGTGCTAGGTGCAGCAGTGACAACTCTGGCCTTCATACCCCTGAAGAAACCCTTTGCGCCATCTCTTCTCGCAATGATACCAGCTGCGTCGAACAAGCCCTTGGCGCCTCTGATCTCAGCATCGGTAGAGCTACCTCTAGTTTGCAACAGAGTCTTGATAACGTCGAGAGGGGTGGTGGCGGCAGCAGCGATACCACCAGCGAGACCTCCGGCAGTACAGTGGGTCAAGGGGTCGTAGCCGTCGCGGCGGTGCATGAGTTTTGTGATGGACTCGTAGGCGGTGAATTGGAGAGCGGTAAAGGGGACGGTCATGGCGAGAGTGGTGGGGTACGAGACGTAGAAGGCGCGGAGGCCCTCGTTGCGGAAGACGGAGCGTGCGCATTGGGTGATGGATGTGTAGACACTTCCGTGTACTTGCATGCGCTGCTTGATAACTNNGCGGGTAGTGTTAGTCGAACGTCGAAGAATCAGATAAGATGGTCGCATACCATCAAAGGGGTTCATAAAGGCATCGCTGGCAATTGTTGCGCAGGCACCGCTGGTTGCTNNGTGTATTTTGTCAGCACCTATCCAAGCAGAGCAGCAAAATGTCCAAATCTCACCTGCTGCGAGAGGGTGGTGGCCTGCTGCATTTCCGCCCATCTGCTGCTTGACAACCTCGTATGTAGCAAAATAAACGGCGTGCGCAGGTCCAGCGCCGACAATCACACTGGACAAGCCCCTCCATAACGACAGATAACCCTCGGCTCGTGAAATGGTAGCGATCGCGTTTCCAAGACCGGTGTAGATGGCGGCAGGCGTCGGACTCATGACCTGCATTCGTGTNCTGGGGATCTCAGAGTCAGCATGTCTCTCCTGGTCAGATGCCGTCGCGCGCCCTCGACGCACCTTCAACAAGTCAATAGGGTACATGACAGAGTGTTCGGCGACACCGGCGAAAGCACCGGCTGCCATGTTGGCCGCCAGACTGAAGTTCGGCGGCAGACCCTCGTAGNNCTGTAGTGGCATCCTCGTCAATTGGACCGTTCTTGTCGCGCAGGGTTTCGCAGAGGCTCACTCGTATTCGTTGTCCTCCTCCTGGAGGACCATTTTCTCTTGCACGGACATGTGTCCGACCGTAGGGGCGAGAGACTGTGAATCCAGATTGGATGCGTCGTCGAGAAGTGAGATAGGTACGTGTACGGCCGTGAAGAGGGTGTGTCTCGAGAAGTGTATGCGGCAAAACCGGTGGCCTCTGGGAAGCTTTTCAAAAAGGTTACCAGTGGTGACGCGCCGATATTTGTAAAAGGTGTCGAAGAGAATCCGGAGTCGAGCAATTCGGGGCAATGCTTCTCTTCACTGTGCGGCGAGATGTGTATCGCAGAGTTGCAGGACAAGAGGACAAAGGGACCTTGTCGTCTTTCTTTCTACGGCCTGGCCGGGAAAAAGATGGGAGCCAGCAATCCACCATGCATGCTCAATACATGGCATTTGCCGTATGACGACCGGTGCTCTTCAGCGACAATTGAAGCCTCGGGAGCCCGTGGCCCGGGAAACCTTCTTTGGCACTTCTAGAGAACTATGCGGCCATCTCCGCGCTAGCTGCCCTGCGATTTGTGTTCTGTCCAGCATACCGAGGCAACTCCGACCATCGTTCTACTCTTGACAACCACCTCTCATCGCTGTTCCCTGTTATCCATGGCAGCATCTCCATCTCCTGTCTTGAAGAGCACATGCAAACACTACCAAACACAGCAAGCAGCGGAAGATCAATGCATGCCGCGCCAATATAGATTAACCGAATCAGATATTATCAATCAGATAACTTAAAACTTGGCGGGCGGGACAAGCGAAGAGCTCTCCGAAGTCGCTTGTGAACTGTTTGTGGAAATGCTGTCTTTACAGGAGACTAGATTTGAACACCTCTATACCTGTAATTGTCATCTGTGTGAGAGGAGTAATTCTTGTGGTGTATTGTAGTGTATAGCTGAAGGGTTAGCAGTCGCAGCGCCCATACCAACGTGGGAAAGCGACTACATCTCTGATACTGCCCACACCAGCCAGATAGCACAACAATCTATCAAAGCCCAATCCAAATCCGCCATGAGGAACACTGCCATAGCGTCTAAGGTCCAGATACCAGTCGAGTGAGCCTGCATGTTTGCCTTCATAGAGTTTGTGTTCCGGGATTTCGCTTTCGCCAGCGGCTTGTTGTTCTGGCGTTAGCTCACGCAGCATACCGCGCTGCTGCATGGCTTTCTGGATGGCAGACAGATCGTGCTCGCGCATTGAGCCGCCTATCAGTTCGCAGAGATCGGGGACTAAGAGGTCGAAGCAGGCGACTGTGCGGTCACTACCTGGTGTCTTTGACATGTAGAAGGGCTTTTGCTCAATGGGGTAGTCGGTGATGAACACGGGTTGGCCTTTGCCAAAGTGCTCTGCTAGGAAACGTTCATGCTCGGCCTGAAGCCCTTCCTCCCACGATGGCGTGAACTGGAAAACTGTGCCTTGTTTGACGGCTTCTTCGAGTGTTTCGATCGCTTTGGCGTATTGAATCCTGGGCCAATTGGATTGAGCCATACCTTGCCAACGACGAGAGAGCTCTTCTGCAGTCACTGCGCCTTCTTCCGCAGCCTCTTCTGAGGATTGGCTTGCTTTGGCTTGGAGGATCTGCTGTACTGTATGCGAGCCTTGCAAGTCATTTGCCATGGTCGATAGCATATTTTCGATAAGATCCATGACTTGATTCGCATCGTCCACGAAGCACATCTCTCCTTCAAGCATGTAAAACTCGCTGAGGTGGCGAGGTGTATCACTCTTCTCGGCTCGAAAGGTTGGTGATAGAGTCCACACATTTCCAACAGATTGTGATAGAGCTTCGAGGTGCAATTGAGATGACACCGTGAGGTACTTTGGTGTACGGAAAAAGTGCTCAACTTCACCGTCGTCCGACTTTTGCATGCTGTCCTTGGAAGCATTGGAGGATACCGTGAAGACTTCACCTGCACCTTCGCAATCCGAGGAAGTCAAGATTGGCGGATGTGTCTGTACAAAGCCCTCTTTGTTGAAGAAGTCTGTGATGCTGCCAATGACCTGTGACCGGAGGTGGAGTACGAGTGCATTGAACGGAAGTCGAGATCGTAGATGTGGCAAGGTCCTCAAAAACTCCGCACTCTGGTATTTCTTCTGGATGGGATTTGTCTGCAGAATATTCTGAGCTCACGGTTCGGAAAAAGAGGTGATAGAGACACATACTGTAGGGTCATTGTAGCCAAGTTTGGCAGCTTCTGACACTTGCAGCTCATGTGTCTGGGCTTTACCTGGAGGGCACTTTTGCCATTTACCGCGAAGTCTGATCGCATCGCCGGTGGATAGACTAGAGTGTCGAGATTTAGTATGCGCCATAATAATCGAGGTCTCAACATACGACAAAGCTTGATCCGGCGTCAAGACAGCCTGGACAGGTTGCAAAGACGAGCCATCACCAACCGCAGCAAAGGCTATACGCTTTTGTTTTCTGATAGTTCGTACGTAGCCATTGACTTCAATCTCTGGTGAAGACTCCTCGGTGCTTTCGGCAGAAGACTTTAGTAACGATGCGATATTGGCCAATTTTGGTGTTGTTGATAACCAGCGAACTGATGTGTTTGCCCGAAGGCTACGTTGACTCAGACCACGCCATGTCTTCATTCCGAGGTCTTGTTGTCACAAAATTTGAGCGGAAATGATTTTGGATCGAGTTTGGGTCAATGTCGAGAGATTTCAAGTCTGTCTTTGACCAGAAGCAAGACCATGGTCTGTGCTCAGCATACCATTTTCGAGAAGTCATCAATATAGTCGATTTTGTTCTCTGAACTATAAATATCATTGATACAACATGTTTGTGTATTAAGCATTACTGTTAGTGTCGCTAATTGTTGAGAATCTCGATTGGCCAGGCTGCTTGCAACCCAGACTTGCCAGCGCAGCATCAAACGCCAGTCCTCAAGCTGTGATCATGTATCTAAGTACTGTCGAGTCTCCAGCGAGAAACGCAGAAGTCTCATCAGGATTCGAAACATTAGACAGCCGCATGTATCGTGGCGCCAGAGGCTGCATGAGCGTTCAGACATTCCTTGCAGCAAGGCTGGAGCCTGGATTGTGTCTCCTGGCAAGGAGTATTAAAACAGCCTTTCGTGCAACCATCGATCTTTCGAATGCTCAGGCATACTCTGTCAACACAAAGCATCCATCCTTTGACGGCATTGTCGTATATTACTGCAATGCGGCGTCCACTCCTTTTCCTGCTTGCTTGCAGCCTGGTCGCTGCATTTCCTCTACACCTTCCAGTGTTCATTACCCAGCAGCCTTTGCTATCGGTTGAAAGATACCGCGCAGCGCAACCATCTACACAACACCTTGAGCGAGTGTTAAGATCAGCGGAATTGTTGTTCACCGCTAGCGACGATGATGAAATGGTTCATGTCTGGTTGCCCCTTGGGAGACGTATAGATACGCGTATGTTGAGTCTTCCCATGCACTTGAAGCGTGACTAGTTCTTACTTGGAATTCTTGCAGGCGATTATCCAGTGCTTCCATCGCATCCAGCATCAGCGCGCATAATCAACGTACTGGGCTTCTCGACCCGAACCTCAGCCAGACGTAAGCAGCAGCAAACCACATGCATCATCAAAGCTGTAAAGGACAGGTCGCAGCACCAAGGGCAGAGAGAATTGGATGCGGTGTTCCAGGATGGTGATGGCGGAGTAAGGTTGGACGAAGCGGGTTCCCCTTTGTGTCTGATAGGAAGAGAGGTCGAAAGTTACGAATGCTTCTGAGCCAAGTTGGAATTAAGCGCGTTCGCCGAATGCCTGGCGCACTCCTGAATGCGCATCAAGTACTAGACTGCCGTGTATATTGTTGATTCGTGAAAGTCGTGTTGTGATCATGCAGCGTGGTCTCTTTCGGACATGTTGACCATTTCGTATGCGCCAGCTCCGTCTCTTCCTGCACCCCTCCCNTCTCTTGCAAATCCATCGCCCTCCTCGACAGCGGCTGGGTCAGTGGTAGCGGCAGACGGTTTTGGTTTTCCGCCAAAGGATATAGGTTTCAGTTCTCTCCACTGACAGGCCCAGACGCCGAGGAAGATCATGAGAGCGGTACTGGAGATCTGGAGGCCCCACCAGAAGATTTGAGTGGGCAACTCTTTGGTGTAGAAGGTGGTGACGACGAGGTTGATGACGTGAATGGTTACGGCGAAGTCAGGGACGAGTTTGGATCGGGCGATGAAGAGCAGCAGGAAGATGACACTGNNTTGGCGCAAGTTGTTAGCAAGGCGAGAGGTATGCAGTTGAGAACACGTTGTGACATACCAAATCATGCTGTCCATCATCCAGCAGAGACCAAGCATCCATCCAGTAGTGACATCGCTTCGGACAGTTCGCCAGCTGAGGAGGAGATCTGCTGTGACTTCTCTGCCTGCGACCAGGGTGGTGAACAGGATCAAGGCAGCTGCGACGGCGTAGTATAGGAGTTGGAGGATGACGATCTGGGCGAGGATTCGTTTTGGCGCGAGATCAGCGAGAGCACCGGGACGAGCAGGACGCCTTCGACGAGGCATTTTCGAACGAAAAGTTATTGTTGATGTTTAGGATAACAAAAGGTGTCTGAGAGATGATCCCTCGCTGACGTCGATCGACGCCGACTCGCCGACGCTTCCCCAAAGCTTCAATCGCCGCTTGGAGTCTCGGATTAACTGCCGTTTATTCTATTCGCATACCATACACAGTCACAATGGGTTGGTTCGGTTCAGACAAGCCCAATGCTCCCGAAGCACCAAAGGCGACAGGCGACGGCGGCTTCATTGCGCCTGACCGCTCAAAGCGCGCACACTGCTGGGAGGCCCGCGATGGCTACTTTGCCTGCCTCGACAAGAACAACATCATCGACAGTGTGAAGCAATCCGAAAAGGCCGACAACCTCTGCGCCCCCGAGTCGGCCAAGTTTGACCAAAATTGTGCCTCGAGTTGGGTGAGTCGACATTCTGTTCCTACACAGTCCACCGCAGCCTTCTGACTTTGCGCCAGGNTCCAATACTTCAAGAAGAGAAGAGTCATGGAATACCAACGCGACCAGACCCTCAAGAGGCTACAAGGCGAGGGTGCCAGCGACATTGCCGTCCAGCAAAAGTAGTCAATACCGACACGCCACCGACAAAAGTCATACAACCGCCTCCCAGGCGCTCGCCATACCGAAGCTGTAATCCGCCACTTCATCCAGCATATCCGCAATTGCCTATCGGCTGCTCCCTTTCAGCAACTCTGGACCACGGACGATAATACATGTTGGACATGTAGGAATGGGGTTAATGGAGAAGAACAATGGAGAAGCCATGCCTCGAAACTGTATTATATGTAAAATACTGTACCAATATCACGCCGAATGAACTCAAGCCACACACCATACATCGCGATTCACCGCCATGATCAACCTTTCCTTCAGTGCTGCTCGTGATAAAAGTGACTTTTCACCTTGATACACTGCCAAGACCTTCCACTCCACCCCGCAATTGCCTATCTCGAATTCTTGACGCGAACCATCTCGGTCATTTCCTTTTATTGCCGTCGTCACGAAACTCTTCACTGCCATAGCCCGGCGACATCAAACTAATCTCACAAACTGGCTCCCTCGACCTTTGATGGATTGCGCACGCAAAAAGAAACTAGGCTCTGATAAATCTGCCGGAAGCTGAAAGAACCACCCATCATGAACGACCAACAACACGATCTTTCCTACCCGGATCCTGCATCTGGTTACCATCTAACACCTTACCCTGAAGTTTCACACCAAACCGATCCCTACAGCTATGCCTACGCTCCCCTGCAAGAGGATTTCTATCCTCCCATGCCCCAACCTCTCATGCATGAAGGTTTTATGCCGCGCGGTCCACAGCCTCTGATGCACGAAGGATTCATGCCTAGACATGACATGGACGTAGACTCTGACGTTGATGAAGATCCAAGTGCTGGTTATGGTGCTCTACAAGCGCAATACGGTCTAAACTTCGTCTTGAACCCTCAGAGCTCTCATACCGATTTCCATCACAACACCCAGTTCGGCCCCGAGGGTGGTATCGTCTACGAAGATGAATTCGAGGGAGAAGACCTCCGACTTCAGCGCAGCCGGCTAGACAGCGTCGACCGTGAACTCTTGGATGTTAGAGACAATCCTCGCATAGACCCCGACTTTGCCATGTCTGATGCAGGCGGCAGCTCCGATGACATGTCCATCAACTCTGACCTCTTGAACGACATTCTCGATGAAGAAATTGCTGCAGGATCTCGTGGTCGCGGCAAAGGCCGTGGCCGAGGACGCGGACGAGGTACTGGACGAGGACGACGTGGTTGGAAGTGGGCTATCAAAGGTACAGAGCACGATCCCAAGGTGGCTGGAAGAGGTCGTGGCCGAGGTCGAGGCAGAGGGAACGGTGTTCCACGTGGAGAAGGCCGCCGAAAGAACGGCGACAAGAGAAATACTGTCGCAGAGCCTGATCCAGAGTTCAAGAGGCTGCAGTCACTCGCCACGCAAGCCTTCTTGAATAACAACTATCAGGCCGCTGCAGACTATGCGCGTGATGCTGTCAAGGCCAACCCCGAGATTTTCGCTGCTCACAGTTTGCTGTCCGAGATTCTTCTGGCACAAGGAAAGGATCAGGACTCGCTGACTGTGCTCTTGCATGGTGCTCACACAAGACGTGACCCGGCTTTATGGTGGACTGTTGCAGAACGAACATTGGAGTTGGCTGGAGAGAACCGCACTCCTTCTGTTCTTGAACAAGCCGTCTATTGTTTCGCTTGGGCGATCAAGCTCGACCCTGATGACTACGATGCTCGCCGCGAGAAGCTCAACTTACTTCTCGAATCTGATCAACCGGCAAGAGCGAGAGGAGAAGCCAAGATGATGGTTCGCCAGAAGCCGCATGACCTCAACATCCTCAAACAATACGCGGATCTGTGTGCTTACTCGGCGAGTACGCCAGAGATCCAGCGTGCAAAAGATGCTTACGATGTCGCAATTAACTTCTACTTCAAGGGCCGATCCCTCGGTGTCCCAGAGACGCAATGGTCTCATCTCAATGTTTACCTGGATCTGGTCGAGAAGTGCGAGAATCCCACACAAGCAGCTTTCCACCTCAGAAAGCTTTCGAGATGGTTGCTTGGAAGAAAAGAAGACACTTTCTGGGACGAATTGACAGGAGACGACAGAGAGTTTGACAATGACGACGTTCCTCGAAGGATACAAATCCCGGAGTTCAAGTACAGTCGATACACAAACAAGAAGGAGATGTACGGCGAAGGTCTGCCCTTGGAGCTGCGTGTCAAACTCGGTCTCTTCCGTGTCAAGATCAGTAGAGCTGATCTTCCCGAGGCCATGCGCCACTTCCAGCAGCTCCTTGACCTCAAAGACGAAGTTGCAGATTACTTCGATCTGTTCAGAGATGTTGCCGAGGCTCTGATTGAGCAAACCTATTACGCAGAGGCCATTCTCTTCTACGAGCCCATTAGATCAGTGCCCGAGGCATGCGATCACGACTACTACATGAAGCTTGCAGACTGCTACATGATCTTCAATCGCAACGCAGACGCAGAGTCTTGCTGGAAGTTCATTGTCGACAATGATCCAGAAGACATCAAGTCGCGTATCGCGTTAGCCAAATTGTACGAGGCTGAGCAGAGAATGGCAGAGGCTGTTCCACTGGTTCACGAGGTTATTAGACTCGGCCGAAGTGATGCAGTGAAGAAGGCCAAGATTACTGTCGACAAGCCTCCACCACCGAGAACTCTCGCACCTCTCATGCCGCGACCTGAGCAGACTGCGCCTACCAGGAGAGTTGCGGGTCCAGTATCTAGGCACTACTCCTTGGGCCCGATGCCTGAGGATGTCGACGATGGCCGCGATGGCGACTATCAGGACGAAGGACACGACGACGCGGAAGAAGAAGAGGACGATCAGGATGAGGGTGAAGAAGATGATGATGAGCGATTCATCGCCTTCCGCCCTGGCAAACGCGGTCGCCCAAAGACAGCAAAACAGAAGGCTCCTAGAGCAGCGCGTGTGTCTCAAACCTACGAACGTCTTCAACAGCAAGATCAACGTATCAAAGCCAACCACGTTCTCGTCAACTCGGCCAGAGAAACTCTAGAAGAAGACGATGATGCCCTACAGACCTACTTTGAAGCGGCCCAAGAGATGATCGACGACTTCAAGACCGTTCGCGCCTTCTACCCCGGCCGCGACAAACACATCAAGTTTACTGGCTATGGTCGCAACACGAAAAATCCTGTTGTTGCTGAGATGGAAGCTATGAAGAAGCGAATTGCAGAAGATGGCATGGATGTCGACGAAGAAGTGCCTGACGAAAGCATCCCCAACAACTTCCACGACATCAAGTTTACGGAATGGCTAGACATGTTTTGCGAATACGCATTGCTGCTTGCCAAAGCTGCTGATAGAGAAAAATGCTACGAGGTGCTTACAGGCGCATTCAGCTGTACGGTATTCTACCACAGCCTTCAGCACAAGACACAAATCCACGCGACTTGGATGGCATGCGCGCTCCTCCTCAACGACGAGCAAAAAGTCTGCGAGGTAGGCCGCTTCTTCATCATCGAATGGCCTCACAGCGGCGCCGCCTACCAACTCTTCGCCGCTGTAAACCGTTTGTTTGCCGGCTACAGTAACTGGTTCAACAGCGGACCCACCCAAAAATTCATCCTGCGTCAAGTAAAAGCCCTCGATTACGCCCTCTTGGACCCAGAATCTCGCGCCCTCTACGCGTTCACAGGTCAAGAACGCAGCTCCTACACTCATGCCGGCAAACGCGATGCAAACCCTTACTCCCTCCCCGACCTCGATGCCGGCGTCATCTCCNTCTACGGCCACATAATGGCAGCAGCGCAATCCTGGACGTCGGCACTAAACTACTATTTCCGCGTCTTGACCTTGGATCCAGATAACATTGCTATCAATCTCTGTTTGGCAACTGCATACATGCAAATGGCAATGAAACGGCAAGCAGAAAACAGACATTGGCAAATTTACCAAGGACTGGCGTTTTTGGAGAAATATGTGCGACTGAGGATGAAGAGTGGGAGCGCTATTCATGAGCAAGAGGCTGTGTATAATGTAGGGCGCTCGTGGCATTTGCTGGGGATTATGCATTTGGCTATTCCCGAGTATGAGAAGTGTCTGGCGTTGGCTGATAAGGTTAGGGAGGAGGCGAGAGAGAAGAGGAGACAGCAAGAAAGCGATGATGGTGAGGTCGAGGACGAAGAGGAAACAGATCCTGAAGAGTTTACGCAAGAGGCGGCGTTTGCGTTGATGCACATTCTCGCTATGAACAGTAACGAGAAGGCGGCGAGAAAGATTGCGGAAAAGTATCTCGTCATGTGAGATTTCTTCTCTCAGAGCAAGGACGGGAAGGCGCAAAAGATGGCACTGGTGGAGAGGGTAATGGACACGGAGTTGAGGATCTTTTGCTTCTGGGGCATGACACAGCAAAAGAGAGATCGATTGCTCAAAGAGGCATGGGATTGTAATATCAAGATGAGAACCGACTTTTGTACAAATACAGACTATTGCTTGCCAAGGCCGTCTATTCATCTTCAAAACACTCCAAAGATGAACAGACTTCCGTTCTACTTTTTGTACACCAGAAGACCGAGCCACACTATACTTACAGAGAATCGAAGTGTATATACAATCGCCAATCAGACCCCGAAGCACAACCACGATTTTGACACCTATCAACCGCCTCCACAACCATACTCGACATACATCTCGACCTCGTCCTCGGACGGCCAGCCACCCCAATTTTCCACACTCTCAACAAGCGTCTTGATCTCCTCAATCTGTTCAGCTGATGCGGAAGGAGGAGCCTCCCCACCGTCAAGCTCGGGCCTCGAAGGCTCCCATCGATCCTCGACAAACACACGAAGAGCAATCAGGGCTCTCCGCATCAAGACGTGACCTCTGCGGTCCATAGCACAGCGCTTGGCAAGCGCCCTTCGATGTTTACGCATCCATTCGACCAGCTCNTTGAGGCCGTCGTAGTCGCGCAATATACCCAAGGCGCGAACGTAGGCGTGCAGTAAGGCTGGACGAGGGATGGTGTACAAACGAGGCAACTCGGGTTTGGAATGTTGTGTCTCCGACTCAGTAGAGACAGAGTCCTTTGCGCCTTCAGTCAAGATCCAGAACTGTTCTTTCATCCAGCCATGGCCGTCTCGGGACATAGTGTTCGCATGCGTGATAAGGCGGCCTGTGGCTTCGGAAGCGAGTTCTGGGTTATATCCATATTCTTGAAAGACAGTGTGAACGGCGCTTGCTGCATGCTCAGCGACGACGCAGACGCACAGAAAGGCGTCCTCGTCAAACGTGAGATCGTTCTCCCACATGGTCACGTTGACCTGGCGGGCAAGATTGAATGCGAAAATCTTGTCGTATAGATCATTTTCTGTGATCAAAGAATCTTTGCCCCGAAGATATAAGGATCGCCAGCTCGAAGCCAGAGTTGGCGCAGCTCTACGAGCCAATGCAGCAAACACACAATTCCAGGCTGGCGCGTGTGTTCGTTTCTGCTCGACGAGCAGATAGAGAGCTCGGGCTAGTGGTTGTCGGAGGTCAAAGTTGGACTTAACCACAGTGCCGTATCGCCATAGCAGCGTCAACTCCCTGTCGAGCGGAGTGTGAGGGAAACGGCATAGAAGGCGTATGTAGGCCGTAAAAATATGATCAGGCAAGACGTGCAAGGATTGGTCATGCTTAGACCCATGAAGGAGAGCGTCGATAGCAGAACGATATCTTTCAGCGCCGGTCTCGAGATAGACAAGGCCCTCTGCGAGAGTCTCTGCGCTGTCTAGAAGCATAACAAGGGTATCGTCGGAAGGATGTTTTCCGTCCTCGCGCATATGGTCATAGAGCTGTTGGACTGAAGGTATCTCGGCACGAATATACGTCAACTGATGTGCAGATGACGGGGGCGAGCCAATCTCCATGGTATCACCTGGATATAGAGGATCCGGATCATCGTCTTCAACCTCATGACCAATGTTTTCGGGGCCGAGTCTGACTCTNTTGCGCTCCTGTATCAATACTTCGAACATGGCATGATAAATACGGTGGTCGGCAGGNAGATTCTCGTCCTGGTATGCCAAGAAACAAGCCCAGGCTTGCTGAGCCGTACGAGTCGTCTTGATACGAGCGATCCAGATGCTTTGAGCAGAACTGCGCTTGGGCAGGTCGTCGAGGAATACTCTTTTCTGTATTGTAGGGCTGCGGTCTGTATCCCAGCCTGCATATATCATAGCAACCTGGTCCCATAGGTTGAGTGAGTAGCCAGCCTCCTGCATCCTGATCAAGATTTGGTGAGCACGACTAACGCCATAGTCGAGACCAATACGGGCATCCATACCGGTACGATCTTCTTTCCACGGAGGCCAGGAGGGAGATTTGAGCCTCGCCCATTCTCGGTCAGAAGGGGTCTTCTTAGTGGCCAGTTGGACGCGTACGACGGCGCGATAGCCTACTCGATCGATAGCAAGAGCAGGGGTGTGATCAGCCATGTGTTTGAGAATGATGGCTTGGGCAGCCTCTTGAAAGCCGACGTTCTTGAAAGGAGAGATGTGCGAGGGCTGAGAGAGTATACGGAGAGCATGATTAGATCGGGAGGTCAGATGCGAGATGAAAGCATGGTCATCATGATGCATGTCGGATTCTTCGAGGCGGAGAAGACGATCATCAGACAAACGGAGTTGATGGGTCAGCCAGGTGGCCACGACGGGTATAGCGGCAGGCCAGACGCGACGGCAATGATGTGACAATCCCTCGAAGATGGGGAAGACAAGGCGGTCGAATAGGAAGGGTGTATCGGAATCCCAGTCTGGCAGGTGGTCCAAAAGAAGACGAAGAGCTTCAGGACGAATGTGTTGTCGAGCGAGGAAGCCGCGGTAGACGAAGAGCGGAGGAGCGTGGGATCCCGTGAGCAAGCGGGCGGCAAAGAGCGAGTCTTTGGTAGAGAGAATGTTGGCATAGTAGTCGACGTGATGCTGCGTGTAGCCCAGGGAGCGTAGAACAGGGTGTTCTCGGTCTGTCAAGGAGATGATCCTATCATCAGGCGTGTCCGGCTTGTGTGACGTGTCAGAGGCGGCCATGAGTTCCAAGCGACGGTCGACAATCTTCTTCAGAGCCTTGTGGTTGGGACTCGATGAGAGGTGCCATGTCTTTGGTTTGCGATTGTCTTCGCGTTGTTGGTATAGATGAAGAGCAGCTGATCGATAAGGAGAGAAATCGACAGCGACTCGACGCAGCAAGTCCCGCTGCTTGTCAGCAGGAAGGTGGTCGCTCTTCACATGGCCGTGGTTGGAGAAGGAGCGACGGGCGTTGTTGCCGAGTGACTTGCAGAAGAGGGTTCGAGTAGCATATTGGGCCCGTCTACCGAGGGACAGAGCACCAACAACGGGCATTCATCAGGTCGTGCGCAACAAGTCTGCTGTCGATTGGCAATCACATCCAGCTGTCCATTCGAAATTATGTCTAGATACACTCCCGCCAAGCAAACAGAGCAAAAGCCGCCCAGGCCGAAGCGGGAGCGGAGAGAGCCGCTGCACGCAAGGGCCACGTCTGGCCTGGCAGACAGAGATGGTCAGGTCGTTGCAGGAATGATTGTTTCTATTGTCTAGTCATCGAATTGCTGTCGCTATTGAGCTCTGCTATTGAAAGCCATCCGACAATCGCCTGGTTGTATTGTTGCGAGTCTGCTATTGTGCAAGTTCAAAAGCTGGGGCAGCTGCCAGTCCAAAGCACAACGCGTCTTCCCTCATTGCGACTTTTGCGACCAGAGACGCGGGGACCATGACCGACACCACCATGACCGATCACCACCAGAGCAATGGCGACGTCGCCGCTGAACACTCTACTGCTCCAGTCGACTCTTCCCCGACCGGCGTCAAACGAAAGCGCCACGAGTCCGAAAAGACTCAACAACCGAAAACACAGGCACAGACACAGCTGTTCCTAGACCTTTGGGAGCTTCTGAAATCGTCCGTCGCGTCCACTACCCACCATCTGCCACATAGCATACTGACAACCATGCCAGAANACGATCCCGAACCCTCAGTCCTGCACCTGCCATTGCCTAACGCGTCGCGACTCTCCCACACCAACGGCGATTCTACCAAGCGCCCGAAGCTTGACCACGACGACCAACAAGACACTATCGCCTCGCGCCTGCAGAACAACCTCTACCCAAGTCTCGATGAATTCGAGCACGACCTCGACCATGCTCTCGATACCCTTTTCGAGCCCCTCAAGGCCAAGGATCCTACAAAGAACGCCCAACGTCCCGCCAACCAAGACGTTACTGCCATGCAGACTCTCTCAGCATTCCGCGCCCTCGTCAAAGACTGTCTGGAACACGAACGGCCCAAGGACGAGACCATGCCTGTCAAGAAGGAGGACGAAGATCCGCTTACAACAAACTCCACCAAGACTGTTTTGAGTCTGTACGGAAACGCTCCTCAACCGAGACAGCTCTTCTCCAGTCTACCGCTGTCGAACACGTCGATACAAGGTCCTGGCCTGTCTGTCGAGGAACTCGGTCTACCCACTATGCTTTCCGCCACCAAGGTCGTACCCCTGCCTCCTAGCGACGCCGCAGTCGCTCGAAAGGCCAACCCTACCTTTGCCGACGTCTTTCCTTCGCCTGCATCCCTGCCGCCATTAAATCCTCCCAAGCCGACCAGGCATTCGTCTTCCAAATCCACTGCCATTTCATGGTCGTTCGGCGAACTTCCAAAAGCTTCGAGAAAAGGTGGATACACACTGCAGCCCCTGACTGTGGGAACCTGGGTAGGCTACGGTGCTCATGAAATCAAAAAGTCCGCATCTGCAATCAAGCGCAGGCGGAGGGAGAGTCTTCTGAATGGCCAGGAACAGCCAAAGCCTACCGAAGAAGCATCTCCTGCCGATATCATCGCCCAAGAGGCTGCCCTGTTCCGCGCCGCTTACTCCGGCTTCGCTCCGACCCAGGACAACTCGAAAGCTCTGGTGGCCAAAGAGACAAAGGACATGGTTTGGTGGCACAGGATGGGCCAGAGACGATTCGATGACCACTTCGTCCTTGATCCTGCTCTGCAGGAATCTCCCNTTACCAATGATGGCGAGGAATCGACCAAGGAGGCTGCCGCTGAAAACGTCTTGAGCGCAGACGACCTCGAAGCCATCCAAATGGCCATCAAAAACTTTGACGAGGAATCTTTCAAGCCAAACAAACTCGAAGTTGTGTCCACCATCAATGAAGAAGAGCGCGAGGTGGATCAAATGCTTGTGGAAATCTCCAACCTCCTGAAAGCTTTGTCTTCGCATCAACGCATCCGAAACTCCTACATTCCCACAGGCTCGCGCAACCCAGCAAGTCCCAGTCCGTTACTGAGCGCTATGGTCGGTACGGCAACTGCCCCATCAGCTGAAGAGAACGAAACCTACAGAGCTCTGCGATCACAATTAGCCCAGCTGATATCCAAGCTTCCGCCTTATGCCGTTGCCAAACTTGATGGTGAAAAGTTTGCAGACTTGGCTGTCAAGAAGAACATTGTCATCCAGGGCAAAGAGTACCGTGGAACCATGGAGGAGGACCAACTTACTCGTTTGATTCGTTCCTCGGCTATGCAGGCTGCTGCTGCTGCTCAGAAACCAGACTCGACAACACAGTATGGACGCACACCATCTGTTTCCAGTCGCTCTGCGCACACATCAGCAAACTATTACAACTCTAAGACCCCAGCCGCAAATTACCGCGGTGCTGCACAAAGCTATAATGCACCTGCTACTGCTCCGCGTGCTGGGGCCGGCTATCCCAACACTTACAACACCAGTAGTACTGGCCGCTCGAGCTTCAGCACGCAATACTATGGTCAGCAACGACCGACATATGCTTCAAACTACAGCACCCAAACCCCTCAACCCGTCAATCCTGCTCGTACAGGTTATAATGTTCCTCAAACCACATATGCCCCTCGCACCACTGCATCGACCTTTGCCAACGGCACTCCTACTGCCGCTGCCTACACGCCACAAAACTATGGGCAAACACGACCTACTTATGGTTCTGCCAGCACACCCGTACCACAGCAGACGTACCAATCTCGTACGCAGAACCTTGCAGCCTCTCAACCACAACCTTCCTCTGGCCGCGCAACACCGACTTTCGCCCAACCTCCAAACCCAAACACTTCGTCAGCGGTCGGACCTTCTGGCTTTCACAGTACACTAACTCCTGAACAACAAAGGTTAATGATGGAGCGACAGCGCGCAGCACTAGCCATGCAACCGCAATCTGGACTGGCAGCGCAGACAGCACCAATGGGAGGCAGTCCTGCAGCACCCCAAGCTGCCATGCAACCTCCGAACCAGCAACCCAACGGATCGCTTTAGGAAATGATCAAGGACATCGAGGGACCATTGGCAAAATATGGAACTGGAACCCACCGCTGAGGCACACCTTGAACGATTGCTGATTGCTCGCTGTGTGGTTCTCCATGCTTGCTACCCAAATTGGGATTTTAATAGATGTAACGGCAGAGTTGGCAAAGCAGATAGCATCGGAGCAACGGAATACGAGAAGTGTTGCCATTCTATAACCACAATTAATCTGTCTCTCTGTTCTCTATACAAATCCACTCTTCCATCTCACCTAACAACTTTTACAATCTCAGACTGTGCTGGCGGAACCTGGTGCCTGACTGCTGTCAATAATCCGCCCATCGGTTCACGGCTCAGGAACGCGTCTTCTAGTTTCTAGCGATACCGGAAGTCAAACATATCACTGGTCCATCAAGCAAGGTTTGTACAGCGGCCCCGCCATTTGCGTGTTTGTCAGCCATTTTTGCCAAAAACTGGGGAAGTGGGGTGCAGCAGTCATGACGTGGGCGACGAGATGGTGCTCTTGGTTGATGTGCTTTCCATCTCTTCTGCATGCTGTTAATTATCAAGCGTCGGAATCACCTTCGTCAAGCAAGGACTTGCATGTTAGTCACAGGGAGCTATTGATGGCGGGCATATGGACATGAAAGCTCGTCCGGGGTGGGCACGCAAGGTGCTTCCTTGCCGAGCACGTCTTAGGGTTGGTGAAGCTTTTTTGTCAAGACAATGTCTCAGATGGCTGATGGCATCGTTTGGGGTTACGGCAGATGGCTGGTATCCTTGTTGATGCCTCACGTTGATCGGGCTGGGGTGCATGGTCGACCACTGCGGCGTGCCGTCTTTTGTCGACACGGTCTCCCGCATGTGCATACATGCTCATCCTCGTATAGAGGCCCGGATACCACGGCTGTTCATCTCTGCAGTGTCCATGCAACAGATCGAAGACTTAACCGGCGGGGTCACAGTTGGCTCTTGTCGCATTCCGGACCGTTGCTATCCGCGATCAGTTGAAGTATAAGTAGGTTAGCTATTGCCCAGTGTTCGCCATGTAGGTGGTGCCTTCCTCTATATCGTTCCAATGCCTTCCCTTTCCACAGTCGTTGGCGCCTTCCTTGGTGCAGCTTCTTTGGCTGCCAGTGCTGCCGTGCCCGTCGCTCAACCTTTCGAACACTTCAAGATCAAAAGACAATCTACCAATACCACCAGCAACAGTGACCTACAAGTTGATCTCGGCTACGAAGTCTACGAGGGGTACACCAACCAGACTACAAACATCAACATCTGGCGCGGGTATGTCAACAGACGTTCCACCCTCGATCGACACTAACCATTCGCGTTTAGCATTCGTTTCGCTGCCCCTCCGACTGGGTCTCTGCGCTGGCAAGCACCTCAAGTTCCTGCAGAGAACCGTTCACAAACCATCCAGGCCACTCAATACGCACCCCAATGCNCTCAGAGCTCGCTCTCGGGTGGTCAGGGCACACTCTCGACCGAGGACTGTCTTTTCCTCAATGTTTACGCCCCAGAGAATGCAACAAATCTTCCAGTACTTGTCTGGATTCATGGTGGAGGCTATGGACTTGGCAATGGTCGTCAAGACATGCAAGCCATCATCAACACTAATAACAACTCGTTTGTCGCTGTGACTATCCAGTATCGCCTTGGTGCTTTCGGTTTCTTGTCCTCGGATGAGGTCGATCGCTTTGGTTCCGTCAATGCTGGTATCCTTGATCAGACTTTTGCACTCAAGTGGGTTCAAGAATACATCTCTTCTTTCGGTGGTGATCCACGCTCGGTAAGTATTTCTGGAGAGTCTGCTGGAGGAGGTTCAGTCATGCTGCAAGCCATGGCTTATGGTGGTACTTTGGGCACTTCGTTATTCAAGAATGCCATCGCGGCTTCTCCTTACTTGCCTATGCAGTATGGGTACAAGGATTGGGTGCCTTCGCAGTCTTACTACGCTTTTGCGGGTTTGGCCAACTGCATGCCTAACACTGCTTATGGGTCTTCTGCTCGCACCATCTTTGAGTGTTTGGTCAACCAAGATACCACAACTCTGCAGTACGCCAGTTTCAATGTTTCTGCTTCCGGCACTTTCGGTACTTGGGGCTTCTTGCCTGTCACAGATGATGTGTTCATCCAGCAATTGCCTAGCCAGCAACTCTTGGAGAAGAAGGTGAACGGACAGAACCTTCTCGTCGGCAACAACGCCAATGAAGGCCCTCTATTCGTTCCTCAGACCATCAATACTGAAGCCGATCTCGTCGCTTGGTTGGAACTCACCTTCNCCCTCTTCAGCAACGACGACATCTCAAGAATCCTCCGCTACNTGTGAGCTCTTCCCCTTTCTCCTCCAATTCTTTCGACAGAATCCTAATGAAAGATATCAGACCCCAGCTCCAACGCTACAGACTCGCCTTCAGCACTCGACTTTGCAACCCTGGGCAACTCTGGCCCAACAGCCATCAACGAATCCTCCGTAGCCACAGGCCAACAACAACGTGCCAACAACATCTACGCCGAAACCACCTTCGTATGTCCCTCCTACTGGATGGCCGAAGCCTACACCGGCGACAAATCCTCCTTCAAATACCAATACTCGGTCCCCGCCGCCCAACACGGCGCCGATGTCTCCGGCTACTTTGGCCCCGCAGCACCCACCCAAGGCCCTGCTTTCGAAGCCGCCTTCATGTCCATCTGGGGCCAATTCGTCGTAAACTCCAATCCTTCCATTCCCTCGAACATTGCAGGTGCGGGCGGCCAAGCTGCTGTCAATTTCCCGCGTTTCAATGTTTGGAACCCCGTGCAGGTTAATCTTAATCAGACTGGGGGTCAAGAGCTTTATGGCAAGATTGGGGTACAGAATATTAATGCTACTGTTTATGTGGGGCCGGGGTTGGAGAATGACTTTGAGGTTGTGGATGCGTATGCTTGGGAGGGAGGTAGAGGACAGAGGTGTGATTTCTGGAGGGCGGTTGCTAAGATTGTGCCAGAGTAGATGTGAAGGGGAAAGGGAGAAGGATATGAGGGTGAGGAAGGGGGTATATAATCAGCAGTGCTTAATGTCCAATATGTTTTCCTGATACTCTAGCTTCTTACATTTTTGTCTCTTTCCTAGTTGTGCATGCTCGTCTTCTGACTTCCATCGCCTTGCCCTATCTGTCATGGTTATAGCTTTCTCGGCGTCTGTTGGTCATGGCCCAGGTCCCAAGTTAAGAGCGAGTGCTCCTCGATCGACTTCATTTTTGAAGCAGGACTTTGTTCGAAGGAAGATGCAACCCACATCCTTACATTGTCTCTAGTACGTTATCACTTTTCATCCTCTTATGAGGGGTCCATCGAGAACTGTGTCTTTCCTCTGAGCTCAGAAACAAACGTCGAAGATGCTGGATTTCTGCGACCATGGACCACACAATCATGTTATGACCACAACTTTTCTACCATATACCTTCCAGATATGCTTCTACCCATCGGGTCGTTGCTTGAGTATTCAGATAACCTCTTGGTTGAGATATCTTCTATTTGATCTTGGAAATGCTTGTCATGGGTGTCACCCTGCTGACATACACCCCCTGACACAAAGAAGAAGAAAAATGGAGGAAAATGAACAAGAGAAAGTGAAGCGAGGACACAGAACAGTATACTAGAGCCAGGAAACCGGCCCCTCCAAGTGGCAAAACGTGTGACACCTGTGGCTATCAGAAGACGCAATGATCTCGAGGTTCTGGATGATGTTCACTGAGAGATGATGTTTTACTGACTCGCTACAGTTGGATCTCTGAGCGAGTTATCTTTTGGGTATCTTTGCAAGTTACACATCGCTTCATGCGAGGAGAGCGGGAGTTGATTACGTGAAGAGAGTGGGAAAAGTGTGTCATTGTGTAAAAGTCGTAAAGTATGCTAATCCAACAGTCTTCTTTCTATTGCCTTTGTGGATCAAATTAGGCTGGGATGAGCTGCATGAGATTAAAAAATGCCAGAGTAGTTCAGATCTCTGTGTTGATCTTGATGGTCTGGTGTGGTCTGTCATTCTTCTGAGTCAGCTTGATTATCAATGGAGTGTACGTTGGACAGGGCTCACTTTTTCGAAGAAAGAGGGCCGACAAGGAAATGATGTTCAACAATGCTCATCCTTGCTGTGAATATGGAAGAAGCACTTGTCTCTCTTGGGAAGAGCAGGGAATTTGACATCTTGGCTCACACGAGACTGATGCACTGCAATCACAAGATCCACAAAGATCTCGTTTGTCCAGTTTACTGCGTTTCTAGAAAGGAACGTGTCCGGCTCAGACTCGATTCCCACTGTCCAGCCTATGATTTCAATGAAAGCCTTGCGCAGCGGAGATCTTGCCACAGTCCGTGCATATACTGCAGGAAGTGCGCCAGGGTCGATGTTTTTAGTCGTCGTGCACTTGGCAAAGATGCTGTCCATGACTTGGTTTTGAAGGAGCGGAATCTGGTGTTTGTCGCCGAAGATCCAGAGCCTAGCCATTGTATCGAAAGTAAGAGCCGCAGTATCGAGCTTGCGAGTGTAGCGCCAGACTTGGAAATGCTCGAAAACGTCCTTAGTCACTCTGGGAAGGTCGATCTTGCGTTCAGTAGCCTCCTTGAACGAGCCCTGAAAAGCAGCACGGAAGTAGTCAGAGTAGAAACAGAGCAGGTCTTTGCGCACGTTGTAGGCCTTCTTCTCTATTCCGACGATCAGAGTGACTGTTTCTTGAAAGTGTTCGCTATTGAAGGTATAAGCACCGCAGGGGACAAGTTGGAGTTTTGCTGGAGTTGTTCCATACCGCGAAGGCCATTTGTCGGGCGTTGAGACAGCACCTTTGGAAGGGGTCGACATGGTGAATTGGGCGACGTGGAAGATGTTGATGGCAGCGAGTTTGGTAAGAGCGGGTGAGAAATGGTTGTTGAAAGCCAACGCGCAAGTGGTAGTGGTTCTGAGTGTGCCTTCTTCAAGTATGCTGATGCGAGAGAAAACGTGGGTGATAGATGCGTGATGGATGTCAGAACTGAAGCAGATGTTCAAGCAACCTCCAGTGAGACGCTGCAACAGAATGAGACCAACGAGTGGAGCCGTTCGAGAAGTTGCGACACAATCAAACAGTATTTCCGTGCAATACGTGCACCAAAAGTGAAAAGATCAAAACATGCATTTGTCCGGAGGTCCCAGAAATGATTGTTCTTCCTACGAGTATTGCTCGTTCCAGGTCCAGCATCCCACAGCAGTCTATCCCATTCCCTTCGTCCATAAAAAAAAGATGCATACATAACGTCCAGCAAAACGCCTGCCAGCGCCAAACAAATCCCTGTATCAGACAGCCACCCAGCAAAAAAAGAAATAACAATGAAGATGTGCTATATTAAACAAGTCAAGCAAAGAAAGGAAGGTGGTAGGTCGTGAGACAGCTCCTAGCGTATGTCGAGCTGGAACTGTTTGAATCGTCCGCTCATTGTGCGACAGCGTGGACATTGTGCTATGCGTCCGCGGGATTGTTCTGACATGAGTGCTTCGACACAACCCGTGCACAGGCCGCAGATGCATTCGGTGCAAGCGAAACACTCCTTGAGTATGCTAAGCCTCCTACAGCCTGCACAATATATCTGGACGGGGTTCGAGAACATGGGTGATGAATCTGAAGAGAGGTTTTGCGACGGCATGATGTGAAAGTTGTTGCCTGATTGGTTGGAGTCGATAGAGGATGAGACGGCGTTGTCTTCGACAGAGGGGAATGGCCCCAGGTCTAGGGGTGGTCCATCTGCGTCGGCGGGAGGAGGTGTGAGGGTTTGTTGTAGAGGCGATGCAGTATATGATTGGAACTGAGAGCCGAGAGCGAAGGGCGCAAGTGGTGTGCGTGCACCGACTTGTGGTGATTTATAAGGAGATACGGGTAGCNNTGTTACGAACAGTCAGTGGCAGCCGTTCGTGACAAAAGAGAGTTGTGTCCGACGCACAGGTGTGAGGTCCCGATCTTCCTCAGTGGCAGACGTCGCAGCGTCTATCAAGTCTTCCCATCTCTTGCCGTACATGTTAGGTTCGGCGCTGAGGGCCTTGCGGTTCTCGTTCTTGATCTTGTCTCTCTCGTGCTTTGCTTTGCGGGCACTCTGTGTCAGCGAGTTCTTATGTGAGCTATGGGAGATGGAGCGCTGCATGGGGGGAAGGGTGTTCTGGCGACTCGAGGGCGACTTGAGCAGCGACAGGCCCGAGGGGTGGCTCTGATCTTCTTGGTATTGGCTATCGAGGAATTGCTGGCCGGCCGAGAGCGTGGGATCTACCATGTGAGCTCTCTTTGCGTCGGTCACATGGTCGTTGAAATAGTTCTGACGCATGTACTTAGCGCTCGGAGCAGCGTCATCAGCGCAGTCAGGGCCTACTTGATCATTGTCCCATTCTCCGTCTGGTCGAGCATAGTGTAGCTGTGCCAGGGCGGCAGCCGCGCTCGCAGCTGGNATAAGGGAGCCCCGTCGGTACTCTGCCGGCAGGCCGTAGCCGTCGGGGGCTATCTGAACGGGGCCCAGCCCGCCTTGAAATCCATATGAGCTCAGCCCGTCATATGCAACGCTCATGGGCGCATTGAACACACCTGCAGAGGGTCCTCCAACTGCATACTGGTCGTTGTGGTGGTGATCTGCAGGCTGTGATCGCGGTTGGCGTGGGGCAGACGTCGGCGACCATAGCTCTACTCGAGGAGGCCGTTCAGACGGCGGCGAGTTGACCATTAAGTCGAAGCTCTCCTTGGTTGCCGGCAGCTTGGGAATGTAATATTCCGGATGCGCTCGTCGGATGTGCTCCTGCATCGAGCGGAAACGCTTCTCCTATAATTCCTTTGTAAGTCGCGTTCTCATCTTAACATGACCGATACGGCGAAGCATTGCGGCGTGGAGGAACGACTGCGGGGCAGACGGGACAGCATGGTGCATGGGACAATAACAGAGACAAAGATAACACGGTCGACGACAGCAAAACAGTGGATATTGGGAGACGGAGCAAAAGCAGAGAGAAGAAATAGGGGACGCACGCCCAAGCATTTCTTGCGACAGTTGCTGCCATCAGCAGACTTGATCGGACAGACGACTTCATTGTCCGGATCAGACGTGTGATGGTTAGACGTGTGGTTCAACTTGGGAGGCATGTCGATTGAGGAGTCGAGTCTTGCAGCTCGAGCTGTCAGCTTGACCAGCCGCAAGGCACCTGATCCAAGCTACGCAAAGGGATGACGATGATTGAAGCCTTTCGGGGCGAAGGAACAGAGGCAGGTCGGATTACCAGCTCAGGCGGGTACGGCCGGCGAGGGGTAAGGAGCTGTCATGGAGCTCGATTGGAGCTCACTGAAGCTTATCCACTACACGCCAAAGAAGCAATATAAAGTACGTGGCAGACGGAGCGCGCGAAAGAGGTGTGAACTTGAGAAGATACGTGACGATAGGAGAGTCGAGAGAAGCTGGACACAAACGCCCCACACACGCGGGGCAAGCAGCGACAAAGAGCAACAGAAAAGGCACAGGCCACGGCAGCTCAGGAGCTTGCAAAAACACACCTGAGCACCTGAGCGACGCGACCCTTGGACGATTCTTCTGACCGCGACGCCGCCGAAACCCAGGCCAGCTAATCATGACTTCACCGCCCTGCCCTGCAATCTGCCATTGGCTGCGACGCATCAGCTAGCCGTCAGTCCAAGACAACATCGCTCAAGGACATCCTTCTTGTTCCGCTCTGGACCATCGATATATCTTGCACGTCGTCGCAACTCCTTCGCTCAGTGGTTGAATCCAGTCGTGTCCTCTTCCTCTCAGCGCCGAGCGATTCCATCACATGCTCGTTGGGCGCACGGTCATCGACGGCCGAAAAGCAACGCCAAAATAAAGCTGGAACCTAGTTTTGACCGTTTATCTATGGACACCACTGTTTCGGCTTTCATGTACGTGATAAGACAGCAAGGTCGACGCCTTTGTGTTGCATCTATCAAGCCGTCAGTGTCTCCTGACGGCCCTGCACAATAACGACTGGTCCCGAGTAGACACGACGGCCTTGGAAGAAGTAAGTTATCAAAGCCCCTACAACAACGGCGACGAACATGACCGGCGCCCAGTTGAAGTTGTCGACGGTGACTGGCTGAGAGTTGGGCCAGAAGNNCCTATTCGTTTATTAGCCATGTATACTCTGGGAGATTCGTTATCACTTACACCAGAAGAAGGCCTCCCAAGCGAAAAGAAGGCCGACAATGTTGACCAACACACCCCAACGGCCAAGACTCCACCTTGCCTTTGGAAGGAGGTGCGGGGCCGTCAAACGTCTGTACAGCACGCAAGTGATTGAAATGGCGTATGTTCCCATCTGTGCTACAGCACCGAGTGAGATGATTGCATTGAAAGCAGCCGAAGACCCAATGTTGATCAACGACAAGATGATGGTGAATACTGCCGAGAAGATCACAGCATTCACCGGGATCATCAGCTTCGGGTTGACGTATCCCAGCCAGCGAGAACCAGGGAATCCACGATCGCGAGCAAAGGCATAGGTCTGTCTTGCTGTCGATGCCTGGTAGGAGATGTTACCAGCCATCAACAAGATCATCATCAAAACAGCCAGGACAATTGTGCCAGTCATTGGCATTGCTTGCTGGAAAGCGTACATCATCGGGTATCCAGTCGCATCGTTGATGGCATCCTCGACTGATGGCATAGCAAACAAGAATGAGACTAGCATGACCAGACCGAGGAGACCGTTCACAATGTAGGTCCACCACNNTTGAGAATATGTCAGCATGTTCAAAGACTATCCTCATGTATGCCATGACCAACTCACCATAGCTCTTGGGACTGAAAGTCCGGCGTCTTTCACTTCTTCAGACATATGGGCCGCTGCGTCCGAGGCTCCAAGGAAACCGACTGCAGAAACCTGACCGATCATGAGAGCGAGACCCATCGTCTGCCAACCACCATCGTTTTGGAAGTCCAGGAATACCTCCCTTGCGGGAACGTGCGGACTGAGAACCCAGAAAACAATCATGATTGCCAGAAATCCGGCGACGTGCAATACCATGACTGCATTTTGCATGCTTGGCAGCCAATGGTTGAACCAGACGTTGAAGACGACACAGACCAACATGACGGGAAAGACGAGCAATGTGCCCTGCCAGCCAGGTGCAGCATATTCGGGGTTCTTGATGATGATCAATGATTGGATTAATGTTCCGCAGAGGAAGCCTCCAGAAGCATTTCTGCCAACGAGTCAGCCCGTCTGGTCGGTGTTGTGCGCGAGATACATACCCNNGGCTTGCCAACTCAGAGTCGACACCCATCCTGTGATGTACGACAGGAACTTCTGGCAACTCGGTGGTGCGAATTCTGAGACCCAGTGATACTGGCCGCCACTTTATGAGTTGGGTCAGCGACAATCAGTGTTCCAATCGCTTGCGACTTACCAAGTCGGAGCTATAGAACTCATCTCTGCCAAACTGGCAACGATGAATCCATATCCAATCATAACCCAGACATAACTCCAGAACAGACCACCACGACCGCCATCAACAAGACCCTGCGTACAAGCCATGAGAACAAACTCCCATGTTGCCATCAAGATGGCAGTGAACGACAGCAGCGAGACTTGGCGGAATACTCTNCTGCATTACAGTGTCAACGCGTGTCGCGGAATAGAGAGCCGGTATCTACAAGCACTTACACGAAGTTCTTGCTCCTTGCCCATACGCATCATATCTCGCTTGTCTGATGGCACAGATCCATATACGTCTGCCGTTCCATCCATCTCTTCACCTCTAGGAGAGTCATTGTACTCGCCCAGTTCGAATTGTGCATGACGAGCGGCGGCAGCGGTCTTTGTAGGTCGATTATCAGAGTCGCCAATCTCACGCTCGCCAAAGCGGATAGCGCTGCTCTTGTTGTCTTCTGAAGACGTCGACATGCTATTGGAGATAGTGAGGTTGTCGCTCAATTGCAAAAAGAATACTTTGGGACTTCAAGGAGGAAGAGCGCAGAGAAACGACAAACCAAGGATTGTAGAAGTCATACATATACTGTCAGCAGGCACTATACGTCTTTTTGCCAATCAATTTTAGTACAAATCGCACACATGAGCCACCTTCCGTGTTAAGGCAACGAAAGACACCAGGAAGCGAATGGTCTCTACCCACCACCTGCACGCCTTTCTACTGATGCTACATCGTGCCGCGGAGCATGGACTATGCTCAGCGATAGCCCGGGTCCAGAGTTCACTCTGCATACAAGCAAGGTCATTGCGGCTTGTACGCAAGCCACGCCACCTACATCCCGGCCAAGTTTCTGCGCAAGCGTCTTGGATAGATTATTCCGGATCTTCTTTGTTCATCTTACGCACGTTAAATATTCCGGAAGGATGAACATGGTTTGGACAGAAGGTGTTTGAAGCTTGAGTGGAGATGTTCGAACCCCTCAAGATCTGCGGGAGTCGGAGGGTCTGGGCTTTTGGTGCTATACCACATAGATTAGCCGGCTGATAAGGACGTCGCTTCTTTGTTCAACATCACAAAGGTCCGAAACTGCTAGCTAAGGACACGCAAGTCAAAGGATGGATCCTCTGGACGAAAAAGTCAATTGATCCTGATGCCAATAATGAAGCAAGCCATCAGACGCTTTCTCGAACTCGAAACCAAGACATGGAGGCTTCATCTCTGGCGTCTTGCTGTGCCGTATGCCAGACCGAGACGGGCATGTGCCGCTTTTTGCCTACTGATAAGAAGAACACTGCCTATAGGTCTACTTGCTAGCAATACGTCAAGCTATGAGCGTTTGACGAGTTGCTTGACGCGGCTGCGTTTCCTGCCGAATGCTTACCACACTTTCGGTATTTCCTCATTTGCGCCACCAAGTTCTTGTCCCTGAGTTATGATTATGGCTTCCTGAACGTGCGGGCTCGCAGATGCAGGGTTCGAGATGGATATTGCAACACTCATAACCCTCCCCTTGTATCCAGCCCGACGAGACCCACCGGAAATATTCTCTTCCGACGATATTGGGATCCTTCGCTGCTTACTGTTCAGGGCTCAGAAGTCACGTATAATGCAGTCGACGGTTTCTCCCTCAAGGTCGACCAGCAATTGAGCACAAGCGAGGTTTCATCTCACCTGCAGACGCCATGAAGTGCCTTGTCGATCATCTTGCACAGTATGGCTAAGCATCAACACACTCGTACGCCGCTTGGCCCTGCCACAGTCCAAACGGCCCGGTTGGCGAGATGAACCGGCTACACGAGTGGCTTGCGTGCTCTAGGCCGGCTTGTGTTGACAAGGGTCGCTCTTACCGGCAGGAGCAATAGCCACAAGGGTCTAGCGAGCCTTTGTTTCGTGAAGACCAACAAGCCGAGCGATTATCTCGAATGGCTCCTTCATCGACGATAACGTGAGAAGGATGCATACGCCATAATCGAAAGTATCGGAAAATACGGCGGCCGCACAATAAAGAGTATGTGGCGGCATGCGCACCTCTTTCGACGCTTTTGGTGATGTGCTTCCACCGCTTTTCTTTCTAACCTACGCTGCAGCCGCTGCATGATGCCCATATGGCAACAAATCTGACGACGGTCAACGGTGCTCCTCTACCGCCGGGTATTTATTACTTCTCTCGTATCACAGACACGGATCATGCTGGCTACGTTTGGATTGTCGCATTACTTTCCTTGATATATCCCTTTGGTACTCTGGTAGTACGATTCAACGTCAGGTAAGCTCTGAAACGAACAAGACAGGGGTTTGACGACTGAGTACGTGATGGAAACAGGTGGGGCCTGTATGGTTCAGACGACTGGGTGTTACTGGTAGCAACAGTGAGTCGAAACCGTTGTCTTGAAGCGTGTAATATCTGACTGAAGTCTTTAGNNTTTGTTGCTGCTTGTCAACATATCCCTGTCTTCGTCGGCTTGAAGGCAGGATTCGGCCAGTCGAGCAAGATACTCCAGCAAGACCAGTTATCGAATGTTGATGNNAAGTGGGGTGACAGCTAAACCACCAAGACAGACTCCGTCAACTAACAGATACAGGCCATCTACGCAGCTGAAGTACTGTTTATTTTAGCATATACGCTTTCAAAAGTCTCCCTCGCATTATTCGTCAGGCGGCTCTTTACCCACAACACAAGACTCAATGCTGTATTGTGTTGGTCGTTGCTGAGCCTTACCATTGCGTGGGGCGTTGTAGCTCTGTTCGTCCTTCTAATCGACTGCTCGCCATATCACTTCTTCTCTCAAGCAGTCAAATGTCCATCCTATGTCAGTACAAAGATATGGCAGCTTGAGACACTGCTAACTCGGTGACAGATCGCTCGCTGGCGAGCCGTGACAATACTCGACATTATCACAGAAGCCGCGCTAATGGTAGTCCCTTCCTACCTAGTGTCTGGTGTTATGATAGGCTCACGACCAAAGATGCTTGTCATGACCGCATTTGCATTCAGACTCGCGTAAGTAGCCTCTTGATCATGATCTGTATCTGTCCTGACAAGGCCTAGGGTGGTTGGATTCTCCGTCACGCATCTGCGACGGCTCTCCCAAACGATCGGCGCACAAGACAAAGGCTTCTCCTTCATACCACCAGTCATTTGGATACAAATATGGCTGGCGTGGTCTCTGGTCAGCGCATCAATACCTTCGTTCCGATCGTTCATGAATCCTCTCGAAAACATTACCATCGCAAAAACAGACGACTCTCACAGTGCGTCGCGTTCCGAGGTCAATGGCGCGTATCTTTTGATGGGCCCTATCAAATCCTATCATCGAAGTCACATCGCATCGGCGCGATCTGCATCTCAAGGATTGAGCTTGAACTCAAAGCTAGGCACAAGGACGTCAGTCCACCATGCACATCGCGATCAGGGTGTCGACGAGAACTCGTCTATCAGCTCTCAGACAGGCATTATTCGCAAAGAGGTGGAATGGCAGATTACCCATGACCATGACCCGCTGTGAGCCATGCAGGTAGAGATGTACCTATACAAGTTCTTTCCGATCGTGTGTTGTCACAACAGGGTTGAGAAAACAAGCTGTCATCTTTACGCGGTCGTGCAAGTCGTGCCTGCTTCATGAAGTCACTTGAGTTTGCAAAGTCGCGAGCAACTGCTGGCTGCGGACGAATCTCGCGAGGCGATGTAAGCGAGCCCCGATGACAGTAACCTTTGCCGAGACCCTCGATAGGGCTCGCCAGAAGTTCCGGCCGATACAATCTTGAGACACTAAGGCCACAATAGGACATCGCACCTCGAGAGGCCGTGGAAAGATGAAAGTTCAGTGTATCTATCGCGAGGTGTTCGGCAGTATACTCGTTGACACTGGATATCTGGTTCTTCTTCAATGGCAGAATTCTGACAATGTTTTATATCTGTTCGTCTCGCGTCAGACTGCGCCGCTTCGTGTGCGACTTCCTCGGGCGGAGCATCACGATCCGATGGCTCGGGCGTAGCTTTAGCGCCATGCAGATCTGGATCCCCAAACCCACTTTCCAGTCGGTTGATGTTTCTGTCTTTCAACGGAGGGGAACATCCAGGTCGTTTTTCCAGGTTTTGCTCAAACATGCCTCAACGCCTTGCTCTTTCTTCTCTCTCTCTTTGTTCATTTCTCTCTACTCTCTTTTAAAAGCGCTTGTGAGGTGCAGCGTGGGCAGCTTCGATATGGCCATGAATGTTAAGCCGCTTAATGCAGATACCACATTCTTGATCAACTTTATCCCTGGGGTTGCGCCTGTCCATGCCTCGGCTCGCTTTCCTGGCTCTTTTGCTGTGTTGATCGATCCGTGGGTGACAGGGAGTTCTTCTGTGTGGAAAGAGTCGTTCCAAATATCGCATCATACGACATCGCCTTGCATTTCTTCGTTACGGGATATTCCAGAACCGGATCTCATCATCATCTCCCAGGACAAACCTGACCATTGCCACAAACAAACGCTATGCACACTTCCGGCAGACTCGAAAGTGCATATAGTGGCAACTCCGGTAGCTGCCAAGTTAATCAGGTCGTGGAAACACTTTACGCATGCGAAGATTGAAACCATGCAGCCATATAACAGCAAAATCGAGAATTCTGTTATACGCATACCTATACCTGGATACTCTCTCACCAGCCAGGGCGGCGAAGTCACTGTCTCATACATGCCACAGAAGATGGATCCGACAAGGCTTCACAATGCAATTGGCCTCACATACCGCGCACCCAGCAGCAAAACAACATCAGTAAACGGTTCTATAGTCAACCTACTCAATCTCCCACCCACACCCCAAGATTCTCCAATGGCAGGCAATTTCCTAGACCTCATGCCAGTGGCTGATCGGAACGACTCCTTGACGCCCNCCGACTCGCCTATGGAACTCGAAGGAGACATCCCTAAATTCCCGCCTCGGGAAAAGACAATCAGTGTTTTATACAGCCCTCACGGTGTATCTTACTTTGCAGTCGAGCCATACGCATCCTCGTTATTAGCAAAAGAATTTGCATTGCCATTAACCGCTCTCTTCCACTCCATCAACATTGAGGAAAACCCTTGGTTCATGGGCGGCGTCGTAGCAGCAGGATATCCCGGAGGCGCTGAAATGGTTCGAGAATTGGGAGCGCGCTACTGGATCAGCGCACACGACGAAGTCAAGGAAAATCTAGGCTGGTCTGTAAAGTGGATCAAGAGTTCTGCATACTCAGTAGAGGAAGCACAGAACAAATTGGATGAGGAGAAGAAAAACATTGCATTGCATCAGGAAGGAAAGCGATCAAAAGTGGATTACAGGACACAGATTGTCAGACTGGATGTGGGAGAAAAGCTACGCATTGTTTGATTTGGAGCATTTGTTTCTTTTTCTTTCTTCCAGCGAGCATTTAACGATTAATGGGTAATGAACACTAATGAGGCCGTAACAAATGAAGGCAAATTTGACAACACAAATATTCCGTCGAGCATCATTCGTTCTCCCTAACCAAGACGCCTCTTGGGTCGTACTTTCTCTTAATCGCTTGAAGCTTGTCATAGTTGTCACCAAANACCTAGCAAAAATGTCAGCAAACAGCACAGGGACCCCGACTAAAGAGCCATAATCTTACCGCTCTCCGATCATTCCACGGCTGCAGAAAGTTGATAAAGTAGTCCGCCGGGGAAAAGCTCTCTCCTACAATCAACTTTCCAGCATTTTTGAGCATAATCATAGCGTCCGTATCCAGTTGAGTAGGGTAGTCACCTTCGTCCATTCTGCCCACACCCAGTTGCAGTAGATGCTGATTGGTGGTGTGTGGCCAAGCACACTGATCACTGCCATCAGCAGATCTAAAGACGGGTTTCTGGAAGAGTTCGAGGAGGACAAAAGTGCCGACGTGGAGTTTGGAGGGGTCAAGGGCGATTGTGGTTTCGAGCCAGTCCCAGGCACGGAGGATTAGTGACTCTGTCATGGCGGGTGAGGCAATGGTGATGTTCGACATTGAAGCCGAGCAGACTCCCTTGGCTGCTAGTACACTGTCTNNGGGGTTGTTCTGTATAAGCCATGATATCCTGCATCTCAGGAAAGGACATGCAACTTTACCGCCGTAAAGGTTTATCTCCCGCAGGCTCATGATTTTGGTCTTGTCGATAGCGCCTTCGATCTTGAAAGCCCAATCAAAGATTTGTCGTCCATGTTCCTCGCCTTCCGGATCGAATAGCCAGATTGCTATGCCTGGTTGTGCAGCTGCACCGATGAAAGATCCTTCCATCAAGTCCAGGTTGTACAGATACATTGCCGTACCAGGCCACTCCTCCATCCTCTTTGCAAATCCCTCAATTCCCTTTGCGACTTCCCTCAACGCAGAGCGCGGATAATGCACACTCCCGCTATAGATATCTGGCGAGTACCTATACACTTTCAACTTGAAAGCAGTCACGACGGCGACTTCGCGGCCGCCGCCGCGAAGGGCGAAAAGCAAGTCTGGTTCTTCAGAGGCCCAGACGACAGTTCCATCCAGCTTAACGACTTGAGCGTCGAGAAAGTTCTGAGGGTCGGACGCGAGACCATACGTTGACGAGATCCAAGACAGGCCGCCGTGGAGAACCATGCCACCTACGCCGACAAAACTGCAACGCGCACTCACGGCNTAGATGCAAACATATTTCAGCATAACCATTTGAAGGAGCGGATGAGGCTCAAGAGGAGTCATACCTTGATATCCAGACGCCTTCTCCTCCAAGTTGATCTCCACCTCACCCCAACTGCATCCCGCTCCAACAACAATACTCTCGCTGCTCTCATCGAAAGCAAAGTCTTTGAAACCAGACAAACTCACCAACACATCCTTTGCACTCGCATCGCCTATTCCTTGACATCTGGCCGTCCAATCCAGATCCGAGGCAGCGAGAAAAGCAACAAGGGCAGAAAGAGTCTTCAAAGATTGAGGCGCGGCGAGGATTTTAGGATGCAAGTTTCGATGGGCTTGCCATGTCTGGGATTCAGATTTATATTGGGGCGATGATGAGGGAATGATTTCGGATAAATCGAGGATGGTGTTGATGGCGTGCAATTCGGAGGTGTGCATTGTTTGTCTCGAGTAAAGAATGATGAAAGCTGGAGGAGGTAAGACTTGGAAGCTGTGTTTGTGTAAACTTCTTATTGTTTGAGGACAGAATGATTACAAATTGGTTCTTGAGTGGAAAGTGGGGGTCGATAATGCATGCGAATCCTTACAGTAGTGCTGACAGAGCCAAGAAACGCGCGCGAGATGCTCTTACAGGAAGATGCAGCATAAGCCAGCGGTCTCTGTACCCCGAATATTGCTGTCAGATAGGTTTAGGGAGATGTGATAGGCGATTTATTCTGGCTTGACTATGTTTGGCAGGCTAAGAATTCTTTTTGTGGTTTGGGGAGCTGCCTCTTGGTAGACACGTCTTTGTATACTCCACCCAGCTCGTTTTTTCTTGTACCTGCGTATTGTTACACACAGCTGCCAGATCTACCCCTTGTTCGGGGTTGCACCGCACGATGTTACCCTGCGACGCATGCTTGAGCAGATAGCTGAAGCCTACAAGGTCGAGCTTTAAAACCAGTACAGTGAGTCTCCACCTAGCACCAGGTTGGTTTGATCAGGCGCTCCTTATTTGCCTCAAAGATCCAGCAGCCGGTCGTTGTGAAAGGTGCTTCCAGCGGATCGAAGTTATGCTCGGTCATATAACGGGATTGTCGCTTCCTGTAGTAGTCCGCTCTATGCCCTGACCAGATGTATGTGAAAACATGACCTAAAGCTTGTCAAAAGCGGACCCCATCAGTCTCTCAAATTACCATTCCTTGGCCGACCAGTATCAGGCGTCGTTACCACAGACGCGTTGTTCGAACGAAGACTATGAAGGTTGTCGTCTGGGTGCAACATATCCTCCACAGTTTTGTTAGGCTGTTCAGAGTCCTTGAAACATATCAGCAAGTTGTGTAGCGTGTTCCCACTAGATGATACTCACAAAAATCCGCCAAAACATGACTTTGTTCGGCTCCGTAAGCTTGTTGACCTGTTGCTTGGCCCAGAGTAGCGCAGTTGCCCATTCTGGGTTTTTCTCAAGCACCTCAGCGGGAAGTGTCAGATCGTTGCCGATACGTTTCCCTAGCCCGTCACACCACCATTCATGATGAACATTGCTGAACAACACGCCGCAGTATATGTAGATCAAAACAGCCAAAGGTTCCCTTTGGGTCACCAGATGGAAGAAATCGGGGCCGACGAGTAACGAGAAGGCTATGATGGCGTACGGGGAGTCGTAAAACAATCGCAGCAGAAGAGCGATGGTTTCGTTGTATATCTTTTCCTGGGGACTTCCTGCGACTATATTGTACAAGGCGGTGATTCTGTTGTGGAAAGAGTTCCGAATTGCCGGGTCGTACTCCCAAGCAATAGTCTTGGGGTTGAAAAAGGAATTCATTGCACCATACTTGAGAGGCTCTAACATGGTCAAGTAAAGCATTGCTGTTCCTCTGAAGTAGTTGCGAAGTCCAGCGAGTTGCTCTATAGGATCAACGTCTGGATGAGGCATCGCAATCTCCACCAGAGTGGTGACAAAAGAGCTGAGATGATCGTCAGCGTGATCAGTCCAGAGCAAATGAGCTTGGCCTTGGAGGTGCTGGATTTGTTCCTCATGAGGGGTCTGGCTTTGGCCTACCGCTTTCAAATCGGGCTATACTTACAATGCGAAGGCAGCGTGACAGGTTTCATCGTTCACTTCACCAACTACCTTGAGATACACTGGTACCGCCCGGTTTTGATACTCGATAGCACATCGAACCCAGAATTTTTGGTTTAGTGGGTGTAGTTTGGAGCGATGCAGACAAGTCAGGGCCAGCAGGATGTCAAGCAGGTATTCGTTTTGGAAGGCCAACTGAGGGATACTATGTTCCCACATATGCCAGTCTTTGGGATCATGGCAGACCGTTTTGATGGTAGTCGTCGTGAAAAAGTGCATCAAGTCCATCTCTTCGGCCCGTGAGAGGATCTTTTGTTGAGTTTCGACAACATTTGCTGGCGAGTCCCGATCCTCGTGACCAGTAGAAGTGTTTTGATCATCCAAAGAGAAGCTGCAAGGTGCGTCTCGCTTGACGCAGTTTCCACAGCTTGGCCGAACTTCATCGCACNNTAAGGAAAATCAGTCCATATCTCGACATGTCAGGGATTGTGATTGAAGGACGACCTTGACGTGTCTTTTCTTGCATTGAACACATCCTCCTCTTGATTTGTGATGAGCCTTGCGAGTCGGTGGCATAATCAGTTCAGTATCGATTAATCATTACTCCCCGACAACTGTTCGAGGTCTTTTGTATGCTCCTTGGCGGTCCTGAATATTGGAATAGAAGACTTCCTAGGCATAGAAGAATTGTCGACGACGGAAGCAAGAGAAGTTATGTCAGGGTAAAGTTACGCATACAAGGCGCAGCGAGCTCGCCGTGCTCGCGTAGGGCAACTGTCGGAGTTCTGCGAGCCGAGGGTTATGAAGCTTGACCAAGGTGGACCTCCGAGCTCCGAGAAATCACTTTCTTTCTTGGAAGTCATCGACAACGTGATGCCATTTCGTTGGCGAGAATGTCTTTGCGAGAAAGGAGACATTCAAAGATCACGCCCACATCGTTATTCGTGGACAGAAGAACAAAGCTGTGTCCGAAGTTCTTCTTCCTTGGCACCGATTCTGGCATTACTTCTCAAGATGCTTGGTTCTACATGTAGTTGTGCCAATTCCGAGAACGGACAATAGCCTGGTACAGGTAACTGAAAGGAGTAGGGCTTGCAAAAGATCCGGACGTCGACGGCAAACTTAGAAAACTTAGGTCGTGGTATATAGGTAGTGCAAGAGATTTGCAGCATATCAATGGACGACACAGACTACTTATAACACAGTACTGATGGATGAGGAGACATGCAAGCGACCTATACTCTCGTATGTTTCGTATGATCATGGACGAAACATCTACTCATGGAAGCTCCAAGCTCCCTGATATCTGGCGACTGGTTTTCATCACAATTAGGGCTGAACTCGCGAATACGAATACGAAGCGGAAGACAAATCACAGGAAGAGGTGCACGGATATCAGTGATTACATGGTTGCTCAATTGCTCAATTCGTTCCACTGTTCCAGTCAATTGAGTGCTATGTTGCATCTTGGAATTGTATCAATCGAGTGAGATGGTGTAGAGAGTTAAAACATTCAATCATTCGTCTTGACATGTGACTGTGAAAAACCAGGTCCTTATCCCGGCCTCATGTCCGTATTCTTTATGGGTATCCAGTAGCAACACCGTGCAACACCAACATTAGCAATAAAAGCAAGCCCTCTAAAACGCCATGTCCCCTCAGGTCGTAAAGTTTCGTGTAGCAATAGCAGTATGATAGTGATTAGACTTCAGCAAATCTAACCATACGGCGCTTGAAAGAGGCTCCCTCGTCAAGCGAGATGGCTGAGTCTCGGTGGGAAGTCTTGCGCTTATCGTAACGGCGCTGTCTTGCTTCCTTGGACTCGCGAGCGCGCCATTCCAGGATCTGGCGACGGCGCCATTCGGAGCGCTTGGTGACCATCTGGGGTGTTGGTATGAAGCCGATGCCGTTGATCCCTTCGCCGTCGTCGTCGGCGGTGTAGTCGATGTTGTGTCCAGTGATTTCGTCTTCGTGCCATGTCATGTTTTCGTCTCGGTCTGGGATGTCGTCTTCGGCAGGAGTTGTGGGTGAACCGCAGCGCAAGGCGGACAATTTGTCTTGGGCGATCTTGATAGCTACCGGGAGAGCCATGTGCTGGTCCTCTTCGAGATTGGGCGAAGCGATTGGAGTGGGAGGTGGAGGAGAGGTGACACGACGGGGAGGATGAAGGATAAAGCGACCGCGCTGTGAGGTGGGCTTATTGGGTGTTGGCGAGTCGATGTGAGCGGGTATGATCATGTCGTAGGCACCTGGAGTTTCGTTGATCTCGTCCATGTCCGCAGGTCGCTTTCGTGTGGTGGGTGGATCGTAGACAGCCATGTTGAGTTGCGATAGATGGTGAGCCATTCGGGTGCTGGGACTGTCGTCTCGGTCGCTGTGCGTTTTGGCAGGCATCATGGCTCGATTGGATCAAGTGAGGAGGGCGCGAAGCTGCTGCTCACTATGTGCACAGCTTCATTGCATACACAAGCTGCTTAGACAAGGCAGCCAGAGACAGTCGGACGTTGCACTTCACCAAGCATCCAGCGCACCAGGTGAGTCGTGCTGAACCACCCAGACCTCAGTCTCATGAGTCGCTATCCTTGTTGCCCGAACGGCGAACGCCGCTTAGTTTGCTGCCCCGCTGCGAAAACACATGGCCGGCGGGGCCCATCTCTGTCCCCTCCTTTTGTCCTAAACCACTCTCTCGGTCGGACCTTCTTCTTTATAGGCAATCACGTAGAGCAACTCTGCCAGTCTGCATATCGTAGCTCTCAGTCCCCCTCCTAGCTTTAACCCATGGGTAGTGTTCGGTTTTGCTTCTGTATCTTGCAGCACGCACATGTTCTTTCCTTTTGCGGCCGTTACTCATAAATGCGTTCGGCTTCGATCATCCCCACCTGCCGCTTTAGCTGTTCTTATCAGACAGTCCATTTCCTATTCCGTCAGGCACAGACATCCAAGGCTGTTTTACCAACGTCTATGGCTCGCCTTTCTCGCTCGAGAACTCTGGCCGCTGTATTCCGTTGAACACTTCTTCTAGCGTTCTTGTAGCTGCCACATCAAATCACCAGTAACAGTATCATTCGCTGCATGAAACACTGTTTGATCAGCATCATCATGTTCACGACGTGCATAGCCAACCTGTTCCCGTCTCATCTTTTGCAAGGAACTGCTTCCAAATCTTCTTCTCTCCTTCCACTTTCAATCTGCCGCTCGCTGCTGGATCGTCGAGGGTTGCGCCTTGCATAAGCTCAGCATCCGGCTGCCGTACCGCCATCCCGAGTATTCCAATCAATGTGATACTGCTCAACCGCACCCGCCCGTGAGCATCTGCTTTGAAGTTGGAGATTGATTCGTTCTTCTCAACAACTGACTAGGATAAACTCGCTATTCTACTGCTACGAATCTGCCACCATCGTGATCGCACAATATCATACATGTGAGATCTCCCATCCGCCCTGGGCCGAGTCCGACCCAAAACCAGACACGCGAGCCGGTAGATCATCCGCCTCTACTGCTCGGATCAGACCCTGGCCAGACTTGTGCGATACTAAGCCCTACGAAGCGACCTCAAACAATCTGCCTGTTCATGCACTCGAGTGCCGCTTTTCGGTTCCTGTTGCCTCTTCGCTTGATATTCCTGTTCGTAAGCAAGAATTCTTTCAGCCACTACAGCCAACGAAAGAGCCTTGACCTGCTGGCCATCAAAGCGCTCCCTCCTCGCGTAGTCACTCAAACCTACCATCACGTTCTCTTCAAGTGAGCCTGTAGAAGGTGCTAACATCATTCTGTGCTCGAGTCTAGCTTGCTCGTTCAGCTAGCCCTAACGGAATGCATTCGGAAATGGAAGTGTCGTGGCACGTCGTTCCACTCTGTAGAAATGCCTGACAAGAACTGGCCGCTGTGGGGTTGCTCATCATTGATAATACCCGCTGGACTTGTCTGAGACCATCGCAAAACGCTAAATTGCGTGTCGGTTCGTTCCCACCAGTCTGGTTGGTCGAACTAACTGTCGCCATCCACTTGGAACAGTATAGGTACGGACTGCCTTGCCTTTTCCTACCACTTCTTTTTCTGTTCATTTGTATTTACCTGCACTCTGCCCTACCAAGAGAGATTATTGCGATTGCCACGCCGCATCCGCCTCTGATACAATTGATCTTTTAATTAGGCATTGTTCGGTGCAATACAGGTAGTCATGGCTGATGTCAGAGGGCAACCGACTCTCCACGAGCTCAAGTCGTATGACATGCTAGTCACATCCGCCGTGTTCTTAGGTCTCTCTGCCATGACGGTGATTGCCAGAATATATGTTAGAGGTTGGATGATTCGTTCATTCGGTTGGGATGATTGGCTTATGATGGTGACCTGGGTGANNGTTATGGGGTGTGCTTGATTCTCTGTCCCCAATTCTGATTGCTTGCAGGGTTTTTTCGCTGTGACAACCTCATTGCTCATAAGCATTGCATTGGCAGAAATACATCCACCAGGTGTCGGAAATCCTGATACCGTCAACGGCATCTTGACAGTATGTCAGTCGACTCAACTATCCATATCACATCTCTAACCATACTCGCAGTTGGTTGTTTGTATCTTTGGACTCTATATTCTAACGACCATCATATTCAAGCTCAGTCTGGCCGTCTTCTTCCTCCGTGTTGTCAACCAGCGCTGGCAACGTCAGGTCATCATTGGTTCAGTGACACTCTACACGCTCTTCGGAAGCGCCTGGCTCTTCGTTGCCATCTTTCAATGTGGCAACCCTGGAGATTATGGAAAGAACGAGCTGGATGGCAAGTGCCTGCCTTTCAAGACCGTCCTCCGACCACTCAACTACACCCATGGAGTACTCAATGCCGTCACCGATTGGATCTTTGCAATTAGTAAGTCAATCATCCTGTATAAGCACCTCTTGAACGGCCGAAACTAACAGTATCTCANNGTCCCCATCTTCGTCGTCAGGTCTGCGCAGATGCACAGGCAACAGAAAATCACCGTCTGCACCATTCTCGGCTTGGGTGTTCTGGGCAGCATCTGCTCTATCGTACGCCTCGCCTACGTGGACGTCATTGGCGTCTTACTCGAGGATCTCCTGGTGTCTGCTCCCAACTACGCCATCGTCTCCATCATCGAGCTCGGTCTTGGTATCACGGCTGCCTGTCTAGCCACCCTCCGCCCTCTTTTCGCCGCCTGGTTCGACAAGGCACGCACAAACATGTCCTCGTCTCGCAGCAGAAACACCAAGTCTACACCCATAGGCTTGGGCAACAACAAAGGCATCTCTGGCTCCTACGTGACTTCTGGCCATAATTTGGGTCACAAAGACGATGGCGTCGTTACTGTGACCAGAGAGTTGCAGGTGTACACAGACCGACCCAGTAATCTTGGCGATATGTTGGAGATGCATGCGTTTGGCCCTGCGGAAGGACATCAGACACGTTCTGGCCATCGATCACGGAGTCAATCCAGTGAAGAGTCTTTGCTCGAGGTTGTATAAGACGGCGTTTTCTTTTGTTGTCATGTATCACCCAGCTTCTTTTTCTCGACCACTTTTCTTTGGATGGTCTTTCTATATACCCTTTTACTATATTATATACCCATAGCCATCACGAATACCAGAATTTTCTTCAGCTTAATCACTACATCCATGCATCAGCAGTCACACAACGCAATATCCTTGCTAGAAGAAAGAACGTCATACGTCTAGGCTACACTAGCGAAGTCATGCAAACCACACCTCTGAAACACGACAGCAAAAGCACACGCCTAAACACGTCACGCATGACAACCTTTGTCCAAGTTCCGACTCCCCAAGATCGAAGAATATAGGGCTCAATCGCATACAGCGGCTAGCGCTGATACCTACGAAGAAAACCCACAGGCATGATGATGTTGTACAGCAGTAGATTGTATATGGTCTGGCACGTCTGAGGTTTGTTTCAGCCTTATGGGCAGCCTTGCAGAGGTGCATGCATGTACGACATCGCCTGCAGGTCTGGGGTGATGTGTTTAGGCGTTCCATGACATGCTGATCGTGGATCGGAGAAGTGTAGGTAGGTGCTTTGTCTGGGGAAGCGATGGAGGTGTCGCAATGAATAGATTGATTATTCTCTTGGTATGGTGGTTCGGATCAGGGGTGCGTATCGCGTATTGCAACATACATCCGGTCCAAAAGACGGACTGGCGAGTGATTGTTCTCGGACACGCTATTCAAAGACGTGTCTTGATAATGGGTATTTTATTCTTATTTTTCTTCTCGATTTATCGTGCCTCGCCAACCTGCTCTCTCCTCTCCAGGATCTTGTCCACAATGCCAAACTCGAGAGCCTCCTTGGCACCCATAAAGTAATCTCTCTCCATGTACTTTTGAATCTCCTCCATGGTATGTTTCTTCGTCAAGTGTCTGAGATAGATTTCATTTAATTGCTCGCGCACGCGCAAAATCTCCTTTGCGTGGATGGCAATGTCGGAAGCTTGACCCTGGTATCCACCACTGACCTGATGAATCATGATCCTGCTGTGCGGTAGAGTGTATCTTTGACCCTCTGCACCACCACACAACAACAGACTTCCCATACTGGCAGCCTGGCCCATGCATATCGTGCTAACGGGACTACGGATATACGTCATGGTATCATAGATAGCCAATCCAGCCGTCACAATGCCACCAGGGCTATTGATGTATAGCGAGATTGGCTTTTGCGGCGCGTCGGCTTCGAGGAAGAGTAATTGCGCGACGATGGAGGCAGAGATTGTTTCGTCGACTTCGCCGTTTAGACAGATAATGCGTTCTTTGAGCAGGCGCGAGAAGATGTCGTAAGTGTGCCAGCCGCCGCCGACGGTCTCGGTGACGAAAGGCATGGGCATGGCGGCTCGTGGGGGTCGGGCGGGTGTGTCGCGGTTTGTGGGTGGGTAGGGTGGGAGGCTGCTGAAGCTTCTTGTTGCTGTTGTTGTGAGGGGTGCGCGTGTGGTTGTAGCGATGGTCTTGAGGGCACATTGTGCGCCGAGGCGCGGTAGTAGTGGTATCGTCATGACGGGCAGTGTGTGTATGTGTGTGTTTGGACTAGAGTGTCTGCTGCCGCTTTGAAGATGAAGATTGATGGAATGACGATGTCAAGTCTGGGGTCTGCCGACCAAGGCGGTGAGCGCGGCCGACTGGGACCTCGTTCCATTTATGTCGTTCCTTCTTCCTTCCCATCCTCTTGTTGCCTTGTTGTTCTCCATCCATCTACATGATTGACCTCCTGTCCGCTGCGATCATTGAAATGGGTCCAACTCATCTGATCAACTATATGGACTCTTGTCACACAAAACCCACATTTTCTGCTCTGCTACCACTATCTACGGACCGTACCCTCACATCAACCCTTGGCAGCAACGTCAAAACATATCAACCATGAATTGGCCTCTGCCTGACTCTCGTCTGGAGGAGTGGTTCTGTGCAACGAGCCTGCTTTTTCGACGCGATAGATCAACATGTCCGCATGCGGAAATCTTCATCAAACAATGAACTGCCCATCACAATTCACCCCATTGTCTTGCTAAACACTTACCAGCTTTTTCGACCTTTGTTGCCGCCCATTCCAAGTATACTACATAATGAACATGACCGGAAGCGGACAAAGCTACCTCACCATCGCCTTGAGTCTACGTACGACAAGAAGCTCACATCCTCGAATATGCTCAACTAATCCTCTGCGCTGCAGTCTCAGCTTATTCCACAACATCATTACTTACCACTGTAGTCGTTATGCCAGCGCCACCACCACTCACTAGTGCCCAGAAAGCCCAAATTCTCTCAGATACCTATGGCCTTCAATACCTCGAAAACGTTTCAGCCCCGGCCGCCGGCACATCATGGGTCGGAGGTTACAAACTTGGTGGGNGTGCCTTCGGCGAGGTCAGCCTGTGGATCATGTATGATCCCATAACCTCCAAGGCTCTCAAATACTGCGCCATTAAGGACGCCTTCGATGACAGGCCTACCCGAGAGCAGGGTCTCTACACGAACATCTACCAGCAGCTCGCTCTTGAAGGCATGGACTTTGGAGTTGATCTACAAAATCCGACAGGGCAAGCTCACATCGACAAGAGATTTTACAAGGAAGCTTATCTACAAGGCTTGGTGACTGAGCCTGATTCTGAAAAAGCCACATATTGTGTCCCACTTTGGGGCTACGCAAGAAAAGAACCTAGTCTCCGAGGACCGGAGTTCCATCACTGGAGATTGTACATGCCTCTATATGATTATGGCAACCTAGAAACGCTTATACAGGCTCATCTCGAGGAGGGAAGGGGCATTCCGGAACCGTTTATCTGGCACACTCTCCAGTGCTTGATGAGTGGGGCTGAACAGTTGAGAGAGCAAGCAGCGAAGCGTCAGGGATCCACCCTCGACGACATTATTGTCGTCTTCGACATGAAACCCGCAAACATATTACTCGCCCCACCCAACAGAAACTCAACCCTTCCCATGTACCCTCGCCCCCACATCTCGGACCTCGGAGGCGCCTGTAAGTCTATTGTCCGGTATCACTTATACAAATCTTGCTTGAATATGCCATGAAGGCTGCTAGACCCTATCCGTGGATAGAGCAATACGATCAAGGAGATTCGTAGTACCTCTACATACTTCGATAAGTTTGCTGACTCATCTCGCTCTAGGTNNCTGACAAACAACACAGACTCTCTCAATCGCGAATCCAGATTAGAATGCCAAGTGACGAATGGCTACAGGCCTCCAGAGACGTTTTGGCCTCCCAAGAACGGTCGGGAGTGTGGAAACTGGACAAATATCTGGCAGGTTGGAAGAGTAGCCGAAGCATTGATGAAGCTGAAGTTGCGCTTCCAAGATCTTGAATTCTTTGGGCAACTACCAGAAACATGCGAACCCCAAATCAAGAATTGGCAAGGCCAATACCCCGGCCAAAACTATTCGAACGAATTAAGATTGCTGATACTCTATTGCATGAAATTCAACCCAACGAAGCGAGTAAAGGCAGACAAAGTCTTGCGGGCCCTCAAAGAGAAACCCGAGTTCAGACAACACTCTCAACACATGGAGACTTTTGGTAGCGATGCGTGGTTCGAAGAGCAACCACGCATACACGACGAGCAACAGCGAAAAAAAGCAGAAAAGGCAGCCACCGAACCACCAAAACCCACAACACCACCATCACCCGAAGAGGTCAAAGCCGCAAACGCCGCTCTGGCCAGAAAGCGAAAGCGCACTAATGAAGCATGCGCTTACCTGCGAGCCTGGGAGCGTCCCAAACGCGAAGAGTTCCTCGAGCTAGGCGTGTTTCCAGACGACCACTACAATCTCGATTACAGATACGCAGACTTTTGGGTTGACCCTTTCCCGTTGATTGATGAAACCGGCGCATTCAGACACCGCTTACAATATGGCGAGGGCTTTAATGGAGAACTTTGCCTCAGAGATCGCACTGGTGACCCTGCACATGCGGCTGCTGTAGAGGCTCCGCTAGCGACTGATTCGACTGCTGTGCAAGGTGACTACGACGATGGCGATGACCAAGAAGATGATGAAGACAGACCTTTCTTCTCAGCTTCTCCTCATCACTATCCACATACTTTCTAAAGTCGCTTCTGCCCTCTGCAATGTCATGATATTCTGGAGATGGTCTATACACCAGCGAGGCTAGTATACTCTGGAAACGTGAGTGCGTTGTGTTTTGCTTGTGCCATGCTGGATTTTTCTGAGTCTTCGAAGATGCCATCGTTTTCGGTTTAGTCATGTTTGCTCAAAATCGATATTGATTCTCCTTTGCGCCGGTCTTGATCAATTTTTACCAAATTAATCTATGTCTTCTCCATTCGTTACTTTGATTTGTCGTGTAGTTCATATAAGAAAGGGGTAACCTTTGTTGCTATTGCCCCTTCCCGTATTCAGTCTTGCTACAGTGTCTGAAGTCAACGCTATTCCCACAATCCTCAATCATCCGATCTCACCATAAACTCACACTACCGCTTCCCACTATATCCACCCTTCAATCCCTCCAGGATTAGTACAAAGCATCTTTTTTCACAAACACTTTGCCCGATGGAGATGAACAAAATGGTTAGGAATCACAGACACCTGGAAGATATGTAGCAGTTTCAGGGATTGCAAGGGTACTGTTGACAGTGTGTCAAAGTGTCTTGACCATGCAGTGGAAGATACAAAGTCATTATTTATAGGTACCGAGATGAAGGAACGAAAAGAGAGAAAGAAGAAGAAGAAAGCTGGGAGTCAAGGGTACGGCGACGGAAATATGTAGAGATGATAGTTGGGCGGATACCAAGAGATATATCAACCCTAGAGGGAAGGTGCGTCGTCAAGCGCGGACACTAGGATCAGATCGCCTGCTTCTAGCCGATGCTTGTAGAAGGCAGGAGCAGTCACGATTGCATCGCGCCGTCCTCATTCACACTGAATTTTTTTTTAAAGCAACATGAATGGATCAAACTCGTTCTAATTCGAAAGTCATGGTTTCTAAAATGTGTGCTCGTAAGAATTGGAATATTATGATGAATCGCTGATTATGCAGAGAAGGAAGTGAAACAATGAGCAAGCGGGGTATCCTCGACGTGACAAACATGTATGGCTGAACAGAAAGACGAAAAAACATAAGCATATCTCTTGAAAACAAAAGAAAAAGAAAAAATTGTTGAAGAAAAGAAAACAAGGTCATTGGACCTTGATGCAATGTGTGTAGTCGGCTGAGGTACGACGGCTGAAGTGCTGCAGTCATGCTTTGATATTCTCCTTCTTTCCATCCTTGGAGCCAAGAGCAGCTCTCTCTTGTTCGCGAGCATGTCGTTCTTCGTAGACCTTTTCTTTGGCGCGACACGCTCGCTCAAGAGCTTCGATATAAGTTCTGAACTTCACAACTTCACGAAGAAGGTAAGCGCTTTTCTTCTCCCAGTTGCCGGTGACCTTGTTCCAGTTCTGGCCGTAGTGGTTGGTGTAGGCAAGGTTCACGGCACTTCGCAACTCGTTGTGGCGCTCGAGTTCAGTCTCTACAGAGGCCACATACGCTTTGAGACTGCGAAGTTGATCGATCTCGAGCAACTGTGACGGCAACATTGATGCTGCAGGAGGCTTCCAGTCAGCGATATGAGCGCGATCGCCAGGTAATCTGGATCTCGATCCGAAAGTCTGGTCGAAAGAGCCACGGACAGTTGACTGCATGCTCTGTTTGCCGATACTATTGACAGAAGCTGAGTGTGCGTGATTTCCTACAGCTCTGGACTGAGATTTCGTAAGAGGATCTCCATTGTCGTTACCAATGAGTGCAGGGTTGATGATATTCTCACTCCAGCCGTATTCGATGTTGTCAACACCACCCACTAAAGGCTCTTTGCTTAGACGCGCAGACCAGTAGTTGACGGTAGAAACGAATTCTTCCGCAATCTCGGCGGTACCGACATTGAACAAGTGAACAGCACCAGTTGGCAGGCTCAACGCCCAAACATGCGGACGAGTCTTACTATAGCCCGGGTGTGGTAGAACAGTCGCAAGAGATTGCCTCAGAAGGAATTGATCGGTTTCGTCCGCATTGTCGGTCCAGTTGCCGCCGCCAACGACAGATGGCGCTGCACCGGCAGCCTTACCTGACTTAGGTAGGTGGCGCTTGGTGCTACGCATGTCGTTGATCTTGGTTGTGGTTCGGTTGAAGTTGAACAGATGCAGATATCCTTTCTCGACCACAGCGAAGGTCTCACTCCAGCTGCGCTCCTTGGCTTTCTTCTCGGGACCATCCAGGTGGTGTTTGTGCTTAACCATGCCTTCTTTTGCCCAAGGCGCACCGGCCAGCTCTAGACTTTCATCTTCGAGCACAGTGCCAATTTTCATGACAGACTCAGTGTCACCTGCACCCTCCTCTCGGATGATTGCTTGCGACAATGCGTTGGTGAAACCTAGGCTCTGCTTGAAGTCCGGATGAACAGCGAAGCTCTCGACACTCATGGTGGTCTGAGTCCTGCCCATGGATATCTTGCTCCACATGCTGCTCTGTGCAGACGGACTCCAAACAGAACGGCCATCATCGATCGAGGTTCGAGTTGAGCCAACAGTCGAGGCAGGGTATATTTTCTGTCTGGATCTGTTCTGGGCTGCGTTCCAGTGTGATGACAGAGCGCTGTTATTCCTCTGCTTGCTTCGGTAGGAGAAGCCCTCAGAAGGTGCTTTGGATATGACCGAACCAGTACGTCTCAAATTTCCTGCAACACTGAGATTTGCAGGGCTATGAGAAGAGCCAGCGTGTTCTTTCGAACTTTGAGAGCCGTGCAAGGGAAGAGCCAAGGATACAATGGAGTTGTAGAATGCTTTGAGCACGGACTCCACTTCTGTCAACCACTTGTGCTCAGGACCATCGAACGGACGGGTGACCAGATGGCTCATTGAGCCAAATTCTCCAATCTCGTTCGGGCCAGGGTCGGTCTCGAACCTGCCCATGCCGGGCCTGAATGAGAGGCGCTTTGTCGATCTTCTGAAGTCAACAGAACCTCGATCGTCATCTTCAGGTGACTTGGGTGTTGTATCTGACCAAGGCAAAGAGGGTCTCTGGGATCGAGTTGGTCTGACGGTTGCGCTCTCGGCAGCTGATTTGATGGCAGGCATAGTGTTCTTGATAAACTCGGATCGTGTCATCTTGTGTTGGATGTCGGCCATGTGTTGATCGGTGTTGAGCAATAACACCGCATAGCAAATGGCGTGTACCACACCTGGTCCTTTGAAGCCGTTGTGAGGGTTGCATTCGTCCCATCTTCTAGAGAAGGCATCGAGGATGCGGTCGACCTGTTGGCTCTCTCCTTTCAAGACGAGTCTATCGCAGAGTGCGCGCAAGCCACTAAGAATGTTACGGTTCGCAAAGTCATGCAGTTCCATGTACGCAGCAAGAGTGCGAGCGCTGACGGGGTTCTTGTCACCAAGCCATGGAGCAGCTTCGTCTTTGAGCATGTGTTGCTCCTCGCCTTGATAAATTTGACGGGCGCGTTCTCTCTCGTCTGCTGTCGGCTCATCAATGGTACCGAGCATACCTCGGGCGACCTCGACTGATGGACGAATAGTGTTGCCATCAACTTGGAACGAGGGCAGGTCACTCTCATCGTTGGATACAACGTAGTTTTGTGGAGCCCTGCCACCTTCAAGTGGTAGACCAAGGCTATCCCGGTTGTGTCCAAAGAAGTGTGACCTCGGCGATGGGGGTTCTCTTTCCGAGTCAGAAGTTGGAGACGTGACAAATCTGTCTACAGGGGTAGCCATGGGCGAATTAGCAATCGGTGAAACAGGACTGAATGCGCCTGAAGCTCCAAGATATGTCTCGCTTAGAGCAGAGACAATGGAAGGGGCTCTGCTGTCATCAGCATCGCTGTTATCGACCAAGAATGAGTTGCTCTGCAACAAGTCCGGGCGTGTGTTTCCAACTTGTAGGCGTTCGGTCACTCCACCAAAATTACGCTCCATATCATCCAGCTTGGGACTTGTGAAGGGCTTTTGCTGAGGGTTCGGAATCACAGAATCGGCCCCACCTAGTCGTGGTTCCAGCGGCTCTATTCCCACCNNCCTTCGTATAGAGGCATCGGGTGGAGGGGTGTATCCAGAGTGGAACATGTCGAGTTCTGAGGACTCGTCTGTTTCATGGCTGAGTATACTGGACCTGGTGGGTTGGCTGATGGGAGTGTCGACAGGCTTGAAGTAGTCAGAGTCAGTTTTGTTCAACTGACGATCAGAATCGCTGAGGTAGGGATCCATGACCATTCGGAGACTGCTTGCACCCGGACTTACAGGTGGAGGGTGATCTTGAATATGAGCAGCGGATGTGGCAGTACTGGGCAAGGGCAGAGGCGGAGGAGCATCAGTTATCGACTTCTTACGGCGTCTGAAAAAGGAAGCCTTCTTGGTGACAACATTATGAGGAGGGTCGGGTAGATTGGCCTGGGTCTTTGCAGGCACGTTTGGTACAGGACTCTCAGCACGTTGGGTCGAAAGGTCTCTAACAGTGGGTCGCTGCTGTTCTGGAAAGGAACTGGTACGTGTGGAAGAGCCAAAGACTCGTCGGAAGAAACCGGGGCGCTCCTTGGGAGCATCTTGAGCAGAGGACTGTTTGGAAAGCGAGGATGCTATGGACGCAGAGGAATTGGTCGGAGGATGGTCGAGCATGTTGGAGGGCGACTGGGCGCGCATGTTGGACTGTCGCACAAACTCCAAGGCCTGGTCCCGGATGCTCTGCGGGATGTTGTTGTTGTTTGTAGAAGCCTGCTCTTTTGTTGTGTTTGTCTTGGATGGTCCGCCGGGGACTCTTGGCTCGGGACAATGGACTTCATAGGTGCTAAACATGCTAGGGATGGGACGGCCGCGGTCGAGAATGCCATTGGAGACAACTTCAGGGGTGCCTTGGGTGTGTGGGTCGGACTTGTCCTGTCCACCGATGCGTGTAGTACCGAGGACCTGGCCGTAGCCGTAGTCGACGCTCTGGACGGTAGTAGGGCGTGAGTCAAAGTGACTGTTGGTGTGGATACGTGCGGTGAGTTGCGAGGTGTTGCTGATGGTGTCGGAGTCGCGCGACGCAGAGGACGAGTAGGTGTGACCTCGCACGCGTTGTTGCAGGCGCTGGAAGGCTCGCGGCGAAGAGAAAGAGGAGCTGCCTGTGTCAAAGTTGTCGCTGTCAAAGTCGGGCATGTTTGATCGACGCTCAGGCGGGCCCGAAGCAGAGCCCGGCATACGATCAAACGATAGCAGCAGGTTGTCCAGAACAGAGTCTTGGGTGACCGACTGCCACGACTCGGGCCGCAACTGGGCAGGATGTGACGGCAGTGAAGGCGTCAATGGGGAAGGAGCATCGTATGCCGAGTGCGAGTGCGAATGGTCGAACGGCGGAGTTGCAGGCAATGGGGCATGCAGTCTCGACAGAGGCAGGGACGATTGGGCATTCGACCCGTCTGGAGGCAGGTGCGATTGGGCAGCGGTAGACAAAGACAAAGGAGGAGGCAGCGGGCGCGGTTGAGAACGAGAGTGCCCTCCTCGCAGCCTTCTACTCGTCTCCATTGTTGCCAGCACCTAAGCGGGTATATCAGAGTGGATTACCCTTCTGCCACCGATGGTCAAGTCCACATGGAAAAGTCAACTTGTTCCTGCGCCAGGCCAAAGGGTTGCCGAATCCGTCGCGCTGACTCCACTCGGTGCCTTCCCCAAACCCAAGATAGATGATCTCCGCGCCACAAGACTCCCTTGACTCACCAATCACTATCCGAGCTCTGGATATTTCCTCCGCAAGTGCGCCTTTCTATTGCAAATACTGTCTTGGTATCTTCCTCTTCGACCAAGCCCTCTGTTTGGACAAGCGATAATGGTTGTTTTTACGATGAATTTATTTCCGCTATAACTCTAAAAAATAAACGTTTCAACGGCCCTCGAACCTTGCCCTTTGGATCCTCCATCTTTTGCAAGAATTCACCAGCGAATCATCAATCACTGTCACTTATCGGTTATGCATGGCGCCCCAGAACACGATGAACCTGCAGTAGCGCAACGACCCAATTCATCCCACGTCGACCCTTCTTGATTTCTTGCATTCTTCGATCGACCGAAAATCACATCTCTACCATATTCGCTTGACCGAGGCCTCACGAGTCATCCAATGACGAGATGGCTGGTCAGGGCCTCAGGGCTTTTTCGCTGCCCATGGTTGGAAGAAAACCACGACTCGACATGTGAGATGCGGCACGAGATGCATGGTAACCACACTTGTATGTGGAGAAGTAAGCATACCTCAACCGTCGGTAAACCCTCCAACTTGCCCCCTGGTACTCCAGAACAAAGAAAAAGGGCTTACACATCCATGTCCATCCCGACCTCCTAAGCCGCCACAACTACGGGAAGAGAACGTAATTGCATTGCATGTATACTCACATCCGGACGTGTCAACCATCTAGAAAATTCAGGGGCACACCCTCGCCGTGTGCAAAAGACAATCACACCCTACGATCGACCCCTGGGGCTCTCTCCCTTACTGACTCAATGTGTTATCATAAGCTATAAAAAGTGACAGTTTCTTACTGGATAGAGGTGTCACCATGGAGATGCCTGAACACACCGTTCTTTCCATGGATATTGCTCTGTTGCAGAAAGGATTGTGCATTTCTATAAGTACATTGTGACTGTCTACCGCACTCGGGGAGCATGGGTGTATCCTTCTGCTTCGTACAAACCGAAAGCCAGATGCAGCGATTAAGCAGTACCTCACTGCCCACCACCAAACACCTCTCGGAATACCTCAAGGTTTCTTTTTCCAACAGGGCCCTTTGCATAGACCGCAAACACCACCTTCTCAAACCAACCCCTGAACTCTTCTTCCTCAAGCACCTCCTTCATCTCCTTCGCAACCAGCCCCGGCGGACACCCGTATGCGCCACACCCCAATGCCCCCAATACCAACCCAGTCTTGTCTTCTCCAGCAGCACACCTCAACACCAACCTCACCTTATCCCGAAACTCCTCCAATACACTCTGATCCTTGAACCGCTGTCCATCCTCCGTAAGTCTTGGACGTCTGGGTGCCGCGACCGTAACCACAGAAACCATCACCCTTTCTCCCTCACTCAACTCAACACACTCATTGTCCAGAGTATCCTTGAATACAACAATCTTCGGTGAGAATATGCCTGCTATACTGCCTTCTCCAGTGTTTGCCCAAGGATACCATTCTGGCTTCAGTGTCTGAAACAAGGTGGAGGAGTAACATAATGCTTCTTCTTGCGTCATGCTTAATGAGTATCTCCATCCACCTCCCGGTTCTTCGTCACTGGCGAGATTCAAGACGGCGATTTTGTTGCGCAAGGCTGGGGTTGTGGACAGGATGGTTCGGGCGCAGAGGAAAGAGTCTGAGTCGATGACTTCTATTGGCTTGAGTTGAAGATCTGGAAATCCAGGGTCCAAGGGTGAGAGTTCGGGGTATGTAGAGCTTGTGATAAAGGTGCTTGATAAAGAGGCTCCTGGTGTGGCTTCTGCGATGTGTTCTGATCGCTTAATCGTGTCTTCGCAGATTTTGCGGCGGGTGGCTATGTCTGGCATATTTGTTTTCTTGATTTGAAGACTTTAGCTGGATGCGACAATGAGGTTTGTAATTCAATTGTTATGTTGTTGTTTAGAAGAGAAGGTTGGGTTGGTTGGATGACGTGGAGACTTTAGGCATTTATCATTTCCTTTGTAATACTGGTGCCTAGTGATGACTTATGACACTAGTATTTTATTCGCTATATCTCAAAGGATTCGCTTCGTACAAATATACCAAAACATGTTTGTAACATGATGGTTTGAATCGATCTGAACAAAGAAACAGATATGAGATTTCTCCATGACCAAGTCAGATTTGTCGGGTATAACACCCTGGCTGGACACTAGCAGCTTATTAAAAACACCACAGCTTTGATAACGATATATACACTGTGTATACAAGATTCACATTGCTAAATGGAACTGAAGAATCGATGCTCCGTTCAGTGATGCTCCAGACAATAACACGTCTTTATCAACACAAGACTACCACTGCTGCAACCCCCATGGCAATCAAGTCTCGTCACTTCCACATTGCGTGATTGAGGACAAGACATTATCTCATCGGGCAGACGTTTGATCAGACCAAGTGTGCTTCACATATAGAATTATCTGGGGTAGGTATCAGGGACGACCCTGGTAAAATTTTGGTACTTAATCTTGACATCCCACAAGCGAAGAGTAGTTTACTGGTGCCTTAACCATAATTGCAAGGAAGACGTCAGTATGAAGTGCTCAACTGGCCAAACTGGGTATGGTCGTGCGTGACAGGAGCTGCTGCAAGGCTTAGAAGGATTTGCCAAGATATATTTACGAGCCTCACGAATCGTTCTCGATGTTAGTCCTCAGTTGATCGACAGGCGTATCAACATTTGAGAATGAGCCAGACCAACACAGGTATCCCATCGAGGTTAATGCTCATGCCGCCGACTGCGCACTGCTGTTTGGTATGCCTCAAGCGTCGTCCGAAGCGTGAGATCTGAGATCGTATCGATACCTTCCTAAGACAGCGCCACGTACCACTTCTTTGCAGTATATCATGTTGCGCTCATTGTTGATATTAGCTAGTGCTATTCTCCTAGGTGTCACGAGCGAGCTTCGCGGTTTCGCGCAGCGTGTCGCCTACGACGAACAGGGTCGATGGTGGAGAGGGAGTGAGTTGCAAGCGAGCCCATCCTCCGGGTATACGATGCAGGTTCGCCAGAGAGAATTCGCCCTGCAATTGCATGATCAGGGTTCAACATCACATTGTTCAGACCATTGACCAAAAGGAGACGGCATGAGAAAGCGGTTTAGCCAATTTGCATGGGTGAACTAGCCGGAAGTCAGACCAGGGTGCTTTGCGGAAACCCGTGATATTAGACGATGAGCTGCGGGAAGAGTTGATGTTGTCGCTCTTCCCCTGGTACTGGAAACAAGGACTAAGGCTGAGAAGGTTGTGTTGAGACTGGCTCTCAGGGCTCGAAGGCTTTGGGATACAGTCTTCCATGGAGAGCTTTGACTCCAGGCTCGTACACGTTGTACACATCGTGTCCGTGAAGCTTGGCCCAGTTATCAGGCAGACGCATGTTAGGTGGGAGGCGGTATTGAGCATAGCAAGCTCCAGCGTTGCAACTGAGGTCGCACTTGCCATAGAGCCGGCAATAGCAATCAGAAGCGCTGGGACATGCTTGTGCGTTCAAAGTGTCCAGATCTACAGGACCGTCTTGGTTCGGGATAAAGAGGACATGCCAGAGATACGACAGAACCCGTCCAGCAATTCTGTCGTCGCGGGGAGCGGCATTGGAATTCCTCGACATGCCATAGCCATCAAGAAGCCATTGTCGCAGAGCAACATATTCTTCACGCGAGTGCCGGTGTATGGATTCTCTAGAAACGACGAATTGAGCACAGCATTGCGCACGCACAGGATGGCTTCGTCCAAGTTTCAATCCCTTGCTCTTTCCATTGTTCAGATAATCGTCTCCTCCAAACAAGACAGCAAATGCTTGTGGCATAGCGGCATCAGAGGCGGACCTCGCACTCCAGGGCTGCAGTATAGAGTTGAAGGATGTTTCGAGGCTACCCTGTGGAGTAGAATCTTTGGGGCATGTGCCTGCGGTCCAGTCGCATCTCAGGTTATGATAGCCGGTGACTGCAAGTGCAGAGGGGACGTTCAGGGCGGCCAGGCTGGCTGCATTGTCGTATAAGGGATCGTCGTTGTGCCATTGGAACCTGTTGCCGTGTACAAAGACTGCACCAGCTTGCGGGATGTCCTTGTAGTTGTCGATCAGGAAGGTAAGATAAGTGATGGACTCGTGGCCTCGGTTGGCAGGCACGCGGAGGTGTTTGACGGTCGGATCGGCAGGCGCGTCAACTTCGTAAATGCACAGGTGGTACTTGGACGAGAGGCGTTCCAGCCAGGCAGTGTCGCCATCAGCAGCGACGTGTGAGACTACCAGAACTGGCTTGGAGCTGTCTTCAAGGCCAGGGCATGTACCTCGGGCATCAGGAAGGCTTGCTGCCGTTGTTTTGTAGCGGATCGTGTTCCATGAGTAAAGTTTGGGTGCTGAGGGCCGAAGGAGCGACACGAACAAGTAGATGACTAGACAGACGATGGCCAGTTGTAACAGCGACTTGCGCGACCTCCGAAACATGTCGACGCAGCTGTCTTTGCTCTGTCCATCCCGTCGTGATGCAGCTTGATCTGACCATCATGCGCCCGCACGAGCCGTTCCGCATCGTTTCCTGCACCGCCACACTCTGACAGCCACAAAGCTTGGTACAACCATCTAGACCGCCTTATCTAGATTGCAGAACTACTTCAACTTCTGTTATTCTTGTCGACTCGACAATCATCTTCTAATAACGAGCAGAAGCAAAGCTGTGTGTTTACCATCATCTGCTGCAACCCAACAAGAAGCAGTCGGTCCGTCATGGCTGTCCGGTTATACGGCCGTGGTGTCCAACAGTCGTTCCGGCCGTGCCTAGCTTTTGACTTTATCCACTTTCTTCCTTGATCTGGTTGCAAGAACCAAGGCGTGAACAACGAAGCCTTGCTGCTCTCAGGGCATCCTTTTAGCAGAAGACGACAGCATCTTGATGGCTGTACGAGTGGTCCGACTTCAAAATATGCTAGGTCACATAGCAATCGCCCTGTGGTACCATGCGCGGCACGCCTGGTGGTTGTCGAGTTAACCGCGTAATGATCAATCAAAGTCCAACAACGGCATCGCTGCTCAAGTCCTCGCTTGTCTCGGACAACTTGTCGTACACGCCGCGGAGTCCTCACTCGACGTCTTAGCACTGCGATATGGTGTGCAAAGGTGGGAACTCGATGTGTAATGGTCCTCATTGATCATGTCTGTGTCGCCAAGTCGGAAGCAGACGGGCCATCATTATCATATGCCTGCCATGCAACAATACTATCGAACATGGCAGAGCTGTTCTTCTTGACGGGCATTGATTGGCCAAAACGTGAAATTCCGTTCGTTCAGCATCTGCTCGACAGCTGTTGAATATAATCAAGCATCTGAAGAAAGAGGTGAGGGTTGGGGAAATTGCATGGTGATAAGCTCCGGGGTTTGCTGGGATCGACCAACGAGATGAAGATCAGCCGTAGTGATTTGAGATCTGCTACGCTTTTGGAGAGCAGACTTTGGGATCAAGTGAGACACGAGCAACCAGATCAAGCAGAACAGCGACACTCGACACACCGACAATCGCAAGTGGCTTGTCCGGCTGTCTTTGTCCCTTTGGTGGCCGTTTTAAGTTGGCATGCTCCATCTTGAGCCAAACAAACCAGCCAAGGGTCTCGCCAACGTCATCGAAGCGGCCTGGGCGCTGACGTCTGCATGTGCCTCTCCACACATTTCCATCAATACGCGACCGCTCCCTCGATACCGTTCACTTTTGCATCTCTATTCGATTTCCTTGTGTTTTGCGTCCTGAGATACCCCCAGATACCCCCTTGCAACTGAATGGTCACCATGGCTTCATACACACAATCACCGCCGCAGAATGGCTTCTACGAGTCTTCTGTGCCGCACCCACCTGAGGCCCTCCAGAACAGGGGCTTTGGCAATGCTTCGCAACACGATTTCGCCCATGGTAATTTGCACTGAACTATCGTAGCTGTATAGCCGACATCCTAACTTGCGCAGNAAGGCGAAAAGCCGCTCACTGTTGGAAACACTGTCGGTCACCCGACCCCTATTACCCTCGAGGACGGAGGCGTCTATCGCTCCACGTCCAGCGCCTCGACTGCTGCATACACTGGCATGACTCCGTCGCGTGGTGGCACTCTCAAGAAGAAGGCCAGTGTCAGCCGTAAGTCTAGTCTTGGTCGCAGCGGCAGTCGCAGAAGTCTCGCTGCAGGAAGCATTGCTGGTGTTGGTACACCGGGCGCCCATGACGACTACAACAGCGCCTTGTCCACTCCCATTCCTACCCATGGTAGTCCGACCGATATTCTTGCCAACCGCTTCCAGGGTATGTTCCAGCTTTTCTAAACTGGTGTTTTCCCATATTGATTTGTCTTGCAGNCATGGCGTACATTGTTAAAGTCTCTGATCACCTACTTCCGTGAGGTCCAGTCCAGCTACGACTCACGCAGCAAGTCCTTGTTGAAGGTTTCGAATGTCTTGTCCAACTTCACACACCCATCCGTTTTCATCACCGATGGTGGCCTTGCAGACGCCTCGCGCATTCTGGGTGACTACCACAAGCACTCTGTCGCTGAATCGAACAAATCGCGCGACATCGAGCAGGATGTCATCTCCGCTCTGACTGGTCTAAGAGCCGATCTGGCCCAGAAGATCAAAGAGATCAAGAGTCTTAATGGCGACTTCAAGAACTCGGTCGACAAGGAAAAGGACGCGACGCGCAAGGCTGTTGACGCTCTTGCTGAGGCCTTGCAACACGCAGACCATGGTGACAGCAGCAAGACGGATCCTTTCATTGTCCGTTTGGGTGTGGACCGCATGGTTGAGAAACAGATTGATGAGGAGAACTACCTGCACCGCGCATACCTCAACCTTGAGAACTCGGGCCGCGAATTGGAATCCATCGTTGTGGGCGAGATACAGAAGGCCTACAATGCCATGGCCAGCATCCTCAAGCGCGAGGGCGATGATGCTTACAATACTGTCGAGCAGCTCCGTGGAGGACCCATCGCCATGCCCAAAGATCTCGAGTGGTCGCGCTTCGTCGAGACTGACCCCCACTTTGTCAACCCTAGACTGCCTCTCCGCCGTATCGAGGACATTGACTACCCAGGAAAGAATTCCCCTGCAGCCGCAGAGGTTAGAGCTGGTATGCTCGAGCGCAAGAGCAAGTATCTCAAGAGCTACACTCCTGGCTGGTACGTTCTATCGCCAACTCACTTGCACGAGTTCAAGTCGGCCGACAAGATCTACTCGCAACCTCCTGTCATGTCTCTCTATCTCCCCGATCAGAAGCTGGGTTCTCATTCTGAGCCCGGATCCTCGTCGCACAAGTTCATGCTCAAGGGCCGTCAAAGTGGTGGCATGCACCGCGGCCACTCGTGGGTCTTCCGCGCCGAGTCGTACGAGACCATGATGGCTTGGTTCGAAGCCATCAAGATCCTGACCGAGAAGACTGGCGAAGAGCGCAACGCCTTTGTCCGCCAGCATGTGCGCAGCATCAGCCAGAACAGCCACCGCAATAGCATCAGCAGTGACGGTCTTGAGGAGGACGAAGCTGACCAGGTCCCTTACTCTGCCCAATCCAGCGTCATTAACCAGCCTATTGGCGAGAATCGTCTCCAGCGCCCCGTCCCAGGTGAGTATGTGCTGTCCCTTTCATAGCGTCAATCTAGATTGCATAGAACTTGTACTGACGTGACGTGAAAAGGCGGTCGCTTCCCGTCTGATCTCCAGATTCCTCGTGCTATGGCCGCATCGCCTGACAGCGAGTCTGATGAGCCCGACCACAGCACCATTCCTGGTGTGACTCCTCTTCCCAATGTAGCCGTCGTTGAACCTGCTCGTTACGATGACAACCCCTACCGACTCCAGGGTATTTCTACCCACGAGGAACAGCCTGCACAGCCAAGAGTACCCTTCACCTCGGCCACTCCTGGCTCTGTCGCCCATGCTAGAGAGACTATGCCTCTCAGAGAGGAAGCATCCACACCTGAGTCTTACCAGCCCAACCCTGTTGACAACTTCAACCAAACCAATTCGGCTCCTCAGAACAACATGGTTCAACCTACTCAGACGTTTGTCTTGCCCGTCCAACATGCAGCTCCAGCTCACCAGCTCCAGCCCGATGTTCCAATAAGCCCCATCGAGCAGCCGCAATCTCTAGCTCCTGCCAACAAACCGATGAGACAGAACACAAACTACAGCGAGTGGATGGCCCCCGCAGCTGCAGGACTCGGTGCCGGCGTTCTTGGCTCTGAAGCCTACCACCATCAACAGAACAAGAACCTGCCTTCTAACAACCCCATCGCTGAAGAACAGCAGACCCCTTACGAAGATGAGCGCCCTCGCGATTTGACCGGTGGTCACACCACCATGCCCACTTCCAACGAAGCTGCCACCACCAACCCTTCGGCATATGCTGCCAACAGCGGCATTTCGGGTGCCACATACACTGGTACTGCTCCCTTTCCTGTCATGATTCCCAACTCGTCCAACGTTCCCCAATCGCCCGAGTTCGTTTCTTATAGCGCTTCCACATATGGTGCTGAGACTCCTGGAGCTCAAAGCTCTGACGGTCTCGGTGGCCTCGAGCGCGAGGGTGCTCACGAGACCGGGGCTTTTTTCCCTAAGGTCGTCAGACACGACACCGACATGAGCGTTAGCAAGCTCCATGTCCCTGGCGAGTTTCCTCCTCCTACTCCCGGATTCGCCCCTACTGAGGACAAGGCTGAGAGATCGCTGTCTCCTCGTCCTACAGTGGGCTCGCACGGCACATTCATCGCCCCCACTGCTTGGGACTTGGCAAGAGAGTAAACCAGACAACGACAGCAAAGCACGGGAAGCAAACAGGACTGTGGTGAACGATATGACTGCCCTGACATAGTCTCCTTTGTTACCTTGATTTTTGAACGTTTTAGTTTTTGTTTCTGGTTCTTGCAACCATTGCGATTACCCTGTGTATTTCTGTTCTATTTTTGGTTTGGAGTAACATAACACACCTCTAATACCATAATCAACAGTCTAGCTTTTTTTTTTTTTTTTTTTTTTTGGTTATATCTCTTGTTGTGCACATGGAGGTTGTTGCAATAATGGTCATCTTGGACCTTCACAAGTTGCAATGTTAATCTCTGTTCCCCGGTACCATTGAGTTGAGCATGAATATGACAGTAGACCTAGGGTATTCAAATACTTGTTTGTGTTCCCGCATCATCTGATACATCATCGTTTCTCTTCCGGGTGGATATAGCTCTTTGTGTGTCTGTTGCACTCATCCTCCTCGTAACTCATGTTCTAACCATCTACCACTCATCAGGCTTTGACACAAACACCCGCATCCGTAGCATTGGAATAACCATAACTCATTCCCACTGTATAAACGTCGTTGCCATACGCATAGCCAGTGTTTGTCGCTACACTCTTGCCCCAAGTCTGGCTATACAAGACACATTTCTGGTCTTGAGGCATACCATTCTTGCTCTCCAAATATGTGTTGAAGAACTTGCAGGTCTTGGGTGTGCTGCCATCAGAGGGAGGATGAGCTACCGCATAAGCCGCTTGAGCAGAACATGCGGCCGCACACCTAGAAGCATTGAAGTTTGCATCAAAAGTCTGGAAACCAAGGTATGTGTCGTTTCCATTGCAGTCCAGGGGTGCTTGGATACCACTGTTGCTGAAATACACAGGCGCAGAGTATCCTGCAGCAGGAGAAATCGCAGTAGCAACATAGCCATTACTCCCCGCGATGACGATTTCAAAATTGTTTTGGGTGGAGCCGGTGTTTACTGCATTTGCGGGCGTCACAGCGCCGTTCCAGAATACGCATTTGATGGTTGCGGTGCTGGTGCAAGAAGAATTGAAGGAGGAGGTTACAGCAGAGCGTTCGTAGAAAATGTTGAAGGCGTGGCAGTTGGAGCTAGCTGTACATTTCTCGGCGCACGCGGTGGTGTTGTAGGTGGGGAGGATGGTGTAGCCAGAGTAGCCATCTGCATTACTGCTGGCGTGGAGGTTGGTGTATGTGTTGGAGTAGCCGGGAGGTGTGGTTGCGTTTAGAGCGGAACTTGCGTAGGCTGGATAGGCAAGGAAGTCGGCTGCGGTGTCTGGGCCAGTGGTGCAGGCTCGCTTGACGAGGTATGCTTGCTTGTGGAGTGGGCTTGCAAGCGTGGTAGCTGCGAAAAGGAGTGAAAGGGTTGTGAAATGCATAGTAAGGAATGTGGTCTCAAGCCTAATTGTTTGAGAGTTGTGTTTGATGAACAAGAGATGTGAGTGGGGTGATTGAAGAACTTATAATATAGTGCCCCTTGACCTACCAAGATATAGCATTACGGAGGCAGGGTATAGAGTTACGAGATGCACATGCCAGGAGGAGTCAAGCTCAGCTGGAGACCAGAATAGAAGATTGCGAATCGGGTCATCGACAAGGGTGGGTGTAACGTCCATACAACGTGCAGAAATTCATGAGCAACATCTGAAGTCTCTGGCACATCTGGACATTGTTGATGATGCACTGATCTCCAGACCTTTCTTCTAAGTAGGACCACAGATCCATCTGTGTATTTCTGGCATTTGGTCGCAGTTTCAGTCGGACATTGGTGAGATTGAGTATATCGCGGAGCGGCCTGTAAACTGCGAGTTCATTTGATTGATCTCGAGTTCCTTGAGTTTCGCGATGGAAGGATGCTAAGGCCGTTGAGACGTTGTGTTCTCAATTTCCCATTGAGAGGATATGCCGTCGGATTCAGCATTTGTATCACATTGATTCAGATATCTCAGCTGGCTAGGGAAGCGACACGCAGGAGGTTCAACGGTAGATGCGGTCGATGATAGATAGAACAAGAGTTCTGGTATGGTGTTGGTTGTAAAGGCGGCGCGGGTGCAGATATGCTGTAGGAAGTTTGGCATGCCGCTACTTGCAGAGCCCCTATCCGGATCAATGTGCAGGAGTAGGTACGATTAGATGATGATGAAAAGGGGCATCTGCAACTTTGAGGGACGCGAAGCTCTTCGTCTAGTCTTGCTGGTTTGGATAAACCTCGGCTTCCTGGTTTTCGGCAGCAGTTGCCTTGCCAAGAAACTCTCCAATCTCGACTTCTCATCCCGCGAAGACATGCACCACCATCAGGTCATTGTCTATGGAGGCTTTCCATGTCACCGACTCGTAGGACTGGTACGCGTCAGAATCCTAGATGCTGTTGGACCTGTACACTGCGTCGAAAGAAATGCGACGGCAACCAGCCCACATGTGAAGCATGTAATTCGCGTAACATCACTTGCCATGGCTTTGGTGACCAACCCGAATGGATGAAGAATGCAGCCGCTAAACGGTCTGAACTGCAAAATATCAAGGACGCTGTCAAGGAAAACAATAAGCGCAAAAGAGGCGCGTCCCCGGCACAATCTGAAGAGGGCACTGCCAGATTCCCACGACTACCAGGCGTTGATGATGCGTCATCGAGACCTCATGACGAGCAGCACAACTGGATTGATACTCCACCTGAGATTCCAGAGCCACACTTTGAGCCACCAGGAAGGCATTCATCCTTAGCTTTGGGGGAAGCTTCCAGCCGAACGCCTTCCATAGCGCCTACTCCAAGCGCAACCACTTACTTCCGATTCGGCTTTCATAGAGAAGCAGAATTGTTGATGCACTATTTGGATCATGTCTTTGCTCTTCAATTTCGTTTCTACTCCCCGTCTATATCGAATGGTGGCCGAGGTTGGCTGTTATGGCTGCTAACGGAAACAAAGCCCTTATACCATGCAGCCCTCAGCTTAGGAGCGTTACACCAACACTCTTTACTTGCTCGCACCGCCCGAAATCATCGTTATCACGATACATTGCATGAGCTTCACGAGCATCACAATCGTGCACTGCAAGAGCTACAGATATTCTTGCAAAGCAGCTACGAGGTCTCCACTGGCGCAGAACCAGGTCGAAAGAGAAGACTACAGATTCTTGCTTGTGGTGTACAGTTTATCAGCTTCGAACTTTTTCGTGGCGGGACAAGTCAATGGGAGGTCCATCTTGATGCCTTGGCTACAGTAGTTCGTGGTATGCCAGTGATGAACTTCACGGACAATGGCTCATCTCCTGAAGACTTTACACCAGACACTTCAAGCGGACTTGAGCCTCATCGTTTGGAAGACAACGCAGAGCATTTTCTTGTGGGGGCTGTGCTATGGTTTGACATGTTGTCATGTGCTTCTACAAGCGACGCTCCTCGTCTTCACCTAGAAGCTGCCCGCCTTTTACAAGGACAAATTGACTTGGCGAACATCATCCCCTGCCAACCGTGGGTCGCCTTGGCTATAGGTGACATTGCAGCACTTCGTGCCTGGAAGGCAGATGCAATCTCAACCTCCAGCCTCAGCTTTTGGAAACTGTTTGAGCAAGGAGATCCCATTCGCAAGCGTTTAGAGGATGGTATCGCTGGCCTCCGCGCTGAAGTCGACGAATCGTTTGCCGCACTAGGTGTATCGCACCTCGGGACCACGGGAGCCTATCTGGTTCTCGCTAACCCTGGGGTGCAACAAGAAGCTATCAAACGAGCAATCACTCTAGTCTTTGCAAATGCCGCTCAAGTCTATCTCAACACCATCATCTCAGGGGCGGACCCAAAACTTGATGATGTTCGAAATAGTGTCGTCGACACGATGGATGCACTGCAAGAATTGCAACTTATCTGTGATGCTCAGGCTTTGCGAAATCTCATCTGGCCAATATGTATCGCTGGCAGCATGGCTGAGGATGCGCCTGCCCAATCATATTTTCAGAGCCTGATCCAGGATCTTGGCGAGGAAGCACACGCTTTCGGCAATACCACGACTACTCTGCAAATTATGCAGAGATGCTGGGTCTCGCGCAAGGACAATGGTTCTGGATCCTGGCACTGGGCTACTGCGATGGAATCTATGGGCCAACGTGTGTTACTCGTCTGATCAATGCGAAATCTGCTCTATTCAACCCATGTGCCTGGCATCAATCTCTCTGGGTGTTCAAGCATATCCTAGAACTCGCCACAATATCTTTCGTACATCGAATCCCATATCATCCAGGTCGACAGATCATCGTCGTAGTATAAGCTGATCGTAAGATATTCGCACTGGTAATCAGACGCATGAGCCTTGCCCGCCGAAGCCAGGAATTGACGATCGATGTAAAGCTCAAGCCTTCTACACGACAAACTTGCCTCAAGCTTGATATCAAGACATTTCGATCTTGAGATGAAGTGCTGAAACCCGTTGATAATATCTCGAGTGTCGAAAAGTTCTCCACAGAACCGCCTCTTAGAATGCCAATATGCCTTGACAAAACAACGTATCACTTCGATCACTGCTGTATCCTACATGGTCTCTCCTTCTGTCTCTTGTTGCTTTTTTTCTCTCCGCACCGCCGCAAAGCACCTCCAATGTGGCTCCCGCGGCAAACATCCCCCGAACGGTATCTTCCCATTCACTTCTGCAATGTGTATCTCTTGGGCCAGTTCCCCACCAAGCAGATCCCCACTGGTGTAAAGTTACACGCAGAAGCTCACGTTTTGAGCTGTTATCCGATACTGGATAAGCGCTTTCGAAGCTTTCTATGTCTACAAAATTCGCCACTGCTCGTGGCGACAAAGGATAGTAGAACCGGATAGAACCTAAGCGGTCTGCCAAAGTGATCTTGGGACAATCTTGTGCCGCCAACGGAAATATGCGCTTGTACTCTTGCTCAAACGCGACACTGGGCATGAAGCGCGGATTGGTACATCGATCCCAGAAAAGCTCCGGATCTAAGTCAACTTCATCCACAAGTAGTCGGAAAATATCATCGTTCCGGAGATCGAACAACGAGCTAAAGGAAGAATTAAAGATGCTTCTCCTGCTGAGATTGTGAATTGCTAGGCTAAGATAAGATCGTTTGTTAGCAATTTGTTACAAATACCTGGTCATGTGCTCAACTCACTTGCCGGAAAGCGTAGGCTCACTGACATCAGCGCCATGGTCAATCGAGAAACGACCGATGCGCAACAAGGCTTCGTGATTATTTGGCGATGTACTGATGGCTAACTCCNNTAGACCAAAGTTAGATACTAGAAACAGAACATCAAAACGCACAGATCATACGTGTAGAAACGTCCACCCAAACTCGTCCCGATCAAACATTGTTGCTTGTCCAGACTCGATGAGACCCCGCACGCAGTCGAAGTCACCATACCCGATGGCCTCCCAGATCTTGGAGTCGCGCGTAATTGTCCGGTAGGATCTCAGAGTCACAGTCCAGCTTCGAGCTGCTCGGCATACATTGATTTGCAATGAAAGCTGCGCGAGCCAGTGGGGAAGCACTAGTGAGAAGGATAAGGCTGAGACCATCTTTGGGGACCTTGGCCTCTTTCGAACCCCTTCGCGACTATGGCTGTCGTCGACGATAGGAAATTGTTGACCGCGTCCTGTTTGCTGGCTGGCGTTGATTTGAGGTTGTAACGTGGCCATGGGCCGTGTGTGACAAAAGTTGGTCAATGTTGTTACGCTCCCACTCAATTGATCGACCTTTGTATCAGTCCTCATGGCCGTCTGAAGGTACAGTTCNGCTACGATCATTAGCCCCTGTCTGTTTGTAAGAGAAGTATGTCCAGCTTATGTCGAGTATGCCGACACAGCTAAGCCTAGCGAAGTCTTTGACCTCTCTATCTTCATCAAGTACGCGTCCAGAATCTTTCTCTTCCAAGCCATTGTCATCGAGCCCAGCGTCCCTTTCTGCGCAATCTCGGCATTAAGCTTCTCGATCACGGCGTTCAAAGATCTCACACTTTGGTCGACAAAGCGCAAAGCTGGCGTCGGATTCATATTCTGACACATGGAAGCATTTCGCTGGATTTGAGCTTCAATGCCGGCTATTGTGCCCAGCAGTATCTCTAGTTCATTGGTCAAGTATTTGATCTCTTCAGGAGCATCGCGAATGTCGTTGCAAAAAGCCTGGAGTTTTCGTATACCGTCAATAGCTTGGGCAGCGACGCCCGCGATGCCGATTCCAGATGCGACTGCTCCGAATATCTCTGCCATTGTTTTTGGTCAAGCAGTCAAATATGGTTTGTCGTTGATGGGCCAAACGTCCAGATCGATCATCTACAGCGCACAAGTCGTTAATATGAGATGACAGAGATGCCTCAGCCTCATGCATGCACTCCGCCTTGTTGAGGCTGTGATGCAGCCCAATCACGCAGCGCTTCAGTCAGATCATCCAGTACACACACCAATTCCACTTTGCCTCGAGAACATCGATATGTCTCTTCAGCTGCGGGATCGTGACGAAATAGCAACACAAATCGGAGCCTGACCAAAGCCTGACATTCAAGCACATTGAAAAGACGAAAAGCGATATCTAAGAGGCTGCCAATTACCTTTGTTAACATCACTCTACCCTACTGCACTTGAGGAATGATAACTCGGAAAACTTCTTGACACGTTGTACCATAATTTCAAAGAAGAGCTAGTGTCGTTCAAAATGGCAGCCGCTAAGGGGGTCCCGACCTCTGTTGATCCACTGAAAGCTTGAATAGAGGAATTGGCAAGATTGACCCAGATATAGATACCATCACCCAGTGTATCGCTCAAGACTTTGAAGCTGAATCCGCCCACAACGGGCTTGACCATGAATGTCAAGTCGTACGAAGTCAGTGCTTGTGCCTGTAGACCGGCATAAGGTTGAGGGCCGCACTCCCAATGTAGGCACCGCCAGATCGAAGCTCCCAGAAGTTTGGGACAGATCCAGCAGCAATCATGCTCAGTTCCACTGTCCGAGCGCCAGTAACCCATACATTGGTCCAGTTTGCGTTTGAGCAGTTGAAAGAGCCTTGCGACTTGGCTGTGTAGTAAGAAGGAACCATACCTACTCCTGAGAGTACAAGTTCGCCTGCTGAGGCGAGAGTGAGCAATTGCCATCTGACTCCACCTTGTAACGGGCGGTCTATGTGAGTTATGTTGGACGCAGCAATGTTGTATTGTTGAACTCGATAGGTGTTCTGGGCAGCGGCCATGGCGATCGGTCCATCAGTCTGCTTCTCATCAGCTTGAGCTATCCCGTGTGATCAATGGTGATGTTGTGCAACTTACCTGCGATCGGTCGAGTTGTAATCTAAATTCACTATGCGCAATACTGAAGGCAGAAGTATCTCCAGAAGCTTGGACGACATGAAAAGTGGTAAAGCTATTGAGATCATGACCATGATCGATGATAAAATGAGCGGGTTGAGAACCATTAGAGCGAAGATGAATGGTGCCATTGTTTGCTCGAGCGAAGACCGGGTCACCATGTGCCCAAGCTATCTGGAAGCAGAGCAGAAATGAAGGTAGAAAGGGCGAGTACCACATCTTGGTTCGATGGGAGGAGAAGGATGTAAACCGACCTGTGGTGAAAGACTCATGTATACATATGCTGTGAGCTTGATGATGTGACATCAGAGCTTGATGTTGTTGAAACACACTTTGAGTGTATGCACAGGGCATATCAAAATGACCAGGATGCCTAAACATACGGATAGAATGAAAGGGCATCGCGTACAGTACACCGAGCATATCTCGACCTCGGTCGAGACGGCTGTACACCAGCCAAGATATACACCAAACCCAATGCGAGGCGTGTATGCAACACGCAATACGAAATACGCAACGATGCGAACCAAATATCTTCTATGGTCTGTGGACTGACGCATTGTTCTGTGAGTCAGCCTGCTACACAGGTCAAGTTCACTATCGCACTCAAAAGCTCCAAATCGTCGTCGAGAACTGCGTGCACAATGGCTGGAAGGAAATCAAGAAGGAGTGGAGGAAAGAGGCCCAACACGCCAGAATGAAAAGGCTAGACAAGAAACGTCTGTTCTGCAGCAGCTAGTCACATACATCTCACGGCAGAACATAATGAATGCTATGAGCTTCTGATGCTGTTCGAATAAACATTTTTGAATGTCCAGGCCGAGATCTCTGTACCTTGGAGTTGAGTCGCAGAATTGCGCAACTGCGTATTGCGTATTCATCAATCGCCGGTGTTTCTCCATTACTGAGTACGTGCACGTGACCTGTGCTCTGACCTGCGGGAGTTCAACACCGAAGTACTCTGCTTCAATCCTTCTCGGACAGAAAGCTGATTGGCTTCGATTCTTCCTTACAGCCCTAACTTACTTGTGCAAACAACCAGTGATATGCGACGTGCGATATGCAACGGCCCTAGGCAGCATCTTTCAGAGATCTTCAGGGCCGTGCTGGCGGCTTGGTAGCTACATTAACTTAACGTAGTGTTCGTCCTCGAATAATGTAGCAGCCTATTTTAGAGGCGTGGCAAACGACAATAAAATATATATTAAGAAAGCTTCTGGATCTTGGTAGGTCTTGTATCGTCGCTGACTTCCTCGCTCACCTTCCCGGATTTTGGAAACATTTCGCAGTCGCACTCTCCCATCTTACCAATCGATCGACGCTATTCTCTGCCACATCTCGACAAGCAGCTCTTTATTGCGCTTCGCTCTCATTCGAGTTGTATCACAGACTAGCTGAGCTGGAACCAACATGAAGACAGTCGACGACTCCAATGAATCCGAAAGTACTCTAAGCAGAGACTCCCCAGACACACTATCACCCCCTCCGTACACCGAGATTTACGACCATAATTATGATGCTAGTCACGATTCTGAGACTGCGGCCTCTGGCGCTGAAGGTTATCATATCAGAGGTGAACACAACTCTACATGTTCATGCATGAACAGCACTGATTGTTGAGATTCCANNGACGATGGACGTGTTGATATTAACTTCAACTCAAGTGTCATCCGAGCAATCTCGAAATGCTTTCCTTCTGGACCGGCTGAAGATTCAGAACCCGCGCCTCCTGTCTACGATTTCAAGAGACACGACTTCAAAAGAAAGCCGGTAGGCTCCGGCGCATCATCAAGCTCAACGTGGACTGTGAAGCTCAATATCGTGATCCAAGTCGTGGGCAGCCGTGGAGATGTGCAACCCTTTATTGCTCTGGGCACTGAACTCCAGCGTTACGGTCACAGAGTCCGACTTGCTACCCACGACCTGTTTGCAGCCTTCGTCCGCCAAGCCGGGCTCGAGTTTTATCCCATAGGAGGAGACCCTGCGTCATTGATGGCGTACATGGTCAAGAATCCCAGCCTCATCCCTTCAGTAAAGACAATGATGTCTGGTGAGATCAGCCGCAAACGCCGCATGGTCGCCGAGATGTTAGATGGATGCTGGAACTCATGTGTTCTGCCGGACCAATTCAGTGGTGAACCTTTCGTCGCAGATGCAATCATCGCGAACCCTCCTAGCTTTGCCCATGTACATTGTGCGCAAGCTTTGGGTATCCCTGTCCATCTCATGTTCACAATGCCGTGGACCAACACTCGCGCTTTTCCGCATCCTTTGGCAAACTTGACTAACGTTGATGGAAGCTATGCATCAGCAAATTATCTGTCATATCATGTCGTGGAATGGATGACTTGGCAAGGGTAAATTGTTTCCGACTCGACATTCTCTTTGTGTCATGGCTTACTTTGATGCAGGTTGGGTGATGTGATTAACGACTGGCGAGACAGCATTGAACTGGAACCCATCAACTTTATGGATGGTCCGACATTAGCACGGATGCTCAAAGTTCCTTTCACCTACTGCTGGTCACCAGCGTTGGTGCCTAAGCCTAGAGACTGGCCTGAGTACATCGGTAAGTACGACTCAGACTCTCCACATTGTCATAACTAATACATGTCTGAAGATGTGTGTGGTTTCTTTTTCCGCGGTACACCTACATACAGTCCCGAGCCTGCCCTTATGGACTTTCTAGATGCGGGACCTGCGCCCGTGTACATCGGCTTCGGCAGCATCGTGCTCGATGATCCTGCAAAGATGCTATCTATAATCCTTGAAGCCGTGAAAGCTTCTGGTGTGAGAGCCATCATCTCGAAAGGATGGTCTAACTTTGGCGGTGATGTGGGTAAAAGCATATACTACATCGGTGACTGCCCACATGAGTGGTTGTTCCCACGCATGGCAGCTGTTGTGCATCATGGTGGCGCAGGCACTACCGCCTGTGGGCTCAAGAACGGACTTCCAACATTGGTGTGCCCATTCTTCGGAGAGTAAGTTAAATACTAGCCTATTGGACTGTGAGACTCTAACATCCAATGTTTAGTCNAGCCCTTCTGGGGCCATATGATTGCTAATGCCGGTGCTGGACCCAAGCCTCTGCCGCCACGCCAGATGACTGCGGCCACATTAGCTGATGCCATCCGTTTCCTCATGTGGGAAGAGACATCGGCAGCAGCGAAGACCATCGCCAGGCGCATGTCACACGAACAAGGAGTCCAGGCCGCTGTAAACTCTTTCCACAGGCATCTTCCACTAGAAGCCATGCGATGCGATCTTGTTCCCGACCAGCCAGCCGTCTGGACGCTCAAGTCAAGTCGCAATCAAGTCAAGTTGTCCAAGCAGGCTGCCGAGATTTTGACATCACAACGCAGTAGTTTGCGAAAAGACCTCAAGNCCGTAAGTCCAACGTAATCTAGGCTATTTGGTACGTTCTGACGGGTTTGCAGGTACCAATCGAAGCCTATTACTATCGAGCCCGTCCGCTGGGATGCCGTAAGCGGTGGAGCCTCTGCTTCAATAAAGACAATAATGGACATCACGGGTTGCGTGACCGGCATGGTCACCGATCCAATCAAAGTATATCGCGAGGAAAAGCAACGAGAAGACCGAGCCATTGCGGTCGATGCAATGGTCGACTCCCAACAGCTAGCTGAAACCAACAGCCATCGGGACTCGAGCGCAAGTATCCATACAACCGCGTCAACGAAAGCACGCGACAAACAACCATCTGCAGGGAGCAAAGCAGCGTTGGCAGGTGTAAAAAGCATCGGCTGGTTGGGGCCAAAAGCCATCAAAGGTATGATGGTCGATATACCGCTAGCCATGGCAGAAGGCTTCCACACCGCACCTAGATTCTACGGCGATGAAGTTCGAGACCACGGCAAAGTGACCGGCGCTGGAAGTGGGTTTGCTGTGGCTAGCAAGACATTCGCCTACGGCCTGTACGATGGAATATCTGGTCTTGGCATGCAACCTTACAAGGACTACAAAAAGTCAGGTGGTGTAGGCATAGCAACCGGGCTGGGTAAAGGGCTGGCTGGTCTTGTGACCAAACCTGGAGCTGCTATGGTCGGCGTGCTGGCGTATCCAGCGGCTGGTATTGCGAAGAGTGTGCGGGCTGCCGTATACAACAAATCGCGGAAGCTGGTTAAACTGCAGCGTATCGCTGAAGGCGAATGGTTGGCTGAACATCATCAGTGGACTGGGAGCCAGGTGGTTGCGTTGATGGAGAAGTTTAATGCTTTGGGATCCAAGAAGGGTAAAGATGCGTGCTAGTTGTTCCTTTGACGAGAAGATCGTTCGGAAATGTAAACAATCAATATGTACAGCAGCAGCATGCAAAAGTGCTCCGAAACCGCCAATGTTTGGAATGAACACCCACGCCACCAACCCTATATTTGTTATCGAGAATAGCTGTATTTCCTGCCGTCCTCGACTGGGCAGGGTAAGGCTGTTCAGATTGAGGTTTCCGATGAGCTACAGAGAAAGATGCTGATGGCCAACATCATGTCCTGTAAGCCTTCCCGCGATACTGTCACCTTGCATTGGTGATTGATTAAGCACGCATCTTGGTTGTTGTCGACTCTACTGTGAACGAGAAGGTGGTGATGTACAATTTTCCATCTGTGGTAGCACTGTCGTTTTCGTTTTGAAGACGAATTAAAGCACCCATTACGTCCAGGGTTCGAAACAAAGGTTGTCCGGGCATTGCCTCCTCAGTTTGCTTTGCAGGGGTCCAAGGAGACTGCTGTTTGTGCGGCATCTTGTAAAACTCTGCGGCAGGCGCAGGTCCGAGCGTATGAGTATTGTTCCAAAGATCTGTTGAAGCGTGTGTATGATCTCATCATAATTGGAAAGAGGCATGAACCCTCGTCAATGTTCTGGCATTGGTGTGTAGCAAGATTATTGCTCACTTGCCACAGCGGTCCACGATCGTTGCACCAAGTCGGCCAAATCTTGCTGTGATTCGCGTAGGATCGGTAGGATTGCAAGCACTAGACGCTTTCCGGCATCCGCAGCCCACCATCGGTCGCGGAGCAGATGGATGATGACTCCATAGTGTGCGAGTATTGCCAGTGCTAGTGAGTCTCTCGCCTCAATAAGACTCATATACTCATCGCCCAGTGTTGCTGGCCATGTCATGATCTCTGACATGATGCCGCCTGTGCAGTACGAGCTCATAGCGTGCTGGAGATATGATATGGCATCAGAATGAGATTTGCTGTTTGCAGTCTTTGATGCCTCTGTTAGCAAGAGCTCAAGTGTGGCATCGACTATNACTTTACAACGTCAGCTTGGGAGGTCACTCTCCTCAACACTGACTCAATCTCACCGGCACATATCTGGCAATGGTACGCCTGTCCCGTTTCCAGAGTCTAAGTTACTCGGTGTGTGCTGATTGAACAAAGTCCCGAAGCTCGAGAGATGCAAGAGATCACTGTAGTTTCGATGCACCAAACCAACACCAGAAATGAATTGGCGCAGCTCAAGAATGTCGACCAGAGCATCTGATAACTGACGGCTGTGTTGCCAGTGAGACTGTGCCAGAGAGAAGACCATTATAAGTATGGAGCACGCAAATATAGCCTCGCAATTGCTGGAATCCAGGGCACCTAGAACATGCTGGAATTCTGAGAGGGCCCTGCCCTCATATTCCAAAGCAGCCCAGTCCCAGCTTGGGTCCTCGAAGGAAATCTGACGGGCAGATAGAGCCAGGAGCGCATTCAACAAATACTCGTGTGAGAGGGCCAGTTCTGGTACGACGACTTGCCATAAATGAGTTTCGTCGGAGTGCTGTCTTAGCGATTTGTATGCGTTGGTTGACCAGTTATGCATCAGTCTGAGCTCCAAGACCCTGGTTTCTGTAGTCCGAGGAGCAGGGGATGTTGTAGATTCTGACCGACCAGATGGTGAGGCAGTCAAGCCTGGCGTGTTATCATTGCTAGGAGCGATAAAGCTACATACGACCTCACGCTTGAGGCAATAGCCACAACTGGGCATGGATTCATCGCACTATCGATGCATCAGCAACAGATATAGCTCGGATCATTTGGCAGAAAGATTTGGAGGGGTTTCCGCAAACACCATTCGCGATCACGAGACTGCGTCCAAGGCGTAGATACTGACCTTGACATGACGCTGCTTGCATTGCGAGCATCCTCGGCGAGATTTAGTATGACTTCTGCGCTGCGGCATCAGTGGAAAAGCACGATTGTATTCAAGTACTGGTTGCGCGGAAGTCACATGAGGGGTTTCTCTTGTCGAGATGCCCTGTGTAGGGCTTGTCTCGGCTCTCGGAATTTCCCTTAGCCAATAATGACATCGGCTCCATGTCACTGCTGTAACACTAGAACAAGAGCGAATCCATACAACGCATTAAAGAGCTTCCATGTTGTGACTACTCTGATGTTTCCCAAGACACTGATAAGATCAGTCCACACGTTGAAGGATTCTGATACGCAATACGCGATACGCAATACGCATCTACAACATCAGGCAAGATAGTCAGGACTCAATATTCTTCGCTTCTGTCTACATAGCAGCTTTGCACAATCCAACGGCAAATACGTCGAACCTCAAGCACAACCGTACAGATTATGCCTCTGAGTTTTAACAGCGGCCAGTACAATCCACAAATTCAGATTATGAAATTAGACTGATCTGGCTTGGACGCACAAAAGATCGAAAAACAATCATTTGCGACTATACTAAACAGATCTCATTATCATTTCCATTATAAAGCATTGGGAAGGTATCGATCTTGATCTCAGTCCATAGCCCGTTAAGGCTCGAAGGACATACCTTGAGCACGCCTCTCCAGGCTACACCGCCACCACGAGCTCGGCATTTACTCATGTAGACAATGCCCTCTTCTCCGCTTTTATAACCAAGATCCAAGGCCTTGACAAAGACATGTTTCTCGCCATTGGAACTTTTGGTCCCGCAATAGTACTTTCTGTCTGTGTTCCAAGTATGCTCAGGGATATCGTATGCTTTCCAACACTTCGTTGTCGATAAGAAGGGTAACGTTGTAACGAGGGCCACCCGATTCTTCGGTGTAGAAATGCGCTTTGAGATGCGAGCGTACGCGATCTGGTGATGCACCGTGTAGCGGTACAGCGTCCAGGTGTAGAGCTGAATTCATCTGCTCGCCGTAGGGTTGCTTGAACATGTGCTTAAAACTCGCTTCTGAGTAGCCTTGTAACTTGGCGACCACCGCAGTGCCATCGCTCTCACTGGTCTTGTCGTACGTAAGATACACGTAGTAGCCCCAAGTCTGGTTTTTGCGCCTGGACAATTTGCTATGAAAGAGTCAAGTTCCAGTTTCCAGGCATCCTTAGAAGCCATATTCGTTGATAAATTCCGGGGTGACGGTGTAGCACGAGACTGCTCTGGTTCGAAGAAACTCTGCGTGGCACGTCTGACAAGTGGCCGGGCGATGTTTCTGTTGCTAGTATCGTTATCGTTATGGCGGGAACCTGGTCGACAAGTCGCGAATGGTCTGAGGATCGATGTGTTTCTTTCCATGTGTGACCTGTGCAGCTGGTTGCCTACGAAGTCTCACGGGAAACCCCTAGGGGTTTATGTGTGTCCAGTGGGTTGCCCAATATGAATGGATTTGTTAGTGATCATTCTCGACAAGAGTCTTGAAAAGCCTCGCGACTTGGCTACCGTCGCATCGTCGTCGACCTTGACTATCAATGCCCTACGTGAGGCACATGTAGTGGCCCAGATGCGGATGGACGCGCCTGGATGATCTCTGAAAAGGAGTTCAAGTTTAGTTGCTAAGCATTCGCAGAAGCTATACTGACTACTACGATCCGGTGCGGTCAAATGACAAAGTTGTCTTCTGAGACTGCCGCCTTATATTGTGAAGTGTATGTGTCGTCCACCAAGACTCCAGACTGGGCGAACGCGTCGCAGGACGGGTTCTTCGAGCGCGGTCTGCAATGCGCAATACGCAACACGCAATACGCAATACGCATCGTGCAATACGCAGTACGCACCTGCAACGTCCAACAAACGTCAGACATTTCTTCGCTTCTCCCTTTGCACTATCCAATGGCAGCGCGTCAATCGTGTTATCTATTGCCATATTACGCATGATATTAGGGCCTGAAAGTAGGTCCTGCTGTAAGTCGGCAGTTTGTGCATACACGCCATCCGTAAGTTTGATTTGGGTTGGCCGGTCCAAACGAACTGCGCCTTGAGATCTTAGATTGAGGAAGTCACTTATAATGCCGTGCTCCTCGATGGAAATGGAGAAATTATAACACTGTCTCTGTTCCGCTCCTCTTCTAGCTACGTCCAGCTTCCTACACTCACACTACACTGAATTAGAATCGCACCCGACAAGACCCAACCACGGAAAGAACGACTATCAAAGGCCATCTCCTTCCAACCCTCTCCAAAACCAGTCAATCGCCATCTCCGAATTGGATCTAGCCGATAGCAATCAACCGCCATCTTCAAAATGACAGACTCTGGAACCATCGATTTCAAGCTATACCGCTATGATCCCAGCCTGGGTGCCGCAGTCGTCTTCGTCATTACATTCACCTTGATGACAGCGTTACACTTCTACCAAATGGTTCGAACAAAAACCTATTTCTTCGTTCCCTTTGTGATTGGAGGATTATTCGAGGTTATTGGCTACATTGCAGTAAGTCTTGCTTCACCTTATCAATCTCCACTCGACTGAGTTCGTTTGTGCAGCNGAGCCAAAGCCAGCCAAGAAGCTCCCAATTTCAGCATTCCTGCATACTCTATCCAAGCGATTTTGATTCTCGTTGCGCCTGCTCTGTTTGCTGCGAGTATATACATGGAACTCGGACGCATCATTCTGCTCACCGATGGCGAGCAACACAGCATCATTCGCAAGAAATGGCTGACAAAAATCTTCGTCATTGGCGATGTCATCTCCTTCTGTCTGCAAGCTGCCGGTGGTGGTATCATGGCATCAGGCACAATCGCCGCACTGGAAGCTGGCGAACACATCACCATTGCTGGTCTGGTTATCCAAATCTTGTTCTTTGGATTCTTCATCATTGTCAGCATTACCTTCAACATTCGCATGAACAGGGTACCTACCAGCCGCAGCATGGTCAGCTTCAACCCTTGGAAGAAGCACCTTTATACTTTGTATGGCGGTAGCGCGCTCATTCTGATCAGATCCGTCTTTCGCTTGATCGAGTACGCTCAAGGCAATGATGGCTACCTGATCTCACATGAGTGGTTCTTGTACATCTTCGATGCCTGTCTGATGTTGGCGACTATGGTTTTGTTTGCTTGGTTCCATCCCAGCGAGATTTGGGCGCTGCTGAACAAGAATGGTGGCAAGATGATTAGCCATGGCTATAAGGTCGAGGCAGCGATCCCTCTACTGTGAGGAAGAGTAGATATCATGAGTCTCACTATAGGACTGGTCAAAGCCTGACACATATACCTGGGTGCTGCTATTCCATCATATAGCGTTACATACTCTAAATCTGTTTGTAGTTTTCCAAGTCGAAATCTTGATAATTTTATCGCGCTACCGATCGAAGATCGGATTGATGATCTTTGCGACGGCCTCTGCTGTTGTGAACAGTACTCCCCCTGCAAGCACAGTACGACCCAATCTCATGACCGTACCTCTCCAAAACGCACGAACACCATCATCCTTCCAGATACTCGCAATAGCTTCCATCGTTGTCGTCGCCTTTGCCGTCTGCGACCTCGTCTTGATGACATCAAAAGGCTGCGTCGCTAATGTCGTAGTCGTACCAGCCACAGCGCCATTCGCAAAATTGGTAACCGTGTTTTGCTCAATGTGATGGTTCTTCTCATAGTCCTTGAGAATATTGTACGTGCCCATGCGGAAACTGGTTGCTGAAGCTTGTTTCAGCGTTGTTCCCGCAAAGCCGCGATAAAGTCCTTTGAAGCCGTCTTCAGCGAGGATTGTCCTGATAGCATGCATAGTCGAGGTAAATTGTCTGGGTCCTCGGGCATCGTCTATCAAAGCAGTTTTGATGCGTTCGGTAGGTGTGACTGCAGTTGCGCTCGCTACCACACCTGCAGCCATTCCTGCCAACATGTTTCGTAATGGAGATAGTGTTCCTGTCTCTGGGTCTTTGAACATGTTCTTGACGGTATCGAATGACAAGAATCGGACTGCATCTTTTCCCACACTTCCCACTACCAACGCACCACAGCCTTTGTATAGTGCGCGTAACCCTTCTTGACTGTACACTTGTCCCACCACAGCGAATGGGTTGCGAGGGTAGGGTACTCCTTGCTTTCGGACGTGTAGTTGAGCGCGTGTTTTGGCGAATTCGAAGGGGTAGGTTACGGAGGCTTCTACACCGCCAGCGATGCCGCCGGAGATTACAGAGACTATTGGTTTGGTCTGTTTTTCATGGTTGGAGGTCATGTTTGGTGAGATTGGTATACAGTAGCTAAAGAGGACACGCGATTGGATTGGAAATGGGAGTAGTGGTGGTTACCGAGGTATGACGTTGGCGTAAACCGTTCCCGAGAGTTTTGCAAGTGGGCAGCAGCTGTTTGTTGGAGGATATCGACACCTTCATTGTTTTTCTTCACACACAGGGATCGCGTCTTCGAGATGCCTATCTCTATCAGCACAGGGTTTTGCATGCCGCGAGATGAGTGACGATTGTTAATCGTCTGGATCGTGGCGCGACTCAACTTTGCTACCTGATCCTGACTCGCGAATCCGCGTTTCTGCCTATTTCGCGACAGCCAGCTGCTGATGCCTGGAAGCCCGTCTCGCCTAAGGTGATGCTGCCTCCAGCCATATTGGATTCAGGCAATATGGGCATGATTGAGGTAAGATACTGTTCTTGTGCACCATTCATGAATTGATATTTAATACTTGGTCGACACCCATCTGTTGTCGTTCACACAACCACACCTGAATCTTCTCAAGTGCATTCATCTCTGGCTCGTACTCTTGACTCATCTCTTGTCTTACAACAACCTCTCTCTTCCTACAACAATTTTCAACATGCGCATCTCAACAATCAGACAACGTCGCGCACATTCGGCCGTACGAAGACGCACAATCAAGCAAGTCGCTGCTGCCATCCCCACGAGGTCAATCGAGGCTCCTTCATTCACACCACACTTCTCCGAAGAACCCGGATGCGATTCGATAGTCGTTGGTTGTAAATCCGGCATTGCGCAAATCGAAATCACTAATGGCGGAACCACCGAGACTATCAGCTATGACTGCTCGTTATCCGGACAAAGGACCCAGTCTGTCACTTTTGATCTCAAGGACTTTGATCAATCTACACCTCTTCGCTTAGACGTACTTGGATGCAATGGCCGCGTCAAACGAACTTCAGATGCCTGGAAGACGACGATCCAGGATATCATTCGCATTAACAACTCGAACGTTGTCCTGCGCAAACAATCTGCCATTGGTATCGACGTGCGAACCAGCGATGGTGACGAGGAAACCGGCGATATTCCCGATGGCCACAAGTGGGCAGTGCTACTCCAGGAGAAGGGTAACAACGGCAAGCTCACACGCGCAAAGACAATCGACTTGCGAATTGGCGCCATCCTTGACGGAGCAGTTGTATACTACGAGGACGGACACACGACACCCTGTGGACTTCGCTATGGCCACAGCGGCGCCAATCATTACTTTGGCGGCGGCAATTCTCAGAAGTTGCACATCCCTCCAGGTGTCGACATTGTCAAAGTAGAGGTGAACAGGTTCGGATGGGGTAACCAGGTGTTGGGTGGCATAGTCATGACTTTGTCAGATGGAACCAAGGCAGGGTGTCTCAACGGTCATTGGCTAGCCACCTCGATGTTTAAGAACAACGATTTCAAGGTGATGGAAGCGGGAGTGGGAGAGAAGATTGTCGGTTTCTTTGGCACGTCTGTTCATTATACCAATGAATTCGGTATCATCACTGGGCCTGCGGATGTGGAGCTTCCACCTCAAGCATACGATATGGCTGAGCTCCAGAACATTCAGGCTCGAGACTGGGCTAGCAACAAGTAGATCAATAGCATGTCGCAAGAAACGAGAGTCCCATACGAGTACCGTTATCATTGTCACGCTATACGGAGAATAGGCACGAGTCGAGATGCAGGAGCTAATCTGGGCTCTAAAAAGTGGGGATTTCGGGTATCGTGGTTCGGATATGTTTCAAAGTGATCCGGGGCCGTTGAGATGAATTCGTGATTTGTGTTTAAGCATCTAAAATCTCGTGCCTTGTGGACGTTTCTTGCAGGACTTGGGTGAAGCAAAGGATGGAAAGCAGGGCAAGAGCAAGCACCATGTGTTTCCTGCATGGACGGTTGACTGCAAAGTAGATCCGGCAGCGGGATGGTCAATGAGGAAAGATCGACGGCGCATTTGGGCTGAGAGGGACCGAGCGCCGGCAACCCAGGGACCACCGGAGAGTCTCCACCATCACCCAACACCAGTCCTTGATCATCACTTGACATGGACTAGACAGATCTTTTTCACTACTGTTTCTTTCGGTCCTAGCATTCATTGGCGTCCTTGGTTCCACCGGCAGTTGATCTTTCGCTCTTTCAGTCTCTCGTATAACCTTCACTTTGTCCTCATCCCTCGGGCGCACATTCGGACCTCCGCCTCTTGTATCACTTCTCTTGTACCTTGTTATTCGACGTCCTTGCATTTGCCATCTTCTCGCTTCATCTTCGACTCTTTCATCCATCCACATACATCTCACAGCGACAAGCGCGCATCAACAATGGACGACAGGATCTCCATCACCATCTGTGGCGACGGCGGCTGCGGTATGTACCCTCAGTCGCAACTGCCATGCATCCGGCTAACGCAATGCGCCANNGGTAAATCCTCAATCACCCTGCGCATCGTCCGCTCGGCCTGGACACACGACTACGATCCCACAATCGAAGACTCGTACTCGGTCACGCGCACCATCAATGGCCAAACCTACTCGCTCTTCCTCACCGACACGGCTGGCCAGGAAGAATACCGTGGCATGTGGTCGGCCGCAAACCTGACCTCGGACGCCTTCCTCTTCGTCTACGACATCACAAATGCCCAGTCCCTGCAGAACCTCGACTTCTTTGCCGAGTTGGTCGACATGGAGAGGGAGAATAGACAAGAGCAGGGAAAGTGCTGGCCTGCCATTATGGTCGCCGGAAACAAGTGCGATCTGCAGGGTCAGAGACAGGTTGGTGCTGCTGAGGGTTTGGAGTGGGCAAAGAGCAGAGGATGCGGTTTCATGGAGACTTCGGCGCGCGAGGTCGTTAACATCGAGGAGACTTTTGCCTGTGAGTCGCGCACATGGATCTACAATCAGCAGAAACTGACATAATACAGCANNATTGTCAAGCGCGTAGTCGAGGCCAGAGAACAATACGCAGCAGGCCTGCGACCAGACTTCCCTTCTCTTGTCAACCCGACACCTTACAACCAATCTGCATCCCAGCGCGTCTCTGCGGCAACAGAAACACACCAGTCTGCTCCTGCGCCAAACATCACTAGCGAATCCGAAAAGCTGCGTTTCTCAGAGTCTGAGTCTGCTGCTACATCGCCGCAAAAGAAGAAGAAGAAGGGTGGTTTCTTTTCGAGCTTGAAGTGCTGGTAGACTCACGCACTTGTACTCTGGCATACGTCTTCATCGTCTTTCTGTTTAGTAGCCAACATGCTCTCAGGTGGAAGAGGGGCATAAGAGATGGATTTTTCTTCTTTTGTTTCCAGCTGCAAGCGATACCCAAGTTCTTTGCATTTTGTTTTGTTTTCCTCTTCCTTTTCTCATCGTCTCTTCTCTGTTAATTGCCTTTACTACGGCCTTAGTTCTCCGTGTCCCCTTTTTGTAGAGATTAGATACCACTGAAGCTTTCTCAACTATTACGTCGTCTCATCTTGTTTGTCAACTCGAACATGAACATGTTGATTCTTCCTAATGGCCATAGCTGCTATTCATCATTCATCATCCATCATCCATCACTTGGGTACTGAGTCAATGCAGAGTCCAAGTGTGCTGCTCTCTTTGGAATGGCCAGACTGTGCAAGCCAAAGTATGTAGTAATATTAGTCTCGGACTCGGATCCTTGGGCTTACCAAAGGCACTCGAGGAAACTTCGTCTCTAGGATGACTTCTCGAGTCTCCCAAACTCGACTCGATTTCTGCTCGCTGTCGCGGAAGGGTTATCTCAACCTTTCTTACTGCTCACTGCCGCTATATACCTACACCTCCATGAACACTGCCGCTCCATATACACACCGGTATCAACACTGCCACTCTGCCTGCTAGCAACAATCTTTCTCGAGATCCAGGCAACCAGGAAGAACACACGTTCGCCTGCAAACGCGGCCTGGTTCTTCGAGACGCACAGCCACACAACACATCCTCGGTACTTCCAACATGCTTCCAACATACATGCTTACCTGCATCATGCATATACTGCGTGCGCTACCCGTGAACAGTACATGCAAACTAAGTCAAAGGCATGTATACGAACAACGGTAGCCTAAAGGCGGAGCGCATGCAGAAAGATACGATATACACATGGATGACTACGCAAAGCATGATTAAAAATAGTAGTTACAGTCAAGATCGGATAAGAATCGATCACCGTCACGGTTCACAAGAAGCACGAGATGTGGAAACATGGTTTTGGAAAAGTGAAGGTTGTCAACATTATGTATCAATAAGGAATGTGACCAACTAGAACCAGGCCGCTTCGTAAAAGAAAGAGAAAACAAGAACCATCAACCCAGCGCTTGGGTGACCTCCATTTATATACAACCCATAGAAACAGTTTTTGGTATCATGAAAGAAAGACAGAAACAAATCATCTAAGCAGCAGACTTCTCGGCCATGTTGGTCTCGGAGTAGTCCTCAGAGTGCTTGTTCTCAACAGCACCGTGCATGTGCTCGTCGTACTCGGGNGTTCCAGGAACCTCGCCGGCAAGCTGCTCGAGGGTCTTGCGCTTGGTCTCGGGGATGAGGAGAGTAGTGAAGATACCGAGGAACATGAAGAGTGCGAAGATCTGGAGGACGTGGTTGAGCCAAGGGGAGGCATTCTTGGCGGTAGCACCGCGAACACGGAGAGGACCAATGACGACCTGGGCAATGATGGCACCAACCTTACCGGAGGCGGCAGAGAGACCGTGCGAGGTGGAACGGTAGCGGGTGGGGAAGCACTCTCCGGGGACGATGAAGGTGGTGGCGTTGGGGCCGAAGTTGAAGAAGAACTGGCAGAGAATGTAGAGGGCAAGCTTGCCACTCGTGCCAATGACGTTGTAGCCGAAACCGAAGATGCAGAAGAAGATGGTAAGAAGGGTGAAACCCATAAGCTGGATAGGCTTACGGCCGACAGTATCGACGAGGGCAACGGTGACCCAGTAACCGGGAATGGCACCAGCGCACACGATGATCAAGTTACCAACAGCGTTCTTGTAGTAGACCTCGTACATGTTGGCACCACCAGTGTAGCCGATAGCGGCAAGGATGACAGAGTTGTTGAGCGAGACACCGTAGAAGGCAACATCGAGGAAGAACCATGAACCGGCAGTACCAAGGAGGATCTTGAAGTTCTTCCATTGGCCGTAGTGGCGGCAGAAGTCGGCCCACGAGGCCTTAGGGACCTCGAGTTGACCGGCAGTGGCAGCTTGAGTCTGAACGCGAGTGATCTCGTCAGGGTTGCCGTGAGACTTGCCATTGAGGTAGGCCTTGGAGTCAGTGTCGGCCTTGACAACGTCACGAGCGACATCGAAGGTGTAGCGAGGAGTCTCGGGGATGGTAAGACGGTAGTAGAGAGCGATACATCCGGGCACGGCACCGAAACCGATGATGACACGCCACATCTTGTCAACAGCAAGCTGGCAGACACCGTCACAGGCAGCGGGGTTCTTGGCAGACATGAGCGACTCCTTGAAGCCGGCAGTGACGATAAGAGCAATCATACCGGCAGCGAACTGACCGATACCCTGCATGGCGAAGACGGAGCCCATCATGGCACCGCGCCACTTGGTGGTAGCGAACTCGGAGGTAATGATAGACGAGAGAGGGTAGTCACCACCGATACCGATACCCATGAGAACACGCCAGAAGATGATGATGCCGACGATGGAGATAGCGGGAGAGTCCGAAGAAAGAGCCTGAGCGAGAGTTGCGAAGATGATGACCATGAGTTCGAGACCGTACATCTTCTTACGACCGACAACATCGGCGAGGTAACCGAAACCAACCTGACCAATAACGGTACCACCCGAGGTAGCAACCTTGATGGCAGTGTCGGCGGTCTGGGGGATCTTGCCGGGGTTCTTCTTGGCGTCTTGCCAGTAGACAACACCCAGCATGTTGGTGACGAGACCGATGGCGAAAATGTCGTAGGCATCGGTGAAGAAACCAATACCGGCGACGATGATGGCGCGAACGTGGTACCAGCCGAAGGGAGCCTTGTCGATCTCGGCAAGAGCGAGTCTGCGACGCTCGTTAGGGTCCTCGATGTGAGCGAAGTCATTGTTGAAGTTGTGGAAAGCGGCGTTTCCACCGACGGTTCTGTTGTTGGCGGCCATTGCTGTGGTGAGGTGCTATCTAGGATAGATAGGAGCAATGAGTGTAAGGGGAGGAGAAGTCAGAAAGATCTGACTGTGAACGATCTGTCTTCAGAAGTGAATGGCTGATGATGGACGAGACGAACAAGGAAGAGGTGAGCAGCTGCCTTCTTTTATCTACAGCATCTTTACCGAAGATTTGGCTTGGCTGTCAGACGGGTGTTTGCTTGTTCCTCAACTGGTTGCAGGCCCAGACACTGTGGCGCATTGGTCGGGGTCCAATCAGCGATCTGCATTGTATCACGCACGAGGCGGCCAAGGCCCTGGCTTTGGATCTTGGGGTGCTTGAGAACGTCTTGCACGGTCTTGACGGTTCTTGCTCCAAAAGCCTAATCTTAGCTCTCTTAGTACAACGGCCGATTCGAGCAACATGTCGAGTGATATGTCTCCGCGTGGGGCCCTGAGAACCACACTCCACCGCTCGTGGTCGTTGGGAGTCGTGATGCTCCTGAGAGAAGCAAGCTTACCATACTATTGCCTTCTCGAATCCATTATTATCAACTTGTCGTGTGAGCACGGTTTTGACGATCCGCCGTCGCAAAAACAGCGCCCTCGCTTTCGCACCATTTCCCAAGACTGCACCTGCATGACAGGATCTTCGATATATCCCAAGCTGATGGTACATGCAGTGTCAGGTCTGCTCGATCCGGACCAATTATTGGGTAGTCGTCCCACATTCACGTGTCGGATAAGACCGAAGATTGCAGGTGCTTTGCGGCTTGTGCGATGTGACCCTATCCAGGCTGCGTCGCAAGTGTGCTCCTTGCGGCAGAGTGGTGAGCCCGAGGGACGTTTATTGCACATAGCCGAGCGAGACTCGAGAGTGTTGGAGAGGCGTCTCGGACGAGTGAGTGAGGTGAGCAGGAGCCAATCACATCGTCCGGGGTAAACACGTTTGTTGGAGAAGGCACGAGTTTGGCCAGGCACGACCGACTTCACGTTTGCTTGGCACAAGCCACTTCGTCCTAACCTTCCTCTCAACCTCAGGGTTCAGCCGACTGAGTGACATCCAGTAAGGGAAAATTTTCCCTGGATGTGAGAGCGTCTGGTGTCTTGCATCAAGTCGCGCTGCCGAACGCGCCTTCCAAGACTTGAAGTGGATATCACCCGCGCAACCTGTGCAGCGTGCTGGACCCATCACCACCGGTGACCATCTGCAACCAGAATCCTTCAGACTACCAGGCGTCTATTGGACCACTATAATCGTGTTGGAACTTGGAAGCGAAAATTGCACCCTCCTCTGTCGGAAATGGGCCTTAAACATCCAGCTTGGCAGCTTCTGTTCGCTCAACGAACTTCTGTTCTTCGGTTCTGTTCAAACGGCGGCGGCTATCTCGTCAATCGTTATAGTGAAGCCAACCTCTGGAAAAACACGTGCAGCATTGCAATCTCCGAGTTTGTCAAATGCTCATTACAAGTCGAAGCATCCACGTTAGAATTCTGGTTCTACAACACATGTGTTGGCTATCCCTGAACCGAATGGCTGAGCCAAACTTGGGCTGCCAATAGCAGGTAGGTCTGGATGACAAAACCAACAAGAAGCTTGAACTTGAGTCAGGTGGTGAATATCTGCCGCTGATGCACGCAAGATACGCTTCGAGGCAAAAAGGAACAGGGTGCAGTAGTGGTGGTGTGGATCTTGATGATCGATTCTAGAAGCAGGCGAGCGCCGCTCTGTCGCTCTTCACCCTGTTTGTTCTCGTCTTCCATTCTGGGCGGGTCAATCGTGAGGTCAACAACGCTCTCTGTCAACAAGCGGTTCATTGCCCCCTCCTCGCAACAACTTTCCACATCAGATCCTCGCCGCGACACATACGTATGCTTACGAAAATTCATCTAGGAAGCATCAACAAAGAACTCGAGCTGTCGAACTGCTGTCATATTCAAAATGCAAAAGAAAGAATTGGCTGGATAACCTGTGGTTTCAAAGCGTGCTCTGGAATCCAGGCATATTGTACACTCGATTGATACATTCTACGCAGGCATGGATCTCCCTTTTTCTTGCCAGATCGACCGCTTTGGCATTGATCTACGACCCATACGTGTCGAATAGCTGTGACAACTTCATTCACAGGAACAACACTCCATGGAAACAAAAAACGAAAGCGCCGACAGCTTCAACTGTGACAATGCTGCATAGTATCGCGCGCTACGTCTGTCACTACTGCGTTGTTCTTCACTTTGTGTACCACGCTGCCGGCTCTCTAGCAAGCGCTGAATCCAACAGCAAGCCCTCATCTCCTAATCGGCCATGCATCATTTTCACGCTGTGTCGCAGAAGCACAGCTAAGCTGTCGGTGGATATTGATCGTCGGTATCATATAAAGGCACCCAGCACTGAGGCTATGGTCACCGCCATCTACCACCCCACTACAGGGAAGCTGACTACTTTGGTGGTAGCCCGGGCGTCAATAGCCTCTGTTCGCGTTTCCAGCAGCTCCAACGTAATGCGACACAACAAAGGCAATCTGCTGTTTGCGATAAACGAGTGTGGCTTCCTCCTGGAATGAGAGGCTTGGCTTGGCTCAATGAAAGTCGTGGCTCGACATTCGTAGAAGATGTACTTTGTTGATGCTGTAAGTAGTGATAGGATGAATCCTCCACATCTATAGATACATCCTTATGAGTTGAACATCTTTGACTTTGATCGACTGACGGTAGAAACATCTCTGTTTTTCCTCTCCCTAAAAGCATGTCAATTCAGGGGTGGGGGCTTGGTTGCTCCTTCCCTCTCTCATGTCGTTTCCGCCAGCTATCCTCTTTGTAGACTGCCTCAGGCCGATATTTGAGCCTTCCATGGTTTCAAGTTCCGGATCTTGCATTACAGCAGTCCATGGCAAGTTCGCTTCTATCTATGCTTGTTTCTTCTTATCCGTCTTTTTGTGATCAGACTACCTTTCTATCTCGAACTTTCAGCACTTTTATGCTGTTTGTCTTTGGCACTTCCTTTCGCTTGTACAACTCTGGCGTTTACCTTTCTGATCAAGATTTTTGAGACATATCATCTCTGAATCTTAGGGACTCGAATGACAAGGAATCATTACGGATATCTTATCTTTTCTTTTTTGTTTCTTTTTTGTGGTTTGATCAGGCCACCTTGCTCTCATATGTCAAACTCATACTGCAGCCATAAGTGCAGAAAAGCGTGTATTCTATGAGACAGATGACAGAGACTTGGTGTTATCGTTACGTGGATATATGAACACGTCAAGAATACGCCAAGACATATTATCGCGATGATTTGGTAAAGCATTTGCAATTTGGAAAAGACACGAAGCTCTGTTACGACACGTTTCACTGGGAAACACTCCTGAGAACATGCATGTGCCATGTGCTGAAAGTAGTAGGAGGGTACGACATGGTAGGTGCATTGATATTTTGCAAGCCCCCAAAACTTTGTCTCGAGTAAAGATAACCATGACCATTACCTCCGGACGCTCTAGTGGCAGAGTCGAGGTATAGAACATGTAATTTTCGCCAAGAGAGGCTATCAAGTCTCTGCACATATTGTATAGCACCTCTCGTCGATCAGATCGGGAGAACAGCAAAGCTTGCTTGTTTCCTCGAGACAGCATCTCTACTACTGCATCTTTCACATTATTTTTTTGCTCTTATGTTTCCGCGTCAGTTGGCCTGCCACGCTACAACGAACCAGTAATTTACTGTCAAGATAGCACATACGTCGGTGATGTGCTCAAGGAGACGGAAGGCATTGTAAGTCGATCAAACTCATCACCGTCCTACAGCTCAGACACTGACGCCTCCAAGGGTTCTGACAATGATGACGAGTTGTCTGTCTGATGCAGTTCTAGATTTTGTAGACTTTCAAGGACTTGTCTTTGGGGTACGGTGTCATGTTTGACCTTGGTTTTGCTGTCTAGAAGCTGTTTTGGATGCTCAATGTAGTTGTTGGCGTTTCAACGTTACGAGGTGGCTTGCAATTCAAGTTCATCTTTACGCATGTATTCAATGATCAACAGGACGTTCACCTTGATGTGTCAAAGGTAATTTCAAGTCTCTTGTCGTGCGACGTTGACGAGGGTGAGATCAATATATCGCATTGGTCAAGGCGGGGTTCGTTGAAAAGACCAGCGGCCCATGAGTATTGGAAGACTGCGTGTCTAGCAGTATGTTTGGGCGATAGAGAAGGCTTCGTGTCGCCATTATGCAGCAGAGAGTACAGGTCCGAGTTCCTTGCTCAGAGTGCGGTTCGTTTCGATATAGCTTCTCGGTAGCCGCGAATGTCGAGTGTCGGGCATGCTGTTGTCTTTGTGTTCTTTGCTGTCCATCTTGATCGTCAAAGAAACCTCAATCCTTCCCAACAACATCTTCACACTTCCTCCTCACCTCGTCCACACCCTTGACGCCCTCCCACTTTTCCAATAACCCTCGTACTCCATCCCACTCTTTCTGCATCTCTTCCTCTTTCCCTTGCTCTTTTAGCCCTCTTAACCTCTCTGGTGCACCTAACACCCACCTCACCGTCTCTTTCTGCTTTTCCTTATCACCCCCTCCCGCATTCCTACTCCCAGCAATACTCACAGCAACATCAGCAATATGTTTCACCGCCGGCTCCAACGTCGCCATCGGCGCATCATTCTCCCTCAACCCACTTATCGTACTCGTCGCACTCAGCAACGTAGTGTAGTTATCATACACCAATGCTTTNTTATCGCCTTCCAGCCCCAAAGCAGATATCGTGATGGCGTTTAACGTGCGAAGAAGGGTTTCTGCATCCGAAGATCCAAGTAAATTATCCACGTATGTTTTTGCCGAGAAGCCATCGGTATCGAGAGACGCCAACGCATCAGTGGGCCCAGAGTCTTCGGTTGCAAGGGTGGTTGCTGCGGGCGGTGGTTTGGCGTCCGGAGTAGCAGATGCTTGAAGATTGTAGAATTCACGGAGGGCGGCGCGGTCGCGGCGGCGTGAGGAGGCGCGGATGGGTGTGCTGGTTGTACTGTTGCCGCGAATGGACGATGGTCGTGAGGTGGAGGGTGAGCGAGCGGAGTTTATTGTGCTGGTGGAGCCGCGGCGGCTGGAAGGGAGATTCAGACTTGGTCGGGGTGAGGCGATGGACATTTTGAGCAGTCGATGCAGTTGTAAAGTGATGGGGTATTCTGTAGTTGTCTTTGGATTGAAGTTGCAAGTTGTTGATGTCAAGGGTCAAGTTGACGACCTGTCTGACATGTGCATTTGTGGGGTAGAATGGGTCAGGGTCACTACAGACTTGATGGTCACACGAACTTGATGTTCTCGAGGAAAAAAGATATCATGTCTTGACCATTCGTGGTCCAAAGTCTATATAACGCATGCCTGCTCCTAGCAATTCCCATAAACTCCATGCATTTACTTTCTGAAAGTCATACTCTTGCCAGCCCTTTCCTTCTGCTGTCTGGGCATACCCTTCATCGTGTCTAGCGCCTTGACGAATGGATTAAACGCCTTTGTCTTCGGCTCCTTCTTGTTCTTCTTTCTGTCGCGAGGGTCCACCTTGTTGGCTTCTAACACGCTAGGTGCAGCTGCGTAGTCAAACTCTTCTTCCTCCAAATCAACTTCTGCCGCGTGTTGGGCTGCCGCCTCCTTCTGGGCCTTCTTTTTGCTCCTTGCGCTGACGCTTGGCTTCGCGCTTGGCTTCCAAGCTCTCATCCGCNNTGTGATATCGATCTCGTCGGCGTTGGTCGCAAGATTGTCGTTGCCAGTCGAGATGGCGTCCGAGTCACGCTTGCGTCCGCGCTCCTTGATGGTGAAGATGCGATCCGCAGGTGTCGGTAGCGCACTTGAAGGTGTAGCAGACTTGGGTGTGGCGCTGGCTGGAGTGGGTGGTGCCGTCAATGGAGCCGACGAAGCAAACACTTCTGCTGTCAGGGGAGGGAGGGGAACCGAAAGTGAGATGTTCGATGAGTAGGGACGAGGCTGGCCACTCTGGCTCTTGCCAAANAGGCCACCCCAGAATTGAGAGACCTTGGCACGGACTCCTGATGGCTCGCTGCTATCGGTACGGCTCAGAACTGGTGCTTTGGGCTCTTCTGGAGCGGTTACGGCCGCTTGCTTGGGCTGTGCTCGCTTGAGAGCAGCAAAATGTGTAGGTGTCTCGTTGAGCGGGATTCCCATCGTGTGTGCTTCGATCTCCTTCAGTGTCGAAATCATGTCGGGTCCATTCTCGCCTTGCTCTTTGGCCTTGATGATGACGGACAGTAGCTCGTCGACTCTCAGTCGCACAGTCTGGCTGACATTTCCAGCAACGGTGAAGAGCTGCACCTTCTCGGTTGGCATCTCCTTTGCAAGACTGAAGATGTTGTGATTTGCCATAATATAGTGCGTGCTGTCGTCCTGCTCGCGAGCAACTTGGTCGCGCCATTGGTGAACTGCGCGGAAAACTGCGAATTGCTGCTTGTCCAGGAGGGCTGGTGTACGACTCAGCATCTTATACCATCCTCCAGCACCCAAACCTTGTGCAGCATCGTAAACAGGATGTTCATATCTTTGCAGGGCGGTATCTCTGGAGCGGGTCAAGACGTCGTGAACCTTGTCCTGTTCATGGTTGGGAACAGAAAAATCGGACTTCTCAATGAGCTCATTGCGCATGTTGTCGTAGATGTAAAGAAGGAAATGCGTATCGGATCGAGCGTACTCGAACATCTCCTGAGGAAGGGGTCTGATGCGCCAGTCGGCCGTCTGGTACTGTTTTTGAGCGTCAAAGTTGACAAACTTCTTGAGCAAAAATGCCAGACTTCCTCCTGAGTATCCAAGAGCTCTTGATGCAAAATGCGTGTCAAACAGACCCACGACGTATAGACCCAAATCTCTTTGCAACCAGGTAATATCCATGAAAGCGCCGTGCAGAACCTTGAGGATCTTAGGATCAGCAAAGACTTCGTTCAGCTTGCTCAGCTTTCTTCTCCATGGTTGAAGGGTGTCGACAATCCAATCCTTGTCGCGAGTGCTGATTTGCATCAGTGACACAATACCGATGTATGAGCGCGAGTCGTGGTGTTCCAGATCAATAGCAATCTCCTTTGCCTTCTTGAGCTCTTGAAGCATCTCGTCGACCTTCTCTTCCGTATCGACAAATGTGGCGGTAGTGCTTTCGTAGGGGTGGTAGGGGATGGGTTCGGCCTGAGTGTACACGAATGTAGGGTATTTGTATTGTTCAATCTCCTTCTGGTAGGGGTGTGGGTGGTGCTGAACATTGTTTGCGTCTTTGAATAGTTCCAGCGCTTTGGCGAAGGGTACGATGGCGTGGGGTTTTGATTGGAGGAGCGGCTTGAAGGGCCCTGATTCGGCGTTGGTGGGGATGTCGAAGAAGTTTTGTTGGGGTTTGGGAATGTCCTGTGTTCGGAGGGCGTTGGAGATGCGCGAGTACTTTTGCGACTTGGTCGGTGTTTGTGCCTGGNNGTCGAGTTAGTGGACTGTTGAAAGAAGAGTTCAGGAAGAATGTCTGACCTGCTCTCCCGCCGGGCTCAAGCGCTTAACTGCACCCGTGTACTCATCCAGGCTTATGTCTGCCTTCTCAAGCAAGCTGTCGATAACATCAACGACGCTGCTCCACTGTGCATCTACGGCGTCTGTGTCGGGCAACTTGGGACGTACAAGCTCCGTATTCGAAGCCGCATTGCCCAAAAGGCGTTCCGCAAGCCCCAGAAGCCGCGCATTCTGTGTGTCGAGTGCGCGACCTAGTGATGGATCCAGAGAGCGGTGGAAGCCCAAGTCCTCGGATGAGATGACCTGCGATGATCGGGTGACGGCGACGAGAGATGCTTGGATCTGCTGTTGTAGGGTGTTGAAATCACTCAGCGCCTCCATTGTTCGTGTGGGCGCAGTGTCGTGGGCGTGGAAGAGGCTTGAAATCTTGCACGCCTTCCAAAGATGGAATCTTCAAAAGTTCCGCCGCACAGACGTCGGGAAGGCGCGACCTCTCCGCATTCCTTGGCACTTGCCTGACGGTTGCCCTTTCACCTCGGGTGCTCTTGCCGTCTTTGCCCAGTCTCTCTCAGGCCACAGCTGCTGCTCTTTCCCTCTTTGTCTTGTCGTTGATCGCAATGTCCGACTCTTCAACACACCAAGGCCGCAAACCATCGGATAGAGTCCACTCACTGTTAAGAGTGTTCATTACGTCTCGTCGCCAGATGTCTCTGTATTCCATCGCCATGCCTCGCCTGCTATTATCCCGAAGCAGTGCAGTAAATTCTGATAGACAGCGCATCCTTGCAATTCACATCATGTAGGTCCGCGGGGTTTCGCACAAGACCATCAATGACGATCCGGACAAATTCGCAGACCAGTTCTCATGCACCCCTCACTCCGTTACAAGTGGAGGCACGTCTAGTAGGAGATCTATATATCGCTGCGCGTGAACCTGGACAGTGTCAACAACCCATTCGCGTTTCACCATGCTACTACACATACAGTTTAGCTTGCTTTCAGGGCTGTGCCTAACACAACCTGCTCGTGCTAAGTCTCTTTGGGCAACAGAGCCAGCAAACAACTTTACAAATATAATCAGGACAGCCTATCCAGTTGGCAACGGAAGACTAGCTGGTATTTTTCAGACATACGAATTCTCCAAGTTTTGACTAATCCAGTTACAGNCACTTCCATTTGGCAACCCCGGACATGAGAAACTCAGCCTGAACGTAGATTCCTTGTGGAGTGGTGGTCCATTCGAAAACTCGAGCTACAATGGAGGCAATCCTCAATCTTCTGTGTCGTTTGCACTACCAGGTATTCGCGACTGGATTTTCAAGAATGGCACCGGGAACGTCACTGCTCTGATGGGAGACAACAACAACTATGGAAGCTATGCTGTCCTTGGAAACCTGTCTATCTCGATTGATAGCATATCCAACTTTACGGCCTACAACCGATCCCTTGATCTGGCAACTGGCGTGTATGCAACCGCATTTGAAGCGAATGGCAGCAAGTACACGAGGTAGGCGAGAACAGACTTACATTGATATGTCCTGAGATATTGATGCAAAGCANGCAAAATCTACTGCTCTTATCCAGACAGTGTTTGTGTCTACGAGCTATCTTCGTACGACCCTCTCCCATCTATACATGTCTCGTTCGAGAATCAGCAGTCCAATACCTCCCTGGTCAGCTCTACATGTTCGACGTCCCCAAGGACAGCATCATTCTTGGGCATTACTCGAGCAGATATCGGTATGCTATATCGTTCCGAAGCGAGAGTCGTCGGCAAAGTCGCATCACTTTCATGTACCTCGGGAGTCCTCACAATCATGCCAAGTTCGAGACAGCGATCTCTGGCCCTTGTGATTACAGCCGGTACTGATTACGCAGAGACCAAGGGAACTGCAGCAAGTAATTACTCGTTCAAAGGACCAGATCCAGGGGACTACATCTCTACTGTCGCAGCATCGGCAGCAGCAAAGGGCTCCAAAGTCTTGTTGCATCGCCACATCGCAGACTACACCGCTCTGACCTCGCGCTTCACTCTCAACCTTCCGGATACAGCTGGATCAGCAGGAAAACCAACAGCAGAGCTGGTAGCCGCTTATCAAGGCACCGAAAATATCACAAGCGACCCTTACTATGAGTCCCTCCAGTTCGATTACGGTCGCCACCTCTTCATTTCCTCTTCGCGCCAGAATTCTCTCCCACCAAACCTACAAGGAAAATGGGCCTATGGGCTCGAAAACGCCTGGGGAGCTGACTACCATGCCAACATCAACCTACAGATGAATCACTGGGGAGTAGATCAGACAGGACTCGGCGAGCTCCAAGACGCACTATGGCGATACATGACAGAAACCTGGGTGCCTCGAGGCACGGAGACTGCAAAGTTGCTCTACGACGCACCTGGCTGGGTAACTCATGATGAGATGAACATATTCGGGCACACTGGAATGAAGACTGGCGACGAATACTGGGCAGATTATCCAGCATCGGCGACTTGGATGATGTTGCATGTCTTTGATCACTTCTCCTACTCTCAGGACATTGATTGGTTGCGCAAGACAGGGTATCCACTACTCGAAGGCGTGGCATCATTTTGGTTAAGCCAGCTGCAAGAGGACGAATGGTTTGATGATGGAACTCTGGTCGTAAACCCTTGCTCCTCGCCAGAACATGGTCCGACCACTTTCGGCTGTGCTCACCATCAACAACTTCTACATTCTCTCTTCACAAATACCGTCTCCTCCGCCAAAGCTCTCAACTACTCATCCCCTCTAATCTCCAATATCACCCTCGCACTACAGAATCTGGACACAGGTCTGCACATCAACCCCACCCTCCACACACTCCAAGAATGGAAGATCACCTCTCTAGACACCACTTATAACACAAATTCCACCCACCGTCATCTCTCCCACCTCGTGGGCTGGTATCCAGGCTCCTCCCTCTCCGGCCTTTTATCCGGCTACACCGACCCTTTCATCTCCTCCGCCGTAAAGCAAACCCTACTTCAGCGCGGCCCAGGCATCCTCGACGCAAACGCCGGCTGGGAAAAAGTCTGGCGCGCAGCGTGTTGGTCACGCCTAAACGCCTCATCTCAAGCTTACGACGAACTGCGCCTTGCCATCTCTCAAAACATTGCGAGCAATGGGTTATCCATGTATTCGGGCAAGAACGAGCCTTTTCAAATCGATGCGAATTTTGGATTCGTGGGGGCGGTATTAGCGATGTTGGTTGTGGATATTGAGGAGTTGGGGAGTGTAATGTTGGGACCGGCGATTCCGATAGAGTGGGCTGGGGGTAGTGTCAAGGGGTTGAGGGTCAGAGGTGGTGGAAGCGTGGATTTTGGCTGGGATGGCGAGGGAGTGGTGCAGTGGGCAAAGTGTGAAGGTGTCAATAGAAGGATTGTCAATCTCGAGGAAAAAGTGCTGTGTTAGATGCACATAAAGAACATGTCGTGCTACAGCCAGCAAGACATGGTACGTTCATGGCAACGATGGAGGAGCTTTATCATACCATCTCATACGTTGAATGCCATTTATAACCCAAGCAAGTTGGAGCAAAACAAACAGAAAAAAGACCTCCCACACCTCCTCACCAACCGTGTTTGTCCCACTCCGAGCGGGCACGAATCAGTTGGTAAGACGAAATGATCAGCTATAGCGGCCTCGTCTGGGATCGAACCAGTAACTCGATGCGAACGGCAAGCCATTGCGCCAACGGACCGCTACAGGTAACTATTCAATCTCTTCTTATTATGAGACCTGAGCGAGTAGGAACAATAGAAAGTAATGTGAAGAATCGAAGTGAATGAAAGCTGCACTTGCAGATCAATCACTCAATACAATTTTCGACATCTACTCACTTTCTATCCCTCTCCCCCTCACTCCCCAGAAAACCCCTTCCTCAAATTCTCAAACTTGCTCCCCGGATAACTCAAACAATTATCCACTTTTTGCATATGCTTGCCCTCAAACCCACCCATTCCATTGACTACCAAAGTGATCAAACTCTCCTCGCCAACCCGATCTCCACTGCTTTCCCACCACATAGCTCCACCTAGTCCTCTTTGCTGTATATAGGTTACTTTTGCGGCAGAGGAGGCGGGGTTGTCGTAGGTGATCATAACACGCGAGGAAGGGTCGTAGCTCCATGATGCGCCAGCGGAGGGGTCGTGGTGTTCCGTTGCTCCTGGGCGGGGAGGGCCTGTGGGGTTGTGCGTGTTAGATGTGTGGTTTTTAGAGGTTTATGGTAAGAGAAGCGAGGAAAGGGGAATGTGAGTTCAGATTAGATCAAGTTATTTGGGCGCTCATGGACCCAGACAAGAGAACAGGCTAAGCACAGAAACCGCAATGGAGACAGAGGGCTTCTGATACGTGTTACGTCTCTCGCCATGTATCCGATGTTTAGTAAGAACGGTGGAAAAGGTCATGCGACGTCTTTGTATGCATCATGGAAAGTGGATCAAGGAGAAGGTTGATGATACTCACTTTGTAATCCCAGATTCCGGATCCGGCTTCCCAACTAGCTCCAGAGTCAACGCCCGAGTACGGTGCGCCAGGTCCATCTGTGTTTGCAAAACTGCGACCGTACAATGGCATACCGATGACGAGTTTGTTTGGATGAATGCCACAGTGTTCAGTGTACCAGCGAACAGCATGGTCGGTGCTAACAGGTGTGCTTTGCGGGTTATGATTGCAAGGCGCGATGTTGGTCTGATGACCTGCATGTGTGCTCCAAGTGCCTGTGAAGTCGTAGGCCATCAAGTTCCAGAAGTCAAGATATTGATCCATGTCGCGTAGGTGCATGCGATGCAGATTCTCAGGGCCGCAGGGCGCCGCGACTGTCAAGACAAAGTGTGGGTTTCCTGGAAGTGTCTGCGAGTACGCATCCAGAGCAAGTCTTGTTGCTCTTAAAAGGAGCACGTAGTCGCGAGCTTGAGCGTCATTTGCCGGATACTCCCAGTCAACATCCAGGCCATCAAGGCCATGGTCTTTGAGCAGAGCGACGGCACTGTTGGCGAAACACTGGCGGCCAGCTTCGGTAGATGCAGGTCCGGCAAAGTTCGGTGAGTATGTCCAGCCACCGATACTGAGCAGCACCTTGAGATTGCGGTTGCGCTTCTTGAGTAGGAAAAGTTGCTTCATGCAGCCGTAGACATTGGTGCCGACGTCGTTCCAGGAGTCTCCGTCGTAATGCTTGTCAGTGTCTGACCATGCATCTGTGAGATGTACCTCGCCAGTAACGGGCTTGATGTTTGCAAATGCGTAGAGGACATGTGTAAGCTTGTCTGCAGGCAGATCCTGGGGTTGGTGGTTGCGGCCATAGATTGCCTTATCGTTGTCAGCTGTCTGTCATCTGTGCTCAAGTTTCCAAGAGAGTTTTACCCAGTTGACAAAGTATGAGACGGCGCGGTAGCCATTTTGGTGTGCCATGGTTGTGTTGTTATAAAGTATAGGGTCGAGCAAAGGTCGTTGTTGATGTATGAAGCCTTGTGGCTGTGATTCGTAAGTGTCGTGTGGCTGTGCAAACACCGCCTGGGTGAACAACAGGAATATTAGAGGCAGAGCAAAGACCTAAAGCGCGATTCTATTAGTGAGCTATTTTGATAAAGTGAACAGGCCCCATGGCATCGTATTTTCTTGATCGTGTTGGCCACGCGGCAGGAGCAATATTGGGTGTTCTTGAGAATGACTGTGCAGTGTTTCGCAAATCGATAAGCAAGAGGTTTACTTACTCCAGAACAATGCATACAAATGATATATAGGATTTCTTGTATAGCAACCGTAACTGAACCAGCAGTCTAGGTATCTGATGTCCGTCGCAGTCACAACAGACGACGACTCGAGGTTCAGGCAGCGAGCGGTAGGATGGGTAAACTTCGGCATCCGATGTGAAGGAGCGACCTTCAAGGTTGATCGGTTGACATCTGCCACCTTCAATCATCGACATCAATGCAATTTGCTTGTCCTGTCTCTGTGCCACCATCGAGATAGCTCTACGACTGCAGATATACGTCGACGCTCTGAATGTACGCTTGCGACGGTGCTCGAAGTCCAATTCGATTTTTGGATAGTCTCCAAAAATAGTGCGCCTTAGTAACGCGTAACGTGCAGTGCCCGTTCTTGCATGTGCACGGTATCTCACTGCTCAGTCCTGAGGTGACTTCCTGAAGTTACAACAAGCCTTTTCATGCAGCGACGAAGCTCTTACTTTTTGCTTGGCTGCATGAACCTTTCTTATTCCCATTCCCAACCATACACGAAAACTTGAGCATCCGGACTCATGGATTATATCCATGCACTACAGAGTCAAATTTAGCTTGGCATAAGATGCACTCATACCTGATCGCAGTGATGCGGATCTCTGAGTCTGCGATCTTCTGACACGGTAGGTCGAAGGCTGCACACGACCCAGGATACTGCAAGCCGTCTGCAAGTCAAGCTCCAGACGCATGCCGGGTCCACAGTACCTATACTTTCTTATTTTAGCGCAGCCTTGTTCGGCCCAGACATAGATAAGGCGACCGGACACCCACTGACTGTCGTGTCTATCTGTCTTCACGCTACGCTCTTGAACAATGGCATACTCGCGCCTTGAGTCGGATCGAATTGTGCCTCATTTATCCATTGATCTTGCCCAGGATGAAGAGATCAGCTACCAGGGCGCAGAATGGCTTCCAGGACATTCAAGTATGTGGCCTCAGTAATTTGCGAGCCAGAGCTGATTGTTTTGGATAGCCTCGTCGAGTACCGCGACTGCAGTTGAAGTACAAGTTGCTATCAGCAATGCTCAAGACCACCGAGAGGATAGTCCCGTCAAGCATGGCTTTGCCACCGTTGAACTTGAGGAAGCACCTGAAGATGTTCCTACAAAGCCTACAAAGCACACATCCGACAGCACTATTAGATCATGGTGGCGTGAAGTCTTAGCCATCATGCTCAGTATTGCTTCGCTTTTGTCTGCTGCTGGAGTCTTGTTTACCTACCAGAACCAACCTCTCTCTTCGTGGCACTTCCACTACCTGCCAAACACCGTCGTGTCTCAGTTGACCACCATCTCACGAAGTGCACTCATGTTTTCGACGGCAAGCTGTGTCAGCCAGCTCTCCTGGCTGCACATACAAGAGAAACCTCGACCATTATCTGAGCTTCAAGCTTTCGACAACGCTAGCAGGGGTCCTGCAGGCGCGATACATATGCTTATGTTTCCCACCCGATATTGTATTCCTGCTATTATTGGCTCACTGGTTACAATTGCCACTCTGCTGATGGAACCCTTTGGTCAACAAGTATTGCAATTTCCACTCCACGACGTTGTAGTCAAGGGGAATGCAACTTATCCTACTACACAGCTCTATGCGCCGGTGCCTGAAGCAGTTATTGATGGTATGTTGGAATGTCCCGAGACCTCTTGTTTAACATCAATTCGCTATTAACATCTCTGAAGCCGCTTCGAGCCTCACAAGCGACCTGACTGTGGACACCAAGACTCAAGCAGCTATCGTGAACAGTATATTTGGTGTGCCCTCGTCAAATCCTTACACGTGTCTCACCAATTCCACATGTTCGTGGAGCGATGTTGTAACACTGGGAGTCTGCGCAGTTTGTAACGACGTAACAGCCCTCACAAAAGCAAGTTGCTCCGGGCCCGAAACAGTAGGGCTTTATTGCAACTACACTACACCAGGTGGCTATACGTTTCAAACGAGCGCTGACGACACTAGCGAAACATCAAAATTCATCACCAGGCTAAACACCTCGACTCAAAGTAATCACTCTGCAGAAGCAGATCTGATCGGGTTTGCTACAGTGGTCAACGACTGGGATGCACGTCCGAATATTACCGAGTGTACACTCTCATGGTGCGCGAAGGTGTATAGGAACGCAATTGCCCAAGGGTCATTGTTCTTCGCTCAAACTGACAACTTTCCCTTGAAGTATCAAGGCTACTGGTTTGAAGAAACCGTTAATAGGGATGAGGCTGCGTATGGAGTCTTCAAGGCTGATTCTGGGTTTCCGGCTTCATTGAACGCGACTTTCACCATTCAAGTGGCAAACACGGAGTCCCTCTCTACATTTCTCATGGGGCTGTTGAGTACAGGCTCTGTGATGCAGTATACTGGGGAACAAGGCACCGGCGCATACTCCTTTTCTATCGGAACTGCAATGCTGAGCAATCCATCAATCCCAGAAATGGCTGAAAATATCGCCGCTGGTTTGACTAACGTCATCCGGAATTTGACAAACCTGACCAACGATTATATCATACAGAATCACGGCGACTCGACTGTACAAGTACAATACATACAAGTTCGATGGGAGTGGCTCTCCTTCCCTGCCGCTATCGTTTTCCTCGGTCTTTTGCTTCTCCTGACCGCTATGGTTGAAAGTCGTCGAGCAGGGGCTCTGGTCTGGAAGTGCTCACCCCTGGCACTCTTGTTTCATCCCTTGGAGGGGTGGAATAGTCAAGAGCTAAACCACAGCAGCAGGTACGAGATGCAAAAGTGTGCGAAGAGTATGCGGGGCCAGCTGTTGCCTGGCGATGATGTTGGTCTGAGAATTATCAAGTCGTAGGATGTTTGTTTGATTTCTGTAGCTTCTCATGTCCACACACACACATACTGAAGACGGGATGGTATGTCGATGCTACCTCGAAGCTCGATCAGGTCCACTCTGCGATAAGACGAGGATTGAGGGAAACCTCTATGATGGTAGAGCTTGCTTACAACGATGTGATGGTTAGGACTGATCTACTAGATACACGCGTATATACCTGGGCTGGCAATTCTGTGTTGAAGTCCTGATCTCACAACAAGCCTTCTTACGTAACTGGAGGATCTTCCTAGTTGCTTGGCTGCATACTGTTATCCCTGTCAAGCAAGGCAAGTGCGATCCATCACTCCGGTCGACCCCGCATCCTTCTTAGTGCTTACTCCAGATTGGCTCCTCAATACATCTAATCTCTATGACCTGCCAGTGGTTTCCAATCTTCGGCTACCATCTTGACACATCCCATCAACATGCGCGAAGATATCTCCTTCCAAACCTCAGACAATGTCACGCTTCGCGGTTGGTTTTACAAGCCGTCCGAGGCGACAAATCCCCTTCCTTGTCTCGTCATGGCTCACGGTTTCTCGGCCTTGAAAGAGATGGACTTGAACACCTTTGCCGAGCACTTCGTCGCCAACCTTCCAATCACTTGCTTGGTATACGACAATCGTGGATTTGGCGACAGCGATGCCAAAGAAGGTCAGCCCCGTCAGGAGATCATTCCTGCACAGCAAACTAGTGACTACTCGGATGCTATCACATACGCTCAGTCAAAGACTGAAGTCAACAAAGACAAGATTGGTGTTTGGGGTAGCTCGTATAGTGGAGGACATGTCCTTTGGGTTGGAGCTGTGGATCGAAGGGTCAAGGTGGTGCTGAGTCAAGCCCCATGCGTTGATGGTTGGGCCAACTTTCATCGCCTTATTCGACCAGATTTTGTGGCAGGCTTGAATCAACTTTTTCAAGACGGTTTGTTGACCATTTCTGGAGTATGTATGCGACTGACTTTATGCATCANNGATCGTCATTCGCGTGCAGCTGGAAAACCCGCCGTCGTCATTCCAGTCGTGGATTCTGATGTCCACAAACCATCAGCTCTTCCCACTCCCGATAGTTTCGAGTTCTTCACTGCATGGGCCGGCAAGAGCAAATGGAAGAATGAAGTGACTGTAAAATCGTAAGTTTCTCTATTCCGGTTCATTGCTAAGAATACTTTTGGCTTAAGTCAATCTGAACAGANNATCGAGGCCTTCCGCGAATACATGCCAGCTGCGCATATACACCATATCTCTCCAACACCGCTACTGATGACTGTAGCAGAGAACGACGTCTTGACACCAACAGATCTTGCATTAGAGGCTTACAACCGTGCTCTTGAGCCGAAAAGACTGCACATCCTGCCTGGAGGACATTTCGAAGCTTACTCTGGTTCTAACTTCGAGAGGAACGTTGGGGTGCAGGCCGACTTTCTGAAGAAGTACTTATGCTCATAATCTTGGATATAGCTTAGTATCGTTGTCTTGTATGCAATTGGCTCTCGCTGATGCATTTTACCTAACGCTCAAGTGGATGTGTATTTTTCTGCAGCTGTGATATAAGGTTGAGTTGTCTGAGAGGCTGGTCGTAGAATTCCTTTCTATCAAAGAAGAAGCTACTGGCTTCCAATATCCTGCCACGACAACTCCACTCGCTGCTTGTGGATCCTCCGAGGATTCTCACCTTTCTCTACCTTGTCCTTGAGCCGAACAACTTCTAAACGATATTTGCCCTATTAAGAGATCGGTCAGTTCTTGTTGTTAAAGAATGGAGAGCTTGAGATGGAAAACTTACTCCATTGCGTTTAGTCATCTTACGCGGTTTACCCTCATCATCGTGATTGTAGAACCATCCATGAGCGTATGCATCTCCGACGGATAGTCATTGTCATTTGGTGTTCGGACAGCATCGCCTCAAAGCGACAGCGATGCGAAAAGGTGAAGGGCAATGTGAACAACGAAACAGACACAGCTTGCGGAAGAGAGAAGAGGCAGAAACAACCATGATGGGCAGCATCGTGATCGACTTGTCCTCTGTGGGTGATCTATAAATCACAATCTAATGACCGCTGTATATTAGATAGGACTTCCTAGGCCGACGCGCATTCGACCGTGATCAAGAATAGCCGCCGTCCAGAAAGAGCACGCCAAGCGGCGACCAGGTCGAGAGCTTGCGACGCACATCGGCGAATTGTTATTGCATCTAAATGTGGCACAGAAGAACGCGGTGCAAAAGTCGTTCATTGGCGGCAATATACAGACCCAAGCGACACGCGAACGGTGACGCGAGAAGTAGTTCAAACTATTTCCCTAGCAAAAGGTTTGGCGTCGAGTCACACAAACGAGTAATCCGCAACGCAAAACACATAGCACGGCCAAGATAAACCTCGCAGTAACTGTTGCAGTGATGTGGTATGCAAACAAAGAGAAAGACAAAAGAGCAGGAAGCAGATCAGCGAAGGATGATGCAAAAACAAAACATACAGCAGCAGGGATTCCCACGTGGTCACCCACCGTAGTACTAATCTGCCGTTCAACTGCTTATGTATGGCAGAGCGGACGGGATGCCCAGTTTTCAGCTGACTGTGGCCGTATGTGACAAACTGCTCAACTCCAAACACTATATATTTTAATCCTGAGGAGAAGAAATTGGAAAAATGGATCTGCTGCTCTTTGAACTGTGAGTATCCGCGCGGACTATGTGACAACTCACTGCACGTTAACTCGCAAACAATCATTCAAACAATCGACATGCTGCTTGACATGGCTGTCGATATTTCAACGCATCCAATTAGTCAGATAGCCTGATCATGCAGGGCGACAGAGGAGAAAAAAACATCCTGGCGCCTTCTGCTACATATAAGCACTACGATGTTTTGCCGTTGTTTTTTCACTCTTGCAGCTCGATCTCGCCCTTGTCATGTCAGATGCTGAACGTACATTGCTGGTTGGATATATGCTATCAAGCCCAAGTTTATGGCAGCACGAGAACTATCCGATCCGATGGACCAGCGTCTTCTTGACACTCGTTCAAGCTAGTAAAGGTGCTTCCAAATCATCCTTCAAGTCTTGTCAGAAGATCTCTCAGTCTAGGATCCTGGTCAAACCGTCCTAGAGCTTTCCGTCTCCATTCCTCCCAGCTGTGTCGCTGGCCATTCGTCATAATATTGCAAAACCCCATGAACAAGCCTTGCATCTCTTCAAAACCAAGGCAAAGATCAAAAGTACACAANAAGGCAAATTGATGATGCCGTCTGCCATCTCGAACAAACTTTGCCACATCCCCGGCTCCTCTGTCTTCCAAGCACCTAACAAACAACTCTTCTTCCTTGCCAATATCAATATCACCGTTGAAGAAGTCCGAGACGGGGAGCAGTAGCATTGGAGAGTTGAATGCTAGATGCTCTGGTGCTGTGAATGCCCATTCCCAGTCAATGAGTCCAGTAATGTTCATTTCTTCGTCGACGAGAATGTGACTACCTTTATCATCGGCGTGCTTGAGAAATGTCTCTGCGCGAGCTTCTTCTGCCACTTCAGGGTATACTTCTGGCACAATTTCGTACAGGTGTTTGTAGAGCAGATATGCGTCTACTGGCCTATCCGTATATATCTCCCCACGACAGATGAGATCCAGAAGTAATCCAATCGAAGCTCTATAATAGTCTTTCAGGTTTGAAAACGGGCCCAGAAGTTGGGGTTGGGAGTTTGCGAAATCGGTCAGGCATTCTCGAGCAAGGGGTCCCACACGCTTTTCATCAGCATGCTCTAAAGACCCAATCCCCGAGAATGGGAATCTGCGCAGCTGCATATAGATATCCGCCAGCTGTGAGATGATCTTCTCTGTTCCCTTTTGNGATGTTGAGGACCAATCGAGGACTTTTCCTGGCATGCAGTCCATAAGGATGTAACCGACTCCAATAGAGTTTCCTGGTCCTTCTAGAGCATAGTCCCATACCCTTGGACTAGGAACGTTAACGTTCTCGAGGAAAAGCAGCGTCTGAATTTCACTCGTAAGAATGCGACCTCGTAGTTGTGGTGGTGGCGATGTCGCATTGGACCGACGGATACGGGCTATCCAGCAGACTTTGTCCTCGAAGATGATCTTTATGTGAAGATTCATTCCTCCCATCATAGACCACCTTGCAGCTTTTTCGTTTTTGGGAATTTCGACATGACAAGGGATATTGTTGCGTAAAGAACTTGCTCGGCCTCCAAGCTGCTCGAATTCGATGCGATGTATAAGCTGGGTGAGCTCGTTCTCCTCTGCCTCGTCAATCTGTTGGTAGTAGAGATCTCCGTCCTGAGATATAGGTGAGTCAGACTTGCTAGGGCATGACGCATGCGTGATCTTACCTCAGGGGTTATANCAAGCATGGAAAGGTTTTTGTAGATGTTCGACGCAAAGATGACGCCCGCATATCACACAATCACCAAGAACGCGTACAGCAGATTTTTGNCATCGACTGTAATCGCAAGGCCACATCGACTGCTGCATTGTAGGCGGCGTTGCAGTTCTTGAAACTTTGTTGTGATAAAGAGGTAAGAGAATCTATTGCTGGAATTTTACTGCTAGAGACGAACAAATCGAAGTATGTGGGACCAAACAAAGTGACACGTGGGATTCGAAATGCTTCCCAGTCGTACATCTGCATCTAAGCGCCTGGGCGCCATATGTCCAGACACGTCACACCTACCAGGGTGTCAAGCTGCAGCTACCGCTTTACTCGCCGAGCGACAGGTGCGCCTTCCAGTTCATCAATACATTAGTACAACGATAGATGGTTATCAGCAGATAGATATGAATGACCGAAAACATGGAAGAGTGATAAAGCGAGCACTGGATTCACGCTCTTGATCATTGTAATGTCTGTTTATACATATGGTATATTTCTGTCTAAACAAAGGGAAAATGCATCGAGAGATCGATTTCTTCTGGATTCTCTTATCGTCAGCGAGTGTGTCCATGATCCCGACTTTCTCTTCCAACACTCCAATCCGTTTGAACCATGATGCCATGGTCCCTCCCGATAGGCGCCGCCGTGGCAGCCAATGGCGCAATATCATCATGCGGCGTATAAGCGCGGTTGATAGAGCCCTCCGAGGCTGCGTCACCCTCCACCACGGGACTCATATCTTCCTTGCCGCGCGAGAAGCCATCGCCCACATTCATTTCGTACTCGTCGATCTGCACAAAGTCGTCTTTGCGGTGGCTGATGGTGCTCAAGCGCGAGCGGCTGTCGATTTTGGAGCCGCCCCAGCTGCGGTTGGCAGAGTCGGCTTTGCTCTTGTTTTTGCTGCTGTTCTTGGTGTCGTCGTAGTAGGAGGACTGGGTGACGGGCTTGGGCCAGAGTTTCTGGCGGATCTGGAACTGGAGGGAGCGGATAGCGGGTGCACAGGCGACCATGACGCCGACGTGGGTTTCGACTGCGGACCAGTAGCCGACGGGTAGGTAATCCCAAGTTACGTTGTCTGTGTGTGCAAACTGGATGAGGTATTTCAAGCGTAGGATANNCTGACGATGGTGACACTGGCGTTGTAAGTTAGCATATGTTCTGGTGCTGCCGAGGCGCAAAACTTACAAGCCACCACCGAGGAACATGGCTACGACACCCAGCTTGCGTACCCAACTCATGTTGAGAGATGTCAATTGCTTCATGGGCAGGGCGATAACGATCAAATCGAGGATGATGTTCAGCGAGGCAGACGCCCATCCATCGGCGTTCAATTTCAGGCATTTTCCTTTGTGCTCGCCGTCCCATTTCAGCCAGGCCTGGTTGACGGGGATGCACTGTAGAGCGGTGACAGTGACGAAGACGACAATGTACAGAAGACAGGCTCCAATCATGCCATAGATGGCGCGGCGAAGTTTCCAGTCAGGGAAGATTCGAAGGTAGAAAAGCAGCATGGATATCTTTGTCAGTCCAATGGCTGCTAGGTAAAGCAGTTCGGTAAAGTAAAAGATNCTGGTTATGAACGTATTAGTTTGTGTTTATATAGAACTGATGTCCCACAAACGTACCTCTAGAATCTTTGTAATATGATCAAAAGATACGAACCACATATCCTTTCCCATGCCAATTTGATTCACTTTTGAGTTTTAGTACAAGTACAGACGACAACAGGTACAAAACTTACGGGCATATGCGCAGATTGTCAGTGGGATGATGAAGAGCTATGACTTGTCAGTCTTGATTCACAAAGTATCCGAGTTCGGAGTATTACCATAGCTAAAGTTATGGCCCAGTCGTCAAGACCCCATTTTGAACTTGAACCAGGCAGTCGAGCAATCACTCGCAGGATATAGGTCAGAATAGCCACCCCACCCACGATCAACGTCGTATAAGTTCCAAGTGCCTCCTTGTTACGGCGTGGTGCGCCCAGTAATGTTTGTAGGAACGCCTTTGCAGCTACAATAGTCAGTGATCTGTTTCATTATGGATAGACCCCGGAAGCTTACTGAGTGATTCTCGAATTGTGCAGCTGGCCCTCACGCAGACAGTTAATTCATCTTGAAGCGCCTTGTTGGCTTTGATACACGCGAGGTTTGTAAGGTCGCATGGTGAGTCTGGCCCGTTGATGGTCGTTATCGTGCATGTAAGCTGTAGAAAATAAGCTTTAGAAACCAGTACCTTAAGATGTAACATACCGCGCAGGTAGGCAGTTCTTCTGCTGCGATTTGCAAGATGTCTGCAGCAGTCGCATTCTGTAACTGTTTCGGATCAAGTGCTTGAGATGAGCAAGCAAAGACCAATAGTAATAGTGCCACGAAGGACTTCATGTTTGGAGCCGGACAGATCAACACTAGATCTAGAAGCTATCCAGATCAATTGAAGCTCTTGTTCCGAGGAGGTGTCGTTCAAAGAGGGTACCAACAATCAACGGGTCGAGGTCCGATAGAGGGACAGGACGAGGGGACCATGCTGTAATAAGGCCATATAAGACGCCACAGGGTTCGTGAGACTTTGAAACTGAGCGGCTGCATTATCATAATCTGCAGACCAGGAGTCATGAGAGTTTCCTAATTCTGTCTTGTCACCCCAAATTCAGCCAGTTACAGGGTTGAATCTTCAGGTCAGAGGCGATCTTAGTTTTGAGCCATGAGATTTAGTGTTGGAGTATCGCTGGGGATTGGGACACCCAGCAAATTGATTCTCCGGGTGTGATCCGTGTGCGAAGATCTTCGACATATCCTCAGCCTTGGTATACAAAGAGAGGTCCGAGCGTATGGAGAAGAGGAAGCCTGTGCGCAACTTGGCGACGGCAATTATAACCTGAGCAATGCTGAGACTGACTGATGAGAGTTTGTAGCGGACAGTCGAGCTGCGTTTAGTCGTAAAGAAGCGCCGTGTCGTCGTGGACCATCATCTATAAGACTTAGGGCTTCGAAAAATGGCAGACATGGCTATATCCTTCGACGCTGAGATGTTCAACAGAACACGTGAGCAGCAGAGATAGAGATGGACAACACACGGCAGTTAGGGAGCGATACCGAGAACCAGGAATGAGCCTGAATCAAAAAGCATTGATCAGACGGAGGAGTACATGGGTGGAGTAATGCCTCTCCTCGACGATCTGTGACAATTGGTATGTTAGTGTACCGTCATGGAGTTTCATGCTTCAGCCCGAAAGCAAGACGAAAGCAAATGCCAACGCACGTTGAGTTATCGGCAGATGCTTGCTTGTCAAGCCCGTCTCTATAGTCATGAAAGACTGACAGGAGACTGTTCTGGCGATCAGGCACTCTGCTGATCATCTTAGGAGAGACGCGGTATGAGGTGGGTTTATGCATGGAAGTCGCTGCTGCCGGAGTCGTACACCAAACTTACGTGCGAACGCCGTAGGTAACCAAAACCCCGCTGGGCCGTACTGGGCCGAGCCTTCTATGCGCACCGAAGAACCTCCACGTGGTATGCAAAGGAACAACAACATCCGACCGCTTGCGCAAGCCTATTCGGACGTCGTGCCATGAGTCGAGAGCAAAGGATTCTGCAGTATCGTTTGTCGTACCGCTAGAGGGACGAATCAGAGTGGGTGGAAGCAGCTGTGCAGAGTTGCAAATGGCTCAAAGGTCTTTCTCGAAAGTTAGATGGGAGTTTCAAGGTCATGACTCGGTCGTGTCAAATGGGCTTGGCTTGGTGAGAAGGCGCGATTACCGCTTTGGTCTGATGGCAACGCTAGTACTGGGCTTGGGAGGAGATGCTAATTGTTGGGGACAGATCTGGAGTGCTGTGGCTGTGATGGCTTCTACTAGAACGGCTTCCGAAACTCGGATCGGGTTTGGAACGTCGAGAGATGCAAAGGCAGTAGCGACAACCGAGTGGTCTCTTTCCCACATTATGTGGCTATCATGGTAACAGAAAGTGCTGCTCACTTTAGTTATACCTTCTTGGAGAGCATATTCTTGCTATCGAGTGAGAAGTATGATTGTCTCGTGTCTCATGAGCAATGCACTCGTACTCGCACCAAAGCTTGACCATTTTCCAAAACAACGATGTCTAAAATCGAAAAATGGCGATATCCTCCCCGACACTTGACAACAAGACTCTGAAATCACACTATAGCTTTTTAGCATGCCAAAGACATATCCTGGAGTGTCTGATCCAAGATATACGTACAGAGTGAGGCATGATGCCATCGATTGTCTCGACAGTGCTTGTTTGGGGCATAACCCTGCTTTTTCAGCCTCGGCTCCACTCGGGAGATGTGGAGGAAGCTTACCACCTCTTCAACTCGACTCGCAAGATAAAAACCACAACTTCGTCCTTCAAGATGACAGGCGGCTGAAAGATATGGTATAGGTGAGCAGTCAGTAGAAACAGTAAGCTGTTTGTCCAAACTCTTGCCAAGTCTCTCTCCAACCTTTTTCAAGGCCGACATAAATGGTCGTTTCATGGCAAGTGTAGCTTCGTGGTTGGAGCAAAAGTCAAAAGCACGGATTGCGAGCATAGTTCATAAGCGTCCAACTCCTTTAAAACAAAACAAGATCGATGGACATGTCGCAGCTGTGTAGCAGCTCAAAGGTAACCAAAGTAATCGAGGAAAATCGGAGAACTGATCGTAAGGGAACAAAGAAAAAGTTTAGATATACACACAACAGAGATTTACTCTCTGCTTCCTAGAAGCACTCGATATCCTCGACAGATAATCAGGATGCTCTTTTCATGATGGCGCGATGACTATGATGTAATTAAAAGGAGGTCAAGTCAAACAAATCTAGATGCCGAAGAGCATCTTGCGGGGNTCCTCGATGTACTCCTTGACCTTGACGAGGAAGGTGACGGCTTCCCTGCCGTCAAGAAGACGGTGGTCGTAGGTGAGAGCGAGGTACATCATGGGGCGGATCTCGACCTTTCCGTTGACGGCGACGGGGCGCTCCTTGATTGCGTGGAGACCCAGGACGGCGGCCTGGGGCAGGTTGATGATGGGGGTACCGTAGAGCGAGCCGAAGACACCGCCGTTGGAGATGGTGAAGGTACCACCGGCCATGTCCTCAATGGTGAGCTTGTTGTCACGAGCCTTCTTGCCGAGCTCGGCAATGGCCTTCTCGATGCCGACCATGTCCATGGACTCGGCGTTGCGGACGACGGGGGTGACGAGACCCTTCTCGGTGGCAACGGCGACGGAGATGTCGACGTAGTCGCGGTAGACGACAGTGTCGCCACCGTTGGGGCCCTCGATGGCGGCGTTGACGGAGGGAAGGTCCTTCATGGCGAGGACGGAGGCGCGGGAGAAGGCGGACATGAAGCCAAGCTTGACGCCAGTCTTCTTGAGAATCTCCTCCTTGTACTGCTTGCGCATGTCCATCAAGGCCGACATGTCGACCTCGTTGAAGGTGGTGAGCGAGGCGGCGGTGTTCTGCGACTGCTTCAGGCGCTCGGCGATACGCAGACGCATACGGTTCATCTTGACNCTATAACCAACTTGTCAGTCTTGGCTTCTCGATGTTTGAAGATGGTGGTCGTGTCTTACGCGGCGCTCCTCACGGTTGCCGTAGGCAGACTCCTCCTGAGGCTTGGAGTCCTTCTTGGGCTCGGGCTTCTTGTCGTCCTTCTTGGGGGCAGGTGCGGGCTTGTTGTCCTGCTTGGGCTCCTCCTTCTTGGGCTCGGGCTTCTTCTCCTCCTTGGGGGCCTCCTTCTCCTTTCCACCGTCGGGCTGAGATGAGGTCTCCTGCTTGTCTGAGGCAGGTGCCTTGGGCTCCTCGTTGGCCTTCTCCTCCTTGCCGCCGGAGGGAGCACCACCAAGCTCCATCTTCAACAGATCCTGACCGACGGTGACGGTGTCCTCCTCGTTGACCAAGAACTCCTTGATGGTACCAGCCTCGGGAGCGTTGACGGCAACGTCGATNCTGTTGGTCGGAAATGGTTAGTTTGGGGAGGGTGAAAATCGCGCATGTTGGTCGTGATGTACCTTGTCGGTCTCAATGGTAGCAATCTCCTCGTCTTGCTCGACGTAGTCGCCGACCTCTNNGTGCCGTGGTTAGAGGAAGCGTTTTTGGTAGTTCAAAAGGCAGTACTCACGTTTTGAGAACTGCTTCAGGGTACCCTCTGTGATGGATTCGGCCATGGTAGGGACCTGGACGACCTTCTCAGCTNNGCGATATAGCTGTTAGTATGGTAGCAAGCATGTCTACAGGCAAGTTGACGCACCATAGCCGCGGGTCTGGACCTGAGCAATGGGAGAAGAGCGGAGGAGATGTGCGGGTGTCCTGGATATGTGATCAGGAGGACATCATTTTTGCGATGTTTACGTTGTTTACCTCGGTTGTTGTGACAGGAGAGCAGAGGAGCGCGAGACGGACGAGGTAGAGAGACATCTCAGGGCGGCGGCAGAGCGGGTAGCGTATCTGGGAGCGGCGCGGACAGCAGGGCGCATCGAAGCACCTGCTGCCAGGCGGAGGCATTGACGGCTGGACATGGTGTGGAAGAAAGGACGCAAGCAGTCGAGAAAAGAGGCGAGAGCGAGAGAGTCGAGCAACAGAGGACGCGAAGGGTTGGCGGTCCTGGGTTGGAGTAGATGGGGTTGCGGTATAGAGGGGCTAGGGACAGCAGTTGATGCTTGTTGCAGCAGTTTGAGGAGTGGCAGCGAAAATGATCTCGATGCCTCCAGCCGTCGTGATCAGCCGCAAGCAAGCGTCGGTACGTCAGAAAGCCTTTCCGACTTCGTCCGCGCCTTGCCGACGCAGCCCTACGGCCGCCAAGAGGTCAGCAACTGCAGCTGCTGCCAGCCAGCCAAGGATATCGATTGGGAAGTCGCAACAGGACATTGGATCTGTAGAGCGACATTTGACTGAACACACCCTCCGGCCAGCCATCCGGACATCCTCACACAATGGTCAACACACCCGCCATGTAACCACCCTCCCGACCCGACGTCCGTGTCTCTGCGCGCGTGCTGATTCTCACCGTCACAGCCGTCTATACCGCCGGTCACTCAAGCTGGCCCTTGACTGGTCCGTCCACCGCTACCTCTGGCGCGGCCAGGCCATGTACATTCGCTCCCTCTTTGAAGCCAACGCCAACGTCCGCGAGCCCAGACAGCAGAGAGTGAGCTCCTCCCGTCCATCACCACGCGCTTTCCTCCTCTGGACCACTCCAATGCTGTCGCTACAATACACTGGACCCTCGTTCGCTGACTGTTCTTTCTTTCTCCTCCCGCCAGNNATCCTGTTCGACCAGACCGAAGAACTCCTCAAGCAGTGGAAGCACCCCGACCCATACCGTCCTCCCACCGCTCCCGGCGGCAGCAAGTACGAGCGTAACTTGCCCTGCCCCATCCTTGAGCGTATGTTCCTCTCCTCCCGCCCCTCTCCATCTCGTCAGTCGCTGACACACATCTCTGCACAGCCCCTCCGCCAGGCTGCTAAATGTAGATACCACAAGCAACAATTCGATACCAATTCTTTTCTTCTGTTCAACAATCGCTTTCCACCCTCAAACTATTCCTCCAGAAAGACTTTCCTGCAAAGCAAAACACGTTCAAAGACGAATCGCTTCTACATGATGATAAAAAGTATAGAGTCAAGCACTGAGTTTCTCACTTTGGTACTCTTTTAAGAGGCTGAGGCTGGGTTCATTGATGCTACGTACGATATCTGATTGATCGGTTCTGAATGTACACATCTTTCTTCTCTTTCCCAGTGCAATTCTTCTCTCTCCTGTGCTTGTTCATACTGTTGCTGTCCTTCTTCAATGATTTCAGTCGTGACCAGTCCAAAAGGACTGTGTTCAGGCCGTACACTCCGCCGAGCGTCTTGTCTACTGTGCAACTCTCCGTCTTTGGTCTTTCAAGAAGCCAGCATGAACACGACCAGAACGACAACTCTGGTATTCGGGACTAAAAAGACCTGGGCCCTCTTCTTACTTCGAACACACTGTTGTGTTGGCGTCGACTTTAATCTCGATGTAGGTGCTCAAACTGTTCCATAGTCTCGCCGCTGCCGTATCCTGCCGAAATGACAACTCTGTACACATGATGGCTTGAAATATGTTTGGCTTCGAGAGCTTCTAAGCTGACCTCGCTGTTCCGGTAACTGGCTCAAACAGAGAGCTAATTCAGTTCTCGCCTTTACGGCTCCATGTTCAATGACCATGTCTGTGTGCTATATTCCTCTTTTTCGCTCTTCCATTGAACACCTCTCTTCCATCTTCCATGTCAGTGCCTGGTACTACCGACCTGTTTCCTCTGTATTACAACACACGAGCTGTGATGCTCTTCCATGGCTCTCTTGCTTGCTCTCAACAACCTCTTTCTGGCATCCTACATCACTCGTCTGATGTTCCCTCGACTTTGTTGTCTTTGTGTTGCCCTCGTACGCAGCAGTCTACATCGTTGCTCGTCTTTCTCATAGTGTCGGAGCAAGAAAGTGTTTGATCAACTGCAAACACACAAAGCCCACAGAACAAGTCCAGTCACGCAAACCAGCTCGGCAGTTTCCTCTCTGCTCTCATCTGTTCTGAATTCTTGTACATGCTCCTGCTTCTGCCTTCCTAGACTGCTTCTGCCTTGAGACAAGGACAAGAGCAGAAAAAGACGAAGTAAACACTGCATTCAATTCATGATACTCTCCTCATATACTCCCTTGCAACTACCTTCTTTATCGTCTTCTTCCTCCCCATGCGCTACCGAATATCATAGTATAGCTGTAGGAGTGCACAATCCTTTCTACAAAGGAGTAGCTTTTCGCTGAGAGTTGTGCTTCCATAGCTCTCTATGGATATCATCTCTGGTTCGGAAACATTTGTGTATTTGTATAGCTTGCACCAGTGAGAAGGGTTGGTTGTGAGATTGTGATGGTCACTGATATATAGCGAGGTTGTTTTTACGTGCTTTCCCATGTCTTTGTGTGTGTTTCTGTCGCTTGTCGGTTCAGTATACAGTGCTTGATCTCGCTTGTTCGCTGCCAATCTGGATCTTGCTTGCTGCAAGTGTGTTTCGGCTGACTTTGTTCTCTTTCCTGGTACTTGTCGTTCTTGTCTTGCTCGATTCTCGCACGGTTCTGAGTATCGCTTGTTGTGGTTGCTTTCGCGCCTGCTTTCTTCACCTCTTGAGTTTCTGCTGTTGGTGATGATTTGCTGTGGTTCCTCGAGGTTCTGATGTTGGCAGTGATGTGCTGGTCGCGTGTCCTCGCTGTCGCTGGTGCATCTGCTTTTCGAGTCGAGTTGGTTGGCGCGTTCCTGCATGTGAGTTTGACCGGAAGAGTGGAAAGAGAAGGTAAAGGATGAAGATAGAGAAAAAGGAAAGAGAACAAGGAGTAAAGTTTAACAAAGCTGAATTGGTTGATGTAATGGTATCAAAAGCGTGTCATTCAGCTATTCCCCTCCAGTCTCATTTACCCATCCGTGGCCACGGTTGGTAATGTACAGCCCTGTTCTTCTGCAAACCAACTCAGAAAACTGAAAAGTTGCTTGCGAATGTCGAAAAAAAGAAAATGCTCTTCCCGTTAATAAAAATCACTTGTGCCCAGTCCGTTAAAACCCCATTATCGTAGCTGAAGAAAGCAGCACCCCGCGCGCCGTAAAACCCAAAGAATCAAAAGTTGTAGCGAGTTGCTTACAGCTCCTGGCTGGGGCCGCCGGTAGCCTTGGGGGCAGCGGTCTTCTTGGGAAGAAGGTCNTGGAAGAGCATGTTAGAATGTGGGAGTCTGATTGTGGAAGTGGCGCAAAACGTACTCTGGTGAATGTTGGGGAGGACACCACCCTGGGCGATGGTGACGTGTCCGAGAAGCTTGTTCAACTCCTCGTCGTTGCGGATGGCGAGCTGAAGGTGACGGGGGATGATACGGGTCTTCTTGTTGTCACGAGCGGCGTTACCAGCCAACTCCAGGATTTCGGCAGCCAGGTACTCAAGAACGGCAGCGAGGTAGACGGGAGCACCNTGAAAAGACGCGTTAGATGTGATTGTTTTGAAATGGAAGACGCGATTTGACTCACCAGCACCGACACGCTGGGCGTAGTTGCCCTTGCGGAGGAGACGGTGGACACGACCAACGGGGAAGGCGAGACCGGCCTTGGAGGAACGGCTNGAGATAGAAGTCAGAATGAGATTCGGATGGTTCGAGATGGAAAAACGCGTTGTTTTAAATTGGAAAAGCGCGTCAAATGAGGCGCAAAAGTGAGAAGTGAGTGAAGGAGTGGGTTCTGCTTACCTCTGAGCGCTGCTCTTGGTGCCAGTGGCCTTGCCGCCAGACTTGCCGCCAGTCATTTTGATTGATTTGGTTGGGGGTTGGGTTGTTGAGTTGAGAAGTGGTGCTAAAAGCGGTGATGAATACGTCGAGCGTGAGTTGAGAAGCGTGGATGAAAGATGAAGGAAGAGGGACAGCAGGCTTGTTCGGGGAGCTCTGTGGTTAAGTACTCACCGCGACGCTTGACGTTGCTCCCCAGGATCAATCAGCTTCACTTTGATCTTGATGCTGCGGGTGGTCCGTGCAGCGTGCCTGCCGTTTCTGATTCGTGGCTAAGCGACTTCCCGCCTATCCCCATTTGTCTGATTCTGTGATCTGGAAGGAGCGCGTCGGAGGGAAGTCGCGTTCGACGCTTCGTCACTTGGCTGTCTGTGATTTGAGCTCGTCCCCATCTGTATAAGTACAGCTTTGTTCCCCAACGACAGCACCCTCCCTCCTTCTTTCTCCATCCATCATCAACACTTCGCGCATTTTACGTGTCAACCACCTCTAACCACCCAACTCAACTCAACAACTCAAGTCACCCGACTTTTCAAATCCACATCAATCGAAATGGCACCCAAGGCAGCTCAGAAGACCCCCACCACTGGCGGCAAGGCCCCCGCCGCTGGCAAGGCTCCCGCTGAGAAGAAGGAGGCTGGCAAGAAGACCGCCGCCCCCTCCGGTGACAAGAAGAAGCGCACCAAGACCAGAAAGGAGACCTACTCCTCTTACATCTACAAGGGTACGCCACCTCTACTTCCACTTCATCCGAATCGCGTCTTTTCCTTGATCGCATCACTTTGCTTCATCGAATCGGCCTTTTCGCATCAGCAAATCGCGTCTTTTCGCTTTCCTTTTACGTGTTTTGGACTTTCACTGACGCGTCTTTCACAGNTCCTCAAGCAGGTCCACCCCGACACTGGTATCTCCAACCGTGCCATGTCCATCCTGAACTCCTTCGTCAACGACATCTTCGAGCGTGTTGCAACCGAGGCTAGCAAGCTCGCTGCTTACAACAAGAAGTCGACCATCTCTTCGCGTGAGATCCAGACCTCGTACGTCTTCAATCAGTCTCATCTCTCACTCTCACTTTCTGACTCTCATCCANGCGTCCGTCTCATCCTCCCCGGTGAGCTTGCCAAGCACGCCGTCTCAGAAGGCACCAAGGCCGTCACCAAGTACTCTTCCTCCACCAAGTAAGAGTTGCTTTGATCAATCCTTTTGATCTGATGGCTTCCTTTTCTCTGTGATACCACCACCTCAAGTTTTTCAGCAACGATCTGAACAACTGGGCTTTGGGCAACGGGGTGGTCTCCAATTGGGACGGTGTTTAGCGGGGTTACTTCTTTCTGATAATGCGGTCATGGGAATGGGGTATAAGTTTATTGCGCAGTGTGTTTTTTCATTTTACAACCATCGGGTTTTTTTTACGACTCAAGAGAGAGAGAAGGGCGCATCAACAGGTTCAGACGATACGAGCTGTACAATTCAGAAGAGCCGAAGAACCATGGAGGAAACCAAATCGATTTTTCCAAACCTTTACCACTGTTTTCCACTTTCCTTTTCCCTTCCTCATTTCTGCTATCTTTGCAGTACCATTTCAAGTTTGCTTCTTCACCAATTTCGAAGCTCTTTTGACTGAGAAACAAGAGCTCTTTTTTGAACGAAACCGCAACCCGAAGACAGCAAGAAGTAAATGCGAGGAATGGCTTACAATGTAAAACTCCAAAGACTGCGAAATCGAAGCATTCAAGCTCTTGAGAATGTGATACTCGAGAACCAGCCATAATGCCCTTGCTCGAGCAGGTGAAACGCGAGACTGTCACGGTGGTCCGTTGCTATGCTCTGGTTACAGCAGAGGACCAGCTAGCTCTCTTTGGCGTCCAAGCTCCTGGACTCGAGCTTTGCGATCAGATCTGGCATGGCAACGCAGAGGCTATGGGAAGTAGTGTGGTTTCCTTATTGCTGTATTCGTGATGAGTAAGGTAGGGTAGATGAGGTAGATATCAGGGCAGGAAAACATGAACAAAATAAGGGAACGGTGGAGGACACAGGAGGACGACAAGGATGAGGAGAAAGTCTGGTTTGTGGAGATTTTGCTAAGGCAACTTGGTTGTAGAGTGGCACCCTGTCTATGATATCAAGCTTCTGTAGCAGCAGCAACGATGTCTATATCTCTTGATCTTCATGTCGGGATAGATCGAAGAATGTCCTTTACCTTGATAGACTACTATAAGAGCCTATGTTTACGACATCGACGTCGATGCGTCATATCACTGCTTATTCTGTATTGCCGTCTGTTCTTTGTTACAACCCGAGTAGACATTCTTGACGAAGCATATCAGAAAACACATATTCGTGTATGACAGGCCAGAGAAGCTCGATACTATATCACCTAACATCTCAGAGTACGTAGTAGAGTACTATCGATAGTATCAAGCACTCAAAAGAACAAAATACCCAATACCGCGGTCACAACATCGTCGTCGACCCAAAAATTGCTTGTATGGGGTACGACCCTGTTCTTGGAACCCAGAGCCGACACTTTCCGAGCTCCCAGCCACCTCGAAACAACGAAAGCACCACCAACCACCCAAGCACGTCGCGTCAGAAAAAGAAAGAAAGAAAGAAAGCAAGCAAGCATGAAAATTGTCAAATTGGTATATTCTGCTCGTTGCTATGAAAGTCAACAAACCACCTTGAAAAACTCCCATGCGCCCGCTCGAGTAGAGGGAGAGCGCATGAATGCATATCGTGTCGCGTTCGGGCGCAAAGAGAGTGCCGTCTCACAGAAAATCAAGCAGCCCCTACCCAGTGATCCAACAGAAGATGGAGAAAGAAATATCAGAGAAAGCAAAGAGAAGAGAAGGAAGAAAACGTCATTACCCAGAGAGAACGCCATCGGAGTCGTCGTAGCAGTATAGGGATGCATTCGTCAGATAATGGCATCGTCCTCTTCATCTTCGTCACAACTCTGTACTTCGGCAACGGCACGTTCAAATTCGGCATCGGTAGAATCGCCTGAGAGCGAGGGTTCTTCCTTGTAGATGTGTACGATGCTCTTTGTACCGGTAGGTGGAGTGGCCTCGATGGCGGCTTTCCAGTCGTTCCAATCTGCCTCGTCGCGGATGAGGAAGCCGAGGAGCATGGACGGATCCATATCTTCAAGGGATATCAGGCGTAGGCGACGTGTGTGGCAGGAAGCAACGTCGGCATCGGAAGGAGAAGCAGGTAGCAGAGGTCGCGTGGTGTGTGGATCGAGGTAGAAGAGGTGGTCGGCTTGAGTGCCGATGAAGTAGTGCGAGGAGGATGGTCGGCCACTGTGAACAAAGGTCAGTGGATGGTCAGAGGAGGAGCAAAGAAGAAAAGGGTCCTACCCAGCAATGCCGACACTTTGAGGAAGACGTAGAGCAGCCTTGATGGCTTCCCTGTAGGAGGAAGTCACACCACGAATGCCCAACATGGTCCCCAGCAAGATTAGAGTCGGTTGGAAGGAGCCGTCGGAAGCGCGAGCGGTGCTCATGAGGCTGTCTTCGTAGACGCTCGAATCATCAGGACGGATGTAGACTCGAAGGCCAGAAGAAGCATGTGAATCTACTAAGGCTNNCTGTTGATGGTCAGCGAATGTGGGCTTATAGACAGAGAACAAGATGGCATACTTGATGCAGCGAGCTGCCGCCGAAGGACCGAACCACTCTCCAGGATGCTTGCCGCAGGCTTTGCTGCCGTGTTCGACGAAGCGGTGTATGGAGAATGGAGCAGAAGGATCATCTGCGAACAGGGACAATAGCTTTCGCTCGGCTTCGGACTGCTCCCCCTTGCGCCAGTCTCTTCCCAGGTCAAGTATCTGTAAAGTGTTTGCCAACAAACTCTGAGCACTCCGGATCATGCAGCCCCAGCCAGTGTCGCTTGTGAAGCCTCCTTGGTTGCCCAGCTGCAAGAGGCGAGTTCTGAAAGACAGTGAAGAAGAGGCATCGGGGTTGGTAGACTTGGCGATCTGGGAGAAGTTGGAGCGATAGGTCAGCCATATGCGAGACTCCAGGTCATCGAGAAAGGCAGGTGGCCAGGCGTTATCGTTGGTGGCTTCCTGGACTTGGATGGTTTCGAACTCGTCTTCTTTTGGGGTGTTATCGACGAGGCTGACTGACTAGGTTCGATCGCGGGAGTCGGAACGGGAGTCGGAGTTGAAGTAGATGGTAGCGGAGGTGGTGGTTGTGTGNGACGTGGGTGGGTTGATCTCGGGGTGTGAGTCGTATGTTTGGCCCAGGCACCAGATGGCGTCGTTGTGTGTGTTGGTAGGCATAGGGTCTCTGATGTATCGATAGAGGTGTCCGGCAAAGCGGACCAGGTTGTCGCTGTTCATGGCAGTATCTGCATGAGATGGGCTACAGCAGCAAACAAGTGTACCGTCGTCTCTCGACCACGACCGTGATGGCTGCGTGACGGGCTGGGGTTCGGAGTTAGTGCCTTAAGCCCTTGAGTCTGCAGCCGCTCACGGACCCTGAAACGACGAAGTCTAAGAGCGATGATGATGCGGGCGGGTCCTTTGAACCAAGACGCTCTTTCCACTTTCGCCTCCAGCCTTGCTCCTTCCTCAGGAACATCCTTGCTTCTGTTCAGCACACCTTCCGCCTTTGTGCATTGTTTGCTCCTGCCGTCTAGGAACTCGATTATTTCATATTTGTTTTTTCCTCAGATTATTCTTCAAAATGGGCAAGAAGTTGAGACAAAAGGCCGCAAAGTACACCCCGCCACGCAACAAGAACGCTTTCGCATTCCGCGAGGAACCATCCAACAACCATACCGGTCAGTCCTGCGATCTACCTATGGCCACCTCTGTCAGCTGAACCTCTTCTCTCTAGNGCTCAAACACCCCGAAGCCTTACTTCTCCTTGAGAGATGAACTCCAGAGCACAGAGAAGCATGAGTGGACCAAGGAGTCACGCCTACGAGACCACAAGATTTCCTTTGTCAGCGCAGGCTCCATGGCTCCGCTAGACGAGCCTAAGGTCGACAAGCCAATCTCGAAGAAGACCCAGCACAACCCCGACCACGACAGAGATCTGCACGGCTCCGAGGACGCCATGGCTCAGATGGACATTAACGCTGAACCTTCTGTCGCCATTCCATCGTTAGACGACGTCGACGAGATTGACATTGAGATCGACGAGACAGTTAACATCCACGCCCACGCCGAAGTCACAATCCCTATCGAACAGCTTCCTCCACAGCAGCAGCCTGCACCTTCGCCGCCAGTGCAAGTCGAAGATGCTCCTATGTTCTTTGTCGATACGGCTGGAGACGAGTCGCTCGCCTTCAAGGGTCCCAAGTCCGCTCCTGCCCCTCGCGCCCGCGCACCTTCACCTGCAAGATCGTCATCAAGTGATGAGGTAGTCTTCCGTGGCCGCGCTGGTGTAACCATCAGAGACGACCCTCCTGCCGTCGCTCAAAAGCCAGCATCGAAGCCTGCATCGAAGCCAGCATCCAAATCATCATCAACGCCTGTCGCTCAGCCCACACCTCAAGTCAATCCTCAATTGGAAAAGTTCCTCAAGTCGCTGGATGACCCTCCAGACTGGGCAAAAGACATGTCAGAAAAGTCAAAGTCCAGAGACTCTCCGATACAGCCTGCAGAACACTGGCCATCAATGGAAGAGGCAAACGGTTTCGCTGACCGTCTCGATCAAGACCTCAGCGGAGTTCACGCTTCGCGCAAGTCCAAGAAGAATAGGAAAAAGCAGAATCGCATATTCCGCCTCGAGCAGGATCTCGAGGATGAGCTGTTGCGCGACTACATCGACAACATCGCTGCAGAGGATATGCCTACTCGTGCCCGCGGCCTGGGTGGCGACTCCGGAGACGACACGGACGAGTTCTTCGATGATCTCTTGAACGAGGAAGAGAAGGACCCAGATGATGTCGATGTCACTGGCCTGGAGGATGAATGGGAAGACGAGTCTAACTCCGAGGACGATGATGAGGAAGATGATGATGATGACGACGACGACGACGACGATGATGGCAGTGAAGATAGCTCCGAACTCGAGGAACGCTTAGCGCGCGAAGAGCGTGAGGCATGGGAGGACGACGCCGACATCAGAGAGCGACGTGCACAGGCAATGACAGACGAAGAGCTGGCTCTCCTGTTTATGAAGCAAGAAGAGCTGGGCATCGACGGCGACGACATCATGCTCTACGACGATCGCTTTGGAGACGTCGATGGTGCTCGCGCAGGTCTGGCGAATTATGCTGTCAAGCAAACACCGAAAAGTGGCAAGAAGAAGAAGGGCGGAAGAAAGAGTGACAACTTCCCTGACGCAACTCTCATGGCAGACGTCTTGGAGCAGGACGCATACGGCGGCTTCGATGTTATGGACTACGACCGTCCCAGTCTGAGGAAGAAGAATAAGGGTCGCAAGTCTGGTCCACTTCCTGAGGAGCTCGGCCTGTCTGATTCGGACCTGGTCGAGGAGTTGCAAAACCAATGGGCCAACGACCGCTCAAAGAAGGCCAGTAAGAAGGCCGAGCGCGAGGAGTTGCGTCAACTGGGCCTGCTCGGCAAGAAGAACAAGTTCAAGCCAGACATGAACATACGCTACAGTGAGGGCATCACTATGGGTCAGGTCAGGTTTGAGCTTCAGGACTTCTTGGAGCAGGATGACTTCATGACAAAGGCATTCCCGCCAATGTTGAAGAACGACCGCAAGGTGCTCCACGAGATCGCCAACCACTTCAACCTCAAGTCGAAATCAGTCGGAAGCGGTAAGAACAGAGCTCCTGTTCTCGTCAAGACATCGAGGACAATCGAATGGAGCGAGCAACACTTCACCCGCGTCTCGAACATTGTCAGCAAAGGATACATGAAGAACTCGTCCAGGAAGCCCAAGGTTACCGGAGCCAGCGAGGTCAGGAGAACAAGGCAGATGGGTGGTGGCGGCGGTGGCGCAGCTGCATACCGCAATGGCGATGTCGTCGGCCACAACGCATCAGAGATCCCAGAGAGCAACTTCGGCAGAAAGCTCATGGAGAAGATGGGTTGGGCAGCCGGCATGTCGCTCGGAAAGGAAGGTTCTGGTGGTCTTCTTGTGCCTGTGCAGGCTACTGTCAAGTCGGGCAAGGCTGGTCTGGGCTAGATGACTGCGAGTCTTTGTCGCTGGATGTAGCGGACCATTATGTTCTTTCTCTTTTGCAAAGGTAGAATACTTTGCAGGCCTCGTTTGTTGAGTATCGGCGTCTTGGGAGTCGTATGTATGGGAGCTTCTGGTGTTTGTAATGGGTTGATGACGATGATGACCCTCATTGACCTCGACCTTCTACACAAGGTCCCGCTCGTAGACGTTTACACTGCATCCATAGAAACTGCATATATAGAAGATCTCTCTTCAACGCAAGCATACTACACACACGTCCCTTCCCTCTTTGATGACAATCTCCTCTTCTCTGCTCTTGTAAATGGTCCATGAACAGTCGTTAACAGAAACACCATCGATGGTACTTACACGATCTGAAAGCCTCGTAGGAGATGAGAGAAACGGCATAACAAGGTGCACCAAGCGCAAATAAACCGTCATTGTCTCTGACAATCTATACCTCGTTTTCGGGATAAAACTGTGATTCGCGACAGATATGCTTTGCGTAACTACGCTGCAGAGTTGTACAAGTCGGTTAGCGGGTTTGACAAGTACACAAGGATGGCTCATTGTGCTCTCTTCTCTCCTGCAGATGCTAGAAAGTCATAAACAGCTTTGCGTAACACCACAAACCTCTTGTGCTTTGCTGAACGCTAGGGACGCGATCTCTTAAGCAAAGAGATGTCGACGATGACCTGAGAAGCAAAGATGCTGTTGGCTTGATATCAAATTCGGTAGACCTTCTTGGCCATCTCTCCAGCTTGCTTGCTGGGGACTTGCTGAGGCTGATGATGAGAAATATTATAGGCAGTTGTGTGGAAGGCAAGGGTTTTGTACGACTTGATTGGACTTGCAAGATGTTTGAATTCGTGTATTGCAGTGGCAACCAGCAAAACTCCTTCCTTGTTATATACACATCCCAACCACCTTTGCACCTTCCCTTCGCCTCTCATCCCTAAAACGCCTTATCCCATGCAAATCATCCCATTAGACTACTTTCCTCTTTTGCAGCTCATTAATCTACACATTTGCCACCACACCCCCNACAACATCCTCCAACATCCTCATACCATAAAACGTGCCCACACTCTTAAACACCTTCAACTGTTTCTGCACTTCCTCCTTCTTGACCGTAGCCATCCACTCCCCAGCACAACTACAATGATCCATAAACTCATTCTGTCTGATGCGTCCACACTTCCCACACTTCAAATCTTGAGTCGTCCATTGAAGCACCAATTTCTGTACTTCAGATAACAGGCGTTCTTCAATGGCTAAACGGTCAAATAGTGCATCGCAATTATGACAGCGGATAGTCAAGACACTAGAGGAAGTGTCTGCAACCTCAGATGGGATAACATCGCCATCGCGGCAGAGATCAATGTCGCGAGGTAAACAGCACTCAGGACAACTGAGTTGCTTGATGGCCAAACTGTCAGAGGGATTCGCAAATGCACCTTCAGCGCTAAACTCGCGGATCTCGAAGAGATGAAGCAACTCTTTGCGTAACAAACGGGCTTCTAGTGTGATGGTTTTGTCGAGGGAGAGTACTTGCATGACGCTCTTTACCAATTGCAACACTGGGTTTTGGAGGGGCTTGGAAGAGCCAGGCAGACAGGGAAACACCCAGTCTGAAGCCAGTTCTTCGTGCATGGCTTCCGTGCGTTGGCGTTTGATCAGCGCTTTGATCTGTTTGGCTAGAGGCTTGGAGAAGGTCTTTGCTAGTACATCGCCAGGAGTTGTTTGGTCGTCCTTCTCGGAAGCAAAGATGGATGCGTGGATGGGGAGTTGTGTAGGTCTGGGTGCGCCATTAGCTCCGGTGCCCGAAGGTCTCTTGCGGGCATGCATGAGGTCAATGTACTCAACAACCCAGTCATTGAACATGGGTTGCAAGATTTTAGGCAAGAATGTGCCAATCTGCCACTCCATGATGGTGTTGAGGGTTTGATTCTCGGCCTCAACAACCTCTGCACATCCCTTGCCGCCGTAGTTGAACTCATCGTACCAGATTAGGTAGTCCCAGTATTCGGTGATGCTGAGATCGAGGAAGTTGAAGGATGGCTTGGCGTTGACGGTCTTGAGGATGTACTGACTGTAGGCGTAAGCATTGCCAACCTCAGCCTTGGTGGTCTGTAAGAGCAGTCTGTTTGCGCTTGCGTACACGACATGCGAACCGACACGTCTGAACTCGGACATGAGTTGTTGCAGAGCCTTTCTTGACATCATCTGCACATAGTAGTG